CGGGGGGGGGGGGGGGGGGGGGGGGGGGGGTGGAAATCGACACGTGACCTTCAAGTCCCTAGATCCCAGTTTACAGCGTTGAGTCCGCCAAATCCTATATCTATAACTCTGCCGTACCTGTTCCAATGAGGAAATCATTTAATCAGACATTCAATTGACGCTTGTGACCCCTGGAAAATGCACATTGACTGAACCATCGACGCTATCCATGCATGATTATAGTGGTCAGTCAGAAGTTTATTTTGCTAACTTGGTCAAACCGCCAGAATTGCGGGCGAGCGCAGGTGCAGCCCACGAAAAGTGCCCCTTAGGCAGACACCACGTTTTTCCAACAAGAGACAAACACCCGACGATTCTTTGACTCTCAGACACATCTCTCAATCCGCAGCCTTCCGACTTGCTCAGGACTCGTGTTGCCTAGCCCTGCAGATGTCGATGCCGTAAAGATATCATCACGCAGGCTAAGCAGAGCGTAATCACGATGGCATCCCCTTCAATACTCATCAAGGTGAGTAGCGTTACGGAGTAGTCTAAAGAGAATGAGCAGCCCTATAGAGGAACTAGCATTGATCTGTAATAATGGGACCAAGAAATCTGATTGCATGTTCGGGTAGTCATGCCTAAAGCGGAGGGTTAAGTGAGAGGCCAACCCCGCGCTAATTCTCATTAGCCATAGCCGACTAGCAGCCAAGCAATCCCTGTTTGATAGCGACGGATTCCACTTGACCTGTTGGCCCTCGAGTTGAAGTCCTGACTGACTCAGCTACTTACTACTCTGCGCTGGAAGGAATTTGTCGTTGATCACCGGAATTATAGCAGGGGAAGTAAGATATCTACAGAAATGTCGGCAGAAGTGAGATTGACGACGGCTATGGATGATGACCCGGCATTGTAATGATGAGTGTGGAAGTTGAGTTCTTAGGTAATTGCCAGCAAGTGCCCAGAGTTGCTCCCGTGACTTCCAATATGCCAATTGGCATCCGAGGTAGGAACGGTAGGTCAGAACACAAAACACCACGACAGAAATTCAACCAACACCGATGTCCGGACAACTATCTTTCTTCCACCAATGATGGGCATTTGCCTTTCACTGAGAGGAGCAGACTCGAGAGTTATCAATGGTCTCTGTTTCCTGTTCCGGATCCATTGCAAACTCACCAACGGTCAGGGACCGGACCAAAGACTGAGAACGATGACCCGCCGCGCTTACGCAAATGATTGGATGGACAGACTGCGCCCTGGCCCCTCGGGACCCCCTCGCCATCTCGCCATCTCACCTTATCGCAACCACCCTGACCCTTGGCTGTGTGCCGACCACCATCGTGGGGTTCTTTGAATTTGATATAACTTTGTTCAATGTCATCGGTTTGTGTGCCTCACTTCTCCTCTCCATCCCTCCATCCCTCCATCCCTCCATCCCTCCTTCTCCTTCACAGACCACAGTCTCACGCTCCCTCAACATGTCTGCTGTCTCCCAAGACTTCAGCGCTGAGCCCGTCAGTGGCAAACAGACGATCCACCATCCTTTTGCCCCATTGACGGCTTCGGAGATATCCACCACTGCTGATCTCATTGCTTCAGTATGGCCTACCAAGGTTGACCTTCGCTTCAAGACCATCACTCTCGATGAACCTCCCAAGAGTCAGATGATCCCTTACCTCGAGGCCGAGCACAGTGGTTCCTCGCTACCATTCATTGCCCGCAAAGCCTTTGTCTCGTACTACATCCGCAACACTGTAAGTCTTAGCCTGCATAACCTCAGCTGACACGACACACCTTAGCCCTTTTCTGGGAAACTTAAGAGATGCTGACATGCAACCTCTAGGAACGGTTCCATGAAGCAGTGGTAGACCTGTCTGCAGGCAAGGTCGAGAGAAATGTCCGCCTGGGCAGTAACCTGCATGGCAATGCGGACTATGAGGAGATTCTCTTGGTTGAGAAGAATGCTCTCGCGGATCCAGGCGTCCAGGCCGCCCTCGCCAAGCTGCAATTACCCGAAGGCACCGTTCTCTGTGCTGACCCATGGATTTACGGTATGTGACATGTTGGAATAAGCGCCTAACATCAAGTCCATACATGGCTGACTTTGATAGGTTCTGATGGTGTCAATGACGACGAAAGATTGTATCAAGTCTTCTTGTACATGAGAGATCCCGCCAACCCAGGGGAAGCGGATTCCAACCATTATGCATTCCCTCTATCCATCTCCCCCATCATCGAATGCAACAACTATACCGTCATTCGCATTGAGAACATGCCCACTGGTGCTGACAACACCACCCACGATCCCGTTCCATACACAGCAGTTCCACCCAACGAGTATATCTCGGAGGCCCAGAAACTACGAACAGACATCAAGCCCCTACGTGTCCTCCAGCCTGAGGGCGCTTCATTCACTTTGACTCCCACCGGCGAGACAGGACATCTGCTCGAGTGGCAAAAATGGTCCTTCCGTGTGGGTTACAACGCCCGTGAGGGCATGGTTTTGTATGATGTGCGATACGACTCCCGCCCGTTGTTCTACCGCCTCTCCCTCTCCGACATGTCGATCCCCTATGCCGACCCTCGCCGACCATACCACAAGAAGCAAGCCTTTGATCTAGGCGATGCTGGTGCTGGTGCCATGGCCAACAACCTGAAGCTGGGATGCGATTGTCTCGGACACATCCAGTACTTGTCGGCGTACATTGCCGATGACAAAGGTACGCCCACTAATCTAGAGAACTGCGTGTGCGTACATGAACAAGATGCTGGCATTGGCTGGAAGCACACCAACTACCGAACCGGACGTGCTGCTGTGGTGCGAAACCGCGAGCTTGTCTTGCAGAGCATCATCACCGTGTCCAACTATGAATACATCTTGGCGTTTATGTTCAACCAGGCCGGTGAGCTCATTTATGAAGTGCGCGCCACCGGTATTCTCAGCACCCAACCTATCGATCATGATCTCGACAAGGTTGGCGTTCCCTTTGGCACAGTGGTTCACCCCGGTGTGTTGGCCGCGCATCATCAACACATCTTTTCTCTCCGGGTCGACCCTATGTTGGAGGGTCACAACAACCGTGTCGTGTACGACGAGGCACACGCCATGCCCATCGACAAGGACTGGAACCCTCATGGAACCGGATACACCGTGTCCGAGACGGTGGTTGAGCAAGCTGGTGGCCTCGATTTGAACACCAACTTCAACCGAACCTTCAAGATCCAGAACCCCAGTGTGCGCAACCCTGTTAACAACAAGCCAGTTGCATACAAGATCCACGTGCCAGATTTCCAAAAGATCCTGGCGCATCCATCATCGTACCATCACAAGCGTGCCGAGTTCGCCGACCACAACATCTACGTCACCACCCACCAAGACAAGGAACTGTACTCGGGAGGCTGGTATACCAACCAATCTCGTGGCGGCACTGGTGTTCGCAGCTGGGCGGATCGCAAGGACAATGTCAAGGACCAGGACATTGTCGTGTGGGTGCAATTCGGCATCAACCATGTTCCTCGTATTGAAGATTTCCCCGTCATGCCATGCGAGATCATCAAGGTCAGCTTCAAGCCAGTCAACTTCTTTGACAAAAACCCTGCACTGGATGTCCCTCCTAGTGAGCAGAGCTTCAACCAGAGCACCCTGGTGGCAGAGCGACATCACCAGCCAACCACTGAGGCTGCTGTGGGTGCTTGCTGTGAGGCACCCGCTTCCAAGAGTCGATTGTAGATGCTTCTCGGACGGAATCTGAAACTATGTTGCAAGCATATTAGTATGAACTATTGTCTTTGGATATGCATGTAAATATGAATCATGCTGTTGAGATTTATCCTGGACTTTGTACAGGGTGTGACTCCAGCATGAAGCAGTAGTGATAGACGCATTAACGGACGTTGAATACCCTCAGGCTTCCTGTGCAAATGGTGATACTTGGTTAGGGAGTAAAGCCATCATTTCATTGATTCAGGGCGCCTCGAGCCTCATGCCTAAGGCGGGATAAGGGGTGGAGGATCGTTGAAGCCCGAGGGGCCTGTAGGGCTGCCTGGAGATAGTTCCCTTGGCAGTATAAGGCCTCTTCGGCTATCCTATTGACCGTTTACCCCACCTGGCTTACAACAAGTCTGCATCTGCTGCTTGATTCAAGGCTTGGCCCATGATAAGCATCCCACAAGTCTTGACCCAAGCCTGCCTAATGAACGACGATGTACTCGTACATGGTTTTAGGTATTGTGCATTAATTCAAAGTGATTGTGAGGTACCAATCGCCCTCGCCCATCGAAATTCATCCAAGTGCAGGATGAAACTGACTCAACCTTGGAACATGACCCATGATTGACGCGCGTACTCTGCGACTCACGGCAGGTGCGTGGGTGCTCACCTACAGGAGTACTTAACGAGACAGGAACGGCACACACGGCAGGTGACACACTTGTGAAGTCCCTGCCTTAAGGGGCACAGGGATCAGAAATTCCCACCCACTTCATTCGTTATTTGATTTCCCCAGTCATCGCGCTCCTCACACGTGAGAGAATCAGAGTCAGGACGTGATCAGAAAGTCTGAGTAAAACCCCTTCCTCCCTAACTACTTGTGTATAGGGCGGGGCATTAATGCAGCAAGATTCTGTCTCTCCAGCCTTGGGTCTTTGAAGGTCGCAGCCGCTACCTATTCTGTCTCATCTTACCCACTGTCACTACTGCCATCTTCTTTCCATTCCTCAGCTTGAGGCCGGCTGTCTCATGCGCCTCACCCTCATTCTCATCCACCTCACCACCACCTTCCTTTAGCCTCTCGTCTGCTCAGCTCCTTCCCTTGGACAATCTTAGCGCAACCCTCGCTCATTTCCATCTTCTCCGTCTTCTCCTGCACTTCCCCATATCTCACATCTCACCATCCCTGTTCGCAATCGCAATCGACATCCCGCTTCCTGCGCACCCTCTCCACAGAATCACGAACGAAACCATGAGGCTGTCACCTTGTCCTCAACCACACCCTTGAGCCATCCTACATCCTGACTCTTACTCTCACCCCGCCCTCACTTTTGACGTGGGCGTCGCCATGGCTTGGCCAGTGTGTAACACCACCGAGGAGGACATGATCATCAGCGAAGATCCAATATGGCATGATTATACCCTTCATCATCTCAGCCTATGGCTGTCAGCAGCCTTTGCGCTTGTCGCCATACTCGTCTCCTTCTTCCTCATCTTCATGCACGCCACCCACTATCTCAGACCATGGGAACAACGACACATCATTCGCATTCTCTTCATGGTCCCTGTATACGCCGCCGTTTCCTTCCTCTCATTCTATTATTACAACCACAGCGTCTACTTTGAAGTCATCCGCGACTGCTACGAAGCATTCGCCATCGCCTCCTTCTTTTCCCTCCTTTGCGCCTACATTGCCGCTGACCTACACCAACAAAAAGCATACTTTCGAACGATCACTCCCAAGAAGTGGATCTGGCCCATGAGATATTTCCAGAAATGTACCGGAGGCGAACAAAATGGATGGTTGCGCACCCCGCGAAGTGGTTTGACCTGGTTCAACGTCATCTGGGTCTCCATTTTCCAGTATTGCTTCATTCGAGTCTTTTGTACGATCGTCGCCGTTGTCACACAGGTATTTGACCGATACTGTCTTTCCTCCCTCAATCCGGCCTTCTCCCATGTCTGGCTCATGGTCATTGAAGCTGTCGCTGTCACCATCGCCATGTATTGCCTCATTCAGTTCTACATCCAGCTCCGCCGAGACATTGAACAGCACCGGCCCCTCCTCAAGGTTCTTGCCATCAAACTCGTCATCTTTCTTTCTTTCTGGCAGACCATCCTCATTTCATTCCTCACCAGCTCCGGCGCCGTCAAACCAAACAACACTATTCAAACCCCCGATCTAAAAGTCGGTATACCCGCCATGCTGCTCTGCATCGAAATGGCCTTCTTCGCCATCCTTCATCTTTGGGCCTTTAGTTGGAAACCATATACCATCGGCTCCAAAAGTTTTGTGTCTGAAAGCGCTTCAGGTGAAACCTCCTCCTCTCACTCATACCAGGGTGGCTTTCTGGGGCTCAAAGCAATATTCGACTCATTCAACCCCTGGGACATGTTCAAGGCTACTGGACGAGCAACCAAGTGGTTATGGCGGGATCGGAAACATCGACACAAAGACCCCAGTTACAAAATGAACTCCTCAGGCAAATTAGATCCAACCACCGTGTTCGATACCAACGCGCAGGGTACATCGTCACTCAACCATTCCGCCACTGCTTACACTGGCGCCATTCCGGGCGCTCCAGCCCACTTTGCAGGCAGGAATGATGCGCTAGGAGGTGAAGGGGATAATCTCCTCGCACACAGTCAAGGTATGCCTGTTTCACGGCCAGGGATATTGAGAAATGGAAGTGACTGGAGTGATGAATCCCCATACAACAAACAATATCATGACCAGGACGATATCGGTCTTGCTCGATCGTCGTACCACTATCAAGGCTCCTCTCCACCCTCTCGCATGCAGCAATCACCCTATGAATTATATCAGCACACCCCAGGAGAACAAGAGATTGGAGTTGCATATTCCACTCCATACCCTGAAGCCCACCGACATGATTGGGCTTACAGCAACCGTCAATCTCGTGACAGGCTGTCCATGCCGCTGGCACCGTCTCCGTCTCACTCACCGACAAGACCTCCTCAACAGCGACAACCACAGCAGCCAATACAAAGGGATGATGCAGATATGGGAGGTTTTATTTAACCCTTGGATCCTTGGATCCCTCTCGGAACATCAATAGAGTTCCCCTGTAAGCTAGGCTTTAATGACAATGACAATGACATGAAATGATTCTTGGTTCGTTGAATCTATTCTCACCGCTGCACCTCCGTTGTTTCTATTGTATCATGCTTTATGGTCCGGCCATGTCACGCAGGGAAAGATTTCCAGTGGGCGGATTAGACGCAGTATAAAGAGTTTACTGGTCCAATAGATTCGCGATTATAGGAAGAAGGCATTGAATGCTATCGGTACCCAGGCGTACAATTATGCCTGGTACCAAGGAAGTGGGGGCACATTTGAAGAGTCTTGGCTCATGGTAAAAATTCAGGCGCCTCACAAATCCAAACTATATAATTTAGTCCCGACGAATTTCTTCCAACAATCACAGCAGGTCGCTTAGCTCAGGTTGGTAACCCATCAACCCCAAGACATCGACAAATAACTAACTTAACACCTCACAGTTGGTTAGACGTGGTGCTAATAGCAGTGTACAAATAAGTACCTGACCCTCAACGCCAAGGTCGCGAGTTCGACCCTCGTAGTGACCATTCACTTTTTTTCTTTTTTTCTTTTCACAGATTTTCCTAGGACAAGCTTGGCAGGCAAGGAGTCTTCCCATGCAACAACCTTCTTTTTTTTTGCTTTACTCCTGCTAATGCTGTTCAGTACTTTCCTGTATTATTGATGTCCACGCAAAGAGCTATCGGTTGATGGCAATGATATGATGTCTCGTTACTGTTGGTTGTAGAGTGGGTGTCGAGAAATAGTCATACCCCAAAGTTGGGGTGGGTGACGGAGTTTGTCACCCACTGGTGACTGAGATTGAACCCCGCGCCTTGTCTTGGCCGGCAATAATATCAGGTCCTTTGCTGTTGCTTTGGAAGCAAGTAGGTGAGTTGAGGGCGAGTGCTCGGGTTGTATAATGAGAGATAGGCTATGATGAGGACAAGATTCGGCGCTGAATGAGGAAATCCAAAATACAGTCAAAAACACCCGTCATTGTCGAAGAGCTGGACAAAGCACTGTTCGAGGCATATATAATATATTACTAGGTATGTATATATATATGTATACTGGATAACCCCCAACATATCATTACCACCCACACATCACTGTAGTCATCTGTACTCGTCGAGTTCTGGTCTGCTGTTTCAAGTTCTTGTTCTTGCTCTTATATATCATCCTCTCTGTCTCTTTGTACGCCCAATGTGAAATCCCAAGGGATCGGGATTCCAATGATCAGGACCCAGGACCAAGCAGATCGAAGCAATTGGCATAATAAGTGACGGTGGACGACCAGTCCGTGAACAACCCCTTGATACCAATTTGACGGGTCAGCACGTCGATGACCTCATAGGCCTGACCGTCATATGACACGACGGGGGCAACGGTCTGGTAGTAGTACTCGTCATTGGCGCGGACCAGAGTCAATGGGCCTGATCGTTCAAAAGACCAAGCGATAATTTCGAGTCCTGCCTCCATGGCTGTCGTGGCGTATGATGAAGGCACAATGGTGTTGTTGTCGGGGCCGCCAACCTCGAGGAGGTAGTTGATGGGTGGGGAGATGATGTTGACACCGCTGGCTTTGAGGTCTGGTAGCCGTGCCACTGCAACTGTGTAGTTGCCCTCGGCGTCGCCGTCTTCGTCGAGAAATACTGCTTGCGCCCCAAATTCGGGGTACTCGTTCAGCCACAGGTAGATGTCAGCCGGGGTGAAGGACTGCATCCACACTCGTGAGGGGTCGATCCCCTTGTCGATAAATACCTGGATCGCATCCCGGGCGTACTGCGCCTGCGTGTATCCATTGAACGGCAGCGGAACCTCCTCGGGCGGCGTCTTGAGTTCCGGTGTGAAGTTGCGGTACCCTGGGATCGAGTCGACCAAGTCGATCCAGCCTGAATACGACATTACCTCGCCGCATGTGTCGTACAGCGATGTCCGCCACGAGGGCGCTCCGTACTGGTAGTCCTCAACCGTCTCTGCGCTGGCATTGAATCCGTCCATCTTGCTGCACAGTGTCATGAATTCAGCCTCAGTGATGTCACTCGTGCAGCAAAGAGCGTCGGCATCCGCCGTCTCGTTAGCCGGGGTGAATGGCACAGTGCATTTGGCCGCCAGTTCCGGTCGCAGGAGAATGTCGGTGGTCGTGTGCAAGTCGCATAGGGAGTGTCGGCACACCAGTCCCAGATCCGACGTAAAGGCAATGTCACATTCCAGGACTCCGGAGCCCATGCGAGCGCCGGCCAAAGTTGACTCGACTGACTCTTCAGGAATCTGCAAGGTGCCACCCCCGCGGTGTCCAATGCTGAAGGAGCTGATGCTCACAGGTTTGTTCTCACATGACACGAGCTTTTCTTTCAATGGACCATCGGTCATATTATGCACGAGATAGTAGGGTCGAGGTCCCAGTGAGACTAGATAAGGTTGGGCTCCAACATGACGGGTGTCAAGTGGAATGGCAGTCGCGAGGTCAGCCACGAAGGCTGCCAAAGCAATCCCACTCAACGCTCGGTGCATTTTGGGAGGTCCGAGAAGAAATGCAGGTTGATTTACGAGCAGAGCAAGCTTGATGAACCAGACAAGACAAACCTGAAGAAGTGTAAAAGAAGAAAATGACTTAACCTGGGCCGAAGACTTGTTTTGTAGCTGCGGAGCAGGCAAACATGAATCCTCGTGGAAGGGCCTTGTCTGGAGGAAAGAAGCTGACTAGTTCCACGTGGGCGAATAAATTGAGAGCTTGTAGGAAGTCAAAACGAGAGATGGCCGGTGTAATGGGCTGGGAGCTCGGGGAAGCTCTGGATAGCTTCTCAAACTAGGAACTAAAATGGCAGATCCTACCTTGGGGATCGAGGTGAGGGCGGTGACAGACTTCTTATCGACAAATGATATGTCGCTACGATCAACGTGTGTCATGGTACCTGCATCTTGATTTTGTCCAAAGTGGCAGCTCGATGCCAGTCTAATGGGTGGTCATGTTGAAGGTAGGGAAGTGGTGGTAGTGACGACGTGGTTTGGAGTAGTCGTACGAATGGGGATTCAATGGAACCTCAGACAGGTCAAGGCTTTGGATCTTAGTCTTGGCTGCAGAAAGGTCAATGCCATGTCCAATGGGAAAGTGAGGGATGAGAACGAAGGAGCTTGAACGGCACATAGTCTCTTGGCCTAGAGGTTGCTTGCAAGCCGATCTGCGTGTTATCCTGCACACCTTTCAACGCAGCCGGGAACGCCGCAGACTGTGAACAAGCAATGAGCTAGAGGCTGGGGCAGCAGGACAGTGGATTCATATATCCTTCCAATCATGCATATTTCTTTCGACACGAGAATGGAAGTAGACTTCTAAATGGTGATGAAGAGTATGGTGAGAGGGGGAGAAGAGAGAGAAATGTGGGATGAGGGTTAATCATGGCCTGATCACGTTGGAGAGACTCTTCTCTGCTGCTGCCCGGATTCAATCAATTCTATAGGCTGCATTACAACTGCAGGAACAGTTCATTACTCGGGAGGCAAGTACAATAAGTTCGTGCCTAGCATTAACCAACAGGATGCATTCAAGTTCCAATCGTTCCTTCTCTCTAGGCATTGACCTCAACAGTTGATGATGTCATCGCTTGTAACTTCGGACGATAAGCAAAAAGTGAGAAGTAAAGTGATAAACCCTATTGCTCAGAGACGAACTACTTAGAGATACAGGTAAGTATGTACACTTCGGGCTAGGTGGTTCCTTAGGTATGCAACTTAGGTCCATACCTTGTAACAACCGAAGTAATGCCCAAGGGCCAAGAAGGAACCTAAGCATGTATACCTGGTAGGTACTTTGAGTTACCTCAATTAGGCATAAGCATAGTTGCACCAATCCTCAGGCTTCTCGACCTCTTCGCTTCGTGGTCGAATCCCTTGATCCCTTGAACCAAGATAACAACCAGCGCAACATCCCTCGCTTACTTTCTACCTCGGTCTTGGTGTCACTGAGTTGCGCTAGATTTATCAATGCGGTGTTATCCCACCAGAAATTGGAATCACCTGGCTTGTGATATGGCTGGAATCGTCTCCCAGAAGGAATGCTACCGTGCTTCCCACCTCCTCGGTCTCACCGAACCTTCCTTGAGGGATCTTGGGTATCGTGTCGACCCATCCAGGTTCATCTCGTATCCGTGCCGTCAGGGCCGGTGTCTGAATCACCCCTTTCCTTGATGTTAGCACTTGGCCAAATGGCACAATAAATAATTCAAGGTAATCACCAACCTGGAGCAACAGCATTCACTCGGATCCCATATGGTGCAAACTCGACTCCCCAGGCTCTTGTCAGCCCAATCACAGCATGTTTAGTGCCACAGTAAGCTGCAATTGCTTGAAATCCCTTGATGCCCGCTTGACTCGAGTTGTTGACAATGTTTCCCCGCGATTGCCATTTGCCCCGGGGTTCTTGCTTCTGCATCACTCGAAACGCATATGTTGCAAAGTTCCACGTTCCCCGGACGTTGACTTCAAACATTCGACTGAAGTTCTCATCCGAAGCAATCTCTCCTTCATAGAGCCCGATCCCAGCGTTGTTGAACAAACCATCCAATCGGCCACTAGTCTGGACAACTTCATCCATAAACTTGGTGCTTGCCTCTCGACTTGATACGTCCACACCACCTCGAAAATGTACCTTCCCGTTATCAATGTGCAGTCGAAGTTCGTCTGATGCTTCGTTCCCAATGTCACACGTCCATACTGTGGCACCTCTTTCCACAAGCACCAAGACTGTTCCCAAGCCAATCCCCGAATTCCCTCCCGTCACTACAATTGTCTGACCTTGGAAAGAACCCATTGTGAGTTACCTGTGGTGTTGCAACTACATGAGACGAATCACTCCGGATCACGGCGGCATCTTGCATTAAATTGTAGCTCATGTGATGGGAATCACCAACACCGATTCATTGAGTCAGACAAAGCCTACTCATTTATTGCCCAAGGTACATTTGCTGGGGCTGTAACCGAGGTCGTCACTTGAACGTCCTCCGCTTCCCCCGATCACTAAGCTACGTTTAGAGATTAAACACTCCGCTGGTCTGTCCGTGCCAATCTTTTCGCCAAACCCTCAACTCTCATCACAGCACTGTGGGATCGTCATCTCCACGCTACTCTCACAGTCCAATCCATCCTGTAAGTTTGATGCCGTCTCGTGGACCATGCCAACAAATCCGCTAATATGCTACCCCAGGGTCCTTTCACGCCTTCTATTGATCCAACAAGACACTGTGCAGGCTGCACTTCAGACCTTTTTGTCCCAAGTGACTACACTACATTCGTGTCACTACTACACAAGCAACAAGAACCAACACCTCTTGCCAAGTAGTAACTTCACCCGACTGTACTCGGACAACTTTACCTTCACTTCCAGAATTGAAGTATCAGAGTCCGAGAAGCTACCATGAGGAGACACAAAGACATCAAGTCACGACCATCACATCAATCCCAACCCCATGAAATCTCAAATCCCACCAAGACACCTTCCAACCCATGAAATTGTAACTTCCGCTGTACAACTTCTCCCGCAATGTTCTCCCCCCTCGCGCATCCTTCTAGAAGCCGAATCTATCGCCACCCCAAGATGGTCGGCCAGCTCCGCCCCCGGCTAGCAGCGGGCCCCTCGGCCCTAGCCCCATCCACGTATCGGTGCAACAGAGACTTTCGTTGATGTCTCATCAGTGTGCATGAGTTTATGATAGGAGGGAAACATTGCGCGACTCTTGCTCCGGGGGTCCTTTGGCACCACTCGTCATTACTAAACATCACCAAGTCGTCTGGACAACCTCATGCTATTTGGCGAGTATCGTGTCCTCCACCGAATCATAGAAAATGCAACCTTGCTATCGATACCAAGAAGTCGGACAAGGAGCCAAGCATTCAAGGGCCCAGCCCTTCCTTGTTCCAGTACCATTCTTATTCGTCCGGCTTCCACTCTGTTGGCGGTGCCAAGTTCACCACCACCCCGACCTTCCACAACGAGGTTAATATACCTCGACTACTCCCGCTGAAGCCTTGTGTCGCCACAATCGATTAACGTCTCGTGCCATCTCCAGCCTCATTGATGTCATCCCAACTGCTTGCCGACACCGAGTCCCATAGTCACGACATGTCGATCATTATGCGCCCAAGAATTCCAAGACCTCAGTGAACACCTCGCTCCACCCCGACGGAGTCCACCCAATTGGTCGATCCGATCTTCTATGAAGTTCACCATTGGCTGTAACGATCTTCTGTACCTGGGTACACCCTAGTTTCAAGCATCCTCCTAGTCGACATAGCGTCTTTGACTTCAGCAACTTCCAGTTCCGCCCACCCTTTCAATATACCAAGACTTTCACTCTTCTCGGTGGAGTCAAGTTATGTCGCTGCCACCTAGAGTGGACCGAGGGGACATGTGGAAGATAGATCATCATGAGTCGACTTCCTCTTCTAGAATCTCGTTGGTCGACAGTCGCAAGGTTCTTCCTCAGAGGGACCTTTTGCCGTTGAACAATGCAACCCAGGTCACATCTACAGCACTTGGCATCCATTTACATACTGGGATGCGTTGCACAGCAGATGTCTATTTCATGCAATTATCCTTACAGACGGAAGATATAAACACGTCTGTGCCCACTGGGGCATAAAGGACCTGATTCTCCCCTCGCCCAGCACTTCAACCTTGAGTGACACCCAAGAAACTCTCACCATGAAGTCCTTCGCTTTCGGTCTTCTTGCGCCCGCTCTGGCGTCGGCTTCCTTGAACCTTCCTCGCGCAGAGTCTGGCTTCACTCTCGAGCAATATGAAAGTGGTTACGTCCACAATGTTTTGATGCAAGCAAAGCTTGTACGTATCTATGTGACTCAGGCTGACCTATATCGCTGACATCCATAGGACTCGTGGGCACACCGTGATGAAGCAGATCCTTTCAACGAGTGGCAGTATCCCCCATTGGAAGGTCCCGTCAAGTGTGAGGGTGGTGTCGCCGTCGTTGAGCCTGGCAACTCTAATCAGACATTCAAGTGCAACAACGTAAGTCGTCTCGAGACAGACTGAAAAACCACGACACTGACCAATCCAGATTGACCTCCTCGATTACCGAAGTCATCAAGATCTTGGTAGCTTTGTGGGCGATGGCTCCTCTTCCTGGGGATGGGTTTCTGATGATGGTCGCGAATTTGTCGCCATTGGACAGGGAGATGGAACCGCCTTTGCCGAAGTCTCTTCCGAAGGCAAGCTCATCTACCTAGGGCGTCTTCCTCAACAGTCATCTTTCTCCTTCTGGCGCGAAATCCGAACACACAAGAACTATATGGTCATCGGTAGCGAAGCCGTGGATCACGGTGTTCAGATCTTTGACATGACCAAGGTAAGCATTGAAGCATTCCATAGACCCCCTGATCTTTCCTAACAATCACATAGCTTCTTGAAATCGACCCAGCCTCGCCTGTCAATTTCAGCATCACTGACGACCTAACAAGCTGGTTCAACGATCTCCCCATCGGGCGAACCCACAACGTTGTGAAAGGTCCTGAAGGAGCCGACTGGTTCACTGTGGTGGGCGCCCAGCCGCGAAACAGCACCTGTCTGTCCGGACTGATCTATGTCGATGTCAGTGACATTGAAAACCCATTTTCTCCTGGATGCGCCGGCCAAGACGGGTACGTGCATGATGCCGAATGCGTCATCTACCATGGGCCCGATACAAGGTACGAAGGCAAGGAGATCTGCTACGGATACAACGAGGACACCTTGACCATCTATGACGTGACGGATAAAGTAGGCGTCAATGCAAGCCGAGTCATCTCCAAGACGTCGTATGTCGGCGCACGGTACACTCACCAAGGGGCGGTTCTGGACCTGAACTGGCAGACCCACTTGGTGCTGGACGACGAGCTGGACGAGGAGTATTTCACTGGCCCCGCAGCCGACCAGTTCCCCGTGACATACATCTTCGACATCACAAACCTCGAGGCACCAGTGCAGACGGGCATCTACAAGCACAAGTCCTTCTCTATCGACCATAACCAGTACATCTTCGACGGCCTGGCGTACCAGAGCCACTATGGTGCTGGCCTGCGTGTCCTCGACGTCAGCTCCATCCCATCAGACCCCACGGGTGACTCGGTCAAGGAGGTCGCTTATTTCGATATCTACCCTGAGGATGACGACCTGCCCAATGGAGGTATCATTGACTTTGTCGGCACCTGGTCTCACTATGCCGGCTTCCCCAGTGGAAACATTCTTATCAACACCATCGAGCGAGGCGCTTTTATTGTCAAGCTGAGCCAGTTTGAACGCCGCGGCCGAGGTGCCCATTACAAGAAGCCTAGAAACGTCTAAACCTTGGATCTCGATATGCATGTCATGTCGTGACATGTATCGAACAGTTGGGCAATTTCATGAACCAGCTCGCATATCACCGTGGTTCTTCATCTACATATCTCTAGCATACAGTTTACGGGGAAGATGGGAGACAGACCTCAAAATAGTCTAATGAGATATAATGACATCTATCCCCAGCGGGATGAAATCAAAGAAACAATCACCTTTTCTGTCCTGTTAGATCCACTGTTTGGTGGTAGATGCTTTTGATTACGCATTGATTGCGTTGTGGTGTATACTAATCACGTGATATATGACGATACTCACGACTACTGTACTACGACCATCTTAATCACTCTTCTCCACGCACCACAGTAAATGGTTACCTTCCTGCGACTTCAAAGGATCTTTTATTAGCCCAGAAGGTCTATCTAACCCATACCCGGGCCAGAAAAGATGTCGACACAATCAGTGATGTACTCAGCAGCGTCGACATTTGTGAAGAAAGATGCCCAATCGATGGGATTCAAATTGGCATCCATATCTGGAAAGCTCACTTCAGGCATATTGGAGTCAGCGGCATCCCAGAATCCTATTCCCAATTCCTCTGGCTGGAACGGATCAGAGTTATGAGTATGTTCCTCTCGAAAGACTCCTGCACTAGAGGAGGCGGCGGCAACGGTTGCGACCGCGTTGGTTAGATCTGAACCGGTCGTTTGTTCTCCTGCGCCATTCCTCCTGTCCGTATGATTATATCGATTAGGTCCCTCTCTTGCAGATTTTGATTTCTTACTCCCTCGACCGCCATTAACTGGTGGCGCAACATTAGCCCTAGCCCCTCCTCTATTTACCACCAGATCTCTTGAAGCGACAGCAAATTGCGCCAGCCGTTGCTCGAGCGTGTCAAGACTCTGTCTGGGAACCCGGGACATGCCCCAATATTGTATGAACTGATTATGAGTGGCTCGAAGGACTTCAAATTTGGATCGGATCACCATTTTCTGTGACTCGTCCTCTTCTAGTTCATGTCGAAGCAGCTGGACTGTCGCGGCTCCCCACGTTACTGCCGCCACGTAAGGGGTAATGTACTTGTAATAGCTGTCGTGACAGTTGGCGTGTACGTTGAGCACGGCGTCGGCGGCTTTGAAACATTGTCCTATCTTGGACATCATTTCTTCTGGAATAGATGCGTTGGTTTCTTGCGTTCCGCCTTCAGCTAGTCTGATTAGCTTTCTCATGTAAGCTTCGAATACATAAGGTCTTAAGGCGATCATATTCGGTCCTTGGGATAACATGGTGGTGAGATAGATCGCACTATGATTATGTGGAGTTGAGCGTGTAGATTGATAACCCATGCTCTGGGTACCAAAATCGAGGTACTGGCCGGTGAATTTGAGCTTGTCCGGGATCAATAGCATACAAAGACGGATGGCGTTGGAAATCGCTGGCCATTGATCTTGTGTCTCGAGTATACGCTCTCTTGATCGACGGTTAACCTTTTCCTTTGGATATCCGATTTCATACGCCTCAGCACCGAGTGCCGCCACGACGATGTACCACGCTCTCTCACTGGCATTGTCCACGACATGTAGATTTTTAGATCGGTCAATCATATCTGACGCCATGGTACAACTCAGCTGTGGCAGGCCAGAGAACCATCTCTCATCCTCGGCAGGGAGATAGACATCTTGTTGCGCCCAGTCGATGGTGATAGGGATATGCTTCATATGGCTAGAGAATTGGTCCATTTCCCATACAGCCCAATATGCACGTCGTCGTTCTTCATCTTCACACCATTTTCGGCGTCTTTCAAGTACTGGTCAGGTTTGTTGTCTGAATCAGTGGTGTGCAACCCTAGTTCAAATACGAGGCGAATGCAAACTCCGACGCTTCGCCAGGCTTTGCCTCGAACGCCTTTGAGTATTAACCAGTGTGTTGCCAGGATTAGAGCTTGTAGGACACAGAGCAGTGGAATATCGTCTCCACATTGCTCAATGGCGAGATTCACATGTCTCAACCCTGCGTCAGCAAATCTAGCGGCTGAAGATTCCTTGGAGGTGGCTGAGATGGAATGACCAGGAGGGATGTCCTTGCATGCAAATGCAAACATCATGGCAAGAAGTGCCTTGAGGTTGAGCTTCGAAGGGATTCGAAGTAGTTTTGCCATGAACCGCGTTTCTCTGAAGAGGCCAAATGTTGTGAAGGTGCGAAAGAACGTGTCTAGCCTAAACATCATTACATCGAGATGAGTATCAACATACCTTTGAAGGTTATGGGGGTGCTGGCACTTACAAATCCGTCATCCCATGCCGCGAGACTCCCAGCTCGTTGCATGCGTCAGACAGTAAATTTGCATTAGTAGGACTGGAGTCCGCCACAGAGGGCGAAAATTGAGGAGAGTCATCAGTCGAGGGTGATTCGTGTGTATTGTGACAGAGTTCGGTCAGGGTTTTAATGTGTTTACTGCGTATGAGACGCTCAACAGGCCCGAATTCGGGAGGCGATGAGGGAATTCGAGGATGGCGCTCGAGTGGAAGATGCTCTGCAGTCAGCTCATCCGTGGCATCAGGGGCCCATGATGAAGTCGAGGTAGTTGTCTGGATCTGAGCCTGGGCCTGGTCCTGATCCTGGACACTAATGCGACGTCGTTTGTGGACACTTCCAGCCTTTGGCCCAGGTTTCAGGATCTTGGATGGATAGATACAGCTTTGCCCACAGTTTTGGCAATCCTTACAACTCGGGACATCTCTGCTGCACCTAACCTTGCGAGTCCGACAAGATTGACACGCAATTTTCATCTTGCTTAGGTCAGTCATTGCCCTGGTAGCAGCGCTAGGTCCATTCGACATCTTTGCTCGGTCGGAGCCCGTCACTCATGCAGCATGAATAACCCGACATTGGAAACACCGAGGAAATCTTCCAGAGGAAGGAAACTTTTTAATAGAACTGGGGACTTTTCGGCCCCTCCGCCCTTCTCCAGCGTCCAGACTCACCACAAAGCCAAGCAAGAGCAATGGGAAACTCTCCCCCGCAAAACCCATACCCAGACAGAAGTCAGATAGCGGGGTTGGCGACGGGACAAAACCCTCACCAATCAGAAATTATGCCGAAAAGTGAGTCCTGTGGGCCGAGATTTTGATACCAGCAAGACTTCGTTGATTTTTACTCCTTGATATCTTTCACCCATGCCTCTATCCCCGACATATCCCCAAAATCCATGACATCTGGGGTATCTGTAAGGGAGGAGAGTCTTGTGGGGAATAGACGATGTGGAAAGATGCCATCTACTATATATCAGTGACAACCTGCTCAGGTCAAATTCGCCATGGTCGTGCAATGTCTCAGTACCTAACTGCAACAATGGCCTCGCAAGACATCGACGAAAAATCAATGAAGTTCCAAGTCGATGGGACAAACCATCTCGAAGACTCCCATTCGGGGGAAGGTTGTCCTCATGGTTTGGTTGGGAGGCCTCTCAAGACCACGGCATATCAAATCATCTTTTCTGCTTTTGTCGGCATCTCGGGCTGGATGTACAATTTTGATCTCGGTGAGCTATCTCGTGCTACCTTTTCTGATGATATGGCAGTCAATTTACGGTCTTCACAGGGTTCAGCGGTGTGGTTCTCCTCATGAAACCTTACAATAGAGCGTTTGGCCGTTGCGTATTCGAGGAAAACGCCCTAGGCGAAACTGTCGAAAGATGTTTTCTCACCGCGACTGAGCAGGGCCTCATCTCCCTTGCCATCATGTTCATTGGCATTGGGGCTTTTGCTGGTGGCCATATTGGCTATTATCTCGGTCGCCGTGGGACAGTCTCCCTCGGTTGCCTCATTATTGCCATTGGTGCCGGTGGTATGCTAGGGACAGCTGGAAATTTCACCGCCTACATGGCTTGCAAATGCATCCAAGGTGTAGGCCTTGGAAATCTGCTTGCTGCTGTGCCTCCCTATGGTGTCGAATGTGTCTCACCGAGCAAACGTGGAATGCTCATGGCTACCTTCAACATCGGTCTTGGAACCGGCAATATGGCTGCCGTTGCTGTCTGTGTAAGTCGTGTATGTTGGTACCAACATCTCCCACAAGCTAATAGCTGGCTAGCTAGCATCATCCCGGTATCTCTCAAACTTGTCATGGCAGACTCCCATTGCCTGTCAAATTCCAATTGCAGCACTCCTCGGAACTGGTGTTCAGTTCTTTCCAGAGTCACCTCGTTGGCTATTGCTCAAAGGAAGAGAGGAAGCTGCCAGAAAATCATTCGCCAAGTTCTACTCAAGACCTGCCGACTCGCCTGAGATTTTGGCACAGGTTCAAGAAACGCTACATTACCTCGAATTGGAGCGAAGTTTCAGCAAAGACTCCAAATGGTCTGATATTTTCCATGGCACGGATTTGAGGCGAACTATTGCCAGTACGTTGGTCGGAATAGCCATTGCTATCACCGGTTCCAAGTTCCTCTCCACCTACGCAGCCATTTTCCTTGCGGGTGTGGGAATTAGCAATCCTTACCACATTACCTTGACTTACGCCGGCTGTACCTGCATCGGTGGCCTTATGAGTCCCTGGCTGGTCGAATTCGTCGGTAGACGATATGCTCTTCTCATCGGATATGGAAGCATGGCTGTTTGTATGTTCATCATCGCAGCGGTAGGAACTGCCCTAGGCCAGCAGAATTCGACATGTCGAACCATGTCGATCGTATTCATCTCTTTATGGGGGGTCGTCTATGGTGGATTTATCGGAACTTCCCTTACCGTCACGACAGCTGAGATGCATTCAGTCAGACTCCGAGGATATGGCCAAGGATTTGTCATATTCATGTATGAGATCTTCAGCTTTGGCTCCAGTTTCTCCACGCCTTATATGCTCAACAAAAGCTATGGAAATATGGGTTTGAACGTTGGATATTTCTTTGGAGGTATGATATTATTAATCGAGTCCGCTGTGGATCTTGACCTAACCTGACTCGCAGGCCTCACCATTATTGTCTGGGTTTTGATCTTCTTCCTTGTTCCAGAAACCGGTCGTTTGACCTTGGAAGAAATCGATCAGATGTTTACCTCTGGCACAAAGCCATGGAAGACCTCACTACGTGGGAATAAGAAGATGAGGAGGAATCAAGACGCTTTATAGGACGTAGAATGATGAGGAGGTCTTTATTCACATGGATCTGTTGGGAGAGAAGTTGGTGTCAATTTATAGCTCCTGGCAGCAGTAAAGTAAAATCCTAGTTCTCTGAAAAGTAGTGTCTCTCCAGCGACCCGTACAGTCACAAGTCCCACTATAGTCAATAAAGTAGGCCATTTTTATGGCTGACGTGAGGTGGGACCTCTTAAGGCATCTATAAACACAGCGACGGTGGCCACGGGGACAAAGACCCATGGCCTCTTCATGGAAGATAGTCTAAAGTTGAAGTTAGGCCGACGTATGTGCACCTAAATCAACTGCGTGGGCCAGGGTTGACTCCCCGGTCTAGGTTGAATGCACAGAGACATGGCTACAAGTACTACACAGTATAGTATGAGTTATTTGTTTTAACATGAGTACCAAAAATTAAGCCTCCTTCATCCTGATAAGACAGAGAGAAGCGCTAGACCGACATCATACCTCACATACAGAAGTTGTACTTGCCCAGTTTATGTTTAGTTATATATAGGGGCTACACGGCCTCCATATCTGGTCATCCCGGTCCTTTCTCTCCTTCCGCTTCGCTTCAAATTCCTGATATCATATCCTCTCCAAGGCAACCAAACACCCGAGAAACTCCGAATTCTTTCCACAGCCATGTCGGAACAGCAAGACATCATCACCATCCAACAACTCGTATGTAGAGAACGGGAGGCACGAGATCGATGCTGGTGGGACGAGATGAGAAGCATTTACGCCGAGGACTCATGGATCGACCTCTCGTGGTTTCAAGGCTCTGGACCAGAATTCATTGATCAATCCGAGGCCATGGCTAAAAAGGGCACCCCATCCAAACATCAACTTGGGCCTATAGTGGTTCGAATCAGTCAAGACGGAATGAGGGCTCTCGCCACCCTCAGTGCCATCATCAAGTCTCGGTTTGCAGTCAATGGTGTCGAAGTCGATATCGCCTCCGAAGCGAGATTGATCTACAAGGTCGTCAAATTGCCTTTTGCTCAGTCTTCATTACTATCATCGTCCTCATCATCCTCATCGTCATTCTCTGCTACTAGCACTCCTACTAGCGACGATAGCGATGCTGCTGATGGTCATCGTCAACAACAAGACGTCTACCGCTGGTGGCTAGCTGGTCTGGATTGTATTTACGAGTCCGACACCGTCAGACCAGCGATCCCCGGTCAAGTCGTCCCTATCGATTCGGACGCTTTGAGTCAATATCGTCCTTCCTATCGCTGCTTATCCTACTTTCTGAGCTACAAAGGTCACTCGGTCAACCAAGACCTTCCTGGAGATGACAGGCCAGAGCAAGTCAGGGCCAAATATGACGATGCTTTTGTCTGGTTGAGTAAGGGAAAGACTGCCAAATTCAATGGACATAACATGCCGGAGGCTTAGTACCATGAAAAGCACTTCAACTTAAGTAGTGTGCATGTTGGAATAGATTCTATATGTTTTGGCTCCTAAATGTAATACTGCCCATTCTGCTGTTTGGAGGATCACAGCAAAGTTCTCTCTATCTATTGGAAAGGAAGTGTTAAACTCTCCTATGCAGCAGGAGATAAGTTTCCAATGCGAAATCACGACCAGGGTTCTCTTCATTCTGAGCACCATTGTTGCTAGGTGAAGATCGGTCTGTGGTTGCAACCCCACAAAAGCACGGGAGCTGTTCTGCGTCTGGACCAATTTCTCGGTGAAACCTCTCGACATTCAAGGCGAGTTTCCGAGTCGAACAATACGCGTTCAGATTCATAAAACCCTCAAAAGGCCGACTCCTCGACAGTCATGATGGATAGCATTCACCTGTACTTGATGGAATAGCGTTGCCGATGCCCTCCTGCAAGAGGTTCCAGGTTCGACACCCTGTTTTCGCCTCGGCCCAGGGCTGAACCCGTCTTAAACCGAGTTTGAACCGTAATGGCGAAAATGGTGGTGTCTTGCATACACCTTGCTCCGATAAGGGCTTGCAGCGACACTGCGTAAGTTGAATGTGACATCACATCCTCTCCACGCTTTACGGTAGTGAGTTGGTCGAGCATGTCCAGGAAGTGTCCTCAACGAGCCTGTTCAGGCGAAAACTTTGAACATGGTCGCGGGCATAGGCCATGATCCGAAGAGATTGCTCCAAACTGGGGCGTGGCAGTACCTTCATGTCGGAGAGATAGATTGGCAGCGAGCGGCTGGCGGATCCAATCACAGCACAAGAGTATTTATTCCCTTCAGCGCCGGATAATATGGCTGTATCGGCAAGCCTCTGAGAGAAAGCTTGGTACGCGACGTATCGATCAAACCTGTCTTTACTCAAAGGGGCGTTGCCGGTGCGTGTGTATCGGAGGCAGTGACAGAGAGGCAACTAGGACGACCATATGAGAGGGCTTTTGTAGTTCCTCGGGCTCCTAGGAGAATGGAAGTGGAAGTGAAGGAGTTCAAAGGCAGGAATAAGAGTCAAAGCAAACTGGTCGATTCTCGATTTTAGCTCTTTCTAGGCCGGGTAAACAGACGCCCAAGGACTTCGTTGCGGTCAAGTCGTTCGAGTCCTTCTCCGACCTCGGAAAACGGTATTTCCTGAAGAAAAGGGGAGATCTTGCCCTGAGCGATTAGATCCAACACAGTTTGAAATTCCTGCAGGCTGGCCCCAATGGAGCCTCTTATCTTGATGCTTCGTGTAACCAGGTCATGCGTTGAGATAGTCGCCTCTGCGGCTCCAAGGCCTACCAGAACCACAGTACCACCCGGCTTCACTCTACTTACAGCGGCCGCCGTTGTCGAACCCACGCCGGCAAAGTCAAGGATGACGTCGAATGTAATATCGGAAGCCTCGCTGAGGCTAGAGAAGCACTTAGTGGCACCATTCAGGACTGCATTTTCGAATTTCTCGGTTGCAATGTCAAATCCATATACGGTAGCCCCTTGGAGACCTGCGATAGTGACACCATTAAGCCCAAGGCCGCCCAACCCGACAATTCCAACCGTCGTAGAGTCTGTAACGCCGCCTTCGGCCACAACAGCATGGTAAGCGGTCGAGATAGAATCCGTAGCCACTGCAGCTTGAGCAAAGGTCACACCATCAGGGATCTTAACTAGGCTGTCCACGTAAGCGATCGCGTATTCCGCATATCCACCATCGTATCCCAATCCGACAGCAGTTGCCCACGACGCTTTCTCCAGAGGATGGCTGAGTAAGGCAATAGCAACTTCATCTCCGACTTGAAATTTTGACACTCCAGGTCCAGTTCTAACGATCTTGCCAGCAACCTCGTGGCCCAACGTGATCGGACTTTTCGCTACCCAGTTGCCCTTCCCGTTCATTATTGTACAATCCGAATGGCATAGTCCTGCAGCTTCCACCGCAATAAGAACCTGACCATCGGTTGGCTCTGGTACTGGCACGTCTTTCATCTTAACACCCACGGCAGGTCGTTCATATTGGAATGCCTTCATAGTCAATGTGTCTCTGTGAACAGTGGAATTTGACAGTTTTTCTTGGAGTTGGATTGTCCTCGTTGGCAGTTTACGTGATTCAAAGGCTCATTTAGATCCCGTTCGGCCTCCCGCCCCCACCTTCCATGTGCCTCGGCGAGGGGCAGGCTGACTCGGCAGCGAGAAAATGAAGGCCTAAAGCACATTAACGTCGTGAACCAAATAAATAGCTTACTTTGTGAGAATGTGCATTAGCAGGAAGTTTTTTGTAATTACTTAGTAGGGAATGAGACAGCTACTAAACTCGTCGATACTGCGCAAAGCCAGGCAAAGGCTTGGGATGCTTACAGAACATTGAATGTTACTACACTGGATGATCCGAATGGTTAAATGCTCTGAATCATGTTTAGTCTAGCTGCCGCACGAAGCGGAATCCTACCGTCGAAAACTGAGTCCAGTAAAGGCAAAGGTACTAAATTATTGTGTCAGCAGGGTCGGAGGCGCACACTGTGTTCGCATTGTCGCCATCCACGTCCTATGCTTGGACTTCTTCGAACGTGCACCGTGACGATGCAATTACTGGAGTTCAAAAATCAGTCATCCAATGACCAGGTCTCCTTTCCCTCGCTCTTCAGAACCTTGAAGTTTGCCGCAATCGTGGATTCGAATCAATCAGCGAATTCAGCAGTGCGATCACATTTGATCCGTCTGTATATGTCTCCGCTCAGCCCGCAGATGCCCAAATGCCTTCGGCTCGATAGTAAGAGACAACAAAGTCCTGCAGGCTCCTACCTAAGTACCTAAGTAGGTACCTTCTTTTAGCTGACACGAGTGAGAGGGGCAGGGCATCGATTCTCTTTGAGTGTTCCCGACTAGGATGACAGTGATATCGATGACTGTCTAGAGGGGTACATCAGTCTTGACGGCACCCGGGCCGGGCAGAGCTTGAAGGCGGGGAAACAATGTCAAATTTTTGGGTTCGTTCTTTAAGAATACTGGTATGGTTGTAATAGACCTCGGGATCGTGTCAACCTATAGTCTGGGGAACCTGCTGTTTTGGCTGATAAGGTAAGCTAGTACTTACTGTAATTGCATGTCGAACGTAGTGAGCACTGTGTACCCGATGTCCGACTTCGACCTTTTGGGCATCTCACCTTAGCAACAGTATCACCTTAAGTACTACCTTAATAAAAACAAAAAGCACTACAACTCGTGGCCATTGAAATTGTATTCAACCATGACGACCCAGAAAGCCATTGTTTTACAAGGCGATGGGAGAGTCGCTTTGGTCAATGATCGACCGATTCCAAAGCTGCGTCCAGGCTATGTCCTTGTGAATGTTCGCGCGGTCGCACTTAATCCAGCCGACTGGAAGCACGTGGATTATCTGAATATCCCTGGCGTATTGAGTGGGTGCGACTATGCTGGTGTGGTCTCTGAAACTGGACATGGCTATGAAAAGCCCTGGAAGAAGGGTGACCGCATCTGTGGTTTCGTTCACGGAAGTAATAAACTCGAGAAAGAGGACGGGGCGTTCGCAGAGACGATCGTGGCAAAAGCAGACATCCAGATCAAGATACCAGAAGGAATGAGCTTTGAAGACGCGGCCACGTTCGGCGTTGCCAGCATTACATGTGGCCAGGGCTTGTATCAGAGTTTGGGCCTCAGTTGGCCGGACCAGCCCATCAAAACGAAGCAACCGATCTTAATCTATGGTGGGAGCTCGAGCATGGGAATTTATGGCATCCAATTCGCAAAGCTGTAAGTCTCGGTGTGTCCAGCTTGCAGTCCCATTTCTAATACAAATTGATCTAGTTCTGGATATACAGTCCTTTCGACTAGCTCTCCGCACAACTTCGCCTTACTTAAGTCGTTAGGAGCTGACGCCGTGTTCGATTACCGCGATTCCGACTGTGCAGCACAAATTCGAAAATATACCAATGACAGTCTCAAGTTGGTTTGGGATTGTATCTCGGAGGATTCCTCAGCAAAGATATGCACCGATGCCATGGCCAGTGGAGGGGTCTACGGCACCATTCTGCAAGTTAAATCACCAAGGGATGATATTGAAGTTAGATACACTCTGGGGTATACGTGCGTCGGAGAACCAATCGACAAGCTTTTCTATGCAAAGGAGGACAACTCGGCCGACTTTGATTACATGAAAAAGTTCATCCCGATTGCTGAGACGCTCCTGCACACAGGAAAGATCAGAACCCAGCCCATTCGGGTGGGTTATGGATTAGAAAATGTGATTGAAGGAATGGATCAACTGAGAAAAGGCCAAGTCAGCGGTGAGAAGCTGGTATACAAGCTCTGACAGCACCACAAAGCTCAAGGAAAGGGTCAGGATGGGAGGTGTGGTACTACTAAGTACCTTAGTAAGGTATACTCTTGCCAGCACAACATTTTTGGAATGTAGTTGCGATTTCCATGCGGAAACAGGTCGAAAGCGAGGAAGAGGCAAAATTCATTCGAGACTTTTAAGATGCTACTTAGTCTTCACTTCGTAGTGTAGTAAGGTGGTAGGTAGGTAGGTAGGTACTTACTTACTTCTGCGATCCCTTCCAAACCTCATCACGTCATCGATACATAAGCTTAGTACCTCCAGTATATGTGTTTACACCACGATGTCATTGCCCAATGTTTATAAAAGGTCACTACGACGAGGCGCTGGACATACTACCCCTACACGACAAGTACTTAGGTACTTTACATAGGTAGGTAAGTACTTCTTCACACCCTTAGAGAGTCGTGGGTCTCACCTTGCACATACCTACTAACCTTCGTTACTGCTACCTTCCGTAAGTAAAAGTAGGTATAGTAGACTGTTGAACCTACCTATATATCTTCCAATCTTTCGTAATTCGAAAAAGTAAGTACCTAATACTCATGCTTCCTAAGTTTAAGATGGAATCCATATTGAACGCCCATCGAGAAGGATAGACTTCACTAGTAAGTAGGTAGGTATCAATGCACTAGTCCTGATTCAGATGATGTCGTGGCACCTTCCATATAATCAATTCTAGGTCGCTCCTTCCTAATTAGGTAATTCTCCTATCGCTCCTTCCTTATAAGTTCAACCTTCTATCGTCCCTTCCTTAAGATGAAGAAGAGTACTAAGAGTGAGTATAATATTTAAAGTAGTACTATAATGTAAGTAAGTACTTACTTACTTACTTACTATATTCGAGGTTTATCTTGCCCCTACCTAGCTAAAATAGTATTACTATTATAACTTCTAGTTAGGCCCTATTTAAGTATGGAAGTTATATAGTAAGTACTAGTAATAAGTACGTAGGTGCTAAAACTTTAAGTAGGTACGTACTAAGTACCTAAGGTACTTAGGTACCTAGGTACCTTATTAGTTACCTAGGCTTTATAAGTACTTATATCGAACCTATATAAGTAATTTAAGATATATAGTAGTAGGTACCTAGTACTTTATCTTTGAAGTTCTTAGTAAGACGTAGTACTTAAAGGACTACTGAATTCCAGTGCTATATAGCATGTAGTACTACTATAGGTGGTAGTACCTACCTTAGTCTAAATAAGATACTAGGTACTATACTACCTAGTAAGTACCTAGTACCTACTGGAGTAAGTACCTAGTACCTACTAGAGGTAAGTATAGAGTAGGTAGTAGTACGGTACATACTATCAAGTAAAGTATGTACTACTCCTTATTTGCTTCATGAAAATGCTCATTTTCTCCTCACGAACATTGCGTCAGCGTTAGCTTTCTTTCTTCGTACCATCGGTTGGCCGTTACTCATGGTTCCTGGACGATGATTCGGGCCTGTTGGAGGAAACCCGGCTGGTCCCTTTGGAGGCTGTTGTGTGCTGCCATTCTGGTTTGCATGATGGACATTATTCAGTAGATCTGAACGGCCGACATCACCGACCCGAGTGATTTTCGGATATTTTCCTTCAAACCCTGTCTCTTCCCTCTTTCGCTTGCTTTCATTAAGAGGAATTGAAGGCAGGCTGGCCTTGACCATCGGAATTGCATCTTCCCGGTCCTGTCTTTGGACCCGTCTCTGGCTGGAACGATCGCGGGCTTCACGATATCTCCTCTCCTCCTTGCTCACTCGAAGTCGAGCACCACCATCGAGTTGTTTGGATCGAGGGACGGGACAATCCTCAACCCAATGGCCTATCTCTCCACAGTTCATACATCTAGGATGGTAACATGTGCTTGGCGTGTGGCCAGGTTCCTGGCATCGATTGCATGTTCCTTTGGCCATGTGGAGGGCATCAGGGTTATCGCAATTTGAGGTGAAATGGTCACTTGAGCCACAGAACTTGCAATTGGCTGTTGTATCAAGTCCCAACCGTCCTCCAGAGGGGCCCAGGTCTACTTGCATACTCGACCTGCGCTCTCTTAGATCTGATTGCGGATCAGAAGCTGCTCCAGTGGAAGGCTTCGAGAGCATTGGGCGAGAGACCTTGACTTCCTGGCGAGGCGCCTTTTGACCTAACTCGGAGGTTGTGGAGTCTTTTCGCATGGGGTTTGCGAGTGAAGATGAACCAGGGGACTGTTTAGAATGCTTGCTGCTTGATCGCAAGGGTGGCTGAACAGTGGTTGCTGGCAATGTAACTGCTTTGGGTACTGGTTTCTGAGCAGGCATTGGTGGTGGTGATGTTTCGCGGGAGGATCCCAATGAGGAGGGTCTCTCGACTGAAGGCGCTGAGGATGCGTCTCTAGGCTCCACGACTGGCTCGCCCATGTCCATGTCAATATCATCCTTCATCATATCCTCGGTCAGAAGCTGTCGCCTCAGTAGACTGATGACGTCCCCATCAGTATAACGATTCCTTGACTTGGCGTCATTGATCAATGCACGCCAAAATTCGCCTTGGACAAGGGCTTGAGAGTTGCCTAGCACCCACAAAGACGACTTGGCTCGTGTAAGACCGACGTTCATTCGACGAATATCGTTCAAGAAACCGATTCCTTGGGTTGAGGCTCTGACACAAGAGAAGATGATGATTTCGCTCTCTCGACCTTGGAAAGCGTCCGTGGTGTTGAAGTCGATCTTTGAGGTAATGCTATCTCCGTATCGTCTTTGAAAGCGTGACTTGAGTTCTTTCAGCTGCCCTTTGTAGGGTGTGATGATGCCAATTCTGCCCGAAAAATTGTATTTCGGAACATCGGTTATCAGTCTGTCGTACAATTGCATGGCAACATTCAATTCTGCGACGTTGATCAATGAGTGGCCTTTGCTCGCAGCCTGACTTATTCCTTGGACATCGAAAAATCGATATGGAGCCAATATCTCGCTGTTATGCCAGGGTCGTCGACGAAGTGCGGCCATTCGGTCCCCGTCCTTGAGCCTTGAATCGTAAAACGTTCTGCTCGGGAAAAGGCTGATGTCAGGGTGCATACGATACTGAGTATCGAGTAAATGCACGTCTTTCTTGTGGTTGTTCTCCATGCGGGCAAATAAACTTTGCTCATACTGGAACTTAGCAGCTTGTCGAGATAACACTGTTGGTGGTAGTTGTTTCGGATCTCCGACCAAAATGCATTTTGAACAGCCATATTTCAACGGAATGAGTGCAGACAGCTCAATCGACTGGGCCGCCTCATCAATGATGACAGTTTCAAATTCGACGTTGAGCGATTGAAAGATTTCGTGACCGCTGCCGCTGAGGGTGGCACAGAGTACCTGCGCAGAGTCCAATACTTCTTGTTGAATCCTCTTCCTGCTCAGCTCCATATCTCGACTGGCAGTGTTCTGTTTCTCTCTCATGTTGTCGATTTGCGTACTCAGAGCATTTTTCTTACGTTTGAGACCATCCATGAGTTGTTCATCGGTGGGGGAAACCACTTTGCCATCTCTCCGTTGTTCACTAATGCGATCGCGAAGAGTGTTTAGTTCCTCGGAGGCAGCCTTGTGTTCCATCATAATTGAATGTATGTCTTCACTTGGCCCCTTTGGAGCAGCTGTTTGAAGTTTTGCATTGACAAGTTCTTCAAGGGTGACATCCTTGACATTGGTGTTGATAGCATCACTCCGACCTAGACGGACAACAGACAACTTCTGATGCGTACCATCAAGAAGGGTAACTCCAGCCTTGAATCTCATGACTAGTTCATCGACCGCTGCATTGCTCGGTGCACAGACCAGAATTTTTTTCGTCGTAGCTGAAGCAGTTCTGGACAACGAGTTACCAGGAGGGCGGCCATTCATGGCTTTGGGTTCGTGGGCAGTCATCATGGCACCAACCAAGGCGCAAATGGTCTTTGTCTTTCCGGAGCCAGGAGGTCCTTGGATGAGGGTGAAGGCATCGTTCTCAAGAGCAGACTTGACCGCTTTAGCCTGTGCCAAATTCACTTCATATCTCATCGTGAGCGGCTTCAATTCTGACTCGGAATAATCGAGAATAGGTGATGGCTTGGCTGAAATGATTTCATCGCACAAGTCGTAGTATGGTAGTGCCATCAATGCACCATATTCTCTCTCCAAGGGGGTCAGAGAGAGAATCTGAGCTCCGTAGACAACTGCCTTGTCGTTGAGGAAAGGTCTCAAGCTATTATTCGATGCACTGACCCGATATACGACTTGAACCTCGCCTTTTTTTCTGGTAATTTCTTTAACCCTGGCGAGACAATGTGGCTCACCTGGGTTTTGGTCTGGATTCTTTGACTTGGACAATAGCACCACATCTGAAACACCAATTCCCAAGTCTTTGCCTTCACTGAACGACATTTGGGAATTGACCTCGAAGAAATTGTCAATGATCAACGAATTTGCGACCTTGACCTCAAAAGGTTTGAAGTTACCTTCCTCACGAGCAGAGCGAAAGCTTTGCCACCCTTCAAGAACTAGAAGGGGCTCGAAAGTCTTCTGATAGTCTTGCACAGTGCGGAAAGTGTTGGTGACTAGGGTGTAGTCATCCTTGGCAGAATTTGGTGGAAGGTCTGTGTCTGCAAAGAAGTCCCAAGCAAGAATAGTCTTGTGCAGGTCACTGAGATCTGGCGCCAATCTCGCCCTCATATCCTTCTGCGATCGGACTTGCTTGACCTTGCGAACAGGTCCGGCTGGTAGACCCTTTCTCGCGCCAGCCAACGAACGGACAGTAGGACCACGTTGGCGGAGATTGCCGAAGAGTTCGTCCTCGGACTCTGATTCTGATTCTGAGTCTGAAGAGACCATCAAATGACTTGTAACAGTAGAATGGTCTTTGCCTTGATAGCCAAGGCCTGCCAGGCCCGAGCCCTGTCCTGTAGTCTGTTGGTTGATGCCGGTTTGTGCACGAAGTTTGAGGGCTGCCTCTCTATCCCGAGCCTTGCGCGCTGCCTCCTCGCGCTTGCGATTCTCGAGGAACTGTTTGGCTTGCTCTGCTTTCTTGGCCTGGGTCTCCGCAATTGAGGGTATCTTTGGCTTGGTTGCTGAAGTTTGAGTGAGAGAGGATTTGACCGTCTTCCTCTCCTCGATTGTGACCAATGATTTCTGCCTATCGAGGGTTTTGCTTGCAATTTCGACAAGTTGATCGTCGGAGATGTCATCATCGCCGAATTCCTCATTAGCACTGGGTGTGTTGGCTTCTGACCGAGATAATGTGGCTGCATCAGTCCAACTTTGGAGATTGAGACTAGCTTGTTTCTTCTTGACAGCAGGCTTTTCGATCTGCCTACCAAAATAATGTTCGAGAGCACGAACAAGGCGAGCTTTCTGAGCGGGCGATAATATGGTCTTGATCGAGGATTTTGTTGCGACTTCCTGGACATAGGTGAGCCCATCATTGTCGGGAGCTAGGGCTTCATGTCGCTTCAGCTGGTAAAGCATATTTGTGATCAGCGAAACCAACGTGTCAGCAAGGTACTCATCACGTAGCCTGAGCCACCTGGCCATAGCATCAAGTGCGCTCGAAGGAGAGCCAAATGATTTGGTCTTGGGGGACAGCAACCAAGTTGGAACATCCTTTTCACCTTCGTGCCTGGCAGTGCCCAGGACGCTGGAAAATAGATCGTACTGATTGAAAAGTGCTTGGGCATATTGCATCGCATCACGACAGACTTCAATCATGATATCCCTGCCGCGGACTTCAATGGACCACTTTTCCGTCTGGCTAAACACAACTCGCAAGGCCAGCCATGAATAAGACCAGTAGCTGTGCACAGCATTCAGATCACGGCGTTCCAGTTTGGCTTTGCGGAGCTGTCCATCTGTCGAGTTACAGAGCACGTCGAGGATTTCCATGCCGGTCTTGAGCATTCGGGGTACCGAAGAAAAAGTGCGGTAATTGGCGATTCGTCGATACGTCCAACAAATGCCGTAGATTGTGGTTGCCAGAAAAGCCTCGATGAGATGTGCCAATGCTTCCTTCCTGCCCGATTCGCCACTAATGTTCTTGATTAGATCGATGGCAGCCTCGTACGTGTTGTCGTCGGGAGAGAACAGGGCCGCGATCAAGGCCATGCTCGTGTTTTGAGCTCTGAAGAGCGAGTCAAGATGGATGGGTTGGAGTTCTGCAATCTGTTCCAAGATTTTGGCAAACATGCCCACCAATTTCTCATATACAATGTTGTAGGATTTCTTCTCCCTTTCAAGAGCACTGCCCTCTTTGATGCGAAATTGTTCCAGTCCAGGAAGTGACATAGTCCCCAGGAGAACGGCGGAGGAGAGCTCCAATGAATCATTGTCGAAATTTTTGATCACTGCTGTCCAGATCTCAGGAGTATAAGAGCTGGACTCATGCTTCAACGACTGATTGTTTGTCAATGTCTCAAAATCGGACTTGAGAAACTGGCATTCCAAAGCTAGCGAGTTTTTGACAACTTGAATCGTTCTTTTCTTTGTTTCTTGTGAGAGAGAGCCGGCAAGCGCAGGGCTCGCGGGCTTGAGGATCTGATCCAGTCGACGACCAATCAAATTGAGTGTATCGGAGAGAACGAGACGCTCGACGGAATGACGGTCTTCTTCATTATCTGCAAAGCTCACTAAAGTTTGATAGATAACCTTGACGGCCATGTCGAAACAAGCTGTTCGACCAGCGATGGCTAAGTTCTCATCATCAATTCTTTCGAAGAGTTGATTGACCAGTGTCTGTGCAGCCATGGGACGATGTGCAGGTCTGAGAGACTTGAGAAAGGCCGGAATCCATTGTAACACGTCCACGTCGGCGGGTGCAGACTTTGAAGCCGAGTCCTGTAAATACTTGTTGAACTGATGGCTAGAGAAGACGGTTTCCACGATGGTATGGGAGGGGATCCTGCCCATCCCTTGCCAAAAAGCGTCTGGTGCGGTGTCAAGAATGGCTTTCCATGTCTGAACGATGAAAGGGGTTGCCAAAGTCCGCTTTGTCAAATGATTCAGGGATGTCTCTGCAATGTTGGGCTCCAATGCAAAAAGGTTGTGTACAATCGTCTTCTCGTCCAATCTGCTCACGATCATCTTCAGGCCACTCCAAAGTCTGGTAATGTCGGCAGGATCACTGGCCCTCTGAAGCCTTTCTTCCACATAATTCTTGATGGCAAAGTCCCACTCAAGGTCGGTTGGGTTTCGTTCGAGTTTGGTCCAAAAGTTTGAAGCCCAGGACAGTCGGATTGGTTGTGGGTCGAAGAGAAATTTGACTGTGGCCGGGAGAATTTCTCGGATCTTGAGAGGCTTTTTCGTCTGCAACATCTTGAATGGAGGGTCGAAGTTTTTGTGAACGTGGTCCTCGGCCTGCAGGAAAGCATCGCAGACGAGTGCTTCGTAAAGTGCATGCATGTGTCTGGTGTCGATGACTCTCGGACCTCGGCGTTCCTCTGGAGTCTTCTCAAGGACCTGCTCCATGGCGTTCAAACCGCGGTTGATGCGGATGATATCTCTTCTGTTGATGATGTCAAGAAATGTCTTGATGTCTGACTCTTCATAGTCCATCTTCAATGCTGCAACAAAATCGACCTTTTCCATGTAATATTCCAGGATGCAAACATCGCATTTTCCCAATGAAGTGTCAAGAGTATCCCATATGAAGCGCTGATATTGTTCACTCTCATCTCCATCGTATGCCAGAAGTTGGAGAGATGACACGAATCTTTTGCGACGGACTTTGGCGGCCTCGATACGGGCAGATCGATCTGGATCGGTGTTGGTGTTGACATTGTCCTTGGAGTTGGCGCTAGATTGTTGTCTCTGCCGTGAATCCTCGTAGCGATCTAGGTCCTCATCATTCTGACGTGGACAGAAGACATGTTGTCCTTGAGGGCTTCGTTGGATCTCCCTAAACAGAGAGGTTAGTTATGGGACTGATGCAGACGGCATGAGAACAGAAACTAACTGCAGGATATCAATGAACTCCGACATGGCTACAGAGAACAAAGGCTTCAGCAGGTTTTCGTGAGAGGGGCATGGGTGAGTTGGGAGAGTGTCAGTCCTCTCATTGTTTGGGAGTTGTTGGGAGAGAAGGAAAGATTTAAAGTGAATTGCAAATGCAGGAATTTATCACCATGAGAGCGACCATTGACGCCCTCAACTGGAGGTGAAATGAGCGTTGATGCAGAATAATTGACCGGCTATGCGATCTAGAGACCTTGACAGTCAGTTTGGTCTCAAGGAGGGTTGAGTGAAGTGGTCTCCAATTTGGCAGTCACAGCAAAGAAATGTTTCTCCACTCTGGCATATGATTATGAGGAGGCGTGTGCAGGCGCGAAGGACGCGCTTGCCTCCGAGCCTATTGCGTTCCTTAAGTGAAGCGCGTTAAGTGAGACAGATCTTGGCGTTGAAGCATATTGGCATTCACAAGTTCACTCCTGCGTTCCTTCCTCAAGATGCCTACAAGATGCGCATAGTTCCTACCACACATATTAATTAGGAAGGCATGCCTTATTCCCTTTTAGGCTTATGCAAAAGTTGCTTATTGAGCAATGGCTCTTTGCGAGTTTTAAAGGTAGTCACGACATTACCACATATCACCTCGCCTCATCTCAAGAATCTAACCTCAACACCAAGACACTGTCATTTTCATTCTGTGCAACAGCTGCGACAGACATAATTGCAAAGGGCATGTTCCAATTTCTAAGGATACATCTACTTCGCTCTTACCCGCTAAACGATTCTGTGCCCTAATCTTTTCCATATGTCCAAAGTCATCCTGCGAAATGCCCCAGACGCCTGTGACCTTCGTACCATAATAAGAGACATGAAATTCATGAACCCAGACGTACAACGCTGTTGAACCGAAATCCTCACTGTGGGTTGTCTGAGAGATCCTGGTTCCTTCGTGTGTTCTGGTGTGACAACGGCCCAGTCGTGGTCTGTGAGTAATTGGATTGTGAATAGCTCGACTCTATTCTCGACAATAAGGCGGCGCTGGTGAAATCTCGACTGCCTTCAAAACTAGGTCTCAGCTTGTCAAATGACTGCCGCTGTCGTTCGAAGGACGATCGGACCCGTTCAAACGAGGGTCTCGTGCGCTTCAGCTTATCTGGCGTTCCTGACGCTTCTCCCTGGTATCGCGCCATGTCAAACGACGGTTTTGTCCGGTCAGTCCCATCGCTTCCAGTCTGGCTGTGCGGGTGTCTTGTGGGTGCTTCCGATGGCGGATAGATAGGCCGCTGGGACTCAGCCATGCTTGGATATCTTGCGTGGACCTTCTGGTTTTCGCTTTCGTTGGTGCCGTCCTCTGGCTGATCCGAAGACGTCGCAGAAACGTCCACGAGTTTGGGCGGTACATATGCGTCGTAGTCGTTGAGATAATCAAATTTGCCCTGCCTTACTTGCTCCCGGATGACATCAACGTCATAGGGCATGTAATTCTTCTGGAGATACTTGATCGCAAATCGAGGAAGAAGGCAGACGATGACCGTCAATAGCATCATGGCCCAAAACACCAATGAGCCGTAAACCTCGGCACCTGATCTGTAGAACTGGAACGACGCTTCGAAAGACGAATAGATCCCGGTCCACGCGAAGATCAACAGAGCGCTAAGCGTCGTGACCAGGACCATGATCCAGTCCCACTTGTAGGTGTTTAGCAGCATGTATGCGTTGATCACCACAATCGCGCTACACGCAATGAAAACGCCCATGCGATTGCGGTCCGCAATCCCGCGTCCGTTGGGAAGCTCGAATGTGGCCGGTGCAAAAAGGAGATGGCCCATGTAGTAACACATCACAGATTGATAAAGTCCGTCGAGCATGTAGAGCCTGCAAATCTAGTTAAATCAAAAATCTTGTAGCCTTGGATTTTGTCTCACCAGAATTTTGTCTGAGTCCATTCTTTCCTTTCCATACCTCGGCGATATAGTTGTGGGACCGCCAGAGAAACTTTGTCGCTGACGTCTTGATCGAGGAAACCTAGCAGTCCGACCGGGACCGAGGTAAAAACCAGGTTGACAAGAAGGATGTAGGTGTAGTCGAACAGATATGTGATATCGAAGTTGTTGTAGATTTGATACCAGAAAAGGGCAAAGGTCCACACCAGATTCTGCAGAGTCATTAGTATGTTGGCCAAAGAAGCAAAAGCCACGAAATACAAACCTTGTAGAAGAAATTCGCGATTGACTCTGCAATTCGTCGATATGACCACCGACCGTGGACGAGAACCAACCGTTGAAGGTAACGAAACTGGCCAATGGCATAGTCGGATGACATGACTGCTTGTCGTCCCTCTTCTCCGGCAATACCCACTCCCACGTCCGCTTCTTGGATCATGGCAATATCGTTGGCACCGTCGCCAATCGAGAGAGCCATAATGTCCAGGCCGCTCCGCACAAGTGAGACAACCGCTGCCTTTTGAGCGGGACTGACGCGACAGCATAGCACCGACTTGCATTGTTTGCAGAGTAACAAAAATCGTTGCCTCAAATCGTCGTGGAGCACTAGTTTGAGAGACTCGCCGTCGATGATCAAAGCATGTGTTGGATCAGGAGGTTCGTGTACAAGTCTTGCAGCTGCCAATTCTTCATCAGACCCAGTGAGGCCGAAGGTTTGCAGGTGCTGGTCCAAGAGCTTAGCGGCATCATCGAGGTTGCCCTCCGGCAAGTCGAACAGGATCAGATCCATCTCATTGGACAGGAGGTTACAAGAGAAGCCGATGTTGATCGCAGTCTCGACTTTGTCGCCAGTCAGAACCCAGAGTTTGATTCCAGCTTGGCCGAGCAATGCAATCGTATCTGGAACACCGTCTTGGAGACGGTCCTCGATAGCCGTTCCGCCGAGTAACGTAAGCTCACGTTCGATTCTGTCAGCCACCTCTTCCAGACGACCTTCTCGATCATTAAGTGCTTGGGCGGCAAAATCATGGTCTTTGGCCCACTCTTGATAATAGTCTTCATCGATGTCTCTCACAGCAACACACAATGTTCGAAGCCCTTCTCGTGCAAATATCTCCAAATTCTCCGCGGTGGCTTTCCGCAGCTCTTGCTGCTCGCCTTTGGCCAGCCGTGAGTATACCATGCTATCTGCACCCTTACAGAACAACTTGATCTTGCCATCTGGCATGCGAACAATGGCGCTCATCCGCTTTCGCGTAGAGTTGAATTCAAGTGTGTTTAGTATTCTGTAGGTTCGGTCTTCGCCGAGAATGTTAACGTGAAGGTCGTCGTTGGTGCGGCCAAGCACTGTGAATCCAACATCACGAGCAGTTGCAACCAAGGCAGCCTCATCTGGGGACTGCGCCTTGAATTCGATCTTCGGAGGATCACCTGGGGTAGTCTCGGTGATGACGGTGTGGCAAAGTGCTAGGGCGATCATGAAGTTTTCATTGGCTCGTGCCTGCGCTTCACCAGATTGTCCACTCAAATCGGCCACGAAGTTAGGCGCAACGAATGTAAGGTCATCATCGTGAAGATATGGGTTGTCATGGAGTTCGCGCAGTTGCCTCAACATGTCCACTCTGGCTTGGGCAATTTCTTGGTTGACGCGTGCTGCTTCAGCTTCGACGTCAACCCCCTGTCTGCGACGCATTCCAGCTTCTGCTTCTGTGTAGGCTTCGCCATAGGCGATGCCATTCACAGTGCACTTCTTGAATTCCATGACATTTTGTGTCAGTGTCCCTGTTTTGTCGGAAAAGATGTATTCGATCTGTCCTAGATCGTCCGAGATATTCCAAGTCTTGGGGGTGCATGGATAGTCCAGACGCTCATAATACATGTGGACGTCGGACCAGATGAAGAAGGCCTGGATGGATCGCACAATTTCGAGCGTGATATAGAGAGAGATGGGCACCAAGTTCTGGAACAAGATAACCGCAGACCAGAAGGTGACAAAGCCATCCAGAGGAGGACTTCCTCCGATTGAGCCATACTCGAAATAGTCGAGAGAATTGCTTCCCTGAGCCCAGGTGACGCCTTGGACGATGCCGGAGACCAAACACATGAAGAACAGGATGATGAAGTTGTAGATCACGTTCCAGTTCATCTCTCTAGCCACCCTCGCACGTTTGCTGGGAGTCATGCCGGCATTGAGCATAATTTTCGATTCCCGACCGGTGAAGACAACGATGCCCAGGGCCCATTCGGTATTCTTCAGGCTACATCCACGCAAGAGAAGATTGTTGATTCCTATGGCTTCTGCCATTTCGCGAGGTTCAGCTTCTGGGTGGTTGCGATCGTACTGTTGCCATCTGGCCACGGCGTTGTAGGAGTAAAGATTCGGATGTGGACCTTCGCTCTCAAGCACAAAGTCTGCTCGTTCACAATCTCGCGCGTGCTTGACCTTTCTTCCTGCTTGAAGTGCGTGACGAACCTTTAAATTGGTTTCGCCATCAAGATTTTTGGTCTCAACATAACATGCCCCATCAGGATCAGATGTGGAGAGGACAACGATATCAGCGGGGATTTGCTCATCATTGTAGATGCGGATGAAGTCTCCGACCTTGACGTTCTTCCAATAGTCTTTTTTGAAACGAGCCTTGTCGCGGACCTCCTTGAACGGATTGATCAAACTACCGTAGTCTTTGACGGGGGCTTCTTTTCGCTTCGAGCTCTGGCGTGGCCTCAACTCAGAAGGCGTGTTGTCATTGCCAGTGCCTGATTCTTGCGCGGTCTGCCACGAGAGGGCACTGCCCGGTGCTTCGGTGGCGAAGCCGTCCCGACCAGGTTCTGCGGAGAGGGGTGAGCGATAACCGGGAGAGGGAACCGGTGTCATGGCAATTTCATCACCACTCTGACTGTGAGTGGAGTGAAATGAAGTCCTGTGGGAATAGATAGACGTCCGGGTCGTACCCCTAGTGGCAGTAGAATTTTTGCGAGACAGCTCCGGTTTTTTGGGGTCCAGTTCTGATTGCTTCGACTTCTTTGATATGACGCTTTTAAACCAGCGATAGGTGGAGACGACACTTCTGGTGCTGGCTTTCTTGATACGCCTCCAGAGGGAGACGTCATCGTCGGAAGAGTTTACATTGTCCCAGTCCACCAGCCTGTAGACAGGAGAGTTGTTCAGATCATTATCGAGTACTGTTCTGCGCCAGTCCTCCACGGCGTCCTTGATTGCGGTGACGGTTAAGATAAAGATCAAAGGCACGGAGCCGAGAGCAGGATTGGAGGCTCCAAAGATAGAGAAAATCTGCGGTGGTCAGCATTTGAATGCATGGAGGTTTGCGAGAGACTCACACTCAATATAACAATAAATAAGAAATATACATTGGCGACGTTGTGAAATTGCCACCAGAGATTCTTGGGCACAAAACTTAAGGGGGTATACTTTGATGTCCTGATCTTGTTCCTCGCATATTTGGCCTTGATATGGCCTTCTTCAGTCAATGCTTCGGGCGGCAGCGGTCTGTTGACGTAGATAGAGCGTGAATCCGGTTCTTGCTCTTGCTGCTGTTCTCCCATGGGACTGTTCTCGGAAATTTGACCGTTGTTATCAGGGCCCGCAGGCTTCTCCTCGTATGACGATACATGGACCTTGGGTACCCTTTGCAAGATAGAGAGTCTCTTCTTGACTCCACTTTGCCCCGACTTTCGTGTGGTGGCCCATCGCATCCTCTTGACCGGCTTTGAGACGTTTGCGTCGTTGTTGAACTCTACGCGCGCCATAGTAGGAGGAGGTTACCGTCTGCAACGGCAGACGATATAGAGGAGATGGGGTCGGATTCAGGAATGAAGACCACCTCTGTGGACGCTCTTGTCAGTCGTCGCGGCGGTCCAAGGATCGGTGAGGCAATGGAGGGTTCCGCAGTTTGAGGCTGATGGATGACCCGGAAGAGTCGGCTCACGTCAGCAGCGACACTGAATGGGCATATTTGTGCACATAGAAGTAGAGGAGGCGGCCAGAAAAGAATGACGGATATTTTGAGGTCGACAAGGCTCGAACGATCAATCTGATCGAAGCCGTGAGTTGCTGTAGATGGAGGGAATAGAAGTTGAGTACAGTATGTGGAAATGTTCTTGTCGGGGCTGGTTAGGAAGGGGGAATGCCAATTCCCTAGTGGAGCAGTAAGCAGCTGGGACAGGGTCCCAATGAGGGTAGTCGGTTGGCCGCAGCTCTCCCGAGGATCGCGCTGAAATCTTTCCTCGAGGCTGTTTCCCCAGTCGTCCAGAGGTCTGCTGTGGCGTATTTGAGCCGTGGTGAGTAGTCTATGTCTGGAAATAAGCGATTCCTCGAAGGCGCACGCATAGACTACAACAAGATACGAGATTATAGAGAATGCCTCAACTCTGGCAGATACAGGCACCAGTGTAATGGTTGGAGAATTTAGCGACGTTCCTGAAGGGGTACTGGGGCTGCGGCTACCATAGTCCTGTTCACGTCTAAGTGCCAATTCGGACGACGCGCCAGAAGTTTTGTGAAGGCACCCAGTGATCACAGACCTCTTTTTGATAAGGGGCTTTGCATCTCATAAAACGTCGAGGGGTACTCGGGCCTTGACCCCCGTGGCTCCCTTAGCTCCCTGGGGGTGGCCTGCACTGGCCAACATGGGAGTCTCCCTCTGCGTGAGGTGGCTTGAATCAGTATCAGTTTGCCAGGCTGTCCTAACTCCGTCTTCGTCCGTCTATCCGGTTCGGCGAGTCCTTCCCTTTCCTTATTCCTCCACTTCCACCCATCCTCCCATGTCTCCCAATTCTCCGCCGAGCAGCGGACTTGTCAGCCCGCGGGTAGAACTGCACCCTTAATCCCATGCACCTGCGTGTCAGTACTGGCCTTTCACTCCCGAGCCGGTCCGCAACCAATCCAAAGCTCCGGTTCTCGGGTCACACACCAGCCACGCCCAGGCAGCCAATTGAAACTAGGTATTCATGACAATTCCTGCACTTGAAGCACGCCTGAGATGACCAAGCATTGCGGATCTGTCGCTTTCGCTTCCTGCCTGAGATCCAACTGATCCCTTCTTAAATCCCAGTGTAACTTTAGTTAGTTAGGAGCTCCTGCTGATTGGACCTCGTACTGATTACCCTCTCCCACACCAAAGAACCGAGATCCCATTTGTAACAATATAGCATACATAATCGCTCTTTGAGCGTTGAGTCATAGTGGCGGTCTCGGTTCTTTTGTGGAATAACGGCTTCAAGCGTCATTTTCGGAAGCATCGGCCCAGACTTTCGCCTTCAATGCCTCTACGAGTGGTAGTGAATCCTAGTTGATGATTCTAGTATGAGATCCTAACCGCTTACCCGTTGTGCTTGATTTGATTTTTTTTTATTTCTGACGGGCTACTTGAGTTAGGGCCTATCTACGACGCGCAATATATTGCTTTTGACGGTTATATACTCCGTAGTAGAGACACGTAGACGCGCTTTCCTCTGCTGCGCGCCAACATCGTGATCGCGGTCAGATCGCGACTGCCCTAAGTACAGATTCCAGGCATGGAGTGACAGATGTCATTTTCTTGACCTTTGAAGTTTCGCTTTCAGGGGCATCGCGTGGGCGTTTCGGAGCTTTCACGCGTACTCGGGTCCACCCAGAGAAGAGCCTGGGCCATTCGGGCTCCCCCACTGCCCCTAAAATTTAAATCTACCACTACTGTATTCCGTACAAAAAAAAAGTTATAGTAGATTCCAGCTAAACTTCCGCTGACCTTCCCTTGTCATGTACCTCCAGTATGTGTTACTAAGCCGCATTGTCCACATCCAGAGTGATGCATAGTGGTCATCAATAATGACTAAACCGCTGCTGCAGCTCCGTTGTTAGTTTATCTTCCCGAAAAAAATCACGTGCCTCACGTGCTCTCTAGTGTGGGTGCCGCATTATGTGGCACACCATGACAAAAATCGCCTTGCCTTACCCTATGATGGCTTTAACAATAGCCATTCATGAGTATGAGGTCCATGAGTCCATCATCCAAAATCTCCGCTGCCTCAACTATTACGTCAGTAGTCTTATATACGCGTTGATTCTGTAGTCGAGGCTAAACCTGCTTCATATGCGAGCGAGCACCTCCAGCACAGTATGCTTTCATAGGTAATGATGTAAACCATGTACTGCGGCGACGTGAAGGCTATAAGATTTATACATCTGATTGCCAAAATTTTTATATGATCCAGCTTAGAGGTGGCCAGACAACTTCGAGACCTTGTTATTTCTTTACCATCACAAATACAGGTATAGTAGCTCCTCTGCCTCGACGCAGACGCCTTGGGTGGAATACGATCGTGTCCTAGGTCAGACTAGCCTTGTAAACGCAAGACTTCATGGAACATTAGGAACGTTTCGAGAAGGAAGCTATGTATGTACACCACGAAGCGAAGATAACAGGTCTTCAGGAACTGTATCGACCCCAGCATAGGCGAGTTTCGTGGCTTGCTACCGGCGCATCGTCGTCTTCTGTTGACTCAATGGAATGCTTGAACAAGACAAGGCAATGCAGTGGAAACAGACAAATTTGAAGCGGTTAGGAAGTTCGGGAGAGTAAGCAGGTCAAATTGTTGATCATCATCACATCGACATCCCCTTTTCCATCTAATGAAAACATGTGGTTTTCGCCGAGTTAGAACAGGTCATATACCCTGCGGTATGCAGATTGCCATGGAGAGTATGGAATTACGCATGACAAGGCGAGCACGTGTAATTGGCCACTATAAGACCCGCTATCTAGGCCCTCAGATGGTGCTTTCGCTTAAAGATCGCAATGCCGTTGTGGAGTTGTTGCACAATTTTTGCAAAGGATTGATGTTCAATATTCGCGAGCAAACTCCCCAATTGAATATCGAGTGCCACGAGTGTAGCATCTGAATTTTGAGGTATATACCCCCAGTAGGAATTTTGGTGATTGGAAGTACTGCATTCACGTACAGTACAAAAGTCTATCTGACAAGCGCAATCTCCCACCAGCACAATTCCCAGAGCTATGGGTCGATGCAGGCGTATTATTTTCAACGGATCATCTCTATGTTAAGAATGTTCTACGTATGTAACAGCTCAGTCGTAGTTACAGTAATGAACAGTCCTCCACGCGCAGTAGACTACAGTAGTAATGAACATGGATTACTAGCAAGAAATCAATGACAGGAAAAACCACGAAGGTACTACACTACGGAGTACATTCATAAAGTGCTGCAATCTTGAATGCAGAGGTTAGCTTTGCTAGTCAAACTACTCTGGATCCACTGACACCTGGTCGTGGACACCGGCTTTCGAGTCTTCAGGCAATGCATCAGGTTAATTGAGAAACGTTCATATAGAAACAGGTTTCATAAATTTGGCTTTGACACTCCAGTTGGCGACGATGGAAGCGAAGTTCGTCGAACCCGCAAGATGTAGGCGCACTTTACATGGCAATTACTGCGAGTGCATAATAATGCACTCGCAAGTTGTCACAGGAACCTCCGTCGGGTGTTGCAAGAACAAGGATCCCTAGTACAACAGCGCCCCTAGCCATGAAAGGGTCCCACCTGGAAGATCCGGAAGCACCTCAGCCACGTTTGTGAACTGTCCAGATAGAAATCTTGCAAACAGTTGAGCTCCCGTGGCTCCCGTGGCTCCATTCCATGCCTGCCAAGACGGACATTCAGCTGGGACTGCATCAATAATGGTTCTGAATTTCTTCTCCACTGCCAGCTTTTCAAGATCGACTGCCCAAAGCTGGCAGAAATGGCCACTCAAGGTTCCATCATTGTGGATTTTGCGCAATTGTTCTGGAGCTATCGCTCAAATGCGACAAGTCCTTCGATGACAAGTTGATAACCCATCGTGGCCTTTCATTAGTGCCTTTCCATGTGAAGGCAATACTACCGACTCTCCCTATCGCTCACCTAAGTATCCATCTTGCCGTGCCTAGGTAACTTTGGCCTGGTGGCGAGACCAGCACAAGGTTCAGGCCAGGCAGGAAGAAAGACTCACCATTGGGTTACTCGGCCGTCAAAACATGCTGATCTAGTTCTTATTTGAAAGACAAAATCATATCATCACATCTGGAAAGTCGGGTTTGACGTACTGTGGTACTCCGTGCACATCCAACGACCTACCATTTCCTCCCTCTTACGCCAAAGCCCCATCCTCTTCTCCGGGCCTCATTTCCGGGCCCCCCATGCCTTGGAACCACCCTCGTTTAACTAGGTACCTAAGGATTGACACCACAACCACGCTTGTGCACGACTTCGCAACATCAACCTCATCTATTCTTAGCATTCGCGTCCCTACTCCGTAGATCTAATTCCACGAACGAAGGAGACAATGTACACAAGACAGGCGGTCTATATGCTTGAATTCCCACCGGAATACAGCTTGAGTAGACTAAACGGCAATTGTAAACATGCTGCATGCTGAACAAGGCCCACTTCCAGGTACTCGTGCAGTGTGTGACGGGGTCCAAGGTCCTGCCTCGAAAACGATTCCGCAACCGATTGTCTAACTTTTAGGCTTGGTCAAGGCGTGTCCTTGCCATGGTCAATATAGAGGTCGATTGGCGGTCACCGGCAGGCCGGCTACCTGACGTGTTGAGCCTGACGTGTTGAGCCTGACGTGTTGAGCCTTACGTGTTTTTCCCAGGTGGCAGCCAAAAGTGAGACCCGCTAATAATAATAATAAAAAATTGCAAGGGCGAGCGATTGGGAGGGTCCAGTTTGGTAAGGAGGATCGCTGAGTCGTTGACACAGGCGGCACTCAGGGCCCAGTAGCCCGTCCAGAGAGGGGAAGTCCCTGTGGCTTGAATAATGAACACTGATCGGACGAGGAGGATGCTGGGGCCACTGATCCGCAGGGCTTAAGACCTTGACTTAATCGTGACGAGAACAAGCTTTTCACTCCCTGGACCAGCGACCTTGGTGTGGGAACACCACGGCCTCTCCCAGGTCTCAGGCTCCAACCTATTGCTTTGGTCGCTGGAGGATCTGCTCCTCATGCCTCTCCCATGCGCCTCAATGTTTTATTAGCTGCCTGATTTTGGCGAGAGGCCAGAAGAGTAATTTTAGTTGGTGCTCGGTTGGTTCGTCCATCATCACCCGGGGGTAAAGGAACAATTTGATTTCCAACCTGCGTGTGCATCACCTAGGTTCATCGCCAGACTCTTATCGATGTCCGGTACTGGCAGGTTGGGTAGGAATTGTGTGGAACTTGGGTGCAGTGTCCTCTTAGTGTCTGGCTGGCGCACCCCTTCCGAGACGCCCAATGCCCACCGTTCAGGTCGGGGTACAGACACCTTTTCACTACAGGCCACCACTAGTCAGGTACCTAACTTCTTACTAGTAGACTCTCTGCCCTCTGGCTCCTTTTGAGTCTTTGCAGCTGCCGCCGCACCCTGGTCCATTTCAGGTCTACAATCACCTTCACCTTCACCCTCACCCTCGCCCTCAACCAATTTTGTGTTTTTGTTCCTCTGCCATCTTCTCCACGACTCCTCCCTCCCTCGACCGCCTTCGACGCTCGTTAACACACTTCATCCATCAGCCATCGCGCTATCTTCTCATGGCATCAGCTTTGTAATTTTCACCCGTTTTCTTGCCAACTCGCTTTCACCAATTTCCCGGGCTACGTTGACCGAGTCCTTCTCGGCCGCCTGAAACCTTCGTCGTCTCCTACCACGACCCTGAGTTGTAGTCTTTCATTTGGACATCTCAATGTCGTCAACACGCTCGTGAACCCTCCTCCGTTCGTCCCTCGTCCCACCGCCGATATCCATCAACCTCGTTTGAAGTCACCGGCGAACATACACGAGAACATTGTGTTGGATCCTTGGATTTTGGACAACTGCACAACTTTCGTTGCGACGAGACGGAATTCATCACCGGTCGTGCCTTCCCTGGAAAGAGCTCCATTTTTCATCTCCATCGAGTCCATCGGGGCTCCTGCGTAAAATGGCTCCTTCTCCGCCTCGACTGCGTATCCTCTCTGGTGAGCAATCCACCTGCAAATCCCTTCCACCATGGCATCTTGTCATTTTCTCAAGACCTTCTTTTTCAACTCCCTCCCTTGACCACCCCCTTGTTCCACGCGATGAACCGTGAGCTAAGACGTTGCTGCATAGTCGGTGGTAATGCCGTGTCGGCATTTCTCTCGTGGCGCCTCCAGGCAACAAATGCCTGCGACGTGACTCTGGTCTGGAAAGCCAATTACCAGAATGTCGCGCAGTATGGTGTCTCTTTCAAGTGAGTCCAACCCCTTGTTGCACCGACGAGTACAACTCTGACCCTACTAGATCACAAATGTTCGGTAATGAACGCTTCAAGCCCCGTTATGGTATGAAACCCAATCCTGTTGTCATGTGTCTTTAGCTTGCTGACCTCCTCACAGTCGTGCAATCAGCGGAAGAAGCTGCAAGTCAACAAGCATCCTTCGATTATGTCCTCCTTTGCGTTAAAGCTCTCCCCGATGTCTACAATCTTGCCGACATTATCAGATCTGTCGTTACCCCTCAACACACCTGCATTCTCGTCAACACAACCAATACTCTCGGAGTAGAGAGGCAATTGGAAGAAGCCTTTCCCACAAATGTCGTCCTTTCATTGGTTTCCGGTGCAGACCTGAACCAACTGGGTTCCAGTGAGTTCGAACACAGCGGCTCGACGGAAGTATGGGTTGGTCCAGCAAGCAAAAACTCGATTATACCAGAACAAATCCAAAGAGACATGTCAGAGGCTCTGGCAATGACATTGACTACTGCTCAGGTCGATTGCAAAGTGTCTCCTAATATCAAACAACAACAATACGAGAGGATGATTGGGTATGGCATATCCTTCTCTATTCCCTCTAAACTCGAGTCTTGAACTAACTCTTCATAGACCCATCGCTTTCTACCCTGTCAGTGTCCTCTTCGAAACCGCTTCATTGCCAGACCTCATCAGACTACCTGGCGTCCATGATCTCATTCTGAGCGTACTTTCCGAACTCCTCGAACTCGCAACTGCTCATGGATGCGAGTTTCCCGCGGACATCAAGGAATCAACGATATCAAGCATGATCGGATCAAACCCAGATGCATCCATAATGTATCAGGATTTTCTGGCCAGACGACCTATGGAAGTCGAAACATACCTAGGCACCCCAGTTCAACTAGCAAAACCTCTCGGCATCAAGGTACCGCGCATTGAAACCTTGTACACTATGCTCCGACACGTCAACACAACAAACCAAAACCGCCCACAAACTGTCGTCTCACCCTCGCCATCCGTTCCCCCTACCTCACAAGGCATGCAGCCACCGCCGCGGTCCATGTCCCTTGCCAACGGCCCGCCTCCTGTCAGACCACAGAATGGCTCGATATCTGGACCACCTCGACCAATGAGAGGTCCGAACATGGGACCCCCAGGCAGGCGAGGACCCCCGCCTGCAAATGGATTCCGCGGTCCACCCAACAGCTATCCCTCGCGGGGACCGCCACAGATGCAGAGACGTCCTTCATACGAAGAAAATAATCTGGACGAGTTCAGTCACGTGGTTCTGTACGATGAAATGGGTGAGGGTGACGCTACTAATTTTGCCGATAATGGTGGTCCTCAGGGCCCCTCACTCCGCGAACGGGAATTAATGTTGAGGGAGAGAGAGTTGCAATTGAAGCAACAGGAGATAGCTATGAGAGGTCGAGGTCCCCGTCGCCCGGCACAATTTCGCCCTCAAGATTTCGATGACGATGATGACGACGACGATTATTTCGACCCAATGCAAGGGCGAGGTCCATCTATGCCACCCATGGACCCTGACAACTTTGATATGATGAGCGTCACTTCACGACGAACGAAAAGGACCAACAGCCACACCCAGCTTCGCAAGGATGCATTTGCCAATGGTGCTGGCATGCGTCCCGGCGGACCTCCAGGATACGGTCGGCCAAACATGAACATGATGGGACGGCATCGCACCAGTGCACAGATACTCTCAGACATGCCTGTGCTTGGACAAAATATTCTGGACAACCCAATGATGGGGTTTTCATCAAATCGATACGGTACCGTTGACAGAAAAGAGATGGCAGATGAATCAAGGGCAAATTCCCTGACCGCAAGCCGACTGCAAGAAATGGGTATTAACGGAGGACCTTATCCCGGCCCGCCAAGTAGGCGGACGAGCCGGTCTCCTGGAAATCCATTTGGCCCTCCCGGCAGATTCCCGAATCGACCATCGCCGCCGAACGAGCCCTATATGCCACCTGGCTCGGGTCCCCCCCGCAACGGTCGACCGTCACCGCCACGGGGAATGCCAGCTCCCGTGGCAAGGTATCCTCCAGGTCAAGGCAACATGGTGCATCCTCATCAAGTTGATCAGGCTGGGGTGAGCAAACCACTCCCACCACCCAAACCCCCCGTAAAAAGTCTGACCGGAAGTGCAAGCGCTAGCGCGGGTAGTGGTGACAGCGGCAGCGCCAATATTGAATCGGATCCCTCCGCACACAGTAGCACAAGCAGCTTCGCACCTCGGCAGATGCTGAGTACGCACTAAAGCCAAGATGCCGCCATGTTTAGCAACACACTCGAGCGACTCTGTGACGCAGGCCGTCCACGCGATAACTGGCAGAATCAAGGCTTTGAGTATACGGTGCCTTGGATGTTCTCACAGCATCGCACATACCTTCGACCACTACATTGTTTCACATATACTTTAATGATCAGCTTCTGCAAGACTTCTTTACGACCTCACAGGCCCAAAAGCCCTGTAATGGCCGTTGCAATGGCAAAAAGCTTTGGAATCCATCTTGGGATTGGAGACGAATGACAGGAACTTGGCGAAAATGACGCTTGCCTCTTCAAGTACATACAGCATCTCAATGCGGAGGGGGGAAAGTCTTGATACCGCACATACGGCGCTTTGGACGGTGATCCTGGATTGAGTGACCATGGTCGGGAGGACCATGCAGAGCGGGGCTGGTCTTGGGCTCTGTTATTTGCGGGCAACATCCTGCGAGGAGACGGATTGTATTGCATATTCGTACTTAGGAGGAGGTGGTATATCCTTTGGCTCTACAGTGCACGAATATGTAGGGTTGAGGTGAATAATATGACAAGGTCCCGCAGCAATAGGGCATGTCGGCGACTACGAAAGACGGCGTTGAAGGAAGATGGGATAGTTTGTTCATGAAAACAACGTTGACGACTGCCCTCCTGCTGAAAATTGAAATGAAATTAATGACCCTGCGTGACACGAGCTTCCCCAGAAGCGTCTTCCCACAGGGCTTTCCTGGCCTGCCCTTGAAGGCCAGTGGGCCCAGCGAAGTGACGCGTGTCACGTGATATCGCGTTGTGGACTTGTGCGGGGGGCAGCTGGCAGTTGTTGTGTTGCCTCATTCGTGTCTATACAAATCTCACCTCAATTCAATCTCAAAGACTACCTGATTTTCCTCCCCCCCGGCCCTATTTAAAGTGCGAACTAGTACACACACAAACACACATACGGCGTCGAACTCGAGACCAACCCCAAAAGTCCACAACCCAACAATGCCAGGAAATCTGACCGCAGGATCCAAATACCCTCCCGTATCACGTCCATCATCATCTACATCCATGAACCACACATCCCTAACGAACAAAAACCGCCAATACGCCCATCTGCACGCGCAACTGGCTCAACTCAACGCCCACCTTGCAGACACGGAGAATTTGTTACGTATGACGGCGGTACAAGCCCAAGACATGCGTTTCCTCGGTGGATACGTGGGTGCGCTGTTCATGGGCAGTGCGAAAGTTCTAGGGGAGGAAAGTGTACAGGGAAGAAGTAAACAGGGAGAACAAAAAACAGGGTGAGGAGATGGGATACGAAAATCTGAGCAAATGAACGAGAGGAGGAAAAGCCGAGTGATTGACATCCTCTACACCAGCATCCCAACCCGCCATAGATATGGCCATTGCCCCCACGACATCAGCTACTCCTTGCTGTCTCTGGCCCTACTTCTGCCTAGTGGAGGAGCCGCCCTGCTGTCCACCACCGCCGCCGCGGGTGCCCCCGCCGGCATTGGAAACATTGCTGTTACTGTTCCTATCGCCTGCCGCTTGAGCTCGAGCAGCGAATCCACTGCTCGACATATCTCCGCCGTTGCGAGCCTTGTGAGAGGAGTTGTCAATATTCAAAGCCTTGAAGAGTCGCTCTGCTCTCGCAAACGTACTTGAGATGATTGAATGCGCGAAGCATCAGCTTTGCTCATGGGATTAGACATTTTGGACGGCTGTTCAACGATTTCACAGGTTTTTTTAGGAGCAGGGTTGGGGATGGGAGTTGGGAGGATAGGATATGGCTGATTGTCTTGATGTTTTGACGAAAGATCGGTGATCTCTGAGGAAGGAGAAAGAGGGCAGACGAGCATGTCTGTTGATGAGCTCTTAAATAATCACTTTCACCGGCGATTTCTGCCTATTTGGGCTTCATCGTCGTGTGCTTTTTGGACATGGGGAATTTTCGGCCGTGACCAGTCTTGTTTGAATGCAGACGAGCCTGAAACTCCAATATTGGCTCCATCGAGCACATTGGGATGGAGGAGCTCGACAAAGACCTGCGGCGTGGCCCGAGCTTGCTCAAGATGCTCTACAAGTCGAGCGCGCCCAATTCCCAAGAACTAAGCTACCAGACCACCAGACCAGCGTCGATCTCTCAATCAACTAGAGGATCACTACCACCCCGCATTACTGCGCCGGTCCAGATGTGCCAGATATGCGGCAGTGATTGGACATGCACGACATGACAGCTCAGCAGTGTTGGTGGCCTTTCTGGACATGTTGTACAGGAAACGTACCCTCAAGGCTGCGATACATGACAGGTCAGAAAATCTCCTTGACTCAAGTGCTCCTCCTGGATAAAGCCAAGGCCATCGAAACCTCATCGGCTCGGATTTCTAGAACAGTACATTCAGGCTTCTGCATACGCGGATAGTGCTGCCTGCTGCAAAGCAACATGCACTGGATTGACTATTCGATCTCGATGACGACTTTTCCTCGGGCTCTCTGTGATGCAAGCTTTTCGTATGCCTGCCATGTTCCAATCAGCTATGGTGGTTTCCAAGCAGATGTCTGAGAGGTGCAGAAGACAACGATCAACGAAAACAAACATACCTCATGTGCTTGGTCGAAATTCCAACGGCTGTCGATGACAGATCGGACCTTGCCAGCCTCGACGAGGCCTAGGAAATGTTCTACATCCTTTTGGTTGAAAAGAGACGTGAAGATTTGAAAGTGTCGCGGGTTTCCGCCGAGAATTCGAGGACGAAATTGAGTGACGAGAGCGCCAAAGAGCCACCCAAACAAGCCACTGAGATTAAGCTTTTTGGCAAATTTCAAGCCGCCCAGCAAGAGGAACTTGCCTGACTCTGTGAGATAAGCAGGTGACGAATCATAGAGGCCGTCGGAATCCACGATATCGAAGATAGCATCGAAGGGAAGCTTGGAATGGTGTTCGATCATATACGCAGGTAGGGACTTGTGTTTCGTGTAGTCCACTGTCTGAGCAAGCATGGGGTCAGCAGTGTGGTCAAATGGTCAAATTCAAGACTGCGGCGGGGCTTTGGGCAAAGTCTCACTTCATCGGCTCCAAGGCTCCTGACGAGTTCTTCGTTTCTGGCAGAAGTGGTGGCTACAACGATACCATTCTCACCAACCAACGCTTTGGCAACCTGAACCAGCAGACTACCTAGTCCACTGCTCCCTCCAGTGATGAGGACTTTGCCTCCTGATTTTACACCGGCGAGTCTCAGAGCCTGGACTGCAGTACATCCACAGGCAGCAAAGCCAGAAGCATCGACAAAGCTGATTGCGTTAGGCACCTTGGCCATTTGAGGAAGAGAGACCACAAGGTATTCCTGCAAGGTACCATTGTGTCGATAAGCATCTCGGGGACTGCGAGCGCCCAAAACCCTATCACCGACCTGGAACTCGATGGAATCGACATCAGCATCGCGAGGACCAAGCGCAACTATACTACCTGCGAACTCGGTCTCTGGGATCCAGGGTTTCGCAGTAAGATGTGGCAGGTGGAAGAGGATCAACTGGCCTGCATTCAACGAGACTGCTGAAACTTTGACAAGTGCCTCATTCTTCCCAAGAGACGCAGGTTGTGGCGTTGGGTAGTCAGTCGTGAAATTGAGAGTCTCCGAGAGAGGTCCGCGGCGAGTAAACGTCCATGCGCGTTGTGTGGTTGGTATTGATGGGTTCACAGAATTGGCCATGTTGATGTCATCCTCTCCAATCTTTGGTTCTTTTCACCAACTCGAGACCCTCAGGATAGTACTATCGTCCTTATAGTTCCTTGTATATCGAAGCCTCGGATGCCGGATCAGAATATTCCCGAGATGGGTGCGAGATGGGTTGTATGATGCGAAGACGATCTTGATCCTTCTATAAAGTCTAGAAAAATTGTACTTCGCTCTTGCCTGTACCGAGGCTAGCAGGAAGCATTTCCATCCTTTCCTCCTCGTCTACAATCCTCTTCTCTCTTGTAGTGGACAGACTGAGCCTCTGAGATCAAGTATAGGTACAAGGTTTGAAGGTGGAGATGAGTCACGTGCAGTCACGTGTGACACGGAGCATGGAGCCCCCGTTCCGAGTGCATCACGTGTACATGAATCAACCGACCAATTACAACCACCATGTTTTCATTTCCAATCTGACAGTGTGAGTGTACCTAAGCACCACCTGTCATGCCCGCTCGATATCTCCGAGTCAGAAGGTGGCTGCAATTCCGTTACCGTCAATTCTCATGACACATCAGAGAAAGCACCAACGTTGACATCGTTTCTCGCCTCCTTTTACTCAAGCAATAATGAGATGGTTACCCACAGTGGCTATTCAAATAGAGGACAAGCTGTTCTCCTGACTATATGTGTACTTGGACAGAATTCAAGATGGTAACAAACCGCGAAGGGCGCTTCTCGAAGCGAAGCAACCCCACATTGATGTGCATGGTTTCTATGCATCCCTAGGTACCTACCTATGTCAACTGAGAGTCCGAAAGCCCGATAATAATAACTGGGGGCTAGGGTCTTCTGTCAGATTCTTGAGAGTGCCGTAGCTGTGATTGTTCCGTTGCCGGTGGGAGTAACAAGGTGCACCTACCTACTCCGTCCTTACGTTCCGGCCCCGACTGCGACAAATGAGAGCCTCACGGTCAGTAATCAGTACCTAATAACACGAAGAAAGCCGCTCTTAGACACTGCCGAAGAGTCCCTAACCCCAGTTTTCTCCAACCCTAAAACGCCTTACAACTACCCGGTCCGTACTACGCTCGCCTCTGAAGAGTGTCGACTTGCCAAGGTGGCCCTCCACGCCCACCAATAGCCAATAACCATCCCCCTGTGCCCCTCTATTTTACTCGCTCATCGCTTCTGCAGGCCTCTAGCGGCGTGCCTCAGGCTCTCCTCCCAGTGGTTCAATGGCCCAAACACCCACGCCAGGCACAAGCGGCACACTCGCTCGTTCCCTCGTTTCCGCCCGCGGAAGAACATTTTCACTTTACTGTTCAGCCAGATTGCTCACAGTTAAACAATAATAATATTACTCTCTTAACTGGCTCTTGGTTTCTCCCACCTTCTTCAATCATCCTCTCATTTCATTCGACACCATCAACATCGCCTTCTCTCCCCTCGACAGCCTCACCCGTTGTCGTCGTCAAAACCGCCACCACCATGGAGGCTCTCCTTCACCAATCCAAGGGTGTCTGTCCCTTCTTGAAAAAGACCTCCCCCGCAACTCTGCGAACCCTTTCGACCTCCACCCGCCAATCCCCTGGTGGCGGCACTCTCACCAACCTGCAATTCATTGCTCGACGATGCCCTGTCATGAACAAAGCCCTCGCTGTTCAAAGCGCTCGCATTTCTTCTCGACGCAACTATAACAACCTCGCCACCGGCACTGGCGTCGTCAAATCTTTGTTAGAAAAGAAGTTGCACACCTCGGCTGAGAAGAAAGCCAGTGTCGAGCCAAACCTGTTCCGTCCAGCTCAGCAAGGTAGGTCCCCACGTCTCCTGCGGTACAGCCCTCTCTAACAATCGCAGCTCCTCCTCTTCAAAAGGCTCAGACCACTGCTCAAAAGGCCGACACTTATGCCGGACCCAAGCCTCATGCCCCCGCCACAGCTCGCTATGACTATGACGCTTTCTACAAGAACGAGCTCGAGAAGAAGCACAAGGACAAGTCCTATCGCTATTTCAACAACATCAATCGCTTGGCGAAGGAGTTCCCCCGTGCTCACATGGCTACCCCAGAGGACAAGGTCACAGTCTGGTGCTCCAACGACTATCTTGGAATGGGCCGAAACAAGCACGTCTTAAAGACCATGCACGAGACCTTGGATAATTATGGCGCTGGAGCCGGTGGTACCCGGAACATCTCCGGTCACAATCAGCATGCTGTTACTCTGGAGAAAACTTTGGCCGACCTCCATGGCAAAGAAGGTGCCTTGGTCTTTTCTTCATGCTACGTTGCCAACGATGCAACTTTGGCTACCCTCGGAAGTAAGCTTCCCGACTGTGTCATTTTGAGCGACAGCATGAACCATGCCTCGATGATTCAGGGAATTCGTCATTCAGGAGCCAAGAAAATGGTCTTCAAGCACAACGACGTGGTCGATCTAGAGGCTAAGCTAGCTAGCCTGCCTCCCGAGCAACCAAAGATCATTGCGTTTGAATCAGTCTATAGCATGTGTGGTTCAGTTGCCCCTATTGAAGCCATTTGTGACCTGGCCGATAAATATGGTGCCATTACCTTCTTGGACGAAGTCCATGCGGTCGGCATGTATGGGCCGAGAGGAGCTGGTGTCGCTGAGCATCTTGATTACGACATCTACGCCGACCCTAACAGGACCCTAGAATCTCAAAAAGGAAGTGTCATGGACAGGATCGATATCATTACTGGAACTCTTGGCAAAGCCTATGGCTGTGTCGGTGGCTATATTGCAGGCTCGGCCGCCTTGGTCGACACTGTCCGGTCTTTGGCCCCAGGATTCATCTTCACCACCAGTCTCCCACCTGCCACCATGGCCGGTGCTCGCACTGCGATCGAGTACCAGGCCCGCTACCAGGGCGACCGTCGCTTGCAGCAATTGCACACCCGGGCCTTGAAAGAAGACCTGACTAGCCGTGGGATTCCCGTGATCCCCAACCCATCTCACATCGTTCCTGTATTGGTCGGCGATGCTGAGGTCGCAAAGCAAGCTTCGGACATGCTTCTGTCCGAATATAACATCTACGTTCAATCCATCAACTATCCCACCGTGCCCCGTGGGGAGGAACGTCTTCGAATCACCCCTACTCCAGGCCACACGACCGAGTTGAGGGCAGAACTGGTCGAGGCACTCGAAAATGTTTGGCAACGTCTCAACATCAAGCGTGTCGCCGACTGGGAGGCTCAAGGTGGTTTCGTCGGCGTGGGTGTCAAGGACGCCGCCCCAGTCGAACCATTGTGGACTGACTCCCAGCTCGCCGACGCACATGCTCTCTCCGAAACTGCAGCAGATCAAGCCACTGAAGAGAGAGTCATGCCTATTGCAGCGGCCGCTGCCTAGGCGACGTGACTTGATAATTCAAGCTTGATTTCAGCAGTCGAGTGAGTGGGTGGGTGAGTGAGTGGGTGAGTGAGTGAACGTGATGATATATATTTCTTTGCCCTGCATAGGCAAATGTCAGGCTCTTCAGCCATTTGGGTACGAGTACCTCGCTACCGCGAGAGAGCTCGACTCCTTTATACATATATAACCATGATTTATCGCGTGTGAGAAACGTGAATTTCTCCATGCCGACTATCTGGCCGAATGATATTGCCATCTCGTGATGGTCATTTTGACATTCTACGTTTGTTTTTTTCTTGGCTCACGCCTCTTCTACTCTGCGAGTGTCTTGTTTATTTCTATGTAGTCATGTGAAGTGTATGTGTCTGTGCATCGTCACTTTACATCCCATTTGGGTGGTGTACTAGCTCAAGTCATTCCTCAGTCCAGCCCTTTTCGATTACATTGTCTATCTATCTTTCATATCTCGTCACCTTCATCTCTGCTTCGGTCTCCCCGCACTGACCTTTGGAAAATCAATCGGAAATTTCAACTTCGGCCATTTCGGACGAGGAATTGTGATTTCCTCTCCATCCGCACCAGTCACCTTCTTCCCAATGCGATCCGCCAATTTATCCCACCCCCAACTCCTCAACTCCGCATCACTCACCGGTGCCATCTTACATCCCAACTCGCGATACAACTTCGACACATCCTTTGGCTGCAGAGCCAAGTCCAATGCAATCTCAGTAGGATCGGCAACCAGGATTTCTGCTCCAGGACGGAATTTCGGTGGTGGGATTTGGAGCGTTAGTGCGAGAATCGTTGTGGTCAATAACGTTTTGGCATGTGTGGTCGGTAAGCCACCGGCGGACATGGGGAAGAAATGTCTCACGACGGCGGCGAGGAATCCGGTTGATAGGGTGGTGTCATTGCTCATGGTTCGTTCGGGCCATTTCTCAGGTGGAGGGACAGGGCGGCGAGAAGGGAGACGGGTCGTGTACGTGTGCATCTCAATGAGGACCAAGATGTAGCGGAGGAGTTGCATGGTTTGTAAATGTTCGCGCGATTCGGGCTCGGCGAGGTGTCGTTGCACGACGTCCTGTACGCGACTCGATACGAAGCGTGATCTTGTGGAGACTTCCTTTTTGTTTGCGACACGGTTTTTCCAACTTGCTGTGGGCATTTGGGATAGGGTTGTGGTGGCGGGGTGGGGGAAGACCAGTGATCGGAGTGGGTAGACTTGACTGATCTCGGTGGCAGATAGGTCGGCCTGTGGGAGGGGTTTGTTGGCTCTTGATGCTGTGCCATCTTCGCTGTTGATTGAGTGAATGAGGAGACCGTCGTCGATATCATCGACGGAAGATAGAATGGCGCGGGAAATTGGGTCGTCTGCCTTGTCGCCTCCGCCCTGGGCTAACAGCCGATTCTCGGCTACTGCAGCAACGGCTTTTCTGGATTTCTTCGTGCCAAAGGCTTCAGTGAGGGCGGCTCGCGTGTATTGTGACGATGGTTGGCTTCGTTGCTGCTCGTCGTCTTCATCCCCGTCATCCGCGGTGGATGGGACCTGTCGGACACTGCTTCGGATGGTCATTCGCTTGGCTTCAGTGACTTGGAGTTTGTTCGATGCTGGGTCGAAGACGGCAATGTAGTGTTTCATATGTTTCTCACCCACGTCCGTCACACTCGATTCCGTTGCCGTGTAGTCAATCGTGGGGTGTGTGCTGGAGTGAAGGAGCAGATTCGAGGATTTCTGGTTGGAGAAGGATTGGAAGGCCAACTCTTTGGATAGAGTCACTCCAGGGGAGGATGCTGAGATGGTAGTTAGATGCTGGGATATATTGGACATGGGACTAGAGGTTCGAGTGTCCCTCTAGTCTTGAGTCACTTACCAATAACTGGTTTGGCAATATCTGGACTGGCAACATGAGATACCCGTACTCGATCAGTCTGCGCTTTCTTGGACGGTCGGTCGCTCTTTTCTGAGCCCGCTTTCCTCTTTTTTTCACCCATGGCTGTGATTGAAAATTGTACTAGAAGAATTCCGGAAGGTATACGCTCTGCTGACAATCGAGAATATTTGTAGAATTCCAATATCGTGCTGACAGGAAGCCACTGTCTGAGAGGGTTCTAGAGGTACCGACGTGCTGCTTCTCCAACTGAAAAATAAATTATTTGCGGTCGGCGAGTCGGCGAGTCCAAGTGGACATTCGGAAGAGTTTCCCCACATTATTCACGAATCAATCCAAACACACAACGTGCACACTCGACCAAAGTCTGCAACAGCTACGAAAGAGCTCCAATGTCAGACAACTCTGAAGACATGCTCAACAATATCATTGTCTCGCGAGCAGCTTGAAGTGATGGGAACATGTGAACGAGCACGATCACGACTACGATTATTGGAGCTTGTAATTTGTTCAAAGTTGATTGGATTGATACGTGATTAGAGCAACCATTGCTCGAAGGTAAACATGTACCACTTGCTGGATTGAACACTTTGAACTTTTTCCATGTCAGAGTCGTTAGGCGTCGAAATCCTTGCCAGGGTAATTCGCGGTAGTGAAGCCAAATTCCCTTTGAACACCCAAGACATCATAAGCAACCTGCCATAAAGTTCCACGAGAGTTGACGATCTTCCCCTCCTCTTACACGCCCATCACGAATGTGATGAGTCGTTGATTGTAAGGCCGATTTCTCTTTGACCGAAAGCTACCCATTGCGATTGAGAACACGCCTCTGGGATCACAAGTACCGATCATTCGACAATTTGTTGTCCGACGAATTGTTGGGTTGGAGAATCATTGACTTTGGTCGAGAGGGAGAGATGTGATGGAACAGTCGACACGATTACTTGCTGTTTAAGGGGTCAGTAAAGGCGGCTCCAAGCTCGATCACTTTCGCCTCGGTGATCCCTTACCTGCGGGCACGCGTCTTTCTCCTCTTACGCTTGAGTCTTCTGACTCGCTTCTTTCTCCACTTGGCTCTCATCTTCGCTCAAATTGGACTTCAAGTAGTTAGCAATAGTTCATGATCAGACACAAGGACCGACATTGGTCGGGACGCTTATAAAGGGGGGTGGTACACACAATTTGTCGAGGATGAGTTGTTGGATGAGAGATGGAGAGGGCAAAGGAAGCAGGATGCGAGCGGGGATTTTGAGGCCTGAAAGTGCGTGACCTCAGACAACCTTGGCATGTTTGCACTCCAACGTCATCCGTTGCCAAGATAATAACGCTTGGCGGCAACTTCCGCGAGCCTCACCACCTGTATAACCCGTACACCTCACTTGATAAGGTGAATACCTATATGCCTAAGGTAAGGTACTACACCAGTATTTATCGATTTTAAACATCGACCACGATGCGAAGGAAACTCACCGAGTGTAAGCTGGTCACAGCGTTTGTCACAACTGCATATCAGTGCTTGGAGCTCAGGACACGGCGATGGATGTCATTGCCGAAGGAAATGAGACTCTACATATATTTCAGGTTTATCTGTCCAAGTGCGAGGTACCTTACCTCCTACATCTGGGGTCAACGCCATGACCTCCCAGTTTAAGTGTCCTACAAGATCTAAAAAGCAGCATTATGTCCGGAGCCATGTGACTGCATCATGCCCTACAGCCCTACCCAAGGTATCTATCTTACGGCACACCTTACGGACACGTGCCTTGGGATTCAACAGTCCAGGTCGCACCTTCCCAAGTTGAACCACGTGTATTTGCCTGGCATCTATATCATCTACCTCACCTTAATTCTTCTCTACCACTTCTTTGCATGATTTGTTCGTTCGTCTTCAGTTTTTCATGCTTCTCCCCAACCTCGGACCCTTCCAGCCCACCCAATCCACACTCCCTGCACATCGTTTTATTTCAGATGTGATCAAACCGCCTTTCCCTCTCGTGCCTATGTTCTGCTCGAGCCATGAATTCGACCCAATTCGAGGCCCGGCATTCAACTATACCCTCCAGCCCCTTGCCACAACCCACACTAGCAGGGTGTATCGTTCACAAGGATGCTCGCGGCGATGTTGTAGGACGTGAGTCAAAGGCTTCATATGGTCCTCTACCACTGTTTGGTTGTACTAGCGATGACAGGAAAGATAATATATACAAATAACGAAGTCGTCTTCGGCCGCGATCCACTCCGATGGTGAGCTCTGACATCCATTCTTCTACTATCTCGATCTCTAACCCCAGCCAGCCATTATGTTTTGGATGATCCACATATCTCCAAGCGACATGTCAGAATTTACACCGTAGTGTACGAGAATGAGGAACCGAATGATGTCGACACCTTGGTATATGCCGAAGATTTATCCCACAACGGCACCTTTTGGAATGGTTCTCTCATAGGCAAAGGCAATGGAGGGTTCCTATTATCCAACGGTGACGTGCTAAGGTTGAGCCAAAGGACCTTCTTGTGCTTCACCAGCTTGTCCGATACTTCTACTAGTAGTCCCTTCAATCTTACTCAAGAGAACGAGATGGCGGTAGGTCTCCTACTCCTGCGCAAAATATTGCTGACATGTCACAGCAATTTCGTCACGACTATGTTGTCACAGATAGACTGCTCGGCGCTGGAGCTTTTGGAAAAGTCTTTATGGCTATCGAACAACATACTCGAAAACAAATCGCCTGCAAACTCATCGATCTTCGCAGACTCGCACCTCGTTCAACCTCTTTCTTCGGACGCCCTGAACAACCAGAGCCGGCCGACAAGGTCGACACTAGGGTTCAACAGAAAAAGATCAAGAAGTGGATAAATCAAAAGAAGCGCGAAATAGGGGTTGAAAAGAAATTGAAGCAGTATTTCAGAGAGGTGGAGATACTTGCCTCCATCAGTCATGTAAGTCGGATCTCCATCATAGACTCAACGCCTTACCACGCGTTAGCCGAACATAATCAACATTGAGAAAGTCTACATCACAGACAACACCATGTGAGTGATTCGGAAGACAGGGAGCATGGTTTACTTATGATTCTAGGTACATGATGCACGGCCTGGTCACTGCAGGAGACTTATTTTCCTACATCGAAGCAAAGAATGGCAAACTTCTTGAAGCTGAAGCCGCAGCAATCACTCGACAGCTGTTGATTGCGGTCCAATTCCTACACCAACAGCACGTTGTCCACAGAGACATAAAGCCCGATAACATATTGATGTCGAGTTTGTCGCCTGGCTGTCGAGTCGTTCTGACAGACTTTGGCGCTGCTCGAAGACTTCAAGGTGGATTTCATCGAATGTCTACAATGATAGGAACCCATGAATATGCTGCTCCGTAAGTGGTGCCATGGTATGACACGCGTTACTAATTCTGGCAGTGAAATGCTTGAAATACCCAACAACCAGAACAAACAAGTCAACGTGGGCTATACACGAGCTGTTGACATGTGGGCGATCGGTTGCGTGTCGGTAGTGCTCCTTACAGGTGGACTAGCTTTCTTCGATCCGAACACTGGTTCATACTCTGAACGTCTTGCCAAAGCGTGTGACCTGGAATATTTGCGAAAATCGACAGAGTGGCAGTGTGTCAGGAGCAGGCCGAAGTCCTTCGTGGAAAGTCTGTTGGTCCGCGACGAAGCTCAAAGGATGACTGCTGAACAGGCTCTGAGCCATGAATGGTTCTCCAATGAAATCCACGACACCGACTTTCACGACCTTTATCAACGATGTATCAAACACTGGCGGCCAACGGTCCCCAAGGCTCCTCTGGTGAAATTCTTGGACAATAGAGTTGTCAAAAACCTAAGATGCTCTAGGGAATATCTGTGTCAAATCAACAAGAAGCACCCTTCTCGATCTCGTACCAATATGCCAGTCGATGCTCCACTCAAACCGTTCCCAATGGCCATGCATCGGGCGTTACAGCCGCAACGAGGTTTCAAGCCTGCAGTCTCTGAAGAAGTTTCCTTGGCGATCAAGAACACGTGGAAGGCCAAGCTGACACCCTCGGTGGTTCCAGGGACAAAACATAGAAAGGTGTGTGAAGCGACCTCTTGTCTAATAACAGTATTAAACAGCGAGACCAGGTAGGAAACGAAGGTGCCAGGAACAGTCACCCTCCCATTGACAGGAAAGCCGTTTGCGCCGGTGAAGGCGAGGATCACTCACTCGAGACCACTATTGGTAATTTGGGTCAACCGCAGGAAGGTTCGACAAGAAATGGCAAATCGAAGAGAAGCTCTTCTGAGATGGAGGGTGTTTCTCGACCTACTCCGAGAAAGAGGAGCAAGACTTCCCATTTTGACCTTGCCGAGGACGGTGATAATGGAGGTGCTACGCCCGTTTCTTCGCTCGTCAAGGGAATTAGGAAAAGTTCTACAACATGTCGAAATGTCGAGGCCACGACATCAATTCATCTCCCGCGATGAAAGCAAGGTGTTCTCGGCCTCTCTGGCAGAGTGAGGCTGAGGCAAATCAAAACAAGCGATCCTTCGTTGTGGCAAGACTTGCAACAATCGATCACAATAACGAGAGTAGATGTAACTTCTGCATGCTATAAGCGGTGCATTCTGTAGGAAGCTGGAATAAAATATCAAGTTGAAGGCACTATCTCGAGATCACGTGACAGGTGCCTCCATATATAATATGTTGACTTTTGTATATATGTAGGTACTCGCCCTCTTCAACCATTCAAGATCACAAGTCCCACCAAGGAAATCGGATTCCCAGTAACGCAATGACTGACTTCTTCGTTACACACGGCCAGAGCCATCTGTCCTGCCTGTCACTATTCTGACCACTTTACCCATCGAATTAATAAGATCTATGATTTCATACACGACGATGACGACCCATGCAACGCACTCAACCCAAGGCGAGCAGAGCAGGTTCTAAGTAGTACTAGCATCCAAGAGAAAGAAACAGCCACACTGAAAGTACACCACTCTCAGTCATACACACAGACAGAAAGCTGACTTGTATCAAAATCAATCACACCTTTCTACCCCATTTTGGTCCTGAAACCAGCTCTAAGTAAGTAGCATCAGCTGCAAGAATTGATTTTCCATTCGTTGGTGTCAGTGTCGGTGTCGGTGTCGGTGTCGGTGTCGGTGTCGGTTCAGTCGTGTGTATCCGTCACCATCCAGCCATCGCCATTGTCATTGCAATAGGTACCACCGTCTTGTCTTTCCCTCCTATAATAATAATACAACATCCCCAAAAAACCCTTCCAGAAATCATTCCTTTGCATTCCCATCCCCTCCCCGGCTGGACAGACAGACAGCAATGACACTAGATAGGTAGGTGTCGCGTCCGTTTCAATTCACCTGACTTTATAGTGCAGTGCATTGAAATTCAAAAAAATAAAAAGGGGTGAAAGCCTGGGTTGGTGGATAGCTGGTCTCTCAGGAATCCATCTGATCATCCTCCCATGCCCAAATCACCCTCGGCATCTACAATTGCCAGACGTTGTTTGGCAGTTTTTGCTTTCTTGGATACACCGCGCCCTTTTTTCGTTACTGGAGTTTCGGCAACACTGACGGGGGTCGCTGCTCCGGAAGGTTTGTTTGATGCGTCTTCGAAATGTCCTTCGCCTGTCGAGTATGTTAGTGATTTGGCCTCAAGCATCTTTAAACAGGTTCAATCTTACCTTCGTGATACATGTCGTCCAAGCTCATTTCACCCTTGCGTCTTCGAGCTGCTGCTGCTGCAGCAGCCTTTTTCGTTCTCTTGACCTTGCTTTCATCTTCGGGTTTTTCCGCCAGTTCTTTTTCTTTCTGTTCGATGAGCGCGGCTTGGTCGTCATCCGCGAGCCACATGGCGATATCTTTGGTGCGGTTCTCGCGCCGGTCGCGTGTGTTGAAGTCGACTCCTGCGCCGTCCCCTCCAGTGATGACCACGCGCTGGACTTCTTCCTTTTGCATGGCTCGCTTTCGAATCCGCTCTTCGATGGTACCGCGTGTTATCAACCGGTAGACAGTGACTTGCTTGGTTTGACCCAATCGATGGGCTCGATCCATGGCTTGTGAATCAATTGTTGGATTCCAGTCCGAATCATAGAAAATGACAGTGTCTGCAGAAGTCAAGTTGATTCCAAGACCACCAGCACGCGTAGACAGCAAGAAGATAAAGATCTCTGGCCGTGTTTGGAAGTCATGCACCGTGTCTCGACGGTCCTCGAGCTTGGTACTGCCGTCCAGTCTGCAATACTTGTAATTGCGGTAGGTTAGATATTCTTCCATCAAGTTGATCATCCTCGTCATCTGGAAGTACAACAACACTCGGTGACCTCCGTTCTTCAATTCTCGAAGGAGTTGGTCCAATTTCGCCAGTTTGCCCGAGTCCGTCACGAATCGTCGCATCGATGGCACACCAATGTTGGTGAACCTAGCCTTCTCAGATTCAGCCTTGGGAAGGAGTCCCGAAGGAGGGAATTCCACAGGATCCACATCCTGGTTCAAGAGATTCTCCTCAAAGCCTTCATCCAACGGGTACAAGAGATTCCTCACACGGGGGTTGAAGAACGTCAGAGCGCGCTCAGATGCTGCAGACTGGTCCAAGGAGCTGATCTCGATTGGCGGTGCCACGGCTTTAGGAACGGCAGCAGGCTCAAATATCGAGAACCCTCCTTCCGCCAAAGCATCTTTGGATATGTTGCAAAGTCTGCCAAGGTGGGAGTTGGGGTCAAGGTCAGCCAAAGCATTTCTTCGACCATTTTGCACAATGTTGAACAGAGCATAGTTGCGAACTGGCTCTTCAGAGTCCTCGAAAACAGCAACTGGCCGCTTCTGGGACCGCGTGCGCTGCTCCATCGCACGCTCAAACACGCCTGAATTGGCCTGAGCGCAAGCTTGGCTTGTAGACTCATCGATGAAGCGAAGGAAAGAGAATGCACCGTCGGCCTCAGTAGACTTCTTCAGATTTTCCGGAGTCCAGATGCGCATTAGGCCACCCAGACCGTCCACCTTGTAACCGGCCTGTTTGAAGCCGGCCGCAGTATTGTTCGGGCCTGCAATATCGAGTCTTCCGACATCATTGCAAAGGATGCGTGGTAGGTCGTAGCCGATTTGATTGCGCACAGAGTAGCCAACCTGAACGAATGAGCCCTCGCGTAGGAAGGATGCAGTCTCTGCAAAGTACGACATGGAAAAAGGTGACGTCGTGTCGGCGCGTTCAAACAGATCTGGATGATTGCACACTTTTCGGAACTGCATGACCAAATTCATCAGTGTTGCGGTATCTTGATCATCGCCGACAGTTGCCTTCTCGATGAGGTCCATAATACTGATCTTGCTTCGAAGATTGGCATAGTAGGCTCGCTGTCTGTAGGTAAGCTCGCAGAAAACATCCTTTTCGACCTTGTCTCCAAGTTCTTTCTGTACATGTGCCTTGACACGACGCAACATGAAGGGTTTCAAAATCATGTGTAATCGCTTGAGTTGATCTTGATTCAGCTTCGTGTTACTCTGGGCGTGGCTTTCAATATCTTTGGAGAACCAGTCGCTGAACTCGTCGTGGGAGTCGAAAAGGGTAGGCATGATGAAATGGAGTAATGCCCACAACTCCTGCATGTTGTTCTGGATAGGCGTACCGGTCAGCAAGAGGCGATTGCGGCATTGGAAGGCCAGGAGAATCTTCCAACGTGTGCTGCTGGATGACTTGATGGCCTGTGCTTCGTCCAGAATCATGTACTGCCATCGGATCTTTTGGAAATACTGGGCGTCTTGGACGACTAGTTGATAAGATGTGACTAGAACATGGAACTCGGAATCTTTGGAGTAGGTGACATGTTTGCGATCCCAAAACTTGCGCAACACCTTACGATCTTTAGCACTTCCCCAGTAGGGTAAGACTTTGATGGCTGGAACGAATCTGGTGATTTCTTGTTGCCAATTGTGCAAAGTCGAGGCCGGGGCGATGACCAGGAAAGGTCCCCAGACGTTGTGTTGTTCGGCGAGGTAGCCCATGACGGAGATGGATTGTACAGTCTTTCCCAGACCCATCTCGTCGGCCAGGATACCGTTGATACCTTGCTCGTACAAATTGACCAGCCAGTTTAGACCCTTGAGCTGGTATTCCTTGAGCTGAGCTTGTAGCATCTTTGGTTGCGTCACCTGGACGTCTCCTGCCATTGTAGGGTTTTGGAAGTTCATGTCACTTGAATCGAACGCCGACATGGGATCATCCCCATTGAAGTTTCTAGCCTTGTCTTGTGCATCCTGCAGCGCTGATGCGGCGTTTGCCATGGCAGCTTTGCGTAATTCTGAATCATCTTCAGCATCGAAATCGAGGTCCTCGAAATTGGTGACCTTGTGATTGCCGTGCTCGTCGGACGTCGACATATCGTCGAGGTGGGAGTTGTTGGCCTTTGGCGGCGATTTTGGTCCAGCAGCAGCCAATTCTGGGTCGTCCGTCGCACGTTCAATCTCATCCGTCTTGATTTTACGGCCGATGAAGTGCGAATAGATCTCGGTTTGCGAGATGAGAAAGTTGAGCTTCCGCTTCTGTCTGTTGGCTTCTCGATCGGCCTCAGCTTTCTTCGCGTCCTCGATCTCCTTGCGTTCAGCCATGCGCCGAAGGTCACGCTCTTCACGTTCGTTTCTTTTCCAGAACGACATCATCTCACGCATGACTCGTTTGGCTCTGGCTTGAACATCCTTCATGCTCTTATTGGTCCGCTCCTGCCATTTCCGGGCTTGTTTGCTAGCCAATAGAACTGTCTTGCGAAGGTTCTCCTGTCTGGTGCCGTGAGAGACTTGCTTGAGGCGGTAGACTTTGGGAATGTCCTTGCGAGCCATATCCCTCCAGATCTGCTCATATATCTGGTTGTAGCCTTTGGATTCATAATTGATGCCTGCCGGAAGCGCAGCAGCCTCTTTACTCTCCTTGGGCTCTTTGGGCTCTTTGGGCTCTTTGGGCTCTTTAGTTTTCTTCAACTTGATGGAGATGGTGGGGCCCTTGACATCTTCCCGTGGCGCGATCGCGACAAGTGACGGTGATTGATCTGTGTCCGCGTTCATCGCAGCATATGCAGCTTCTGCCGAGTCCTTTTCGGCCTGTTTCTGGGCCTTCGATTTCTTAGGTCGAGCGGCAGTTCCATCCTTCTTTGACTTCTTCTTGGGAGGTTCACCAGGTTCTGGTGAACCGAGTTGGAACGATGAGGTGATACCTCCTTCGTAGTTGGGAGCAGGTGCAGGAACTTCAATGTCGTCCTGCGCAGGCACACCCTCAAGCAACTCGAAAGTTTGTCGAATCCGCTGTTGGGATTTTTCAGCTTGTCGGAGAAACTTCTGTGCCTCTTCTTGATCCTCAGCATCCCGGGCGCGCTGCTCAAGTTCTTCCAACTTAATAGTCTCATTGCGAAGCTGTTGTTCCCGACGACGTTTTCTTTGCATGTCTTTCTTTCTCTCCTTTTCGCTTTGATGATCTTTATCGGCGATCTCTTTGGCGGCGATGGGCTCAAATCGCTCTCGGAAGCGGTGCTGTGAATTAATGGCGTGATGGTCAAAGGACTTTATCAGGCTGTCGAGATAAAACGTTCGACGACGCTTGGAACGAGTTAGCTAGGAAGAAAATAGCGAAAGGGGATTTTTTTGATGTGCTTACCTTGCGCTTGACTGATTCTGCCTCTTCAATGTCGGCGGCTCTTTTCAAGCTGGTGCGCTTGTAATGCTCTTCCATCTCGCGGAACTTGGGATCTTCGAGGTCGCTCAGATCTTGATCCTCAATGGTTGCCATGAACTTGATGATCCTGTCGGCTTCAGCATCTGTGGCAACTTTGCGTGGCTTCATTGGCGCGACGTGTAAGTTTTGCTTTGATGTCCTGGTATGGATCTTGGCGTGCGGCTTTGAGTCGCCATTGATAAAAGGACGCGAGGTAGTAATGCGAGGAGGCTCAGGCGTCAAAGGCCTTGTGGTCGTGGCAGGTTTGATGTCGTCCACGGGCTTTGTTGGAGGAGTGACTGGTCGAGATAGCTTGGGAGGTTCCGAAGCTTTCGGGGAAGGGTCGTTGTTGGATGGTCCGAGGATACTCGCGAAAGACATTGGATTGCTTGCCCTATCGGATTTCTGTAGGGTGTCAGTGAAAATTTCTGTTGGTAGAAGGTGGGACGACAAACCTCTTTCGATTGAGGGCGAGAGTCTGATGTCGATGTTTCAGTAGCCCTTCCGTTGGTCACAGCATGATGTTCTCTTAGAGGAGACTGCAAAACAGGACTGGTTTGACCAGAGGGATGCGCGTGAGTGGGAGTGCCGTCAAACGCAGGCATGCTCTGGTGGACCAAATGTCCTGAATATGATCTTTGCAGATTGTAGGGTGGACTAGAAGTGAGTGGTTGATAAGGAGGTCCAACGCCTAGAGGCGCGGGTGGAGGAGGTGGTAAAGGGTTTGCTGCGGCCAAGGGTGAAGCCAAACTTGGTGGCCTGGGATGGTGTGGACTTTGTACGAGGGAAACAGGGGCGAACGGAGGAGGAGTTTGGAGGATGTTATGAGGAGATATTTGATAGGGTTCATGTCCGTAGTAGGGGCGAGATGGGTGGGTTGGTGAGTAGGGTGGGTACTGATTTGACTGCGTTGGCGAACGAGCAGTGTAGGGTGTTGATCCCGACATTGTTGGCGATGACTTGCTTACGGGCTTTGGTTTGGCGTCTTTGAGATATAGCTATTTGTGGGGTGTTTCCCTCTACAAGAGGCTTTGTGGTGAATCACCCGCCTGTTGTCGAAATTTTTACCTGTCTCGGTCGCCCGCAGTCCCCATCGCCTAACAACAGGTCTGGTCTAGAATTTGGTTGGCGAGGAAAAGGTCTGTTTGGCAACAGTCACTGCCAATGTGTTACGAGTTTGTCGGTCGCGCGGTTGAAGATTTGGTCGAGGTCGTGCTGGGATGGCTTTGGTGGTGTCACCAAAAATGAACCATTCAAGGGGTTGACGGCATTGTTTGATGACAGGGCGAGGAAAGGGTGACGGCGCGATGGAGAAATGAGTCGGGGATGATGGTTCAGTGATGGGGTGGGTGAATGAATGAAGGTGATGAAGGTTGGTGGCGATGAAGAGAGAGACGAGATTGGGTTGGGGTCATGGTCAGATCCAGTTGGATTTTGGTGCATCGCAGCCCAAGCTCATCTGGCCGGATGTGTCTGGATCATGAGTACGCGACCGACTCGGGCGGGCAAGTCAAAAAGAACAAAGAGGGAGGAACACGTGACTTTGCGCTCTATTCTATCACTATCGAACTGGGATTTGGTATACAGGGCGGATATTTGGTGTTGATAAATTGCCCCTCGCATGCTAGGTCCAAGTACAATAGTCTTTGTTCTTCTTTCAAGGAGACTCATGCATCGGAATGATCATGGTACTGTGATGGCGATGGCGATGGTGACTGTGGTCTTCGGTCGTGGAGAGAACCATGGAAGCGAGAATGACGGGCAGCTGCTGGCTGATCCACACGGGCTTGTTCTGACTTGTTCCATGGTCCATGGGCCAAAGTTTTCGACACAAAGCGCCCCAAGAATTTCAGAGGAGGACATGGACGGCCATGAGAGGACAAGCCACAAAAGTCTTGGAGCCCTTGGCTTTGCTCCGACCAACCCGCATTGGGCAGGGCACTGGGCAGGGCACCACAGGGAACCCCAGGGCCTGGTAGGCTGAAGGGGCCGAGGGACCTCGCCTGTGACAGGCTTGTCGTCGCTATTTGTGCAACACATTCAAGCCCCTCGGCCTGCAATAGTTAAAAACTACTCCCAAACCTTTTAACTAAGCTCGCCTTTTGGACTGCCAAATCCCAAGCAAGGTTGAACCCCGTTTGCCGTATCATCGTAACTGGAGTATCCCAGAGAGACCCCTCCCTTCGTCTCTCCGTCACGCCTATACGTCATCTCAAAGGACACCTTCAACCTCGGACGCTCACCTCTTCTCTAACAATAATATCAACTGATCAGTAGAGCCTGTCCTAAAACCACGAGAACCCAAGAGTTGCACCTCATCACCTCATCATTCGTCCCTGACTACAGCTATCTCGCTGCAGCCGTCATCTTCCCTAAGCTTTCCCACATGTGATGGCTCCCAAATCAAAGTCTAACTCTGGTGGCGGTAAAGGCAAGGGCAAAGGTTCTGGTGCTCAAGAAGAGGGCTCGACTGGCTCCAGCGGTAAGCTTAAACCGGCCACCTCAATCAACACCCGTCATATCCTGGTATGTATGATCGACATTATTTATTCCTGGTGCTCTCGAAATCGTCAATGCGGGCCTCTGCAAAATGCCCCATGTTCCCATTAATCCCCTTCTTGAGACATTTCAAACAAAGACATTCTAAACACTGGTCCATGTCTTAGTGCGAAAAGCATTCCAAAAAAGAGGAAGCCCTAGCCAAGTTGCGAGAGGGTGCAAAGTTTGATGACGTGGCTCGTGAGTTCTCTGAAGATAAGGCACGACAAGGTAAGAGGATCATTCTGCAGAAGCCTGGCCCCGGTTATCTGTCATCATCTGACAAGTGGCTTTGGTCCCATTGTATAGGCGGATCCTTAGGCTGGAAGGTCAGAGGTAGCCTACACGGAGACTACGAGAAAGTTGCCTACGAGTTAGAACCAAGCACGACAGCCCATCCCAAATGTGAGTTTCTGCATTTCCATTTACATACGTACAAGACAAGGACCGTGGTGAGGATCGATACATTGCAATTTCATCATGCGCACCAAAAGAACTGGTCCATCGATGCTGGACCCGTTTGCGAGAAGAAAAGAAGCAAAAGAGAATCGGGGCTCCAACAAGCTGGCCCACCTCGCACAAAGCGACCGTGTCCATCAATTGCTGATCATCTGTGCAACAGACGCTGAAGTCAAAACAACACATGGCTACCATATCATTATGGTCGAAGGCCGCAAATGAGTGAATATGAGATAGTCAAGGGTACTTTTCAATGGATCAACGGACTTGCCACACTCACATCAGCGAGCATGTCCAAGGCCATGTGCTCCAATTGATGCTTTCTCTTGCGAGGAGAGCCATTGACGGGAAGCACCAGGACACTGACGGCAGGGCCCTTGCCCACCGGGTCCATCTCTGGAGGAGTATGGGTGGGTCGGACAAGGCCTGGATCGGGGCCCACGAATCCTGGTGGGCTAGGTCGATCTTGAGGGGGAGTAAGGGCCGTAGGTCGAATAACATGACGGCCGCCTCTGTCGCTCAGCTTCTGAGCCGCACAACTGGCTAGGTCAAGTGTGAGAAAGCCGCTCGACCGTGGCTCGTCGTGGGTGGGTGGAATGTGTTGAGCGAGGTGAAAAGTGCTGGTACGGGGTAGCTCGACCAGGTTCAAGATGCCACTGGATCGGGGCTCATCACAATCTGGTGTGATGGTGCTCACGCCGTTTGGGGACAGAGCGCGGGATGAAGGAGTATGAACAGATCTTTCATCGACACTGGATGGAACTCGATGAGAGCTGGTGTCAGAGGATGCCTGGGTGTTGTGATTAGGCTCCTCCAACGCATGAGTGCGGGCGGTTCGTCTCCTTTTGGACCGTGAACCTTCCAATTCCTCGACACGCTTATCCATCGCCATGGTGGCATCATCAATGACGATGACACGGTCCCTAAGTCGAACGTGTTCATCATAGTTGCCTTCCAGCCTATCTTCAATTTCGGTCAATCTGCGACGCATTTCCTTCTCGCTGGTATAGAAGGGAGCCAGTGCTTCACGTAGAATGCGCACTTCCCTTTCCCACATCTGTCGCTCTCGTTGCAGAGCGGTTTCCCGATTCCCTCTTTCGTTTTGGATGGTCTCTTCCATGCGTTTCATTTTGTCCATCAGGGGATTCAATTTGTCCTGGAGGATGTTGAGGATGTCACCAGACGGCGGTTTGTCATTAGGGGACTCGTGGACATGATAACATGCCTGGTGCCCGCATTCGCAGACGGTGCCGGTGGCGCGTCGATTGAGATGGAAGGACTGACATGCACAACCTTGGTTCTGTGACGAAGAATGTAGAGTAGGTAAGTTGAATCGACATTCGCCGGTGGGAAAAGGCCGTGGTGATTCAGAAGGCAATTGGAGTGGGCGATGTTCGCGAGCAAATGGCGAGGGGAGCGGCAAGGCATTGGAACCATACATGGCGTTTGGCCTTGACATGGCAGTCTCCCACGGCGATCACAAGCGAATCAATAGGAGCGGCGTTCTGTGTGTAGCATATGAATGCCCTGGATCGGTGTGAGAGGAGACGGTCCTCTCTTTTCCAGAAGGAGGGTGAGGGTGATACGAGAATGACAATGTGTAAATTTTTGGGCTTGCAAGCCTGATTCAAACTGCTGCGACAAGTCAGATTGACGTGGATGGGATACACAGCACTGTGGGTACGGTACATACATCTGAACTGGGACCACTTGAGAGGCTACCAAGGTGCATGGCTCTTTCTCAAAGAACTCCAGCTGAACGTGTACCACAAGTATGTGCTCATCGTAACCGTAAAGCTGGAGACCGGGGAAAGAGAAGGCTGAGGCAAGGCAAGGGCAAGCCTCGCGAGTTAGATCAAGCCAGAAGGGGTGGGTAGGAGGAGAGATGTCGTTGTGTTTAAAAGGCGAGAGAGATCGAGGAAAAGTAGATGACGAGTTGGAGGAGGAAGGAGGAACAAGAGTGTTATCTGCAGCGCTGTTCGGCTCAGCGATAACTTATGCCGGCAACACAGCGGATGGGAGACATGTGCAGCTATGGCAGCACAGGAATGGATCTTGTGGTTGGCGTCAGCTCGAATCAGAGGGCGAGAGATAATCGGGAAAAGGGAGATGTGCAGGAAGGACTGACATGGATCGGAAGAGGACGAGTGATCCTAGCTTCCAACGATGCCCGATATGACCCAAGTCAAGGAGCCGTATCAAGGTCGGACCTTTGTGGACGACGGTGAGATAATCAGGCAGGCAGACAGGCAGGCAAAGAAGAAGGGCAGTGGAAGGACGGAGAAGATTGACATGTACCTAGTTGGACAGGTCAGGCCTGGTAGAGATTGAGAATGATAAGACAGAAGCAACTAGTTGATGGAGAGATATGGCGACATGACGGGAGGTTGAAAAGTGGCCCAGTCAGAATCCACAATTTGTTGCGACCAAGACTTGAGCCTGAAGAGTTCTGGGAACCTGGAAGATCTGATGGACACAGACACGACCTAGTTGAACCTGAGGCAGGAGATAGGTAGACAGGCGATGGGATGGAATGGTACGGATGGGTCGCTGGGTCTGCTGGGTCTTTGGGTAGTTGGGTCCTTGGAGAGAAGAAACAGGGGAACGAGCAGACAAAGTTGGAGCCCGAGGGAGGCCAGAAAAGTGGAAAAAGTGGAAAAAGTGGCAGACGGTCCAACTACTGGATGGTGCCTGCGAGGGACGTTTGCGTTTGCGGAACGGAACAACGTGGGATCTACCGCCGGCACCATCTCCACCCCCACCGCCATTTGGAAATTCTCCTCTACGCCTATCCACACACCACAAACAACCCACTACGGAGTAGACGAGTACTTTTCCTGGTCTGTGATAATGCCGTAGGTCAAGAATCTTCAAATTCATGCCTAGTGACATATCATCCTGTACCATGTGGACTCACCTAAGGATGTATACGAGTACTTGTCCCCTAGTTGTCAATGATTGACCAAGTGGATGAGAGGTTGCATGGCGATCAGGATGATTTCCACGATGATCTGGGTACCGACTTCTTATTCCATAGCCCACACATGTGACATGCTACTGCGTTGCTGCTGCCATTCCTCCACGTTCTCGTTCTTGCCTCAAGCTATTGTGATTCTGCCTCTTTCTTGTCCTACTTGTTGCCAGACGAGGAAGGCGTGTGGACAGAAGGGGGCAGCTGCAGTTTCCCTCTAGAAACCACCGTATCATTACCCAGAAGTACCTTGTCACCTTGTCCATTAGTCTCAGTGACCTACGCGTATATACCAGTCACACTATCATGCCTGTCCATGTCTAGAATCATCGACTGCGTGACAGCCTCCCACATGATCATCGCATCCACGTCGAGTCGATATGAGGCGGACGAGTTGCGAGTCGTGCGAGGGTGGCGCTGGTGGTATTTCTGGCCAGGGCGGCGCGTGGGTTGATGTGTGGGCCCCCGAGGGACCGTGGGCCATGGTGGCCACGGCAGGCGAAACTGAGGGTGAACTACGAGGGTGACTTCCCATCGCCCCCTCTTGAGCCTTGGGGCTGAGGCCGGTACGTGGGTTGTCCCTTCCGTTTACACTCCATCTCAAGGTGGGTATGGTGGGGGACCTTCTTCAGTCCAATCCCAGTCCAGTCCGCACACACCCACTCCCACACAATCCACTAACAACTGACACCGAAAGGAAGCATCCGTCCTCCCGTTGTTGCAGATCTCCCCTCTCCCCTCCCCTCCCCTCCCCTCCATCATTTCTCTATGGCCCTCCCTCCGTCCCTGAAGCCTTTCACGTGCACGTCACAGTCTCGGGCGATTCTTGTGTCCAGTTGAGACTGCGAGGCTTATCGTCTTTACCTACCTGGCATGCCTGGATGACCCGGTCTACCGCTCTGCCCAACAAAAAGTCAGGTTAGAGAATCACGAAGCATGCCACTATATCAACACCATCATCGTATCATTTGTGGACCACCATCCGTTCCTGACCAAGCCCGATGATCTCTCCTGGTTTGCCCTGAAGGGCCCGTGTCAGGCCCGGCCACTCCGTCTCGAATGGCTTGGGGGTCAATCCGCCATGATTGACCGAAGGTTTGCGCGATATTCGACGAGTGGAGTGCCACTGTGCGCCGTGTGAAACGTGATGAACCCTCGGGTATGGATAGTGTGGTTGGATAAATTCGGGGCGTGGGCAAGCACGGCAAGGCACTGGCAAGGGCATGTTCGAGTTTGGTTGCTCGTGGGTGACCGAGAGAGCCGACCAATATGTATCCGAGCACAGCACCGTACGGCAAACATTGTGCGCTTCAGCCCTCAAACACCGGCAGCCTTCCTATTCAGTGGCCAGCAGTTCTGACCCTTTTTACGAGGCCGACTGATGGTCACTGGACTGGGTTCTCGGAGGCATGGGGGCTAGTGCGGCGTGTTTCGCGCACATCCCAGCCAGATGCTGTCTGGTAGTACTCTACTTACGGTCGTACTCTCGGGGCACACTTGCCCGCACCGGTCCATCCTGCTGTTAACACAACTACTGAGCCTGGAGGAATACTGGAATTCTGACGTCCAGAAGCATGGCATGTCTGCACGTGTACGGAGTACACCAGGCCCTGTCAATCGACACTCAGTGCGGAATAGGACGGACATTTTGGAGCCACATCACCGAGTCCTTGGAGGCTGACCTTGGCCCGTCGGCCCTGGTTTTCCACGAGGTTCAGCCGCGTCTTTATCTGAGGACCTTGTCAACCTCATCCTGCACCAATTATTCATCCGAAGCCGCGAGCAAGGGTGTTGAACTCCATAACGTTCTGACACGCTTGATTCGCTTGACTACAGTACCAACACCCGGCTGGCGAGCATCTCTTGTTCAGAAGTCGCAAATCCTTTCACCTGGTTATGGTGCAATTCCTGCATCTTGAGACTCAACGCCCAGGCTGTCCAATGCATGCAGCCGCTTCCAGAAATTGCAGATATGCTTCAGGGACGCGACATTCGGTCCTTGATAGGCTGATAGCTTCCCAAGTCCTCATTTACGACTGGTGCATTTGCTCATATCCAGCCTGACATGTACCTGAGGCGTTGTGGGCGTCCGGATGCTGGCATGTGTCGCTCGGATGGAGCATGTGCCGTCTTTTTAATCGCCAACATATCTTTAATTACTGTTGTGTGACGATGAGCCGGAGTGACAATTCCGCCTCAAACCTTGCTTTGGGACAGTCCAAGATAAGTGCTGCTGATTGATTACGGATGGTGACCCGGCGTTCTCCTGCACCCAGGTCGACATGTCCACGATAGAGCAGGGATAATATCCCATTTGTTGCCTCCAGCATGAGGGAGGTCATTCAAGGCAAGATCGCCTGTTTCATCCTTTGCAAATGCTGATGTATTGGGGCGTTTTCCTTGCACTGTCCTGCGCCTTGCTCACCTGTGAGACGGTATCAGCAATAACCTCTCTACCAGGCTCGCTGAATTCTCACTCAATCAGTCAGCACGAGGTGTCACAGCTTTGAGCGATTGATCAGCGACCCTGTGGGCTTGTTGATAAATCTTCGCCGCTTGACACAGTTGGGGTGCAACTTGCGAGGGCTTCGACCACCGCTGGACCACGTTCTATCTAATGTATCTAAAAATACTTGGTAGATTAGATATTCCAACTTACAAGGCCACCAACCCACCAAATCGCCCTAGTGGTCTTACGATGCCCGATGGCCATGATCGTCAGACTTGCCATTCAAAACTTGGCTAAGCTTTGTCTCACAGTGAGATATTAGATTGGGGTCCTCGGCCAGTTTGATTGTGTCATGATGAAGCTTGCATCATGAGATAGTATACAAGGTCAGTGGTAGGGATGATACTGTGCGTTGCAGTGACAACAAAAGGTGCCTGATCTTCCAGCTGGAGCCCACCAACGACTACAATGGACAGGGATTTGAGAAAGCGTCATCAAGTCTTGCCATCGTTTGTCAGGGAACGAAGCAGAAAGACACGCTGCAAATGAGGATCTCCTGCCCTCCCACGGACCGCGAACGTTTCCTGTCCATTGATCCTGTCGTTACACGCACGGACCTGCTCCGACAGATTTATGCCAGCCTGCTTTCCTATCCATTCCTTGCATTGCAATCGGGGTGTCTCTTCTGGAGAAAGAAGAGGACAAATAAGACGAGAGCGAGATATGGTTCGACCTCAACCGGCAAACTCAACACTTTGCTGTCCTTGTTCGTTCTAATTGTTGCAGGCTCATCTTGACTAGGACTGTCATTGTCCAAAGCCCTTGACTAACTCGCTGTAGCTACGAACGGGCCGTTTACATCGGAAGTTGGTGTCATTAAAGACATCTCATAAACTCCTGGTCTTATATGAGTGTTAACAAACAGGCTGTGATACGAATCATCTCTCAGTCAGACTCAACTCATGGATGTATACATTCTTTTTGTTCTCCCTATTTGGGAGATCTGCCTTCCTATCTTGTACATCTATACCTTTTCCGAGCCGAGTGTTTAAATCTAAGATAGGTCTCGCTTGCCTATCAGCCTAAATCATCCATCACGAGCCAGCCCACAAGGCTCTGGAACAACATTCAAACATCTATCTGCCTAACACAGCATCAAAGCCACCACTTGGATACTCTACTCCCATGTCGTCAGACATGAAGGCCCATAGGGCTACGACGGAGACGAAGGACACGACCAAGGTTACCTTAACCTCAAGGCCTCTTTGGCATCGACCTGATCTCTTGTCTGCTGCCAGCAACAACGTTCTCAACCCATCTCTAAACCAACGGACTATGATGATCCTACTGACTCTGACCATGTCACTCACACTGCCTCATCCGGTATCGGCCGTGCAAAGCGACATGTCATCAAATGCAGCATCCACCCCACCCAACTCATTCATCTCCAACCTCGACTGCCAATTGATGGTCGCCGGCGTGGTTGTTGGATTTGTGGGTCTTCAGCTGTGGGTATGGTCGTTTGCCACGCTCTGGAAACAAAGAAGAGCCCTGAAGCAAGAAGGATCAGATGAGATTCGCGGACGGGCACGACAGAGCAGTCCTCTTACTGGGAGAGGAGGTCTCGCGGGTCGGTTTGGTGCGGGGCGTAGTGGTGTTGGTGGCGGCGGTGGTGGATTTGGTGGATCGGCCCGCCATATGTCTCTGGGAAGGCGTGGTGGGGAGGTGGGGAGAAGGGGTTCAGGCGGAATATCTGATTGATTGATCGAGCAAGACCAGCTTGATTTGGATTGCACTACGGAGTACGTGACTACTTACAGTTCGCTCTACAAGCTAGATTGTCACGGTCTGTGAGCCGTGTTGAAGTGATGCATGCATGCAGGAATGAATGGACGGCTGTGAAGCCCGCTTGGACCCTGAGTTGCTTACACCCCGCGCTTCGTTGTTGATGCTGTGGGGGAAGAACATGGGCCGAGGGGCATGATCAGGGGGCCGAGGGGGTCCACTCGCGAGAAACTTCTGGCCAGGATTCATGTCTTTCTTTCGATATTTCTATTGTACACTCCTCTTCCGAGAACATCAACAACAGTGATGTTTTGTCGATCACAGATATCCCCCTCCCAGAGACTCTGTAGCTGATCGAACGTCATTAGGCGATCTATCATAGTCTAGAATCTCCGTCATTTTGAATCATTAATCCCAAACCTCCAGACCAAAACCGTCTGTCGGACCCACTTGTGTCACTCCATTCAGACGTTGGCTAACACTGTTGGTCACTTTTTGACGTACAAAGTAGCATCTGGGTAGATTTTCTGAACCTCAGCGGTCATACTCGGCAAGGGAGTCGAGTTGCTTCTTGCAAATAAGCCAATCACACGGGCCAGCACAGCTCGAGATTCTCTCTGGATGGGAGTCCAATGCGAAGTGCGAGGAAGGATGGTGACCTCACTGTCCTTGGCGAGATAATCGCCCAGACCGTTGAGACAGATTTCTCGGGAACAAGCTTGATCTTTCTCGCCCCAAAGCACATATGTCGGTGCCTTGAGAGCACCTTTGTGAGGGACCGCAAACAAAGCTCCATTAGAGATAGAAGCACGTCGGCGACTGCCTGGAGAACTTGACTCGGAAGCAGACGACTCGAGTGCGTACAAATCTGCAATGGTCTCGAGAGATTTTGTCCAGGGTCGGCTTGATACCCCATGGCGGTAGTAGCCGGTCATGTTCCAAAATGCTTGTCCATGTGATTTTGCGCGTGCATTCACAGAAGCGCCATAAGTTTCACCCGGAGAAGTGCTGCTCGTCGATGGAATGGCGGTGTCAAGTTCTTCCTTTCCAGGTCCAAAAGAAGTAGCAAGACATTCGGGGAAGCTCCACTCGGGCGATTTTGGATCATAGGCGGACATAGTTACCGATCTCATGAATGCGTAATTGCCGCCGATTCCCAGAAAATTCACATACACGGTCGACAAGTTGAACATAAAGATGTAGCCCATCATATAGACCTGTACAAGCAGAGGCTTGATGGTATTGTACGCCTTGGACAAGCATGACCATTGCTTCCAGGGCGATCGTCGAAATTGCTTGAAGATCATGGAGGAAGATTGAACAATTCCTTTGACATTGGCGAGAGCAAGCTGAGTCTGAGGATTGGTTTGTTAGTCATGAACGGCGTGCTTCAATGATGTTCAACTCACATGTGGGGCATTGGTCAAGATGAATCGGTCTGCAAGCGCAGGAGCTTCGGCGGCGAGACGGAAACCAAGAATGCAACCCCAATCATGACCGACTATTAAGGTGTCGATGGAGTCAGCCTGTTCGACAGGAATGTAGGTGTCTCTCATAGCGACCACAAATTCAGAGAGTGCGTCCAAGATTTGCGTATCATATTTAGGAAAACTGTCGCTTCCCCCGAAACCAGGGAGGTCAACGGCAACCAGAGTCGCATCTTGTAAAGGTATAGACTTCTCTTGTAACAAATGTCTCCACATGACACAGCTATCGGGGAATCCATGGAAGAAGATGACAAGATTGCCATTGAAAGGCCCGTCTCGGTTGCTGATGTAGTGCAATTTGAGGTTGTTTCGAAGGGTGTAGAAGTTGTGGGAGAAGTTGGGAATGGGAGATTTGGCGAGATTCCAAAACTGATCCTTTGCTAAGAGCCATATATTAGTAGGTGCTGGGAGCAGAGGAGAGCTCTAAATGCACATACCAATTGCGTATTGAAGTTCGTCTTGCTCCGTATCTTTCCTGAACCACACCCCATTTATCATGAGAACGAATAGAAAGGCGAACAGATTGAAGAAAGCATAGGCGTAGAAGGCCAGTCCCGTGAAGACTTTTGTCACACCGTTGACCATCTCGTCAATCTCGAAAGGTTTAATCTAAGACTTGATGATCGACGAGAAAGAGATACGCAGTGTTTGTAGCTGCAGCTGGGTCGTAGAGACTCGGCTTCGGCAAGGAGGGGCAGAGGAAGGTGAGGTTAGCGAACGCCCTGGCGGTCAGCAGCGTGCGTGGGAAGGTAGTCAACGACTGGCAAAGCAGTCGGAAATTCGTATAGCAGTCTGCATGAGGTTTGACCTGTATGTCAGATCCAGTAACTACTGTGGTAAGTAGATGTCTGAATGTGTAGGGATGGCACATCAGCTAGGCAGGAAGTTGTCGGTCTGGATCAACGATCACGAGGCAAGTGCAGGTGGTAGTGAAGATGGTGTGGACGGCCGCCCAGTTGCTGAGCTGTTAACGAAGAGTGAGATCCTTGCCTTGTTGGGTCAATCAGCATGACTTGAGCTCTTTTTGACTTGATCGCAGATCAGAAAAGCACTGGAGCACGACAGCTATGCCTCCGTGCCCGCTCATGGCAAGGGGGAAATGATAGGCAGTTACTAACACGGGCACACACAGACAGACAGATGGGTGGATAGGCAGATGGTCACGATGGGTGTACAAAGGATGGGATGGGAGAAGCAGAAAAGTGTGGCAGTGCCTAAACGCAGGTCAAGCAATTGGTGGTTGTTGACAGCTGGAAGTCTATTGGATCAGAGGGGTTGCTGAGGGGCTTTAAAGGGTTGAGGGGTCTTAAGGGACCCTTGAAGAACGCCTTTGTGTAGGAGTCTGTGTAGTAGTACACAGGCACTATAGGTTGTGCCTTGAACCACCATGACCATCCTCAGGCATGGCTAACTTAGGTATGTGGCTGTAGAGGTATTCATTATTGGTCCAGGCCATGGGCGGTGACACACCCAAAGACTCAGGCAACTATCAACTGGAGGAGCACCACAAGCACCCCCAGCACCCAATGATTCTCTCCCGGGGGTCCCAAAGGAAAGCCACATTCCCCTCACACTTGTACCTGGACCACCCTTGCATCCCTCGGTAAAACGGTAGCTAAGCAGCACGTTTTTATAAGCTCATCCACTTGATCCCCACAGATCGCCATACCTACGTAGGCATCTGCGTATGCCTCCAAGCAGGCTCCATATAATGATACAATACAGTCCAACCATCCTCCATTATTGTGGATTTGAGTAGATCTTCTTGCCCTCAACTGTCTTACGGTGTGGTGCCATCCAATAAATGCAGATATCGAGAATCATCGTGGCCCCCAAATCCCTTTGATTGACTTTTGATCAGTCAGAAACAAATCCCATTTCGAGTAGAAGGCCAGCCCAGCAATGAATTTCGACGCTCTCGATTTGCAATACCTGCTTGCTCTGTGCATATGCATAGCGAGAGTTGATATCAAGACTGATTTAGGCACAATGATTTGTAGGATACTCAAGCTTGACGTGCTTGAGTAATAGTCGACGCTTCCACTGCTACTTGTCTCTCCTTACATCTGGCTTTGACCCTGCGGACAATACAGAGTGTAGCGAGTATGAAAACGACTGCCCATAGTGCGAGAATTGTCCCAACGACAATCCAGTAAAGTGGCGGCCCTCCATTTTCTGGTGTCCTGGCATGCAATTGACCATTCTGGTGAAAGTCGATCGACTTCTTATTGAGAAGCCCCCATATGACAGCCATGACGGGCTGATATAAGAGTTGTCCTGGATGTTGTGTCTTCGAGTGGCGCTTTCTCAAGTTGACGGCAGACGTTCAGCGCTACATACAGCTTGGGGAGAGTCTTCATGGTTTAAGCTATGTCAAAGCCCGCAACAACTATCTAGATGAATATGAATGTGACTAGAGTATCAAACACTTGCAATGTGACTCAACCCACACTGCGAGAAGAGGAGAGAGAGAGAGTCTTGTAAGTCACCTCTTTCCCTCCTCCTTGCCTCAGTCACTCCTTGCCTCAGTCATGACGGTCTAAACCACAATCGCAATCGCAATCGTTGTCTCACACTTGAGACTCACCAGCACTCTAAACTCTGACGGATATTCGATTCACTTCCTTGTGACCCAATTCATCATTTGTGAATCAGCAAAAGCCTCCAAAATAAATGGTCATTGTGGACTTTGGCCGATGGAGGTTCAATACTGCGCTCTACTAAATCAAACCCCCACCGTAACAATTCCTCTGACATCAGCAACGGCGAAGCACAAATACTCAATGCCTCCATATCATACCACTAACCAATAATTCCGCAGACAAAGTGAATCTCATAAAATACAAGTCACTCCATCCCGTCTCCAACCCAAAAGGCAAAAAGAGCAGCTTACTGCGAACAACAACCCGGAGACCTCCTTCAGAAGGACATTGCCATTCTTGAATTCCGACTAAGCTCTCTACCCTCGAACCTCGTCCTCTCCTGCAACCCCGAAACAAACACTTGCTGTAGGTCCATTCGGCGCATTCATTCATTCAATTGAATCAAACTCACCCACCTGCTGGCCGGAGGAGATATACCTCGATAACTACCTACCTATACATAGGGTTGCTCGACAACCTATAACCCTACACCGAACTGCCCTCACAAAAGGAGGCGACACCGCTGCCTCGCTCGCCATAGCATAGCAGGTCAAGATGATCACACGGTTTCTACGACGATATCTTGCGGGGACGAATTTGGAAGTGTTCAAGGTAAGCAAGCCAACCATTGAAACCATTAATATCAAACACCCCCCCAGTACCAGTAACTACATTGAGGACCTTCACATCCACTAACATGTCCTCTTCTTCTCCATGTTCCAGTTCGGCATGTATCTAGCCTTCCCCATCGGCTACATGTACTACTTTGGCACGAATCTCGAAGACCGGTTCTCAGTACCAGGGTTCTGGCCCACCAAGGAACAGAGCAATACCATTCCATATGACAAGGAAGAAATCAAGGCCGAGGTCGAGCGGATTCGAGATGTGATGAAGGAAAGGGAATTGGAGAGACAGAGGATCAAAGCACAAACTGAAAGAGCGTTTCAGGAAGTGAGGGATAAATTGAGGGAAGGGGGTGGGAGTGGGAGTCGGGAGGATGGAAGTGTTGTTTCTTCGTGAAGAGATGATAAAAACCAAGTTGCATTGCATGGCATGGCATTGGGTCCGGTTATGGAATTCATTCAGCATGGCATGAAAGAAAAGCTTGTATGTGCATATCATATGGGATCATGAAAAGGTGGACATGTTTGATATCAGACTCATGGTTTAGATGGGGGCGGGTTGGTGTATTTGAACGATACGGGAACACTTCTCTCTTCATAGCTGTACAATAATTGATACATTAATTTCTCATAGACCCTTCCTCGGAGTCTAGCCAGCCGTACTAAGAGGTTTCAGTCTCTTTACATCTCAAGAAGACCGTTATTAAAACCAGGTAATCATGTTATACACTTGCTCCACCTTGTCCCGCCCCCGAAATAAGACATCACTCGCTCCTCTATCACATGCTTGGAACCATTGTGCTGGAAACGCAGCACATATATGGTTCATGTTATTAGACTATTAGCAACCCCGTCCCAACTCCTGAGTCTGACTGTCGATGCCCTGGGTGCCCTACCGGGGCTGAGAAGACGTATGATTAAGGCATGGGAACCCCCATAATTCTTTCTTCATGAAACCACAAACAGGTTCACAATCACATCACAGCTCTCGAAGAACTGAATCCGTAGTTGCCGCCACTGATTGTAGAGTCAGGGAAGAGATAACGCCTGAACCGTCCGCTGAAAGAATCGTCTTGCCAGGAGCCGCGGCAGTAATGTACTTGAATTCGCCGTGGACATAATACCAGATCCGATTGTAGATGATGGCGACATGGTTCGGGAGGTATAGTGAAGCGGCGGTAACGAGCAGGGAAACCAGAATGAAGAGAATCAGGTCTAATTGCAAAACCAATTAGAGAATGCAGCTGAGCGTTGGGACGTCGATAAGACATATGGTTTGTAGAAACTTACTGAAGATGAACTTCTCGGTCGACGTCATCATGTAGAGAGAGAATGTGACTTCATACTGGTATTTCTTCAATTGTAGCCAGCGGACAAAAGCGGATAAATATGAGGTTTGTTGCTCCCTCGCGGCCCGGCGGTCGTCTGTCATTCTGTGGTTGTGGTTGTGGTTGTGGTTGAGTGGTTGCGTGAGCATTTCAAAGCGAGTGGCGGACGGTGATAGACTCGAGGGGGTAGAGCGAGGGTAAGAGAGCGCGATACAAAGGTGAATGGTGAACAGGTGGGATAGGAGAAGGAGAAGAGGTTCGTTTCTGCTTTGACGGTGAACGAAGGAAATTTGCCTGGAAACAAGCGTGTGAGGGGGTGGCGGATTGAATATGTGCAAGGAGAAGAAACGGCAGGATTTTTGTAGCGAATGTGAGGCGAGTTGAGTTGAGGGGCCGAGTGAGAGTTGATGTGAAGCGTGGTGCAGTGAGGTGAGAATGAATGAATTAAATGATTCTCGTCTGGCAGATTTCGGTGACAAACTTCTGCCTTGCGAAGCTCGCAATTTACGCGTCGGCAAGATTGAGCCAATAGGAATTGACGACTCCTGACTCCGGAAGGAATTCCTCAGCCTTGCGTGGTTTGGCGCTCACAGCCAATGATGAGAAGGCACTGTAGTCGATCTCTACCTCTAACTCTATGTATGAGTCTTTGTCTACATACCATGTCGTAGCGTAAGCTCTTAATTCTAAATTCTTAATCCTTCATAACCTTCAAGCCTTGCCATCCGAGTACTGGACCACAGCCCACTTCCCACTCCAAGCCCATTTTCTTGCCCCAGAATCTCCACCTCCTCCTGCCATTGCTCGAATCTCTTCATCTTTTCCTTTGGGAAGACCGACCACGACATCAGCCTTGCATGTTCGCAAAGCCAATACTCTAATACCAGAAGTCGGTCCAAGTGGGCCAATAGCCGTCACGAAAGGCGTGGTTGGATCCCATGAAGCCTGTCGTACTCAAGTCAGTTCTCGATCGACACAAGGGCGCATAGAAAAGTCATAATTTTACTTACATCGCCAGTCAATTTTCGGTAATTGAGATCTCCTTTGAAGATGACGAGCTCACTCTCTTTCAAATCTTCAAACAGTTCAGGAGCCATCTTCGGCAAGCGCCAGAAACTGCCCGCATGGGTCCAGAACCGGTTCGGTCGAAGAATCAGCTGTCCTTCACCGTGCAATTGACTCCAATCCTCGAATAGGAATTTGACATCATTCGCTTCCTCTTCTGTCAAAGGCACCGGCGCCTGTCCATTCCCTTTCGATTCATATTCATCCGAAGGATCCTCGTAGAACGACTTGGGATCTTGCATGGCTCCCAACAACGCGGCCAAATCCTGTGGAATGACATCACTGACAAACCAAGGAATGCTCTTAGGATGTAACACAACCTCAGTGGCAAGACCTGTCGCCAGTAAATACCCCGCCAGAATCAGATCCACAAACAATTCAAACCCAGCATTGTCCAGCACAATATCCACTCTCCTCGAAGATTTCCCTTCTTTATGAGCACGATTCAAAACCGCAAACGCCTCTGCCAAGTCATTGACCAGGATATTCTTCTCACTCTCCTTCCTCGCATTACTTCCCTGTAGTTTTTGAATATCCTCATACGTCAGATTCGTCAAAAGACTAAGATCGGTAGCGTTTCCCCACAGACAAATCTCCGCCATTTCAGTAAAGAGGAGTTTCTCCGCCTGTTCGACCTCTTCAGACGAATGAGGCGCCTCGACAACCGAATGTGATTTCGAAGTTCGAATCCGCGTGATGATCTCTCGATACTTAGCGGCTAATTCCAGTACGGCGGGCCGTGACGACTTGAACGTGCTCATCTTCTGACGTCGAAAGACATCGTAACTCTTCCAGAACGGATGCTTAGCCAACGCGAACAACGTGGCTACCCGGCGATACAGATAACATTCCGAATATAGCCACTCAACATCATGCCATTTAGGTGGGCCTCGAGCCTGGAGTTCGACGTTGTATCCCTCGACGTCGGGTTGTCCGTCGTCGGCGATCGCTGTCAATGTTCGGTTGTGTTGGAGTTCATACTTGATTGACGCGAGCGCTGATACGATCGCCTTGCCTTCTTGGATCCGTTCCTTGTCTGATTCTGGAATCGACGATACTGTCCGGTGGACGTCGTCGATTGCGCCGGTTATGATTGCAGGCCACCGTTCGCGCGCTGATGTGAAGGCAAATGATGTCGGATCTGACGTTGAATATGTGGGTGTTGATGTGTCGTGCTCCATGGTGGAAATCACTCGATCTAGTTGTTCTCCGGCTATGCTATGCAGTGATGAGCAGGTGTAAGTTGCGTCGTCAATGAGGTGAAAAAAAGAGATTCGTGGAGGTCGTTGACAGAGTCACCATCTATTCCTAAACTTCCCGTTGGGCAACGCTTCTGACTTCTGATCAAAAATGTTCATTCTGATAATGCCAAGCGCCAATCAACGCTCATGCTACCACGGCTTGGCAGCGAACAAGGCTGATGCAATACCTTCGTTATAACAAGGTCATTAAGACCGCAAGATCTTCCACGTGAGGGTAAAATCCTTCTACAAACTCCTTTGATGTAAAGTATTTTGATTCTATGTCTATATATATATCTGAATTTTACATGCTTGCTCAGTCGAAGTCCATTCTAAGCTGTATAGCTGGTCGGGCTTCTGAATCTTCCTGCGAGTCCACCTTCTGTCGTTGCCCAATACCAGCAGCTCTCAATAATGTCTCCAGCTCAGAGCGTTGTTCCTCATCGAGCAGGCCCACCGTGACTTTGAACGCCAATTGATCTGCAGCGATCAATTCCAGGAGTCTTGCAGCTCCTTCTTTGCGGACCTCATCCACATTTGCACCTGCGGGTACGTCTGATGCCCGTGAGAGGATTGTAGGCACCAAGATGGACATGGCGGCGAATTTGCCTGATCCTTTCAATGTTGCTACAGAGGCAACGAGAGACTGTGCGACCGAGGCTTTAATGCTCTCTGGGTCTTCTGCCTCAGGATCGTTGATGAAGGGGATCAACCTTTGCCATAGAGTCCGCGCAATCAGCTCTTCGCTGGGGCTCTTTAGCTGGGACGCCAGTAGCTTTCGGATACATCCTGCCGCGATTTTGGCAAGGCCAACGTCCTGGATACAATCCAGTAGCTCTGCCACGGCCCTGGCGACCAGGGTATCGTTGGGAGGGATGAATGAACTGGCTGTCGTGAGTAGGATTGTCATCGACAATAGAGTATTCTTTGCACAGGTGATTGAGTATTCATTCTCGCGCCGTTGTGCGAACGTCAGCGTCATCAACATTCGATGTAGACATCCTCGGATCAGGCGTGAAACGATGCCGCTTGAGTCTGGCCGACGGACATCTTCCAGAAACTTTTTGAAGATAGGCATGATGCGAGGAAGAACTTCTTCCTGACATATACCTGTTGCCAGCATGGTACAGTAGATGTGAATAATACAGGCATGCAAATCTGCTCGAATTATTGCAGGGAAGACTTCGGCAACCTCAACAATAGCCTGAAACGAGAGCTCTACAAGGGCTAGGCCATCGTCTCCCAAGCGACGGACCGCGGATCCTGGTGGATCCTCCAATGTAGGAATCAGTCCGGTCAAAACCAGAATAATGATACGGGTAAGCTCAAACAATTGTTCGATGTCGTCCGACAGTTTGTCATCACGATCTTGACTCTTGGCCGTTAGATGGTCGAGTGAAAGATTTCGAGCAATTTCCACCAGTACACTCTGGGTTTCCCGTGTGCTGGTTAGAGCAAGTCGATCAAGCGTATCGGTTGTCTCGTTGAAGACGGCATCCTCATAGATCGCATTGCCACTGACCGCAGGAGTTAGGATTTTGCGAAGCGCTTGCAGAATCGCCAGCGCTTGAGATGGATCTTCCCGGGCTTGGGTCACCAAAGCCTCAAAGGCGAGACCGAACAGGATGAAGAAAAATGCCACGGGTTCTTCTCGGAAGCTCATATCTCTTCCTGGACTTGCATTCTCCCCACTCGTTTGTTCGGCAGTGGCGACACGTTTATTGTCCAAAGCGTCAAACACCGAACCGCTGTCCCTTTCGACAAGGACAGCAATTGCATCCACAATACTCAACCAATTCCGCTGGTAGAACTTGAGCCGCACCTCTCTGTTGAATGATGCATAGCGTTCGTCAAGATTGCCCCCAGCCACCTCCCCTCCTAGAGTATCGGAGATTTCTGGCTCAAATCTGAGCCCGGCAAATTCCTGAAGGGATGTGAGCCATAATGGCGCGAGCTTCGGTATGTATGGTTGCAATATTTCGTCCAAGTATGGCTGCTCAGTACTTGCAAGTTGAAGGTGGGCCCAACCAGATAAGATGCCCATTTTTAACATAGCCTGGGCATTTGGACTCAATCCTTTCAAATCGCCAATGGATGCTTCAGGTTCGGGTTGATTCAAATTATCAACGCCAATTGCAAGGACTTTGAAAATGCGGCCCATCCGATCAGCATTCGTGACGATCCCAGTGGCAACAAAAGTGGCACAGACACCAATTGCCTCTGCCGCAAGCTCCGGAGAAGAGTCGGCAGCAAATGCTGGTGTCAAAGCAGAACTAATCTGAGCTTGATACTGTTCAAGGAGTGATGCTTCCAGGAAGTCGGGATCAGGCGTCTTGCCGAACAACTTGAGAATCTGATCTATGATACGCAGACCCCAAATTCGAAGTTCAACAACATTCGCAGTTGAAGCTGAGAACGCCAGTCGAATTACATCAGCGACCTTGCTTTGAAGGACTTCCTCTGCGTGGATGACCTGGTCGGAAGAAATGGCCGCCTGAATGATCTGCATCGATTCAGCCAGGAGCTGCATCGCAAAATCACGCGTTTGCCACCGAAGATACTCCTGACTCTCAGGTGCAAGTTCTGCGGTCTCGCCTTGCACCGCAGTAGCAAAGCCAGCCACCTCCTCGTCGGCGAGGTCAGGCATCGCAGACTTTGCCGTCACTGTTGCTGCTCGTGCCGGCGCCTTTGCCCTCGTCTTCGAGAGTATTGTTTGGCATCGTTCAATCCACTCCGCAGTCTCAACAAGGATTGTCTGCTGCATCCAATTTTGGAGTATGCCTTGCACCGCCTGATGGTTGGGTTCATCATCGAGTCGAGACCACAAGTCGTCGCTGAGTTTGGACGAGGCAACTCGAGCAACCTCGGAAGCATTGCGCTTCATTAGCTCCCCCAAGCCTTTGATGGCCGTGGACTGCATCAACTCTTCGTCCGAAGACAGGTTAGCTTGCAGATCCTGCACGTATTTGGAGAATTGCACATGCGCTGGGGCGTAGAGACACAGATGACGGAGACATTGATAGCTTTCATGCCTTAGCTCAACTGCGCCCTCTTTCTGCAGATAAGTGATGATGACAAGAATCAGATTACGCGCCTTGGAGACATCCTGCAAGTCGGGTCCGAGGACGTTGATGATCGAGTCGACGCATTGAGATAGAGCAAAAGGGGTAAAGAGCTCCATTTCGAGATTTGAAGTTGCTTGAGACGCTGACTCCTCGTTATGAGTGTCATTGCTGTATAATTGAGCCAAAAGTCCCAAGGTGCTTGTTGCGAAAGTCGAGAAAGCGAGCCCGGCAGACTCAGCAACCTGGACGAGTGCCTTCAAGGCCCAGAAATGCACTGTAGAGTGGCTGTCGCTGCAAAGAGATAACAGCACACCGACGATCGATTTAATGTGGAGACTTGCAGCCATTGCGCCGACCTCTGAATGGATGTAACCAAGAGCGAGAGCACACCCTGCCCGAGCACTAGGATCTCGATTGGCCACAATTGTCTCGATGAGAATTTTGACTTCTTTATTAGTGAACTGAGTTCCTGCAAGGTTGCAGAGGCGACCAACTGCTTGGGCGGCTACCTTACGAAGAATATGGTCCGATGTGCAGAGGAACTTCCGCAACAGCTCGACGACGACTCCACCGAACGCGCCGACGTTCAGTTTCCCGGCTGTGAATTGGGTTTCGTGATTGGCAACTGACAGGCCACACAGTAAGGCTAAAGCAGAGTTGACTTGCATTGCAGCTTTCCTTCCGGGCTCCCGCTGAAGCGGCTGAGATACTGTTGTAACAAGTTGCTCCACAGTGCTCTCCTGGATGCGAGGTGACTGTAAGGGCAAGGAGAGCGCGAACAACTTGATGGCAAGGTTGATGCATGAAGTCGCCGGTGGGTCGAGTTCTGCTTGGCTCAGGACTTTGTCCTGACGGAGTAACAATAGTGGGTCGTGCTCAATAGCGGGTAAGCTTGGAAGACGTAAAATAATGTCAGGAAGCGATGCATCGCGTTCATTCAATTTGGCATCGCCGTCTTGAAGCCGATTCTCCAGTGGCAAGTAAGTGTCAAAGGTCTCAGCCAAGCTGCTAGTTCCAAAACTCCAATTGTCGCCAGTTGACCAGAGACCTTCAAAATTGCTCGCAATGTTCGTAAGAGATGTTTCCAGATTTTTTTGAAGTGGCCGTTCGGGATCTGTAAAGGTGCGCATAGTAAGTCCAATCAAGTCTGATTGTGAGACAATGTCGCTTTGATCAAGGTGTTTCAGTCCCACCAAAGCAATGAACGACTGAAGTACTCGCCGTCGAAGCATGATGGCAAAATCTTGAAGCTGGAGCGCGGGAACCAGGCGGTGGGATAAATCATCGGCCTCGCGAGTCGCTGGCAGAGAATCGAGAAACTGAATTGTGGCGTGTAGCATTAGTGAAATGCGTTTGGACCCATCGGTGGTTATCAAACTGCTACAGGACGCGAGGAACATCAGGAGAGAGCTGAGAGCGCACTCTCGAACATGGGATAGAAAGCTTAGCTCCAGATGTCCTCTCTTAGTTGCATTCTCGTGGGTCAGAGGTGGCGGTAGAGCATTTCGCCATAAAAGCATAAGCTGATTTTGATGAACTTTGACAAAACTCGGCCCCAGGTTCATCAATCCACCAATTAAAGTCCATGCCACTTGTACCTGAATCGCAGAGATTCTCAGCTCGGCAGCAGCACTTGATTTCAAGAGGTCTGTGGCGAAAGTGAAGACGTTGGAGTAGATCTGGGTTGAGCCATACAATGGCTTATGTCGAGCAGCGCTGGTAATTGCACCAATAATCAGGGCGTACCCTATAGCCTTGCGATGAGGTTGCTTTGTCTCGCCTGGGTTTAATTCCTTTTGAAGTTGAGATAGCGCAACCTCGAGGCTCCGTACCAATTGACTGGGACAGCCAAGAACAAAGACTTTGAGACACTGAGCCACATGGCTTTGAACAGTATGACTTGGATGTTGCACAACTTGGAACAACGCCTCGCGACAAGAGTCCTGGAAAATGCTGGCAGCGGGTCCCAATCCCTGTATGAGATCGGTGAGGGTCGCTAATGCGCCCGTCAGTACTCTTTTAGAAGGTTCTTTCCGTTCTGTAATGACCTGTGGGTAGTTCTTCAGCACGTCGTTGATCAAAAACCGCGCAGCGGTGATTTGTGCGTTTTCCGTAAGGAGGGGCGTGACGTCGGCGAGAATGTACCGGACGAGTTTCCGCGTGAGAAGCATGCGGTATCGGTTGAAGTAGATGGTCGGGTGGTTGAGGAGATCATTGTACATATGGACTGCGATAGAGGCATAGCTTTCCTCGAGGACTTTTCTCGGTAGCGATCGAAGAAGATACTTGTAACCCAGAGAGATGCAAGACCGGGACCTGTTTGAAGTTGCCGGTCGGCAGTACTGGTGTGAGAGAACACGGAGAATGTCGTTGAGTCCCATAGAGAGTTGGACATTGGTCTTGGGGATGCTAGGATTGGGTGACCCTGGTCTTTCGGCCTCGGCCTCCTCTTCAAGATCAGCTCCTGCTTTCTTGGACTTCTTCGGTTTTCGAATCAGAGGTATGTCTCCGGAGCTAGCGTCCGAGTATGTCTGACGCAGCGCCTCTGCCATGGCATGCGCAGCCGCGTGTCTGACGGATGGCACTGAACTGTCCGCCGCCTTCCAGATGGCCACTTTGAGAGAGTCAAAATCACTCGAATTGTTGAAGTAACTAGTCTCACAGACCAGATCTCGGAGACAGAGGCATGCACATTTCTGCACAAAGTTTGATTTGTCGCTGCTGGCAGCATTGCGAGCCTGCTTCCAGATATCTCTGGCCACATGTTCATCCACACTAGTCTTGACACATTTTATGAGACCGCTAATTGCAACAAATACCCGGCCTCGCAGTCCAGTGTGGGATGTCTTCAATAGTTTGAGGAGGGTCAAAACAGTAATGCTGGAGAGACTGATGGCACTGTCGCCTGCAGAGCGGAAGACCTCGCCGAGGCAGACCACTGCTGCATGTTTGGCCGCCAACTCCTTGTCCGACTTTCCCTGATTTAGAATTCCAAGCAAGTCGTTGATGGTCTCGTACAGCATACTTCGACTACCACGGTCAAACACATCGGCCAAAATGCTGCCCAATGTATTTCTGATGACCCGGGAAGGAACAGGAGCGCTGAGGCCTGCAATCTTGATCACCTCCTTTTTTATGTTGGCCTGCTGGACAGGTAGCGCCTCGGTCGACAACTGTTGCACATATCGCTGGAGGTCGGAGACGAAGCTAAGGAGGTAGAGGTCTTGTTGCTCCGAGGGGAGCGCATGTAATCTAGCGACATCGAGTTCATGGTCGACGCTTCCATTGACCTGTGGCGCGGTTGGAGCGGTTTGAGCAGGCTGCGGCTCGTCCGAAGGGGTAGCCATTGGGCTGGATAGGTAGGGATGCGAGCGCCCAGAGGGGACGACCGCTTGACTGATAAATAGATGGCATGTATGTCAGAAACCTGCACTTCTTGGACGAAAGCACGTTCCCACAGTCTCTCAAATGGCCAGATTATAGTCGACGTCTCGATCACGGCCAGAATGCGAGATTATGCAGATGCGGTTAGATCTAATCAGACCAGAACTTGGCATCAGAAGCTTCAGCGAAACTTTACAGTCACTGACGCATTTTATACCACGTGATATGTGATCCGCTCTCGTCGGACTTGTATCTAGAATACCGTCGAGGATGAGAATTCACAGATTTGTTAAAGGCTAGCCAGTCTACGGATATCCATCTCTGGTTTTCTGGAGACAAACAGGTAGAGGCTCTGCAAAATTCTGTCATCAACGTAGTAATTTCCTCAATGTCTTGCACAGGAGCAGCGGCATTTTCCAATGCCGCCTCGCTATGATGACGATAGTCCAGTAAGACTATTGTCGGAGTCCAAGTGAGACTGTATGGAGGTGAGAACGATAAGATACGTCTCTGGCTAGCCTTGCTTCGATCCATACCCCACAATTCCTCTCCAGAGTCAACAGAGCTCGTCCGGCCCCACAGTCAACTTCTGTCCATAGTCACCAACATCGGCTTTATATGGTATCAACTGACTCGACGGTCGACTGTGTGACATGATGATGCTCACATAATACGATCATATCAAGGTCGATTCGAGAGAGTTGTTGAAGTGCGAGTCATCAAGCACGAGTCGGGCTTGATATAGAATGTGTAGATCAGTCCATATTGGGAATAGCCTCTGTCTGACTCGCTGTGTCTCTTTAAGCACTGCAGGCTCAGATGGCGTTTTTGGGTTGGGACATCACAGGTCCTCAGGTGAGATTCGTAATCGAAGGCATTCTCCTTAATCTTGTATTGCTAAATAAACGGCATCCCACATGTCCTGACTCGAGGCGGAGAGACTCATCAGCAATAGGTCAGAGATGGAGAGGAGTCAATCTTTGCTCAGATCAGATCTTGGTTATAGGAGGAGTGATGCAGTTAGATGAGACCAGGGTTCCTCAGAAGAAGCTGCGTCTGTCATGATCCATTACTCCCAATCAAAGTATAACGATGAGTGCTCATGGGTTGCATTATCGATAAATAACAACAGCACATCCCCAACTTGATATTTTCCAATCTCACCAACTCGGTGTGCTGCCAGACTACCAAGCAGCGTCGATTCGGACGATGTCCGAACACAGTCATGGATCACTGTTGATGCCGAAACCCTCTCTGTGGCATTATTCGCCTAATCCTCGATTCCCGAAAAGCTAGCAAGCGAGAGAGTTCGACAACGTGCTCCTCGGTCGTCTCTATCATCTTGGTCACCGCAGTCTTGGGCCACCTGTGGCTCTTCCAAGAGCAGCTTCTTGGAGGATTTGGGGGCTTCAAACGAGAGGGCGAGGTTGGTTATGGGAAAGCTCTCGTCAAAAGAAGGAATATCATTTCTGTGAAAAATGAGACGTGCACAAGGAAAGGAAACAAAGCCACATACCTCAACTCGGGAAAGAGATTGAAAAACTCGGACCTCATGCTCCAGCAACGGAGGTCAGCCTGTCTGGTGATAAAATCGAGCGAATACGAGTACATGCCCGTCAGGTCGTTGCGGACGAAGGTGTCTTCAGGGTGATGGTTCCAAACGAAGCGACAATAGTTCCGAAAGCTGTCCATGAAACGGTTGGTGGCATACTTGCGAGGTGCAAAGAGAATATGCTCTCGGATCCCCGGCCAGACAAAATGCTCGACCAACGGATCATGCTCGAGGTATGCCTGAGCGGGCCGCGCGATCATAAAGCCTGGTAAAGCCAGATCAGGCGTTAGGTAAGGTCGGACCTGTGCCTGATATTGCATCCGCATCACGCGCATGATTGCCAAACGCTCTGGAACACCAAGGGCTGAATAGAGGGACTCGTCGAGGTGGCGAAGCCACAGCCAACCCGGATCGAGGTAGTACCGAGCGGTCACAGATGCCCAGCCATGAAGAACGGCTCGGACAGGAATATCTTCTTCGTACTCCAAGGGTGTCTGGTGATGCTGAGGCATGGTGAGGATGAAGCTTAACAGGCTGCCGGCAAGGTACCACAGTCTTCCATCCAACATCCGATCTTGAATGATCTGCACTGCAATTTTATTGATATTTTGAGTTATTTCGGCTTGCTCTTGATTGGAATGAACAAGTGGGAAGTCATCCTCATGTATGATGGGCAGTGACGCATCATTTCCGGTGTCGACGACAACTTGATCAGGCAAAGCGCACTGCTCCGGGCTCGAGTGTGAGGATTTGTTACCGGTCGAGTTCGCTTGAGGGGAATCGAAGTACGCTCTCACATGCGTCTGGTCTTGTTCTACCGGGATCATGGTCTGCTCATCGTGGAAGGGGTTCTCAAGCTGGACAGAGGACTCTTTCGATGTGGTTGGCAAATCAGGCAACTTGACATGGCACATATCGTCGTCATCGTCGCGGTCACCGGAATGAGAGTCGGATTTGGGCTGGTCCGAGTCTTTGTCGCTTTTGGTGGCCAGCAAGGAAGTCAGGTCTACACCTTCTACCAGTTTGTTGACGCCACGAATGATCTCTCGTAGTCTATTGATCTCCTGCTGGCTCTCATTTAGCCTGTCGACCAATTCATTCATGCGGCCTTGATCGCTGTGACCTTGTTGTAGAGCTCTGACAAGACCCTCGAGGTGAGCAATTCGGTTTTTGGTTTTAAGACGAATCTGTCGTTGTGCCTCACGATCACACTCTCGCTTCCTCTCCAATTGCGCCTTGGACAATTTTGGTCTCTTGGGTTTGGAGGTCTGCAGGTCATCTCCAGATGGTGATATGTCGCGCTTAGTGGACATTTTGGCGTTGATTGCAGTGATGATACATTAGGTGCAATGAAGTTTCACTTGAGAATCATCAAGCCATAATTGCAATGACCCTGGAAGTGGATGGTGTCAGGTGGGAGGCCAAGGTTTTTGGTTACCTAAGGTGAAGTGTCTCGATAGGTTGTACCACGGATGGAATGGATGTCCTATGCCCCAGCTCCACACCCCATCAACGAACCCCATGTCACGAATGGTGAATTCTGGGGACTCACAGACCAAGGGGCCCGATGAGCCATCCCCGAGGTGGGCGCGGGGGGAGTGGGAGGGGTGGCGTGGATGGCTCGCGCCCGAGATGGATCCTGGTTCGTCTTTCCACGCAAAGGGAGGCCTGAAATGGGCTCGATCGGACGGAGGACTGCTGGTAATGTTTGGAAATAGTCTCGCCACATACGTGAGTTTCCGTAGTCAGCGGCGTCGACTCATTCATGACATGGAGAAAGCCTCGGCCGAAGTAGTCAGAATAGAATGACTCAGAGGAGAAGTTTCAGGAATTGAGGAGGAAAGGGAAAAGATGGGGAAGACGCTAAACTACATTGAGGGGTGACGCACCTGCTCTAGATTTCAGCGTTCTTTTGAGCAGGAACGACCGACCCGACCCATGTGGGCACTTCGAAGAATGGAAGGAGCCTTGGAAGACATGGAAGAGTTCCACATGCGCGAGGCTGTCGTGACGGGAGAATTGTTCAAGGTGATTATAGCGTCCAGATCCAAACGAGATGGAGTTTACCCTCTCCGAGGTGGGTGCAGTGGAAGCGATCCCTCCTCCCACGCCGCCACCACCACCGCGACCGGAGCCATTGTTACCCACCAACATATTCAACTCTGGCACGGAACATAAGTCGAGATAGGCTAGCATTAGTTGTTGCTAGACAGAAGAGAACTCTGTCTGGGGATTGAGCGTCCTTATAAGAACTATTTAGAACCTAGGCTAAAACTGCTCGACCCAATAAAGATCCCAATCTATCTAGGCACGCTTCTTCAAGTACAAGGTTTGAGAGTTGCAGAAGCTTCGAAGGCCTGAGATGGACCATTCGGAGCCAACACCACTCTCCTTGTGGCCTCCAAAAGGCGCATTGGGGTCGACCTCGAGATGGGTGTTGACCCACACGCTGCCGGCCTCAAGCTGTCTCGCTAATCTGCTAGCTTGTTCCAAGTCGTTGGACCAGACTGAGGCGCCGAGACCCATCTTGGTGTTGTTGGCACGAGCAATAACGTCGTCCTCGTCCTTCCATGTCAAGAGAGGAACAATAGGTCCGAATGGCTCTTCGGTGACAATGCGAGAGTCGTCGGCGGGCTTGTCAATGATGGTGGGTGTGATCTAAGGAAAGAGTCAGACATGGGAGTTGTTCTTCACGTGGTGCCAGTGTGAACTTACGAAATAACCGGGCTTATCCTCGTTCTTGCCGCCAACTGCGACATTCCACTTCTCTTTCTCAATGTCGGAGAAGAAGGTCTTGACCTTTTCATATTGCATCGAGTTCTGGATGGGTCCCACTAGAAAGTAGAAGAGATTACCGTTAGTGATTGAACCTCATGGCAAGCAACCATATTTCGGTGGCAAGAGCGCGGACACAACATACAGAAAACACCCTCCTCGTTTCCTTCGCCGACCTTCAAGGTCTTGGTGAAAGCCACAATGGCCTCGCGGAACTTCTCGTAAATGTCTTCGTGCACGTAGATACGCTTGATGGCCAAGCAGATCTGGCCGGAGTTGAGGAAGGCAAGTGTGCCAATCTACATTAAAGGTTAGACAGTCCATAGCGCACAAGAGCAAACGTCGTTCTCACCTTCTGGGCGACAGTGGCAATATCGACGTCCTTGCAGATAATGGCAGGATCCTTTCCACCCCTACTACCATTAGTTTTCTGAACAAGGTCAGGAAATAAAGCCAATACTTACAACTCAAGAGTAACTCTCTTCAAGGTCTTGGAAGCACTCTCCATCACCTTCTTACCGGTGAAAGTTGAACCAGTGAAGCTGATCTTGTCTGGGCCAGGGTGGGCAGTCAGCCATGGGCCGAGGTTATCATCCTATTGGAGCACACGAACGAGATTAGTCATGGATCGAAGAAAGAGAAAAACAATACCCTCGGTAAGCACGACGAAATGGTAATTACTACTTACACCGCTGAGAACCTGGACAACACCAGGGGGGAAATATTGCTGAGCCAGCTCGCCGAGCTTGAGGTCGCAATAGGGGGTAAATGGAGAAGGCTTGATGATGATGGGGTTTCCAGTGATGACAGAGGGGGCGATCTTGCCGCAGGCGAGATGGACAGGGAAGTTCCAGGGAACGATTCCAACCGTCACACCGAGGGGTGTGTATCGGACAATGACTTGCTTGTCGTCATCCTCTTGAACAACCTGTTCATCAAACTTGATGTCGGCCAGAGCACGGAGCCAGTGTACACCGGTTTGAATCTCTCCGACGGCGAATTGGTTCTGGAGAATGGGGTTAGTATTGAAAGACCGAGGCAACTTATGGTGAAGTGAATGCTCCCGCTCTCGAGGCATAACGTACGGGTTTACCCTGCTCAGATGTGAGCAACTTGCCAAACTCTGGAACGTATTTCTCAAGGCCATCGGCAAAGTCCTTGACAGCCTTCTGACGATCAGCAAGAGGCACCTTAGACCAGGTCTTGAAAGCGGCCTTGGCGGCAGCAACAGCATCGTCTACATCCTGCTGCGTCGACACTGGGACTTCAGCGAGGGGCTTGCCCGTGGCAGGGTTGGTGCCGTGTCTGGTCTTTTCGGTGGTGGTCAGCTTGCCATTGATGGTGTTGTAGAAACCATTGAAGACATCAAAGTCTTTGGTCGATCCGAGGGAGCCCATATTGATAGAAGGTTTCGAGGGGTATATCTTTTGTGGGTAAGGACAGGATGGATTCGGAGAGAGAGATTTACAGCCCGTGGAGGTAGTAGTGATGGCGAGCGAACGAGTATATATGGGACATTGGCCAGTCCCTGGGATTTGCACAGCAGCGTAATCGAGAACCCTAAAGTCCGTGCCACGGCGTTTGTTCAGATCGAGGGGCAAGGGCATGATTCGTGTGTTGCGGGGCAATCAAACTTCACCTCGGGAGTTGATGCGCGGGCGCGGGTGGCCGTGAAGGCGTCGTGGCACCAGGTCAGGTCGTTCTGCATCAGTAACCCTGACATAGTCCCACGGCGATCTCTTCATCACTACAGTACCTTACATGACTATCTGCGGTAATTACTGATCATGAGTTCGGCTCCACTACTGAATACCTATCTTGAACCGCTTTAGTGCTCACTATTCAATGTTGTATTGACCGTGATGGTCGGCCGCCTGAATGTTATCAATGGCGAGGTTTTGTAAGAATTAATGAAGGCTGTGAAACACGTTGGTGGGGAGAGAATGCCCCAGAAGCCAAACATGACATCCTAGGTACCTTGGACCAGGGTCGAGGAGAGAAAGGCGGGCTTTAGAGGGGTATTGCTGCCTTGTCATGATCCTTGAGTGGTTCAAAAAGAATCTCTTTAAACGCACAAAACTAAACAATGTATGGGTAGCGAATGGCGCGGAATACCTCCAGCCTATCGTGTACATCTTCGCCTTTGGCCAGTTCCACTTTTTCTTCTGTACAGATCACTGACTCTCTTCAGTCGTGTTATTTGTCATGACTTCAGAGAACGACCTGACTGATGAACCTCGGGAACTTCAGGTTGTGGAGTTTTTGCCAGCCAGTCAGGTTGGCGCCATGATTTTGCTAGTGGACTGCTCAGGGCAACCCGGGAATCACCAACCTGCCTGCCTGTGTGAAGCTTAACTTCATCTAGCATCGAGGTGAATTGCCCTTTCGGGTAACTGAATCGGGACTTCTTTCTGAGTGATTCTATTGAAATGTAAAAGACGGGTAATGATTAAGCGCGACATTAGCAGGAGGCATGATCGATAGAGATAGCAGTTCTCCCCTTAGGTCTCGAGGCTACTCTAGTGTATCTCTAAAGAAATTTTTCATAGTTGCGGCCTTGTTGTACCTGCTGAGAGGCTATGTACACCAAAAGCGGCGGTTAGATTGATATTTGTCCTTAATGTGTTCCAGATCAGCACTCTGAATCCTTCGTAAATGGGAGAATATCCATCCTGCACAACCTTAACACCCCCGAGTGTCTGCGGCGCGCCATCTCTTACGGGCGAGTGTGGCAATTGTCGGATGCAAGTCCTTCCTGGGACGAATTAATGCGATGGTTGGATGGATGCTGATTGACCCGAGGATCACTATATCCGGAAACTTAAGTGAGGTCCTCCCTGCAACACAGCCAAATCCACGGAATTAACGAAGATACACATGAAAATCACCATGGTCTGGACCTTCGGGAATGGGATGGCCTTATACCAAGGATTACTGATATTTCATCATCGTTGGGTTGTAGGCCTCGAAGCTGGTGGCCTGGAAATTCCTCGGCCCACGGATCAGGCTGTGCGACAAAACATGGATTTCTATGGAAGTGTCGCAATTTGTGTGTATCGTGCTGACTTTAAGGTTATCATTATGCTGACTTATCAGCGACACGTGAGAGTCATAGAGAATCAAGTGCCCCACCCTACTACGTATGATGACTTTGTACTCCGCAATAGAGATACGTCACGTGATGTCGAACACGTGAGCAATTGTCACCAACCTGACTCTTTGTCGATTGACCTGAGTGTCTTTCACAACTACAACTACAACTACAAGGTATTCAGGTTCCAAACTCTGTGTTCATGTGCCTATTTCATAGACATGGTAGACTATGTCGACAATAACCAATCAGCTTGTCGCCGTAATCCCTGCCGCATTAATGATCCTCCGATTTTGCCCTGCTACCCATATGACTCTCGAGTCATCCAAACTGACTCGGGAGTGTTTGCACATGAGTCTACCTCAGACGTATCTGCCACACTTCATCACTGCTGACAATGATATTGCACAGTCATCAACCGCCAGTCTCCATTTCCTAGGTGTCCATCTCCCCACAGAGTTCGACTTGACCACCCATCTTTCTCGCCAATTACCCCCGTTTCCCCAGATTCTGGACTCTCTGGCCCCCAACCTTTAGACCTGGTTGGGCCAATCTCCATGTTGCGACTACGAGTATACAAATCTTGACTCTCTCCTCATGAATCGCGACCTCCCATGGGTGATCGTCCCTCATTCAAGGTGGGGAAGGGGCGCATAATGATGAGTCCACCCGAGGTCTCAGACACACAGCCGTGTCCTGTAGCGAATCTTGTCCCCTTCTCTAGGGTCCCTAATCGACCAATGATACAGGTAGGTCGACTCTAGACTCTCGAATCTCTCCATCTAGAAGCGAAAACCGGGGATGTGGCAACATGCTTTGAGCCGCTCGGTCCATGGAGTGGTCCTGATATACTTCGAGACAATCCCTTATATACACTATGCCCCTCTCTTGCAGACAATGCTTGTGAGTGTGGTTTGGTATTAATCTAGCCAAAAGAGCCATCCTTTCAGAGCTCATCTCATCTCATCCAACGCCTGCAATATGGCAACGGTATGAACATTCAACCCTTTAGGAGACCCCCTTGCAGCCACTGACCATTTCCAGACTACGACAACTATCACCAGAGCCCAGGCCAAAGCGGCCGCGGATAAGCTCTCCGAAAAGTCACAAGTCGGTGACTTCAACTGGGATGGTACGTTTTATCCCCTCGAAGCATTCCCTGACTACGCAGTTCGCTCATCATTACAGATGTCCTCGTCCCCTCCAAAGCCGGCACTGGTCTTACCAAATGGTACTATCAGCGTCGAACACTGTTCCAATATGCTGGCCTTCTTGCTACTGGGCTGGCTTCTTTTTATCAGCTAGAGTCTCCTGCCCTTCGAGCTGCCGGCCTAGGATTTCTCTTCCCTGGCGCAGGACTCATTGCCGTTGGCACCATTCCATCGCTGGTCGTGTTTCTGATCTCCACCGCCCTCATTCCATTCGTCCTATTTGCCTGGTTTGGTATGGGAGGTGTTATCTTTCCTCTTACCCTGTGGATAGGCACCAGTCTTCTGTCAGCTTTCTTGGCCCGAGACTCTTTGCTTGAATTCGCTGGGCCCCTGTGGACCGCCATCTGCATCGGAGGTGTACTCTACCTGACATACGCAACCTTGGCTGCCAATGCCGTCGCCAGAAAGAAGCGTGAGACTCGCAACGCCTACCTTGTCAATGAGGTGCAAAAAAACCAGGCCCAGGCTACCGAAACCGAGTTGGGCTCCCGTGAGCTCACCGAGAGACAGCTCCGCTTCCTTCAATGGTTCATCGAACTTGGCCTAACCCCCAAGGATGACTTCTCATACCACGATGTGATTGATCAATTCCAAACTTCGGCCATTCGCTATCAATTATACGAAGCCGTCAGTGATTTGGGAATGTATCAGTATCTCTTCGCGCCCAACTTCCACGGCTATCTCTCTCAAGCCCAGCGCAATCTCATTGAAAAGTCCTTTACAAAGAAGGTCATGGAGTAAGTCATCAATGACTAAACATGTTCCCATCATCACTGCTTACATGATTTGTTTTAGATTCTGGAAGTGGGAATCCATGGCTGGTAAATTCAATGCACACGATTGGGACCCAATCAAGAAGGACAACATCATGGTGACTGGTTATATCCTTCAAGCCGTCGGCATTTACCAAGCCAACACGGGCGACGATCGATACACCAAACCTGGCAGCATGACCTTTGAAATCACCGACAAGCTCAAGTTTCCATACGACCTGTCCGGCGTTGCTAAAGCCGTCTTCCGAAATATGAACGAAGCTGCATACTGTCTGTATCCCTGTGAGCCCAACTGGCTCTACACACCTTGCAAGTAAGTTACCCTGCCCGCCTGTTACTCGTGCTCTTATGTGGCTTTCCCCCCCATGACTTACTTACCACTTACCACTCTCCAGTCTTGTCGGCGTCAGCGGCATCACCATCACCGATCGGATTTTAGGAACCAACTACGGCGACCAACTTCGCGAGAAATTCAAGCATGCCTTGGAAACCGAGTTCACCGATCCTGACGGCAGTATCCTCCCCATTCGCAGTGAACTGACTGGCTTTACGGTAAGCATTCCCATCACGTTTGATCGCGCTTGAAATACTAGTGAACCCACATTCTCTAACCCCGATCAAACAGATCCCCGGCCTCGCCGGCGCCCTCTCCGACACGGTCAACTCCCTCCTCTGCGCCGCATATCTCCCCGCCATCGCCCACCGCAACTGGGCCTTTACGAAGAAAGAAACCTGCCAATACGACGCCAACGGCCGCCTCCACCTCGTCAACCTCCTGGGCGCCGATAAACTCGACCCGGGCAACTACAAAGCCGGCGAAGGCGCCATCCGCTGCATCACCGCGGCGGCCGCCGCGGAATTCGGCGACGAAAAAATCGCCTCTGATCTCCTCCAACAACTCGACGAAGAATACCACCCTGTCATCCAGACCAAGACCGGAGCGCTCAAGAACAACGGCGTCAGTACACTCGAACAAGGCACGACTTTGCGTGCTCGTATCGGTAAATACCAGGATTGGACGAGGATGATTCGTGTGGGTCCGCCGAAACATATCTTCCAAGCACCGATTCTGGACGATGTCAAGTTTCCCGAGGTTTTGGTGGCCAAGGCGTATTCTCAGGATGGTGAAAGTGTGGAGTTGGTGGTTTATAATGGGAAACAGCCGGGCGTGTTTGGCTTGGGGTTCAAGAATTGTAAGCCGGGAGAGAGATATACTTTGATGGGCCAGGAGAAGACGGTGGCCAAGGATGGGACGGTCAAGTTTGAGGTCAGTGTTGATGGTCGTACGGCGGGGAGATTGGAGCCGGTGGCTAAGAACTGAGTGGAAGTGAGAGATGAGTGCTGATGGTGGTATGCGAATGCAATTATCATTATCATCACTCTCCTTCATCTTTCTGATGCTTTGTCTGCATTGAAATGACTTTACGTACGTTGGCTGTCTCTTGTCTTTGAGTATCAGAGGGGAGGGATGAGGAAGGGAAGAAGGGAGAAAGCAAGCAAGCAGCAACAAGAACGCGATGGAAAGCAGATTTCCTTAGGTACATGGTACAGGTACTGAGACAAAATTGAGGAAGAGGATACCAGCGTCATCCTCCATGACAAGTCGTTGATCATACAAGACTATTGAGACCGCGTTAGACTGAGATTGTACCTAACGAAGGCAAGGTCATTGACGGGTCGCTCTGTTGTGATAATAGAATAGCAGGGTATCTTTCAATCTATCTCGAACATGCATGCGTATCATCCATTCAACACCGTCCTAATCATTATCATCACCAGTATTTCCCGTACCCACACTGGCTGCCTCACCAGTCTCAGTCCCCTTTTCCGCCGCATTTCCGGTGCCACCACTACCACCACCACCTCGTCGTTCTCGTTCCCTCCTCGCCTTGGCACCTGCTTTGAGACTCTCCCATTTTTCCTTGTATTTGTTAATCGTTTCTCTCAATTTTGCATTTTCGTCATCTTTCTTCCTGGCTCGCGCGTCGCTCTTCTTGAGGATATCCTCCAGTTCGGCGATTCTCCTAGTCAGGCTTTCGTCGGTTCCTATATCGAGTGGTCGAGAACTATTCTTTCCACGAGAATTCTCGGGTGACAACATTGGTGTGGTCAGAGGAGAGCGATGGATAGAACGCACGCTTTGGGCTAATGCGGTGGTTGCGGTTTGGGAAGACATTTCGAACATGTGTAATCGTCGAGAAAGCGTGTCGGAGAGGTGTTTGAGTGCTTTGTTCTCCAATGCGAGTTCTTCCATGGTCTTGCCGCCGACTTTGGCCTCGTTACGACCATGGTTGCGGAATCGGCCTAGTGGTTGATTCGCGCCATTGGATTCTCGTGAGCGTGGGCTGGCGTTGATGAGTGTGCTTTGAGCGTCGACAAAGTCGTCTTCGGAGATGTTGGAGAGAGTAGATGGTTGACGATGATGGCCGCGCATTCCGCGAGATTCTTCACGCTCTGCACGACTCATGATGTCGGCGTAAGAGATTGTTCCTCCGGTTGTAGGTACAACGTAAAAAGACTCGGAGGGGTTGGAGGAAGTGTCCCTGTTGGTTGATACGGCGCGCAAAGCGGCTTTGGAGATTAGTTGAGAATAATCGACAGAGGAGGCGGCTGATGGTGGGTGTGGAGTTGGGTGTGTTTGTGACTTGGGAGATTTGAGCGTCGTTTGTGGAGGCACTGGCTGTGATTTTGGTGCGACCAAACCGGTGAGAGGGAGACTAGCAAAGGCCAACGGGGCGCTCAACTTAGACATGAGGCTTTCGAAAGAGGTATAGAACTGTTGGAAGGGGGCATCCGCCGCTGTTGTGTTGTGATCATTTGTGTCAGACTGATTCGAGTCTTCTGTGGCGAGGGACGGCGGCGCCCACGGAGGTCGACCATTCGCAGTTCTACTTGTATGAGCTGTAGACTCGGTGGCTTCAACGTCTTCTTTGGTAACTCTGCGTGACGAGCGATCGTCTTGAGTGATCTGGCCATCGGCGTGTTGATTGGAGACAAGAGGAGAGACTGGGGTAGGCCGTTTCTGACGGGGATTTGGTATACCTCGAGCAGAAGCGAGGTTGCTTGCTATCGAGGAGGAGAGGTCGCGGTTGGAAGATCTGGGAGCTCGAGGTAGACGTGGCGGGAGAACAGTTGGGTCGGTAGACGAGGTCTTGGTCGCATCGTTTTGAAGGGGATATGAGGTTGATTGAGTGGTGTTGTTGGGTGTTGCAACAGTTTCCGGAGCCGGCTTTTCGTGACTCGCTCTCAACAATTGACCCAATCTCTTATGATGTTGTTCAAGTAATGTCAGGATGCGGAAAGCCTCTATATCTGAGGTCGCTTGAGCCGCCGTTGCGAACTCGGCCGCAGCGAGGTCATGTTCTTCACTTGCGGCGACTGGGTTGGAACGGCGGGATTCAAGAGCCGCATTTCGGGCGTGAGTATGAGCCTGTAGAGTGTATTAGAGTCACAACTTGTTGAAAAGAGACAGTATGAGTGAGACTCACCAAAGTCAGCGGGGCGGTCTCCATGAAGATGTCACCCAGTAGATTTCAAAGGGGGGAGATAGATGAATGTGACCACTCTACATCTGGAACGTGGTGTTGACCATGACGGAGAGGCTATGCGAAGGAGGTCGCCGCTTTGCTAAGGGTGCAAGGGACTGCTTCAAATCGTGACAGATTGGAAGATGTCGAAGTGAAGGTGAAGGTGAAGGTGAAGGTGAAGGTGAGGATGAGTCGAGTATCGTCATTGAAGACAGGCGAGGCTGCGGCGTTCTGATTGATGGGTTTGAATAGGCACGACAGGCACAACAGGCAAGATAGGCATGATAGGCTAAGGTCAGGCGCAGTTGTTAGGGCTGGTTTAGGGCTGGTCTTGGCGTAAGCGCCCCGGTAAAATGCCGGTGGGGGGGAGGGTCTAGGGGCCGAGGGGCGCCTACGCCGCCTAAGTAACCGATCAGATCGGCCACCCCACATCATGATGAAACCACAGGTTACCTTAACACTGCTTAGGTAAGGTGTGTGGGTGTCGACGTCCCCAGTCAACAGCAATCGACGGCGGCGAGAGGCAGACACGTCAACCATAGGTACCTACCTAAGCTAAGGTAGGCTTGTGGCTGTGCTACTTTTGTTCAATCGAGTTTTCAGAAGACATACTCGAAATCGGTGTGTGATGCGCCTGACTAGAGACTCCGTACTGGTTTATCTAATACAAGACTATCTATCATATCTATCCATCTTTCGATTTCTTCAGGTGCGTCGACTCACAACAATAGGGAGTTGAGACGAACTGATAAGCATTCGTACCTTCAAGGATTGGGGTCTTGACAGGCCTCGTCGAGCGATTGATACTCCGGAGTCCGAAATCTCCAGAATCCGCCCGATTCTTCTCCATCTCCCGCAATCAAGTTCACTTGTGATTCTGAATGCAGCCCCAACCAGGACGTGAACCCCCTTTTGTAGTCCCGATCCCAAAGACGTTGTTCTTCTACTGCAAACACTCCGCCATTAGACTTCTGGTCGATGTCTCCCATCTCAGAGCTCTAGTTTGGCTGATTCAAAGGGTGAACAAATACTCGGGATGGTCATGGCCCAAGTCTCTAATCTCTTCCTCCGACTTTCCTTCGATCCGATTGTTGTAGGCCCCGAGCTTCTTCAGCTTATTCACACGAAAGAGATGCAGCATTGCCAGAGCCACAATGATCGTGCACAAAACCGAGAAAGCAGCGTTCAGTGCATGGCCTCGGATATATCGAGGTGCGTCTGCCAACATATAAGTCCAAGCCGCGACCAGGCCACCAATGTTACCAAAGCCAACCACAGTTCCTGCGACGATCGCCCTTGTCATATGGCCCGCGCTATTCTCCACCGACCAAGCAACAAACATCGGTGATGCCGTAAATGCTCCCGTCAAACAGAAGAAGAGGGCAAGATAGTGCACACCCAGAGGCATATTGTCGACAAGGAGCAAGATAAATCCCAGTGTGGTGATCGGCATGACACTGACAATGAAGATGCCTCTGCGGTGTATGCGATCCGAGGACAAAGTGACTGTGATACACACGAGTGCAGCCCAAACGTAAGGAGGCACGGACAGAAGCTGACTGTGAATTCCACTATATCCCATGGCGTTGAGGATAGATGGGACAAACAGTGCCATTGAGTTCATCGTCAACAGACTGCAGAACGACGCCAGTGATATGAGAACCGTGTTTAAATTGAAGATGGCGCGCCGAACGTATTTCATCTTCAACTTCTCGATGTGGGTCGTCCTTAAATCCAAGCTGATGCGCGCAACTGCGACATGCCTCTCTTCCTCGGTCAGGAAAGAGGCCGTGCTTGGCGCCGAAGGCAGGATAAAGAAAGCCGTCACGCCAAGGGCAATTGAAATGATGCCTTCAAAGAAGAAGATATTTCGCCATGTGTGGATGATGCCCCATGGTGGGATCTGGCTGAATCCCGACGCGAGGAGGCCCCCAAATGCGACGCTGAACACGACTCAGTAAAGATGCGACAATATAGACGAGAATTCTGTCACGACTTACCTGGCAGATGCAACACTCGAGTAAAGTCCGACGCGGCTAACTAGCTCATCTCTTCGATAACTGTGCTACACGTTAGCTGATGTGACATGCAAAGTTGAGCTCGACGCACAAGCACGATAGCGTGTAAGTGATACCAGGCATTATTCCTGCGATCGACCCATGGTTAGATTGAACCATACTGACGGTGAAATGGACACACCTGCTTCGAAGATACCAAGGCAAACTCTTGCGGCGATGAAGCCCTGGTGGGTCTGCATCGTCGACATGCACGTAGTAATGATACCAAATGATATGGCCAAGAAGGGGACTGGCAAACAAAGGGTCAACCGAGTCGCAGATCCAGTCGACGGAGACCTACTTACTCCATATCTTCGGCCCAAGGATCTTGCACAGTATGTTGGCAGGTCTTGATTGCTTGTTAGTCGAGGCACCCGAAACAGTCGAAGAGAATGTCCTTACACTTCCAACAGAATATATGTTACAAAGAAACCGCTGAGTCCAATGTTGAAGCGATTGCCCGTGAGCTCGAGATCCTTTCCCATACCTGTAGTCGGGTCAGCGCCTGTCCGGTGCAGTACAGCCCGGGAGATGCTCACCAAGGACACGTGCATTGCCGGCATTTGATCTTGATCCTGATTAGACGACGTCTTGCAGCCGAGATATGTATCTTACCTATCAATGAAAGCAAAGAGGTAGACGAGGGTCAGCACTGGCATCAGTCGCATGTCGAGCTTCCGCCGAACTCTAGCTTCGACCACAGGGTCGATGGCATGTGTATGAATTCCAAACTGGCCCCCCTCTACCTCAGTTACTGCTGATAGCTTGTCCACAACTTGCGCCATTGTAAGGGGCCTGCTGTGTTTTGTCTTTTTCTGCCTTATGAGCCAACCATTGAACGAGATAAAGAGCCATCAGGCGAGATCTTATATAGAATCTCGGACCCTCCACCCCCCGCCCCCTCTCCCCCTGGAGATGCAGAAATCCCACCTACATTGCTACCCCGGACATTGGCATCTCGGGGTAGGGGTACATGACAAGAGATGTCCAAGCAGCGGTGTCATTCACGACCGATCTTTACCCGGTTCCGCTGCCGTTGATACGCGGCCGAGCTGCCTTGTGCTTGCTCCACCCTCCTAGAAATTGTTATGAGCAATTCAATCTATCAGTGTAGTTAATCCGAGGTCCGTGAAAGATCCACAAACCAGTTGTTGTTTAGGTCTCAGCGAATTAGGACTTGAGTTTCGATGCTTGACAATTCCACTCAATCCCGTGGATGGACTGAATTTCCAGCCGTATGTTCTGACGGGGAAAGGCGGCAACAGACTCCACACTTCCAAAATGAGGCATAGTCAAAATTCCTCATCTGGATACTTCGTATAACAAAGCCGCATCGCCGTAGTAGATTCTTGACGCAGTTGTCTAGAGTTATTCCCGTGCGATAAGTATCTCGCCGCTATCATGAAGTTGGCCGAGACGATGCATGGCTTGAAGCCCAACTCCGTCTTCGAGATCTTGGTCCAGACAGCCGGGCTGCTGATACTGGCTGTGAGTCGCGAAATCCGCCCATGTACCCTCTTCTAATCCGGCATCAGCTCATAGGTCAAACAGCTTGGTCGCTCTTCGACAAGCTTCGAAGTTTTCCAGGACCAATTGCGGCGAAATGTTCCTCGTTTTGGCTGGTGCAGCGATGCAGGCAAACTCGGCGCTCGGAGAGCGTCATGGCATTGCATCGTAAGTACGGGGATTTTGTGCGCGTGGCTCCGAACCACATCTCGATCAACCGGCCGGAGGCAGTGGCAGAAATCTACGGACATAAGACCGGCTTCGTGAAGAGCGACTTTTATGACGCTTTCTTACAGGTCACGCCTGTCGTATTCAACTGTCGAGGTGTCCCAACCCATCAACGGAAACGGAAGTACATGAATCCAGCTTTCTCCGCCCGTGCTCTCCAGGATTTTGAGCCGTACATGGACGAAGAGCTTCGTAAGTGGCAGGCCAAGCTTCTAGAGATGACAGAGGGCCCAGATCAGGCAACTGTGCTCGATTTCGCAGTTTGGAGTATGTACCAAGTGCTCATTTGATGTCAATGGCCATCCAGCTGATCGGTCTTAGCTAATTACCTCGCCTTCGACGTAATCGGTAGCTTTGCCTTTGGCAAATCATTCGATTTCATCAGCAAGGGCCGCGACGATATCAACCTGATCTCAACCATTGATATGCGAGGAGAGGTTCTCAATGCTCTTGGGGCAGTGCCTGTATGGCTACGTGGCTTGATGAAGTATAATGTGTTCGACAGATGGTGGTATCGAGGCCTCAGAGCTACAGCCAACCTCGAGAAAATTGGTCGTGCAGCATATCATCAACGCAAAGCTTCACCGGACACTCGCAAGGACCTTCTGAGCTACTTTTTCGCTGCACAACGATCAAACTCAGACGTATCACCTGATGAGCTTGAGATCATCGCCGAGTCCATTAGCTTTATTGTCGGTGGGAGCGATACAACGAGCAGCACTATGACTAACTTCATCGATATGGTCTCCCGTGACCGTGATCTACAGAGGAGGATACAAATGGAGATCGACAGTGCCTATCCTGGTCAGAAAGACGAGGATTGGGTGCCTTCGGAAAAAGAGATCCTGCAGAAACAGCCATTGTTGCTAGCAACTCTGCGCGAGGTGATGCGATTCCGCCCGACGAGCGCCACCGGCCTGCCCCGGCTGACTCCAAAAGGTGGGAAAGTTATATGTGGACAGTTCATCCCTGAAGGTGTAAGTTTTTCTTCTCTTCCACGTGTCCTATAAAAACCAGTACTCAACAAATGGCAGACGGTTGTCAGCGTACCGACTTGTGGTGTGTTGAGCGATTCCCGAGTTTTTGAAAACCCAGGCCATTTCACACCTGATAGATGGCTGCAAGATGATTCAAGCGCACTTCTGGACTTTTTTGTGCCGTTTTCAATAGGTCCAAGGGCATGTATCGGACGCAAGTAAGCCATTGGATCTTTTTGACGAGGGCGAGCCATCTGAACTGACCAGGTCGACTCTAACAGCTTTGCGTGGATGGAAATTCTAAAGGCCCTCGTTGTTGTCTTTAGACGTTTTGATGTGCAGCGGGACACTTTGGAAGCTACTGTGATCCGTGAGGGGTTCTTCAACAAGGCCGAAGAGTGCAAGGTCCGCCTGAGCCGACGATAGGCAGGACAATAGATGACAGGACAATAAACAATAGACAACCCGGGTGTCCAAAGACATGGCAGCAGCCCTGTCTGAAGACAAGTGCCAAAGCCACGTTGATTCAGGTACGGAGCATGATTTCTCAGTATGAGCCGACCTTCACGCTACCTATGTTACTGAAAGATCTAGACGTTCACTATCACGGTGCACATTCACAAAGGTTTGAGTCTCAGTGTAGATATCATATTGATTGACAATGCTTCCACGCGCGGTTTCCTTGATTGGTTTCCTTGATTGTTCTTACTTATAGCCCTATTACAACGACAGGGAAGATTACGTGGCTCTTTGATGTGTGTAGAGTACGGTAACCACTCTCATGCAGAGAGTGCTCTGAGGGAGAAAAAGGAGGCGAGGCACGTTAAATAGTAGTCGTAGTAGTGTGACCGGGTTGAAACGAGTCAACCCAGCAGACCGTGATATTCGCTCCCGGCTCCATAGTTCCCAAATATATCTTCATCATTGTCCGCAAAGAAACCGAAGACGTCCCCGTCAATGTCCAACGCGAAATCGGGAGCCGCATCTAGCGAAAATTCCTGAATCGCATTTTGACGGCCCGACATCATCTGATGCTCAGATATACCCAACCCGACCTGCACTTCACCGCCTTCGTGAGATTGCAGTGCGTTGATGACGACTTGGTCAGCAGGGTTCATTGTTTGAGCTTGAGGACTTGTCAGTTATGCTTGCGGGTATACTTCGAGGAAAGAATTTTTACGAAGAGCATACCAAGAGTGATGCATACTTTGACCGACTTGATCACGATCCGACGAATGCGTCTGACCACTTCGGTATCATTCTCGAACTGATCGATCGTCGGTGCGGTCTTTCGAAGATACCTCGCCAGCATTGACAAGCGTTCTGTATTCTGTGCCCTTGCCCGAAAGTGCGAATGCCCTCTATCCTCGAGCCTGCTCAAGCCAAGAAGCAGAGAGCCGAATAGAATCAATGATGCGTTGAACGCTGTGATGGTCACTCAGTCAATCAATAGAACTGGTTAGCAAAGTCAGCATCAGATACTTACTGTAGTAGATAGAGAACCACCAGGCTCCGAGTAGAGCTTTGGTCCGACTTGTGGCGTCGACTATTGCGATAATCTCCATGGCGCAGTCCTGGCAAATCTCGAGGCTGTCGGAGGTAACATTGTCCAGGAACGGCGCATGGACAGGATCAGAGCCTCGCTCATATGACGCCATGGCTTTAAGCATCCTATCAAGAATGGTCCGATGCAGTAGTATCCTTGCGTTCAGATAACGCAGCCGAATCACCACGCTAAGCCGTGAGAAAACCTGCTGGTATCTTGACTGCTCTTGTCGGCGTGTAGACGAATCTAGCCACGGTTCCAGGGCAAGTTGACTGGGGAGAGTAGATTTCCAATGAGCCAGTTTTGCCTCAACGGTGACCAAGTTCCGAAGCACCACCTCAGATGGGATGTCAATAACGTTATAGATGTTATCCTGGTAGATTTCTCTCAGTATCTCGGTCAGAATTTGATAAAGGCGACTGGAAATAGACTGCATTAGTTGACCGGATCGAGGCAGCTGACGCGAGGGTTGACATACGCTGTTGTAATTGTGAAACAATTGGTATCAGGCTCTCCTTCGTGGTTGATTTGCAGCATCTCATTTTCCGAAGCTGAGGTTTCTGTTATTGTACGTTCGAACTCAAGGCCAAGGCCTCCAAGATTCTCAGAAATGCTTAGTGGGCGACCAAAAGTCATACCCAGTGTTCTAATTAGACCATTTCAGTATGGGATGACACCGTAATAGCAGGGGACCGACGGACCTGTCCAGAATAATACATCCCAACCAGATTCGTCTACGGATATCAAGCGATCCTTCGGATGGGAAGCCACCTTCTGGAGGGCAATGTAATCCGAGCTGGAGGGCAGCTCGTACAGCAAGGCCATGAAACATCCAGACTTCGTTGGCTCGCTGTGTCCCTTGGCAGTACTGTGCCAGTAGGAGCAGTGTTTGCACTGTAATCGATCAGCCGGCACAGAACCCGGTGCGAGTGTCAGCCTATTCCACAAACCAGCAGGTATATCCGGGGTTTTAAGTGTGCAGCTGACGACTAAAGTCACCGCGCGATCAAAAAAGACGTCCGCCTGCAGAAGGCTCTTCGTTGTTGACCTCTTTGGTGCGACGCTGAGATAGGTGGCGCAAGCGAATATCGCATTGAAAAGACTCAGCCAGGATTGAGGAACTGCGGAAAAGTGAGACTTGGAGAAAGTCTCATACGCCCCCAATACGGCTGATGGGCTGATATAAGGGTACATGACGCCCGTATCTTGGAAATAAAGCTTCATGAGATAGATGCTTCGGGCCTCGTTAGGCAGCATCGAAGGATTGACCCTCGAGGTGCATAAAGGCGTTGATGGTATTGCAGAAGCTTCGGGCGATGTTATACGTGACACCAGCGAATGTGACGCATTCGCTGGCTGGTTGGGATCGAGACAGTTCTGGAGAGCACTGGATGCAGCGCGTGATACAATTTGGAGGAAGGCGATGTTCGATGATGGCCCTGGACAGATGTTATTGACTATTGGTCTCCAGAGGCGTCTCGTGTACCGAAGAACCGTTTTTCTGATCCCATTGGAGCGGTCACCGCCGCCATTCCATCGACCGATAGTTCTTCATTCGATTCCGTCCCCAAACCAGTGGTTCGAGGAACTGCTATGACCTCCGGTGTGTCTCTGCATTGGGGTTGGTACCCTGGGGAACACTCATTCAAAGCTGTTGACGATGTCAACTCGTCCGGGCTCGACCCTACCTTTTCGACGAGGAATCGAAGAGTATCCTCGATCTTACTCAGCCGCTCACTAACTCCTGATCGTGGACTGGCCTCAAAATGAGTTTCACCTCATCGTGGAATTAATGTTCTGGGCAGGCTCACACTTCTCTTCCAGCAACTTCGTAGATACAATCAACCTCGAGTTCCAGGCATAAGCTACAAGATGGACGGCCGCCATTGCACTACCTTGTTGTTAGCACAGATTCGAACCATTGTCCATTGTCCATTAGCCATACTCTCGACTTGCGACTGCGACACAATGAGCAGGCTACGGCAATGCGCCGTCTTTTGGCGGACCCTCCTGTCGCGTTAGGCCCATTGAGCAGCCCAGAGTTGATATCTCGACGCCCTTGCGAGGTCACGGCGGGGAAGACGCCTTCCTCTGACATCGCTTCCGACTGCGGTGGTGTAGTCCTGTGATGATTGCCAGACCGTCGGAACGTCGGGACGGGGAGGAAATCTGAGAGGGGCCCTAGATGTATATGACACACGGGGAACAAAGGCAGTAGGCTGGGTTATGTGGGGGAGAGGTTCCCCCATATTCCCCAAGCCCCCGATTCATACCCGGATCACAACGTTGAACCCAGCAAACTCGCTTTCGAAGCCCGCCGATTGGCTAGACTCGTTACTTTAAATATGGCCTACCCGAGTGATATCGAGGACTTGATTGGTATCTCGTCCCCAAGACCCAAGATATGGCATAATGGGATCCTTCGCCACCACTTGTATAAGTACGCATGTATATCTATATTAATACACGTATCCTACGTGAATTATCGACGCCGAGTGCCCTTTTCTACTACTCAGTAGTACTGGCTCGTGGCTATTGCCCAGAAATAGGTCACCCAAGCACCGAGAATCAAGGCAATGACTGCGCAGAAATTCGTCATGCTGAGCTTCCGGTTCCAGTCAGCATATTTGTTGGTCGCGAATGCCTTCTTTTCGGCATTGATGATGTGGCCTTTGCGAACCCTTTCCTTTCGACTCCATTGAAGGAAGCCAATGATATTGCTCAAGTAGCCCAGGGTGACCATTGTGGCGCCTACCACAACGGAACCGGCCGCCAGAACGACATACAGGATTATGACGTGGTCGTAGCTGTCATTGTCCTTATCCTGGATCACGCCTGCAACAATGTCCACGATCATCGACATGCTGTTGTTGATGGCAATCTTGATTGCGTATCCGGAACCAAAGACCTCTTGAAAGAACATGCTTGTGCGGATGCCGTCGATGATGACTGTCGGACCAAGGGAAGAGGCCACGGCGTAGATACCAAAGCTGGCTGCTGTTCCTGCTACGGTCGGTCCCCACATGGCCAGGCACATAGCCATGAGCATGCCTATACCACATACGAGCATGACAGTGAGACGCTGCCCCAAAATGTCAATGAAAATGCCAACCAAGGGGACAAAGAAGAATCCTAGGTATTGTGACATTGCAGAATACCACCCAGCCTTGACGGCTGAGATATTGAATCGCTGCTCAGCGAGTTCGGTACCATTGGAATTGAATACACCGGCCGTTGATGTCTGGAAGAGCGAAAAGAGACAAATCAGCCAGAATGACCAAGGTAGCCGAAGCATCTTTGTGATTTCCAGCTTTCGATTTCTCTCGGTCAGTACCTCGCCCGTCGCCGGATCCCGTATTGGAACATAGCGTTTTTCGCACCATCGGGTGAACCACCAGAAAAATAGCGTGGCTAGGTTGGTGAAGAGATTCATGAACACCGCCATCCAATAGGTCCAGGAAAAGTCACCCAGGTTGTTGCTGATGACGTTGGCGGTGGATTTGCCGACAAAGGATCCGATCTTACCGATGGCAAGTTCGAATGCCAGGGTCGAGGCGAATCCATGCGAGGGCGAGAACCAAGAAGAGAATATTTTGTACTGGGCGCATTGGGTGGCAGTGTCACCTAGGGCTTGCACCACTGTGGCAAAGATCATAAACTTGAAGTTCCGCACGGTTGTCGACGCTGCGACAAGGATGGCGCCGACGCTGAAGAGAGCGTTGCCCCAGAGCATGGTACCTGAGTAGCTGTGTCAGTGGGTCATCTCGCTGATGATGATCATGTGAATCCACGTACTAGCACCACCGTAGCGGTCTGTAAGGACCCCGGTGGGGAGGATCAGGGTGGTTTTGATGAAGTTCTCGCTTGAAGAGAGTAGAGCAAACTGAGTGTTGTTGATATTCATTTTCTGCAGGAATTGGTCAGAGAGATACTACAACGTGTTATCGGCCTCAAGTTAGACTCACTTTCTTCAAGGTCGACTTCAGCGCCCCGGTCACACCGCTGCTCCAATGGCCGCCGAACCCGATCATGCTCACAACCACGACCGAGATAATCTTCATGCTCAATGGAACAGGAACCCTTTTGTCATTTTGAGGAGACTCGTCATCCTGCTCGCTGGTCGACGTGACCTGAGCCTCGGGCTTCTCGTGCAAGCTTGGAACTTCACTCATGATTCTGGGCAGCCAAAGGTCAAAGACGTAGGCGTTGGAAAACTATCAGGGAGGAGTTATAACACAAGGAGAACATTTTATCAGATATGATCTCGAATTATCTGATTAAATAGAGCAAATATGGACTTGATGTTGGTCGGCGTTTGTTTGATGCTGTCGCCACAGGCTAAAAACTTATTACATGGTGGAGTTTTGCACAGTGAGAGCCTAACACAACGGCATCCCTGCAAAGCAGGGGTCGTCCAAGCTGGGTCTTCTCACAGTGAGAAAATCTTCGAGGATAAAGTTTGACCTAAGTCACGTCAAAGAAGCCATCTGATTCGATTTGCGGCTATCTTATCTAATCCGGACTCATGATCTATGCATACCTGGGGGATAACCCGTGATGGTTCATCTAATCATTCAGCAAGTGGATCAGGAGTACCCAGACCTGAATTTTTGACGGGTGGCCTGCCCCAGACCCCGTTGCCGATGCCGGTGTTAGATGAGGCAGATGAAGGCGACGCCTTGATTCCTCCTGCATCCACTCTGGGCATATATTTCCCTCGACGCGAATCCAGACGGCCGAGGTCGGCAATGAGACCACCAAACTCTACCCCTCCACGGTAGTAGCCTGTAGAGCCAAAAAAAACTCCTCTCTCTAGTCCAGCCCAAGATAGATCAGCGTGTATGGTTTGTTCGGTAATCGGCCTTTGTTTTTGAATGTCATTTACTTTTCCGGCCGTCATGCCATGCCTTGCATGGTATCTGTGGGTTGCAACAGACCCTTTCAACCTGCCACGAGGCACAAATTAGACTGACAACAGTGATTGGCTGTGATCTTTGGTTGTTCTCGAGTTGAAATCCTTCCCCCTTCCCGACGTCTCTCCCACAATTCGCCACATGGCCTCGTGCCTGTGCGGCGTAGTCAATCAATTGGCCAATGAGTTCAACGACGAGGAAGCCCAATCTCTGGCGTCTGACCTCAACAAGCATCTTGGGGCAATCCAAACCATTCTCAAAAAATCCAAAGCACTTTCCCAGAATGTCCGGTATCAGGTTGTGCCGACCGATCAGCGTACTGGCAAGATACTGTCCATACGGCACTTGGTCACTACAGAAGTCCGCCAGATCTGCGACAGACTGGACGATGAACCAAATGAGTTCTGGATGCCGTCTGATAACTCGACCCATGCCAAGCTGCATCGACGCCTGGCATGTGTCGTGATCTATCTCCGTTCCAGCATGAGAACTCTCGAGCTAGTTCCACCCAGAATCTCTAGCCTAGTCCAGGGGATGAAAGTGTCGGAACTTCGCTATGCTGGGAGAAAATACCTAAAAATTGCGCGTAAAGTCGGCAGTATCGGGTCGATCCTGTGGCTGCCCCTGGATGTCCCCGCCTCCACGTGAGTTAACCTGGCGGCCTTCGAAAGTGGCACGCAACACTGACCTCGAATAGGTATGAAAGATACCTTACCATGGACGACGAGCCGATACTCGCTCACTTGCAGTCGCTGATTGTGCATATGCCAGACTATACAGATTTCGTGCGGCGGGTGGTAGCAAGTCAGCTGGATGGTTCGTCGCCCTCCCTGCACTGCCTGCCTTCATTCACCAACTTTCTAATCACAATCTCAGACCCATCGCCTACAATCTCGCACTACAATCTCGCGCCTGAACATGGAGACATATTGCAAAGTTCTGACCTGCTCCTTCTGCTGATTTTTGCACTTGGTGGCATTGACGTCCCGCGCAAGCTTCTAGAGAGCGTACGGTTTACTAAAAGACGTTGGACGGCTGAAGGTGAGATCGAAGAACTCACAGCGACTGATTTCGGCCTCCCCCATGACATTGTCTCCCTATTGTCTCACGATCTGTACCTCTCTCAGATAGCCGCTTGTCCAAATGTCAAGGTTCACAGCCTCGACGACGGCACCGCCGCTTTCTCGATCATGCCAGAGGAGAGGGCCGCTCTCTCCAAAGTCCTGAGCCCGCAAACGCAAGAATACTTCTTCTCCATTGCTATCAGATTGATTTGCTTTGCCACTCCTCCTCCTCTTGAAGGAAATACATCTTGGTATGGTCATCTTCTATCCTCGTGAGGAATAACGGTTTTCTGACACTCTTTAAAGGCCGGTGCCATTCAAGGAAGCCGTCTGGATACTTATGGAGAAACTCACGGAACAACAGCGAGTTACAGCACTTCTCAGGACACAAGTGGTCGACACGCTTTTCTTTTTCGGCGAAAGGGATTCACTCCCTAGCCGCCGAATCGCGATCGATCGCGCACGTGCGCTGCTTACCGAGTCGATGCCTTATTACTTCCACGCAGGTATGGCTCTTTTTGAGAGCATTCTCTTACGACTAGAAGGAAACTTGGTCAAATCTATATCCCGATGCGAAGACTTCCTCTCTACAAGCCCATCCCCTAGCAATCGCCTTGAGAATGCTCTCAGAGGCAGACTTCACATTTCTCTCATTGAATCAAAAATACAGCGCTACGACCACGACATAGCCGCGCGTATCTATGCATGGGAAGGGTCACTGCCGTTGTCATCGTTGGAAAATGAAGTCACGCGGCGGCTCCAAGGCGCCGCATCCAGATTCTTCCAGTCGATTGGCGATTTCGCAAATGCTAAGGCTTCATTGGAACAGCATCTGTCGCTAGAATCTGCAAAACCAATGCGACACAACACTCGTCTTCTTCTCGTGGGTCGACTTGCAGAAGTGTATTGCGAACTCGGTCAATCCCAGAAGGCGCTTGAGCTCCTTCAGCCGGTGTTTGAGAGCATACCTCAGTCCGAGAGAAAGGGTCGTCCTTACAGACGTCTGCTCCTGGCGTTTGTGGAAGCCAGCATGAGCAATGAAGACGCTGATGCTACTGAGTCGGCGCTCCAATACCTGGCCGATATCGAGCCTCAGGCACTCGATGATATGAATGATCAAACGCTCCACATGCGACGGATGATAGCCAAGGCCCGCGCCATCCACGTGAGACAAAACTACCCACTCGCCCTCGAACAATGGAAATTGGTCCTGCAGAGCATGGGACAATTACATATTTTTCAGTCGAAACATCCTTGGACAGCGGCTTTGATTCATCTTTCCCTGGCCCATGCTCAATTGAGCATCAATGATCTGGAAAGCGGCAAGGCATCATGGGCCAGGGCTCTGGAGATCTCAACGGTCGAACCCTGTGAGTACAACATCATACCTTTAGTTGCGAATGTATGGCTGCCAAAGATCGTGTCTGAGGTCCACCGTCGTTACGGCTGGCCCTTTCGCATGAAAGTGCCGGGCGGCAACCCAGATGCTACATGGCCTTGAGCGCACGCTCACGAACAAGAATTCGAGGGAACAGCAGAGCCTGGAGAATCGTCAGCCGCCGACCGATGGTCCCCGCACCAGTAAATATATTCACATATATTCACGAGTACTCGGTAGACTTGAGTGGTTTAATAGACGTGACTAAGAGAGTCACGTGCATGACACTCTAGGTTATTAAGTAATTAATATTTGAATTGAAAGGTGCTGAAAGTAACCGGTCACGCCGGTCCAAGATTAATGTCACCCACCCTTGGTTTGACCACCACCTAGACCTAAATGATTGCGGGCAGCTGACGTAGCTTGTGTTAGCCTCCCACGCCTCCATAAGTCGAACAACATCAGAGCGCCCAGCTTGTGGAACCGACAAACGTCATGTTGACCACACCCTCTCATCAATTGGTTGTTGTCCTCAGATCTGGAGAGGGTGCACGGATGTATTCCTGTTGTTTTTGTATTTCTCATGGCACGCGACAAATGTCATGGTCCTCATCTACAGAACATTGCCATACTCCGTATGTCTTTCAAGCTAGTTGGCATTCCTCGGCGATTGGCAGTTCAAGTAGTTCGGCGTTCATCAAAGGAGTAACTGCATACAGCAAGACGGCCTGGCCGAATTCCTTACGGAGTATGCTATTGACATTTCAGCCAAGGTACGGGGTCGACGAATCAATGAACGCTAAGTGCATGCGAATTCATTCGCCGAGGGGTGAAGGGGCCCAGGGGGCACCATTGCCCCCCGTGTCCAGGGGCTGCAGGCAGCTGAAGGCCCTGAAGGGTGACCAAGGTGCCCGAGGCCCCAAATGCGTCTCGCCTGAACCACCAAAAGTCCGTTACCATCTGCACCTAAAGCACCCCTACTAGCCGCATCCAGCAACTGATAGAACACCGAAGCCTCGTAAGCCTGTCCACCGGTGTGCATCTTTTCGCAGTTTTGACTCGTTCAGTTCTAGTACCTTAGAATCTTAGACCTCTAGTTGTCACTTCATGTTGTCACTTCATTCTGATCCACTGACCAACAACCACCAACCGTGTCTCTTGGTGTCTTCTCTCATTCGTACTCGGTCCCCTCCCCATGTTCCTCATGTCAATTTCATCTGATCTCATGTCTTTCCACCTCGCATACCACATCTCCCCTCCAACAATGTCTTCTCTGTGACAACATTGGGCCTTTCTTGATGTTTCTCACCTCTTTGCCAGGAGCATTCATCCCTTTCCTCATGTCGCTCTCTTTGTGTCCCAGTCGCTGATCCGGAATCCGTCGCTGGTGTGACATCACCTTAGAACCACCAAACCACCCCGTCTCCACCGCCCTAAAATTCCACGGGCAGGCTCCCAGATACAACATTCACACAGCTTGAATAATTTCATTCTTTTCAACATCGAATGGCTTCCTCCTCAGCCCGAGCCTCTCCTAATGTCCCCCCGGTCATGCCAGAACAGTCTCCTCAACTTTCCGGCTTGAAAAAGGTTCTGTCCAGCAGACGCCGCTCTTCAGACCTCCCCTCAAATTCCAGCCTCAAGGACTCGCGTCAAAAGTCTCTCGATTCTCTTACTCTCGAAAGATCTCCCACCAGGCGCAGTATTGGCTCCGATGGTCGTGATGATGCCAGCTCAAAGTCAGGCTCTAGTGGTGTCCGAAAGTTGCTGCCTGGCCATACCAAGAGGAGGAGGAGGAAGCTTCATGAAAAGGAACTCAAGGCTGTTGTCCAGGATCTTGACAGACAAACTCATACCTCTCCCAATACTTTACTCGAGCCAGTGCCCCCTGCTCTGAGCAGGCGTACAAGTAGTCTTGGTCCAGATGGCGACAGCAGTCTTCTCACCGACGACTCTGAGCTCGAAACTCCGTCTCTGATCTCAAGGGATTCGCATACCGGCTACCTGACCATGTCCTCTCCATTAATGACGACCAATACCACTCTATCTGACAGCTATTCCGCCGACCAGGCGCCTCTCCCCACCTCTGTTTCCAAGAATCCCATTTCGAGGGAGCCCAACCAGGACAAGCGCTCTCCGTCCCCAAAGAGTCCAGCCATCCCCGAACCTTCTCCTTCTTTTTCGCCAATGGACCGCGCAGCGACCACTGGCGGCTTGATTGATCGAGCAGATACACTCCATCCTGAGTCGCGCAAGAACAGTGTCTCCAAAATTCGAGGTATCTCTCCTGGCCGAAGGCTTCGCGATGTTTTGGGGAAATCAGGCAAAAGCCCAAGAGTAAGCCCTGAAAGACGGTCAACGGATCTTGTTCACACATATACAAGCCCCCTCAGTCAACCGAGTCTGGTACCAGAGCCAGAGACATACCCAGAAAAACTTCCGGAAACTATTGTTCCAATACCTCACCCTCCTGAGAAGGACGACATACCGATGCAACCCCCTCTGCCACCCCCGGTGCAGATTGACCGACCTCCGAACAGCTCAATGCCTAATCTCAACACCAGCATCAGACCGATGACGCCTCCTGCAGCCTTGATCAACACCCCCTTCACCACTGTCACTCCCCCAACTCCCACCGATGCTCGCCATGACGATAATTCCACTGGCTCTCCACGTCCAGACAGTATTGTTCCTAAAATTGGAACTGAAGGCTCCGGTATTATAGTCAGTCCTTCTGGCAACATGATTTCTCATCGCAAAACTCGTTCCACATCGTCAATCTCGCACCAGCCCAGCAAGCTTTCGAATTACATTACCGCACCCCTCACTCCAACCAACGAAGAACCCAAAACCACGCCTTTGACCGCCTTTGGCAATCGAACGCCGAGTGGTGGCTTGTTTTCTTCCTGGATGTCAGCAGCACAGAATGCTGCAACAACCTTTACGAACTTGACAACCCAAAACCGGAGTCGAGCAGGCACCGCATCCTCAGATCCTTCTATAAAGCCAAAGCCCGTCGATGAACCCATTAAAGAGGAAGAAGAGGACGAAGCAGAATCTTCCGAGCCAGCTATACGTCGAAAACAACTCGCAGTGGAAACCTTGGGGTCGGGTGACTTGAACTTTGAGCACCTAGGGTTGAGCACGGAGGAAAAATCGTACCTAACTCATGACGCCGATAATCCTGAATTGCGCAAAGATTCTACCATCGAACGCGATGTTGCTGCTGCCAAGATCGAGGATATGATGGCAAAACGCGCCGTGTCTGCTGCCTACGAGCAACGACACTCTAATGGAGGGACCCCTGTTGCTGAGATATCTGACCCCCTCACCATGGTAAAGCCATCCCAGACTTTTGGCGGCCACATCGGTGGAGAAAGAACACCGCCCAATGGAAGTATTCTCGATGGCGACACAACCTCAATCAAACGGACAAACAGTGTCCGGAGCAAGCTTGCCAAAAGGAGATCACGAGGTTCTTCCACCGCAACTGGACAATCTGCTATCGGTGCTATGATAGGAGCAAGCAACGCTGCGTTGGCCAATCCCGCCAAAGCCCCTCGTTTGCCTGGTGTCACTCCAGCGCCGAAACAGCGAAATCGTAACTTCCACCAACAGTTTAGGAGCGTTCCGGAAGATGACAATCTCATTGAAGATTACAGTTGCGCTTTGCAGAAAGAAATCCTCCTGGCTGGCCGCCTTTACATCTCTGAAGGCCACATTTGTTTCTTCAGCAATATTCTGGGTTGGGTGACGACCGTGGTGATATCCTTTGATGAAGTTGTCAGCATTGAACGCGAGAATACTGCCGTCGTCTTTCAAAACGCCATTGCTGTGCAAACCTTGCATGCACGACATACTTTCCGCAGTTTGATCTATCGCGAGCAGACGTATGACCTTCTGATCGGCATTTGGAGAGTCAGCCATCCGGCCAGTTTCCAGAAGAGCATGAATGGCAAGCAGATTGCGGCCGACGACGTCGACAATGCGTCCACCATCATTCAAGAAAACGGCGCCAGCGCTCATGTTTCCGAAGACAGTGGTAGCGACCAATCTGACTCGGACGACGATAATGATAGTGCTCCAAGCATCATAGAAAGCAGTGCAAGTAACCCTGCTAGTGAGCTAGCGGATCCAAAGACGGTGTCTCGCAAAACATCCGCCATGAATGCTTCCGCTGTTGCGCAAGCTTCGAGTATTCTGGCTGGAACAGCTAATGACCTGCCTCCCGCTTTGGCGGGGCAAGCAGGCGTGCCAGACGCCGCAGGCCCAGACTTCCCGGGTCCAGCAACACACGGCCCAACCGAATGCACAGACTCTGCTACTCACTATGACAAGATCATCAAGGATGAGATTCTGCCTGCCCCTGTCGGAAAGATCTACTCTCTTCTCTATGGTCCGGAATCTGGCATTTTCGTCCGCAAGTTCCTCAGTGATGATTGCAAATGTACAGAACTGGTTCTGGAGGACGACAAAAAGGGACTCAATGGCGAGATTAAAAGCCGACAGTATACCTATATCAAACCTCTCGGAGGCTCCATTGGACCCAGGCAGACTAAATGCATCACCACCGAAAATCTCGACTTCTTTGACCTTGAAAAGGCAGTGACTGTCACTTGCACCACGCAAACTCCCGATGTCCCGAGCGGTAACGCCTTCAGCACCAAAACACGATACTGTTTGACCTGGGCGCCTGGTAATGCCACGCGCCTTCAGATGAACTGTACGATTGAATGGACGGCCAAATCCTGGCTCAAGGGCCCCATTGAAAAAGGCGCCAATGATGGACAACAACAATATGGTGACGCCTTGGTCAAGGTTCTCAAAGCCGCTGTCAGTGGTAGGCCTAGAGGGACTACTAATGCTAGCAAGGTCAGCAGATCTGGCGGCAAGAAGAAGCGAAGGTCTGAGAAAAGAACCCGGGAAGAAAAGATTGACGAGACAACCAAGGCCAATGTTTCGTGGGGCATTCTTGAACCGCTGAGAAGGCCTCTGCAACCAGTCACTGACATCCTCGGGCCGGTCGTCAAAATGGAAGTTATAGTGGTATTCCTTTCATTCATGGTCCTTCTACTCTGGTTCAGAGGCTCCGGCTCAGGAAGCGCCCACCTTGGCGCATATCCAGGATACTCGGGCAGCCAGATAGCATCGTCCGAGCGGTTAGCCGCCTACGAGAATCTGTGGGTTCGCGAAGAGAACGAATTTTGGGACTGGCTCGAAGCGAGAGCAAACGTCGACACGATTTTGTTTCGAGAACAAATCCAGAAAAATCGCAGACACAAAGCGGAAGATGCCAGCGAAAGCGCCAAGCAACGACAGAAACAACGCAAGAGAACATTATATGGTCGCAACGGAGTCAAGGAGGTTGAAACCAAAATCAAGGAAGAGAAGATCTCCCAGCGAGCCATGGAAGATGCGATCAAAATCACTAGGGACAGATTGGAAATCCTGGAACATGTAGTCGAGAAGAACAGAAAGAGTCGTGCGGCTAAGAGCAGCAGCAGCAGCAGCAGCAGTGGAAGTACCGGGTAATTGATGATCATGATCCATCATCACTAGGTGATCAATGAGGGACCTTCAACAACCGGATCCCAAACTAATGATCTGGGTGGTGTGTTGTCAGATCTGGTCTAAAGCGAGTGTTTTGTTTCGCCTCCCCTCTGACACACACCTCTGTGTGTCGAGCGCGATCGAGCGCGTTCCGAGCATTATTCATATGTACATCAGAAAGAGCGAGAGCGAATTCTTATTAGCATAGCCCGTTGACAGGATATGCAATTGTCAGAACTATACACGAAGTGAATGACCTATCAATCTCACATGGTCTGACAGATAACAAGAAGAGTGCTATTCTCTGTCCAAGTCGTATTATCTATCTCGTCATCATCTACAACTGGAACTTCGTCCTAACCTTCTCCATCCTACTCTTCCACTGCCATTCCTGACCACTCGCTCGCTGAATCCCCTTGTCTATTCTCCGCAACTTCAACGTCATTCTCGGACCTAATTCCTGCAGACCCGCACGAATCTCCTCCATCCCTTTGACTTCTTTCCCGTCTGCACCCACCACTGATTTCTCCCTCTCTCGCTTCTCGCGGAAAATATATCGATGGCGACGAAAGAAGATGTAATCACGCTGATTGTGTAGCGTGACGACTTGTCGGCCACGGATCTCTGGTGTGTTGGGAAACAGACTTCGGAAGAGGTGGGCGGTGAGCAGACCCAAGGGAGTGATGAAGTTGTTGAGGATGAGTTCGGGCACGTGGTCGGTGGCTCGACCGTGGCCGGGAATGGCTTTTGAGGTGTAGAAATTGGATATACTGAAATGGAATGTGGGGCCTTCTGGGAGGTGGACGATGGTGAGGCCGGACGGTTTCTTTTGGTCTTCTTCCAAGACCATCACCGAGGTGTACGAGTGTTTACTGGCGAATTGGCAGATTTCTCGGACGGAGAATTTGTACCCGTAGCGGTGGGATGAGCGCCGGATGTATTTGGAGTTGGGGAATAGGGACGTCAGGATGGCGGCTTCGCGGTGGAGGGTGGAATTGATTGAGGTGGTTATGAGGGCTTTGGGTTCTGGTGGTGGTGGACCGTCGGCCGGGGGGAAGAGGGTAGGGAATTTCGAGGCCAATGCAGCAGGAGCGAGAGATAGGTTGGTCGAGGTTGTTGAGCGAGTGGGTGAGGTTGCTCTTTGTGATGAAGGGGTGTCTTTGAGTTTGGAGGATTTAAGTTGATGTTTGGAAGGGAGAGGATCGATGTTTGTCTCGTCCGGTTCGAGGTCTTCTTCCTCTTCGGAATCCGAGTCGAGCATAGAATCCGCGTCCTCGTCATCCGACTCTTTATCTTCGGAGAGGTCATCGTCCTCCTCGACATCTCCAGTCAAGTCCTGCTCTTCGGCGAGTTTTCTTCTCTTCAACCTCTCAATATCATATGCTATTCCAAGTCCACCGTCTTCAGGTTCATCCAGGACATCGTCGAAGACTCTTTTTCGATCGAGTGTGATAGGAACATTCCGCGCAAGTCTTTCGGTTCTAAGTCTTGGATTCTTTGACTCGTCCTTCTTCCGACTAAATCGCTGTGCTCGCTTCAAGGCATCTCTTGCACGTTTCTGTTTGATGTGGAGTTCTTGTCGGCGTTGTTTATTGTTGGTTTTAAAAGGCAGAGCCGCCTTGTCGGATAATTTGAGAGTTCGAGAGGGCATGACGTGCGTTTGTGCTTTTCACAGGCCACTCTCGTCCGAAAGAATGAACACTGAAATTTCCCTTGACAGCGTCGAAATCGTCGTCTACGAATACTATGAAACTCCTGCGTCTGGAAAAAAAGTTGACCGCAGACAATAAAAGGAAGGTTTGCCGATCCCCGCATTGGTTGCGGTGCGGAAGGAGCGACCCACAACCAGGGCCTGTGAAACTGGTTGTGTGGCAGGTGCAGGTGCAGGTGCAGGTGCCGGCAGGTGCACTCAAAGTTCGAGCCACAGAATCCCAGACTTCATTTATTGATTTATGACTCTGTACCATTGAAACTCAACCATCACCCTCTTGGCTCACTTTCGCACTCTTCCCACAGTCTGCCTCCAAGCTTGATCTGCTATAAGTCCTTGTCTTTGCCCGTTCATGCGGGCTTTGACTTCTCTTTTCAGAGTCACAGCCTTTACCCATCCTCCTCCCTCGCTTCTAGTGAGGTCGTTCACCACAAGCAGCCCCAAGCTCCGTCGAGTGCAGGTCAAGATCAACACCGAAATGGCCACCTCTACTACAAAGACCGGCCAGCCTCTGGATCGCACTGCGATCGACACTATACTACGTCGTCGACTTTTCTATACCCCTTCCTTCGAAATCTATGGCGGAGAACGTGGTCTCTTTGACTACGGACCTCCAGGATGCGCCCTTCAAGCAAACATTGTGGATACATGGAGAAAGCACTTCGTTCTTGAGGAAGATATGCTCGAAGTCGACTGCACCATGTTGACTCCCGAAGCCATCCTTAAAACCTCCGGCCACGTCGACAAGTTTGCTGATTGGATGTGCAAGGATCCCAAGAGCGGCGAAATCTTCCGTGCCGATCATCTGGTCGAGCAGGTCCTCGAGGCAAGACTCAAGGCTGACAAAGACGCTCGTGGGGTCAAGGTGGAAGTTGACGAGGCAAAAGAAGCCAAGAAAAAGAAGAAGATTACTCAAAAGGCTGAAAAACTCGACGATGCAGTCGTTCAGGAATATGAAGAGACCTTGGCCAAAATTGACAACTATGGTGGAGACGAACTTGGACAGCTGATCCAAAAGTTCAACATCAAAGGTCCCACGACTGGAGCAGACCTCGACCCTCCTAAGGCCTTCAATCTCATGTTCCAAACACAGATCGGCCCCAGCACCGACAAGCCTAATGGCTATCTCCGGCCAGAAACAGCTCAGGGACAATTCCTCAATTTCCAAAAGCTCCTCGAATTCAATCAGCAGTCCATGCCATTTGCCTCTGCATCTATTGGTAAATCCTTCCGAAACGAGATCTCACCCCGCTCCGGACTCCTTCGTGTTAGAGAGTTCCTCATGGCTGAGATTGAGCATTTTGTTGATCCACAGAGTGGGAAGAAACATCCAAGATTCGAAGAAGTGAAAGACACAAAACTTACCCTGCTGAATCGGAAAACTCAATTGGCTGGAAGCACGAAGGCCGATGAGGTCTCCATCGGAGATGCGGTCGCTTCTGGCTTGGTTGATAATGAAACTCTGGGGTATTTCATCGCTAGAATACAACAGTTCCTCCTCAAGATCGGCGTGGATAGATCGAAATTACGCTTCAGACAACACATGGCGAACGAAATGGCACATTACGCAGCTGATTGTTGGGATGCTGAACTCTTCACCACTTACGGATGGATTGAATGCGTCGGATGTGCGGACCGAAGTGCATACGACTTGACGGTTCACAAAGAGAAAACTGGCGCCCCACTAGTGGTTCGCGAGACAAGAAGCGAACCACTCGTCATCGAAGAGTACGAGATCGACCTTGAACGCAAGAAGCTTGGCCCCAAATTCCGTAAAGACGCCAAAGCCGTCGAGACAGCTGTTGAGGCTCTCACCCAAGATCTCCGAGAGAAGCTCTCTTTGACACTTGAAAAGGATGGCAAGATTGAAATCGCTACTCCTGGTGTCGGTAACGGAACCACAGAACTCGACAAAGAGCTTATCAAGATCGAGAAGCGAAAACGAACCGAATGGATCAGGGAATACACACCTAACGTCATCGAGCCCTCTTTCGGTATCGGACGCATTCTATACAGCTTGATGGAGCATGTGTTCTGGACCAGAGAAGGAGATGGCTCTCGCGGAGTCTTGTCGTTCCCTCCCGCCATTGCTCCAACCAAGGTCTTGCTTGTGCCTTTGTCAAGCAATGCCGACTTTGCTCCTTTCATCAAGCGTATCTCCTTGAGACTGCGACGGGTCGGAGTTTCCAACAAAGTTGATGATTCCTCTGCCAGCATTGGCAAACGCTACTCACGAAACGATGAACTTGGAACACCCTTCGGCATCACCATCGACTTCCAGACCGTTAAAGACGACACAATCACACTTCGTGATCGTGACTCGACCACCCAAGTCCGTGCAAGTGAAGATGATATCATTGCCGCCATCAAGAACTTGGTTGACGGAGAGGAAACCTGGGAAGACGTCCAAAAGAGACTCCCTGCTTTTGAAGGACAAGAGGTAGACTAGAGGAAAAGCCAATCAACATTGGACAAGGAAGAGCAAGGGTATGGTTGTCAGCGATAAGGGTTGTGTTATTTTGGTTTGATCTGTTGCGAGGATGATACCCGACCTTTGATGGTGCGATCTACTTTTTCTGTGTATGAAAAGTCTAGTTGAGCACCTCGGATGACGGCCAGAGCACCGTGGCGGGAAACAGCTGGGCCGTGTACCAATACTATAGAGTCACGTATTATATTAAATGGGGAGATGATGATTTACGAGGCAAAGTGTAAGGTATCTATGTTTGTTGCGAGTGATAAGTGTCTTAGACGTGTAGAATCTAGAATACGATCCTAGGAGACGTGAAATAAGTTCAAGGGGATCCTTACAAACTGAAGCCACGTTCTCATCAGACAAATGCTAGAAGAACAAGTCAAGAAGTCTATAACGAGATACATGTATCCATTTCAGATTAAATTAATTGTTGTCTGGAAGGCCAGCCAAGTCCAGACAGAGTAAGAGTGATAGTAAGACTAACAATGAGAGTGAGATTATGTATATTCATTGTTCCTGGACCAGGTCGGGTCAGGTCAGGTCAGGTCAGGTCAGGTCACATCAAAAAATTGTGACATCTTTCTCAAGAAGTACTTTGATTCCGACTCGGAGTCCCACTCGACTCCTCATCCGCATCGACATCCCTCCTTTTCCCTTTCCCTCTCCCAATCATTCCCGACAACGTCTCACTGAGAGCACGCAATCGCGTCTGTCTGGTTTCCTGATCCGGTTGCCCCTCGATAATATCTCTCACCGCAGGCAAAGGCATCGTATCGCGAGTCTGTGACCGGCTGAGATCCTCTGATGAGCGAGGAAGAAGTGGATTTTCGTCGTCGCCGACAGTGGTCATACGTCGACGGTGGTCTTCTTGCCAAGATTGTTGTCGTGCAGAGCGACCTCTGCGTAACGCGACACGAACTGATCGAGGGGAGCCTTCGCCGCGAAGGAGCGAGTCGGCGACTAATGCGCTGAGAGAGGATGAGAGGGGTGGAAGTAAGGGGCCAGGTAGAAGGCGTGAGATGGAGCCTCGTGCGGATCGTGTCAGGAAGCTCGGTTCAGGTGAGAAATCGGATGTTTCGACGAGGACGTCGGGGGTGGCATGGCCGGGAGATGTGGTTAGACGTTGTGGAGGAGGGGGTTTGCTTGGGGTTTCGCTCTCGGCGGGTGTGGACATGGAGCGTTGGAGTCCTTGTGAAGAGGTTGAAGGGGTGAAGAAAGGTGTCGTGCCGGATTCGGCTTGGATGCGGCTGATTTGAGGTGTACGTGGTGGAAGTTGGCTTTCTGTCTCATCGATTGGAGGTTGGAACATGTGTTCCAAGGGGTGATCGAATGACTCGGCGGGTGTTACTGCAATGGAAGGGATTAATGACGACGCATTCGAGTTGCGGCGAGGGGTTTGTAGCCCGTCTGATACACCACCGTCGTGTTGGCTAATGGTGAGTTGAGAGGTAGATGGCCGACTCTCGTGTTTTAATGGTGTCCTTTCGTCGACAGCCTCGCCATGCTCATCAATAAGATGGATGGCCTCATCTTCATCGTCGTCATCACCAGCGTCTTCGTCATTGTCTTCATCTCGTTGACTAGTGATGAGGTAGACACCAAAAAAAGTAAATAGACAACCGATGATAAACTTTGTTGCTTGATCGCCTGTGGTATGTTCGAAATCCCGGTATAGCACGGCGGAACCAAGAATGACGGAAAGTGTGAAGAGGACAAATTGAGTCGGAATGACTTGAGTGGAGTCGTAAATCTGAAGGGCTCGGTTGAGATAGCGGATCTGCATCAGAGCAGAAACGACGAGGACGGCGATTAGAAAATAAGTGATGGGAAATGCAAATGCCTTGTAAAGAGATGCAGAAAGAAGAGAAGCAACACCTTTTGTCGACAAAGCAGTATATCCTCCAAACAAGCCCACTAGACCGAGATCAACCAGGATCGTGCGCCGGCCGTACTTGGGACTTGCCCACATAAGAGCCACAATGGCAATGAAAGTGAGTATGACATACAAAAGAAATTCCCATCTCTTGATAGTTCGCCACAACTCGCCAGGTCCAAACTTTTCCTCGCTTGTGTTTGCGGAGAGAACGACGACAACCGCGCCGGTGATTGCAACAAGGACTCCACCAAGATCCCGCTTTCGAAAACGTTCCTTCAGCATAAGTGGAGCAATCATACAGTTTGAGATGAGAGCAACAACGCCCAATGGGCTCACGATTGATGCCGGAGCGAAGCCGTAAGCCAGAAAGTTACCGGCCTCGCCGATAATCATCAGAACGAGGCCCAGCCACCAGTATGGAGACTTGAGATAGGATTCTCTTCCCCCGTCCTCGTCGTCCTCCTTCTCCTGGTGATGTCTCGAGTTGGCCGATTGTAACGAAGGCCGTAAGGAGGATTCGTCGTTTCCATCGCGTATTGGCCGAGAACCAAGGCGTGCACGAACCCGAGCTTCTGCGGTTTCCCCCTGCGGCAGCGTCCCGTAGCCACTGGAATTACCAGTGGTAGGGCCATTCGTCCTTGCGGCTTGTCTGGCTGCTTTGTGTTCGCGCTCTATCCGTATGTGGGCATATCTTTGAGTGTTCAAGGCAAAAGAGATGAGAAGGTTCCCAACAATTGCTGTGCTAATGCCAATGAACGACGACCACTCGCGTATGGGCGAGTCACCCTCTCCTGGCTGCGAATGTCCATTGCCCAACAGTGGAAGCGGATACAGTCGGTCGATCGAAGAGGGAGCTGCGAGTACAGCTGAGAGCGGAATGCGCATTGAGGCTGTTGCGGCGGCAGTGTCGGACAAGGTGCGGCGAGCGACTGATGGATGGACCAAAGCACCAGGTGCAAGTCACACAAGGTCGGGTTGTTGCCAAAGATGTTGGTCTACGAGGTGATAGACCAAAGATAGAGAGAGACCAGGGGGCCTCACTTCGTATGCCTAGGACATAGTCAACGCTGCTGGATGGTTTGAAGACCTCCCATAAGCCATGCGAATGTGTGGATTAGAGGAATTGGAGGATGTATGTGAAGACTGTCGCAGGGCTCGCGTTTGAACCCGGGGTACTTCGTATTCTTGAGGGCAGGAAATATGCACGCTACTGCGTCCAAGTTGGCGCCATCATTGCTGGGCTTTGGGCTAACGAGTCTAACGTTGTCTGGATGGAGCAGAGCATCCGTAGTATTCGTAGAGCTTGATGGTGATGATCGCAGGCAGCAAGTGTGAAACCTATACTCGACCGTAGATTTTACGGTGCAACTCTGATTCCTTCTGCTTTGCTAACTAAAGCAGCATGACGTGTCTTGGCATCTATGAGGCTCTGCTACCAGGGGACAACTTCCCACTCGTATATTTTCATTACGGACAGAATATGTTCCTTCAAAGAATTCCGCTTTCACCTTCAGACTCTCCGAGCTGAAGCGCCTTTTCACAAGGGCATCATTCAGATCGGATTTTGAGCATATATCCTCCACCGACTGTGATGTCCGTGCCATCGACGAAATGTCTCTTCATACTCGAGAAATAGATTGGTCAGGGTCTTTGACTTGTGAAAGTCCTCTATATCGTCATCTGCCGGCGGATACCGCGTCGATACTGCAACAGGCCTCTGGGTGATGAATGTACTCTTATGTGCTTCATTGGCAGAATCTTGAGGTTAATAGAGTCCACATCTTGGCTGTGGCCAGGCGTAACATAAATGGCTTCTTCTATTGGGAATATAAATGGCTGTCATCTGTTTGAGATGCCTTGTCGTCGGAAGTCGATCAGGCTATGGATTGGCACTGCTGGACCTACAGCTAGCCGAAAGGGTGTTTTCATGTCATACGCTGATGATTTATCCCGCCAAGGCTATACTTGTCTTCAAACAGTCGAGCCACTACATAGATGTGATCACCACCAAGAGATAATGCTCACCACGGTAGAACGGTCCCGTCATAGTTCTGGAATGTGCCACCAATGTCCCTCGAGGCCGAGTCAATTGTCTTCAACATGCCTGTGACGCTCTCTTCAACGCTGATGGCCCCGATATCCTTGAGGTCTAAGTCTTTACCCTCTACAACCTCGGCGGCCATATCGGTCATAACGAGGCCCGGGTGGAAGACAAAGGTGGTGAGCCAGGGTTCTTCGAAGTGAACTCGCCTCAAGAGCCAATTTAAGGCGGCCTTGCTGGATCCGTAGGGACTGACGGGCGCGGGAAACTTCGAAAGTAGTTCCATCCCGGATATTGTACCGATCAAGGTGGAGATAGCGATGAATTTCGGGTTGCCATTGCGGCTAGACTTGAGTTGCTCCGTCGTGGCCTTAAGGAGGTTTACAGGGCCGATCGAGTTAACGTAGAAATGGTCAAGGAGCGCCTCGGTCGAGTTTTCGAGCACACGACCCAGCGAGTGATTGATGCCGGCGTTGGCAATCACGACATCGAGTGACGTGATTTTATGTTCGTTTCGGAGTCGCTCTACCGCGTCAGCAGCGTCTGACTCGATAGCGGAATCGAGCTTCACAACGATAAGTTGCGAACCGCTCGCACGAGGGAGTTGGGACAGCGCCTTGGAGGACTCCTTAGAGGGATCGCGAACGGCCGCGATGACAGTGGACGACGCCCTTTGCAGCAAGGCAGCTACAAAACCGCGCCCGATTCCTCGGTTCGCTCCAGTAACGAGATATGTGACGCTTGAACTCATGATGGACTGCGAGGAACGATTGTTTCTGCCTTGGACATCTGGTTCCAGCGATTAAGCCCATCCATGTAGCATACTTATGCTCTCTACCGGCTTTGTTTCGGCCAATCGATAATGTAGAACTTGCCAAAATCCTGTGAGAATTGTAGAATTCGACAGACCTGTTTGTCATGTTCAGTAATCCTTGAATGTCTCGAGCTGCCAGACACTGGGCGATCCGTCCAGCGCTGAGTAAGTGGACTTTTAACCTTCAGATCAGGGCCTGTCAAGTCTAAATCAAACTTTGGATAAGTCGATTACTGATATCTTCCAGCATCCCACCACCCTGGTCGAATTATTGCGCCGGACCTTGTCATTGCAGCTCATCACATTCTCCCGCCACCAAATCAGCACTCGGTTTCTCGTCCCATGTCCCTGGATCTGGGGCAGTATAATCCCATTCGTCATGCAGAACTAAATCTCTCCTCCTATCAATCTACTGTCGTCGTCAGAACGAAAGCACTCGTCGCTAACCACTGGATTGGGACCCGCTTCCTCAATGCGGCCTTGCGAAAGCCCCTTGGCCGAGGCTGCGAAGTAGGTGATGTCCCTTAGCCAGTCGTCGCCAATAGCCAGATTCTCATCAAAATCAACACCGTCGCGCTCAATCCAACGGATGTGAAACATAGCGACGTGATCGCGCCGCCTGCGAGCATCATCGGTTGTGATTTCGCGGGAGAGGTCGTTGAGGTCGGAACGCGGGCTCCCGGGGAGTGGGAACCTGGCGACCGCGTGGCCGGGACTGTTCATGGGAGTCTGTATCCAGATCGAGGGGGCATTTGCTGAATATCTCAAGGTCGACGGAGATTTGGCGTGGAAAGTCCCTGCCGGAATCAAGGACGAGGAAGCTGTGACCTACGGTGTCTCAGCAGTCACCGCGGCATACGGTCTCAGCCTCCGTTTGGGGTTGGAATGGCCGGACGATCCATCGGTCACTACTCAGTCCGAAAAGGCGAACGCACAAGAGCGTCCAATTCGATCGTCCAATTCTGATCTATTCTGGAGCCACAAACGCTGGACTCTTCGCGATTCAGTTTGCAAAACTGATAGGCTGTCTTGTTATCACCACCGCCTCAACGCACTCTTTCGTTCTGGTGAAGAGCAACGGCGCAGATTATGTGTTCGACTACCGATCAGCAACCTCTGCGCACGAGATATGATCGGGGTTCCCCGACCTCAAGCTCGCCCTGGATTGCTTCTCGGACAGTGCGTCCACCTCGTTTTGTGCCGAAGTGCTGAGCGAACGAGGCGGCAAAGTAGTGACTCTCCTTCCCCGGACCCGACCCAGGATTTCTGGCGTTGAATATGCTGCGTTCATTCTCTACACGATCTTCGGCCACGAGTTTGCCTGGCTCCCACCTATACGTCCTAAGTTCCCCTCGGTACCTTCGGATCGCGAGTTCTACGCACGATTCATCCGTGGCTTGCCAAAACTTGCTGAAATCACTAAACCCCCGCCACTTTTGGTGAGGACTGTGGGGTGGGAGAGTATTCTTGTCGGCTTGAATGAGCTACGGCAGGGCCAAGTGTCAGGCAAGAAATTAGTTGTAAAGTTTTAAGTCCAATTGGGATTGGCCGGACAAGAACAGACAGGCTGGGACTTCCGTGTAGATCACCCTTCCCCCGACGTGTCCAGCTGTCCTGGGCTTGATATATCTGACTCCAGCGATTACTTGAAACAGGTTGACATACCCGAATCAGCGCACCTCTTCAGTGGGTTAACAGGAACCTGTAGTCTGATAGTTTTGTTTATCCCACTACGCAGTGTTACTGATCAGGGAATGCTCGAATCGATTCAGCGAGTGGTGAGCTATCGCTCCAGACAGGCTTCGTCCCAATTATCAAGCCGAAACATCGAACAGCAACCTTTCACCTGTCGAGGGCGCAGGGATAGCATTTTTGGTACTCTGAAAGATCCTGCTAAGAAGACTGGGCTCTCTCTCCAAGGACAATTGCATGACTTGTAGGATCTGCTCGTAACTCTAGCTCCTTGCCCGGTCTTCATTTCTGATGTTTCGAATTCAATGATGAATTAGAGAGCTTGCGAATAACGAACGGTTCATACCACTCTAATATGTCTACCGAGGTTCTCGTAGAAGGCTACACTGGGTTATTGATTGGCCTGCTGATCAATAGCGGGCGCGGTGTTTCCTGAGCGTGCACCATACCCAGGCTGCAATTCCTGATAGTCCCCAGAAGTTTGCAATTAGCAAGAGTCTCGCGACCAGGTGCTGGCCGCAAGTTGATTATCGAGCAGACACAGATGCCTGGACTCGGCCAGTCTATGGAATTTCGTTAGCCGAGCTTGGGCGACCCTCCGTCGTGTTGAGTAATCTATAATTCTTCGGGCTATACCAAGAGCCTCGCTACAGACGTGCCATTGTGATAGAAATAATCTTCGCGGTTTTGAGAGACACATCTACACGAAGATGAGATCTTCGAACCTCACCACCATGTCCGCCAATTTTCACGAAGTGCTGACAGTGACCGACAAAGCCGATTCCAGCCCAATCTCGATACGGCCTGACGACCATGACATACTATGGGAGGATGTCCGCGAGAAGAGAAATCCCATGAATTGGAATCTTGGTGTCAAGATCTTTCACACAGCGATTCCATGCATCATATCGTTTGTAGTGTTGGTGCCCCTTGTCCTTGTCTTTGGGGAGAGCGAGTTCTCGGGGGAAGAAAGGAGATACCTCCCGTGACAACCTATACTGAGCACTGACGCCGCGCGCGAATACAGAACATTTGCCATCTCAGTCACCGTCCCGGCTTCTCCTCACATCGCCGCGGCTTTCGCTGTCTCTCGAACCGAGTCTCTCCTCCCGCTAACGCTATATACCCTGGGATTGGCCTTTGGGCCACTTCTGATAGCCCCGTTTTCCGAGGTCCTCGGTCGTCGTGGGATATACATTTCGACGTTCTTCCTCTTGCTGCTCTTTACCGGTGCAGGGACGGCGTCTCCGAATTTTGCGACTCTATTGGCGTGCCGCTTTCTAGCAGGCTTCCTGGGATCGTCGTCCATGGCGATCGGGGCAGGCACAGTGTCGGATATCTGGGTCTTACAGAAAGCTGGAGGTACCGTTGGCCTGTTCTTCATCCTCGGTCCTTTTCTGGGCCCGATTTTGGGTCCCATCGCAGGATCGTACATCCTCGAGGATCATGACAACGACTGGAGATGGACGCAGTGGTTGATTCTCCTGGTGGGTGCACCGGTGTGGCTCGCCTCCCTATGCATGAAGGAGACCTCCAAAGCATATATACTTCGGCATGACAAGACGGGAGACGCCGTTGCAGCTACCGGCTCCGGCACCTCCGCCGCCTTGTATCAGACAATGGTCAAGATTCGCTTCGCCGTCCTTCGGGCTGTCAAGTTGCTTTTCACCGACATGGTCGTCTTCTCGCTATCGCTGTACACGGCATACGCCTATGCTTTGACATTCAGTTACTTTGCAAGTATCCCCTACGTATACCCGCGATATTACGACTTGAGCCAGAAGGAGAGCAACCTAATGTTTCTGAGCATTATGATTGGCTATATGCTGGCCATCGCTGTATTTGCCTTTTTTGACCGGACATTATATGCCAGGGCGCGGGACGCTGTCGCAGGAGCCATGCCACCGCCCGAGCATCGTCTGTACTCTGCTCTAATGGGCTCCATTTTCCTTCCGATCAGCTTATTCTGGTAGGTGTTGTCGCAATCACCCTTGCGCTTTATCCCACTCTCAGGCAGGGCGTATACATTTCTCACTCGATTTAATTATTCAGGTTCGCCTGGGCAGGTCGGAGAAATGGTCACTGGGCTGTACTGGCCAGCAGCGGAATTCCTTTTGGTCTCGGCGCATTTTCATTATTTGTATGTGCCCTTCCTTTTTCTTTCCTTTCCGCCCGCTTCTTCCATCCCTCAACTTCGACACTGGAACTCTCTGACCCCTGGTTAATGACTATTCTAGTTGTCTGCCATCAACTATCTTGTCGATGTGTATCAGTCTAGGGCGGCTGCATCTGGTAAAAGACTCCCAATTTCACACAGTTCCTACTTTGTAACGAGACAGCTGATTTGATATGTCGTAGCATTGGCTGCCAACGGAGCACTGAGATTTACTATGGCAGCTGTCTTTCCCCTCTTCACCCTACAGATGTACGAGCGGCTGGGTATTCGTTGGGCGGGGACCCTGTTTGGGGCGTTGTCCATCATCCTGCTACCCATTCCCTGGTTACTATTCCACAAGGGACCTCAACTCCGGGCCTGGAGGAACAGCGGAACCCAAAGTGTCATTTGATCGACTCCATCTCCTCAAGTGACACTGTCCTTTCAAGGATCAGCAGATGGTAATAAACGAAATGAGGCATCCACTGGAAACTCCTTAAAAAACCAGATGCGCGTAAGTCTCAGAGATGTACAGGAACAGAGTGCTTAATACCCGAGCGCGAGCCCTACGATTTCACATAACCCAATCAGGCCTTACCTTTTGAGACCAATGTGCAGCAATCCCTAGAATTCACCAGCTTTGCTCTCTACATGTGTCTAGAGCAAGTCAAACCATGTACTACTGTTTCTCTGGCTGCATTCTGCAAATATGCTACAGCAGCCCGACGTGTGCGCCGATACATCTATTCGGGTGGGGTGCCTTACAGCTTGGGAGTCAACAAAGGAGATTTGAATGGTCGTAGAAGCGGGCTTGAGGCAAAGCACGCTACTGATACCTAGCAAGGTCGACGAAGAGGGCAGACTCAGATGGATCCTATTTCGCCTTCGTGCAAGATACGCCGATCGATGCGGTCGGCTCTTGCGGAGCATTGATCTAGATGAGTAATGAAGCAATCCTCCAGCATCACATCAAAGCTATATGTACCAACAGTTTGTGAGAATTAAACCTCCCCACGGATAAATAATCTGGCACTGTATTGCACCTCAGGCACCATTTCGCGCTGCGAAGGAGTCTTGCGGTATAAGCGGTCATGGGGGCATCTCTTCTCGGAGAGTCTAACGCTAAGTAAATCCTGAATCTTGTTCCAACAAGCTAGAGGCTAGAAGATTATGCTTGATTGAAGCATCAAAAGTCCATAGTCATACCACAAGATATTCGATTAGCGTATCTGTTTTGAGCTCCAAATCAAGACCACGACGTGCATCTTCTGTGGGAACCCGCGCCACTTCAAAGCCAAGATTTTAGAAGCGCCTCTCATGGCTTAATTTTCATAGATTGGGACCATAAGGTCCTCCACCTCAGCTAATCTGTTGTGTAGCAAGCCTCTGTCTGTGAGTGACGCTTTGAGAAATAATATCTCCGCAAGTTTAGCGTATCGCGGGTGCCAAGGCCAGTTTGAGTACCTTAACAATCAAGTTTGCCCACTCGGCGCTCGAAGCGAATAGCAAACATCTCATTTCCAAGCTCTTCTGTGATTTGACTTGAAGAATTAGAATTTGCGATGACTATGGCGAGAAGACGATGGGCTGGTGTTGATCTGCTAAATGCCTTGTTCAGCTACCTAAGTTTTGACCAGTCACCGAACTCATCTTGGTTGGTTGACACTTTGTGATATCCTTGGAGTTCTTTCGAGTCAACCGACCATGCTGTGGCACTGGTCAAGTTTCTTTTTCCTTCTGTATCCTTACACCGTTTTCAGCACCGAACAGAAGCCGGATTTCTGTGAGAAGCAACCCTTGATTTCGGTGGATAGTGCCTCGCAGCGACATTGCGCGTCGCTTGGATCCTCTCCCTTTCACAAACCAGCGCGTTGCGCGTACCCTAATGCCCAAGGGCTTGAAGATTTGAAGAATTCAGAAGTTAAAGAAAGATTGCTAGACGCCCTCTACGATTTCAGTGACTATGAACAAGGAGTTCTCGAGCACATCGAACGAATCCAGTGGTTATACACCCAATTTACTCCAGATGATGAGAAAGAAGTAATGTTTCAGTGAGACTCTATGTCATGGTGCTACAGGTCTAACAATGCTTCAGACACTAGAGCGAGTAATTGGTTACTCAACTTCTTTTGCGAGAGTGAAAAGGCTCATAGCTCATAATTCCGGAATCTGTCAAGATATCGTGGCCTCTGGTCTGGCGACATATGGTCTTGAACAAAGCGAGCTCAATGATCACATCCAAGCTCGAAGATCCAACGAGAGGAAGGTCGACCGCGGGGCGGTTTCACAAGCCTTGAAACATCTCGTGCGAGACTGGGCCCCACAAGGTGACAACGAGCGAAACTCGGCTTTCCCTCTTATTCTAGATACCATTCTAGAGCACTTCCCTTCCACCTTGACCAGAGATCAGGTCCAAGTGCTCGTTCCTGGTGCAGGATTGGGAAGGCTTGCACATGAGATTGCTGCCCTTGGACGTAAGCAGGGATTCCGGACATGCAACTGAAGATGCAAGTTGGCTGACATCGACCCTTTAGCGCATCTGGATGTTACGGCAAACGAGTTCTCAATGCACGTCAATCTCGTTTATCGCTACCTTGAAAATAACAAGTGCTGCGATGGACCATTTACGATCTACCCTTTTCTCGAGAACTGGTCCCATCATAGAAGAAGGACGGAGATTGAAAGACCAATCACCGTGCCGGATACACAAGTTGACAGTTCTGCTGTTACACTGATAGAAGGAGATTTTACGGCCAAATTCAACGATGCAAGCCAGAGATTTGATGCTGTGGTCACCTTATTTTTCATCGACACTGCCCGTGATATGCTACAATACCTCAAATGCATTCGGAATGTTCTTCGGCCTGGCGGCTTGTGGATCAATTTTGGTCCTTTGCTCTTCATGTCAGCACCCTTTATGCAACTCTCATTAGAAGAGATTATACTAGTGTCACAAGACCTTGGCTTTGAATTCTTAGAGACCACCCCTGGGGCAGGGGAGTTGACTTTGGAAGGTTATAGAGTCTGGAGTTACGAAGCTCCTTACAACTTCAATTCTTCGGCTCTCAACAAGTTCGCGTATCATGCCCAATTTTGGGTGGCGCGGCGCTTGGGCTGAGGTTCCTACATAATATCGATCTACTGTCTATCTGTAGATGCTCCCGGTTCTTCTATACTTCAAGAATAATCTCTTCGTTATTGTGTTCGATGCTCTCTCCGTCAATGGCGGACAACAGAAATCTCCAGTGTAGCATCCTGAAATGCGAGGAGAATCAGTTCCTTATCAGTTGTAGCACTAGATTTCGAAAGATGATGAGTTTCCAAACCTTGTGAAAGTCTGGGGACGGAGGAAACTCCAGTTAGAATACTTCCGAGACATAAAAAAATCAGGCGACATGGTTTTGAGTTATTCGCCGTCCGAAGTCTCTGTGATGGCTAGCCATTCAGGCTTGAATTTATGAATGGACTGGGGACAGAACATCCGTTGTCGTGTGGAATAGAAACATCTGACTGGACAAACCTATCGATGATCCATCGGTCAGTCATGGCTGCAGCGGGCTGTACTCAAGGTCCTCGATTCACTCAACGGTTCGGGATTACCAACATCGTGATTGCACCAATCCCATGGCTACTAAATCCTCCAGTTTATAAGTCAGCGTCTTTCGACTTTTTCGAAGTTTGGTAGACTTTGGACCTCGCGAATAGCCTCAAGTTCTTGACTCAGGATGCCAGTCACTACGCGACGAATGTCGAAATCACCCTCTCAAATGGAGCCAATACCAGTCACCCTCCTGTCTGGCTTCTTGGGAAGTGGCAAGACCACATTACTTAGACACATTCTGACATCGAACAATCATTCGTTACGCATCGCTGTCATCGTCAACGACATGGCTGCCCTGAACATCGACGCATCCTTGATCAAGCGACACGTTGTGTCTCAGACGCAAGAACGACTCATACAGCTGGAGAACGGATGCATCTGCTGCACACTTCGAGGTGATCTCCTCGAAGAACTTGCTCGTCTCGCACGACATGGTGAGTATGACTATATCGTGATTGAGAGCACCGGCATCAGCGAGCCCATGCAAGTTGCGGAGACATTTACTGCAGAGTTTGCAACTGCAATGATTGAAGCCTCAGAAGAAGGATTGATCAGTGAACAAGATGAAGATCAGAGGATTATCAAGGAGATGTAAGATATACTGTCTGTTCAGCCACTGCCGTGTCTGCACCTTGCTGACAAGTTATCCCAATCAGATCCGAACTAGGAGGCCTACAAAAGCTAGTCAGACTTGATACTCTGGTGACTATGATCGACTCATTCAACTTCTTCCATAACTTCTCCACCACTGATTTCATCACGGATCGTTGGGGGAAGGAAGGAGTTGATCCTGAGGATGAGAGAACCGTCACAGACCTAATGGTCGACCAAATGTAGGTCATACCCATTAGTAGCTTCCCAGATGTCTTACTGTTCTCGCTGACTACCGTTTTGCCTTGCAGAGAATTCGCCAATACCATCATCCTAAACAAAACCGACAGTGTCAATAAAGCCACGCGAAATCGAATTCGAGCGCTTGTCAAAAGGTTGAACCCAGCAGCACATGTTCTTGAAGCCCAGTTTGGCAACGTCCCTATCAAGGAAGTAATTGACACCAAGAATTTCTCATTCGAAAAAGCAGCAACGGGAATGGGCTGGCTTCAAAGTCTACATGATTTGTCCCGTCGAGAAGTTAATGGGAAGATCAAGATTGCACCAAAGCCAGAGACTGAAGAGTATTCCTCACTTTATGGTTCTTTCTTCGTGTTTCTCAAATAGGCACTAACTTCTTTCGACTCACAGGTACGGAATATCGAGCTTCGTATACCGTGCACGGAAACCATTTCACCCAAAACGGTTGTACGGGCTGATTCACGACAAATTCGTTCTCATGGAAGGTCAAATCCAAAATGACGAAGAGGAGGAAGAAGATGACGAGGATGACGACGGGGCAGATCCTGATGGAGACAAAGAGACGCCTGCGGAAGCTACACCAATATCATTATCAATTGACTCTGAGGATGGTATCAAAACACCTCGATCAGGTACAGATTCTGATCTGAGTTCCGATATTGACATGGACACCGATGCAACTGAGGATGATGACTTGGACGAAAGCGCGTTCTCGAAAGGCGTGGATGACGAGGTACATCATCACTTCTTGAAATTCCTTACTAATTTCACTAATTTTTTGCTTGCTTACAGACAGTGAAGAAAAATAAACAAAGCGATGATGCATTCTGTGGCCTCATGAGATCCAAGGGCTTTTTCTGGCTCGCAACACGACCGACGTTACACGGAGAGTGGAGCCAGGCAGGCACAATGTTAACGCTTCAAGGTGGAGGACCATGGTTCTGTGTTCGAGACGAGGGTATGTAAAACTTGCAGAGTTCTACTCTCTGGCCTTCACGGGCTTCCGCTGATGGTACTTTCATTTCTTTTAGCATCATGGCCAGACGATAGCGACATCCGTGCCAGTATCATGGCAGATTTCGCCGAGCCTTGGGGCGACAGAAGACAAGAACTTGTCTTTATCGGCGAAAAGCTCAATGAATCGGCCCTCCGAGAGCGGTTTGACCGGTGTTTACTGACCGACAGGGAGATGAGGAAGTGGGAGAAGATTATGAGGTCCAAGTCTAATCATGATGATGACAGTGATGGGAGTGGATGGGTGACTGTGAACGAAATGCTAGCCGAAGCATTCGAGGATGGGTTTGAAGATTGGCCCGAGGATCTTGGTGAAGAGATCGAACACCACCATTAAGAGCTAGAGAATGTTCAAGGGGCCTGAGTGAGGTTGCCTAGACAAAAAAATAGACGCATTTACGTGAATGGTGAATGCTCATAGGAGCATCCTTTGTCCACAACGGCAAAATCTACACTTGAACATAGTGCCAATGGGCCTCTTGTGGTGATGCAAGATATTCATATCGTAAGAATTGGATGATAAAAGATACTACTCAAGCTAACCCAGATCCGAAGAACTCGACGAGCTTAGACCCAGCTTCGTCAACATGATCATACAAATCGGCATGTGTCAGGCCATCTACAACATATAATTCTTTGGGCTCCCGCGCTTTGGCCACGCCATCCTCGCTATACCACTTTGTCGCGGCTTTCGTGCCGGTGATCATCAAGAGTGGCCTAGGTGCAATCATTTCATTGAAAGCAAAGGCGTCAAAATTGGCCATGATGTCCCAACTTCTCGGGAGGCAAGTATTGGTGGCTCGCGGGTGATACGCCCTCGGTGTGCGATAATAGTTGGCCAAGTCCTTGAACGGCTCAGGCAGATCGGCCGGTACGTCTTCGATTTTCTCTGGCAGTAGGTGGACTATAGGGACTTGTTCACCGCCGATATCGCTGTTGCGATCCTTTGCCGCATTTTCAAGTTGACCTTGCAGGATGGACATGTTTGAGGTGTCTTTTTCGAAACCTCGACGAGCCATGGTGCCTACACACACAGCAGCGACGGTGGCACATGCTTTGATTCGCAGATCTGTCTGCGTGGCAAACGGTGCATAGCCACCAGATGCGCAGATACCCAGCACTCCGATCTTCTCCTGGTTGACTTCTTTTCGCCCGATGAGGAATGTGACTGCAGATTTTATATCTTCGACCCGATGATAAGGGTCTTCCAGATTTCTGGGCTCGCCCTCCGATTCTCCTTGATATGCAGCGTCGAAGGCGAGACAGAAGAAGCCAGCCTCACTGAGCAAGCGGGCGTAGTTTGCTGGAGATTGCTCTTTAATTGATGTCCATGGGTGACTAATGATAATGGAGGCTCCAGACCTGTCTGGAGAGCCCTGCGCAGGACGATAGAAATGTGCAGCGAGTTTCAGACTGCGCGACAAGAACGAGACATTCTCAGGTGATGTGGTTGGAGCCATTGTGTGTTGTTATTCCTTGTTCTTATGCTGTCTGGGCTTTCGAACGACAATCTTCGTGACCTGGGCATGATCCTGTGTATGCCACGGTCCTATATATACATGTGGCTCACGCACATGTTCAACCACTTACACGGGAATCAGGGACAAGGCAATCAGAGCCGAAAGCTTTCAGACCAAGCATTACCCCTCAGCCCCAATGAAGTCATATTGTGCCATTACGAGGCAATTTTCAGTAAATCCGTCCGCCACTTGCTGTGTACGAGTCTGTTCCAGGGCAGATCGAAGATCTGTAATATCTGAGACGACATGGATTTGTGGATACGTTGCGAGATATCTAGAGGTGGAAAGCCTCTCCTCGTCCGAGCGATGGTCGTCGATTCAGGCTTCGGCTACAACGTGTGTGCTAGTCCGATTTTCCGAAGCGCTAGTCCGAAAGTCTATCGGGCATGAAGCACAAGTTGCAGATCTTCACTATCGGCCATCCTCAAACATGACGCTATCTCCGTGGTGGTCGCCTGGGAGTGAAACTGTGCTGGCCACAGTGAGACGTAATGGAGATCAAAACAACAGTCTTGCACATGCTATAGATATTCCTTCCCGTCAGTCCGTGACGCTCTCAGTTCTCCCTCATCTTCAGTGACGAAACTCCATCAATATCATTCATTTGTGAATTACTTCTACCATGTCTGCAATCTCAATCGAAAAAGGTCCCCTCCAGCTGGCCGGCCTTCTATTCAGACCCTCCGTGAACGCTTCGGCCAAGGAACCTGCTGTTGTCGTTGTCCATCCTGGCGGAGGTGTCAAGGAGCAGACAGCGCAACTATACGCCAAGAAACTTGCTGGAGAAGGTTTCGTCGCCGTCTGTTATGACGCCTCCCACCAGGGCGAGAGCGGAGGACAGCCTCACTTCCTGGAAGATCCCGCAGCAAGAGTCAGCGATGTCTGGGCGGTTGTTGACTACCTTCAACGCCAAGACAACGTTGATCCTGAGAGAGTGGCAGTTCTCGGAATCTGTGCTGGAGGCGGCTACGCTGTGGCTGCAGCAAAGGCGGATCAGCGCCTCAAAGCCGTTGCCACCGTCAGCATGGTGAACATCGGCGACTCGGCTCGTTTGGGTTGGTATGGCGACGAGGATCCTTCGCAACACGTGGCTTCACTGAAGATGGCGGCTCAACAGATCACCGCCGAGGTCACCACGGGGGCTGAACGTACCGCTGCTCCGTACGTGCCACCACAGCCCGATGAAAAGACTCCATACGATTTGAAAGAAGCACACGATTACTATCTCACTCCGAGATGCCAGCATCCACGAGCGGCGAACAAGATGTTATACGACAGCTTTCCGCGCGTCCTCACCTTTGACGCTTTCCATCTCGCAGATCTCTTCTTAAAGCAGCCGACTTTACTGATCGTTGGCGAGGATGCAGGCTCTAGATGGCATACGGAGAAGCTGGACAAATTGGTTGGTGGTGTCACCAAGAAAATTGTGGTTCCTAAAGGCACTCACATGGACTTTTACGACAAACTTCCATTTGTTGACCCTGCGGTACAAAATGTTGCAACATTTTTTAAGGAACATTTGTCTGCTTCGTAAATTAATAGTGGGGTTAGGGATAGAGTCTCAATCCAGCATTGGGTTTATTTTTCCTTTCAGCTGTCACTTTCTTCCATTCCTTAAGGCTCTAAGCTAGGCTAGGTCAAAAATACCTTAGGTGCTTGAATCAAAGAACTGAATTTGATTCCAAACAGGATCGTACTCGAGAGCGGCTGCGTCAACGGTTCCGCCTATCTCAACAATTTCCGTGGGCTCTATATTCAGTACGTCTGGTATCTCATTGATCATGTTCAACCAGTACGTCTCGTCAAAGTCTGTGGTCGACGGACCAAGATGTAGAGGCGGCTGAATTCCAGTTGTAGCCATGAATCCCGCATCCGCATTTGTGTCAAAGTTCCAAGCACTCTGCGACGAATTTGGCTCATTTGATAGTGGAAGAGGCGACGCGGAGAATCCGCTAGATAAAGATGTTGGAGCATGTGATACTGACTCTTGGTGGTTATGCTGTTCGTACTGCTGGTGCAGCGGATGTGGTTGCAGTTCGGACAAGGTATCTTTCAGAACGTCGGCTTCAGACTCCTGTCTGAGATTTCCAGGTTCGGTGGCCATGGAATCTGGAAGATTCAATATGGCAGTATCGCACTCCAACCGCGTCCGTAGAACATGGTAACACTGTCTAAGGATAGCGAGACCAGAGCGTGCAATTGGGCTGTATGAATGCATTATACTCAGCCTGTTCATTGCTTGGCACAAGACATGATCGATCTTCACCACGACCTCGCTATCTTTTTGTGGCAGATACGTAGCCGTTACAACCGAAAGTAACAGTGATGCGTCGATGGTGTAGAAGGACAGTCCAAATAGCTTGTATTGGTGGGGCCTGGCCATCATAAATGATCGATGCTGCGAGTCCAATATCACGAGCGCAGCTTGTAATGCGGCGCGGCGGGCCTCGGCTCGATACTTTATGTGTGGACGGTGCAATGCCATTAGCACTAGATTGGCTTTGGTGAGAATATCCTCTCTCTGTTGGCGTAAGTATGGGTATTGATTGTCCCATGATAAGTTTGGTCGCTCATGTCGAAGCGTCGGTGGCAGCCGGTCCATTATATGGTTCACCCGATCATGAAGTTGTTGAACGACAGAGTAATCGGTTGGATAATGTCTATCGGATTGCAGCGCTTTCACGGTATGCCACACATTCGAGAGTCGGTACAGGAATAGATTGCTGGACACTGTGTTGGGCCTGTCTCGTTCCAGAACAACTTGAGTGGCTGGGACACAGGTGGATGGATCTTGTGGGATATCGCACTCAGTTGGCTCCTCCACATCGCAATCATCAGGATGGATAGCCCTTGGGCGACCAAGTATCATTGCAGTCAAACTGTCTGGGTCAGAAAGCCAGCCAGAGCATGATGCTGACAACGAAGAAACTCACGAGTCCCATATACACAAATTCATCCATAACCGTCGTTTATACTCTTCATACCACACGCGGCTCAGTGCCATCCTAGGACTACTTGAGCGTTGTTCGTGCGTACTCTTGTGTCGATGAAGCTCGAGCTCTTGTGCGGACCTGGTTGTTTATCAGTCTGCGATCGTAGGGATTATTTTGTGAGTAACTCAACCGGATTGCATTTCCTACGGTCCGCCAGGATTCTACGCCCTTTCCAATGTTCTTCAACCAAGATGCCCTCAGAAAATCTGCTTGAACTTTTGTGAGAGCCACTATTTCTCCTTGGGCATGCCTCATCAGCTCCACCCCAATGTCACTGTATTTCTGGCACAACGCCATATCAGCTTGCGATAAGAATTCCCAGACAGTCGAGTTGAGTGGCAGAAATTGTATCGCAAGGCCCAAAACCTGAAACAATAATGCCGGAAAGTAGTGAAGCTCTCGCCCGAGTTCTTTGTGGCTAAGGTGCGACAAGGTCTCAACACTGGTTCCATACCAGCAAGTGACTAAGCAGTCAAAATATTGCTTTTCGAGAATGAAGTACTGCCAGTTGACATCGTCGAAGAAGAATTCCACCAACTTGTTTATGGCCATCCTGGAGGGAAGTCGGTCATTGGCCAAACTTGATGTGGTGAATGCTTCAGGCCGCTGAAACGGGTGATGGTGAGCAGTCGAAACGGCGTGCAGCCCATCCACTTTCGGGAAAAGCTGGTGGTCATCAGTCAACAGCTAACTTGGATATTTCTTTGGTAGAACAGATCCACCGCCTACCTGTTTGAAATCCACCAAGGCATTACTTCCTGCGGTAGATGAGTAGCCCATATCGGCCGCCTGGGGCTCTACTGCTGTAGTGAATGCATGTGTTTCATCTGATGGTGCTGGTGCTTGCACGATGCGGGTGCCGATGGGCTCTTCCGTTGTGCCTGATCTATCAGAAGGTCTCAGTTATCGTATGTTCAGCTTCTGATCCAGGTTCCTGCCCATGGCTGAGCAATCATGCCCGCACCTCTGCTTACATTCTTGGGTGGCTGTAATGACATTTGGAAGTAACGTTCCGGCTGACACAGTTACTGCAAGGCTCGTTGCGATCGCACTACAGTGTGCAAGTGTCAGAGGGTTGAAACTGTTGGCGGGGTTTTGATTTGATAAACCTTCTGTTTTCGCCGGTAGCACTCGACGCACGCATTGATCGTCTTCTTCTCTTTTCGAAGCTGAGGTGAGCTAGAGGTTCGTAATGACGGCATATTCAATTTACTCGTTCGGTCAGCGACAAGACTCAATGAAGGAGTTGGATCGATGGGTCACTTGAGCCTCTTGATATCAATGATAAAACTGTGAAGACAAGGGCCTCCTAGGCTTACGTAAATACGAGGCCCTGAATTCGTGCTTGGCAAGCATCCTGACATTCGGCTGGTGGCTTGACAGCGGAAGCTTCGAGAGTGCTTTTGGACTATCTCTCTTACGAGGGGATGGCGATCTTCTGGACACCTGTGGCGCCACCGCCGCCAGCCTATTTCGCACCAATCCAGCTGACCACCCATCCGTCATAACAAAATTGTATCACCGACTCTGATCCTCTACAAACATAGGGAGGGTCACACGAGGATGCTGTTCGGACGCCACCATATTTCCTTACAGGAAAATCACATGTGCTCCGCGCTAGTCAACTTCTAGGCTGGTTTTCAGATACTGCCTGTACGACGGTCAATAATGATGCCACTGTTGTTGCTTGCAGAAGTGGCAGTTGTCACCTACCCAGACTATCTTGTAGATTTGTACTACCACAGCGGAATCGCGACAACCGAAGCATGGCCCTCCCTTGGAGGAGGGGAGGAGATCAAGGCCAGGGTGGTGTATTGGGGTTTCGCAGGGCAATTTGCTGCTTGAAGGACAGTTCTGACATCGCCTGAACAATCGAGTTTCTATCTGGTGTCGCCTCTCGGCGGGCTTCGCGCAATTAGTATGGGTGGCGAGGGTTTTGCCGTATAAACACATGATATGTTGGATCTGTTGTGGCCAGACAAGACAAGAGGCAGATACGTCAAGCGGTGAAGAAGGAGAAGCCATACTCAGCAGTCATCGTCATTCTTTATACTCGTCCTCCAGTTCTCACAACTTGTCGATGACCGACTCAAGTGGTCTATGAATGGACGAGGTGTACAGGCTATCCCTGGGCCTTGCTCATGATACTCAGCGAAAGTCGTTCAAGAGTAACGGAGCCTACCAATGAGATTTCGACACATACCATTGCCTTTTATTCCTCCCCCTAGCCTTACAGTTGCCTCTCTTCCTAGTTTTCCGTCCCTCAGCCTCACGTGTCGCAAAGCTCCACTGCCTTCAAGTTGCGTACCATCTCCTTGCAGATTGGCGCACTTGGCTTCTCTCTGGAAACTCCCTTCTCTAATTTTCTCTCAATTCTCTTTATTGAAAAGTACTCTCGGCGAATGAGACACGTGATAGAAGAGAACTTGGACGGGCAACTAACGACAATGCATCCACTTGAACCCCAAGTAGGACGTAGGACGAGGCTGCCGCTAATATACTATTAGCAGTGTTCCTTTCCGGAGACAAGCTGATGATTAGATGCCTCAGTGTAACTCCGTAAGTCGTGGCCGGTGCTTGTCAACTCCTGTCATCTGCTGTCGAAGGAAGTGCCACAACTCCAAAGTCCTGAAGAAGTGCTGCTAGATGAAGTCAATGGTATGGCATACATTGTGAAGGGAAGTGTAAGAGTTGCGCTGGATGTAAAACTATACTGAGTGGAGAGTAAGTGGATCAGGGAAGTCGTTTAAAAGCGGCAAGCGTTGTTTATGGGCATAAGATGCAAGTGAGCTTTCCACACCAACAATGGAGGATGTCGATATGTGGATATTGATACTCCTTGCATCCATTCGTAGGGCTCATGATTGGACATGTTCAGCTACGAGGTCCCCCTCAAGTACCACTGAAATCTAGCTTTTGGGCTGGAGCCATGATCGTATTGCAGGCAAGTCAAGGTCAGCTGAAGACCCTTCAACTGGGCGAATACGAGGCCCTGCCTTTCAACTGAGTCTGCATGGCTTGCAAAGAACCAATTCCTCTTTCCTTGACACCATCACTACATATTCCTATACGGATCCTACAACAAAGCAGAAGTCGTTCAACAATATAGTCCTATTCAATGCCAGAAATCGACCTTGTGGTTGTTGGTGCAGGCCAAACTGGCCTCGTCGCCGCATATACTTGGTTGACTCTCAACCCTGATTCTCATGTCACCCTCCTCGAATCTGATTCCTGCGTCGGCGGTGTTTGGAGTAGAAATCGAGTTTATCCCACCATGATGACCCAAACCCCTGTTGGCATGTTGGAGTTCTCGTTCTTACCTCTGCCAAAACCCAAAGATACCTACTATGGACTCTTTTCAGGCGAGCATGTAACTGCTTACCTTGAAAACTTTGCCCAAACCATCTATTTCAGTGGCACTTCACTTCAAAGCAGAATACACTTTGATTCACCTGTCACTTCTATCTCACAGGAGCAACAAGTTTGGTCGGTGACTACTTCTCATGGCTCTCAGTACAAGTGCCGCAAGCTGATTATGGCGACTGGCCCCACGTCATTGCCGAACAAGCCAGCATTCTTTGGCGAGTCTTGTTCAATTCCCCTTTTGCATTCCAGAGACCTTCAAAAGAACCACCCCTTTCTTTCCTCATCCACGGTGCATCTAGTTGCTGTTGTTGGAGGGTCTAAGTCTGCATTCGACACGGTCTACTATTTGATCAAATCAGGAAAGCAGGTTCATTGGTTGATCCGACCTGATGGACAAGGTCCAGGATTGTTGGCTACGCCTGATGGCGGCGGACTGTACCAGAATTCTCACGAAATCATATCTACCAAATTCATTGCCAAGATGAGTCCATGCATCTTCGAGCCTGCCGATGGCTGGCTCCGCTTCTACCACCAGTCGTATATTGGCTCTTGGTTCCGCAAGGGCCTGTGGTGGATGGTCAACTGGATGTGGCAGGCGGCGGCAGGCTACAATCAAAGTCCCAACAAGACACACCTGAAACCCGATCTCCCAGCATACTGGGCTTCTGATAACATTGGTGTCCAAAACACAAGCGATCTCTGGAGTGTTGTCAGCAAAGCAACAATCACCCGAGACCAAGTCGTCAAAATACATGATGGTTTGGTGGTCTTGTCATCCGGAAATAAGCTTAAAGTGGATGCGATTGTAGCGTGTACCGGGTATGATGTTTCATATCCCATGTTCTCCCAACGTGACTCAATCGAGTTGGGCTTGCCGTTGCCACCTGGGGCTGAGAATGCGGAAGATACAAGACTATGGGAGGAGAAGATAGCTGCCGCCGACGAAAAGGTCCTACGAAGATATCCCGACTTGGCGTTGCAGAAGAATTTGCCAGTGGTCAAACCTCGCAACAGTCCTAATCACCTCTATCGCGGTATGGTCCCGGTGGTGGGGAAACCTCCCACGATTGCCTTCCTTGGACAGGTGGGAAGCACTCAGGCATTTACCGTCTCGGAGATTCAGAGTCTTTGGGCCGTCGCATACCTGATGGGAAAGCTCCAATTACCACCGACAAGCATCATGGAAGATGACGTTGCACTCCGGATTGCATGGCGAAGACGAAGATACTTGGGCGACGGACATCACATTGTCTACGACCAAATTGCAGTAAGTGACAAATACATCCCTCCCTTTGTGGCGCCTGCCATGATGACACTGCTCCAGTATCAATCCATGTTAATCAGAGACCTGGGACTTGTCGACACAAGGAAAGGAGGCGGATGGAAAGAAATCGTGCAACCGTATCATCCTGGCGACTATGGCGGACTGATACAAGAATGGCAAGGTTCAGGTGGGGTGCCTGGGGTTCTGGGGCCGCGTGGGCCGCCAGGGGCATAATTGACAAAGTCATCAGGTTGAAGGAGAACTGCCGAGATGAGATGATATGCGGGACAACTATTCTTTGTCTCGCTAGCCATTTGTGCATGCTCCGTGTAGTCAGATAGGTATGGATAAGCAGACGCCGTTAAGCTATCGGAATATTGCGTACCATCAACATCTGCCCCATCCCACATATACGGGGCTCGTTCTACTGGTCCATGTCAGTGACATCGCGTCCAGACAAGTGGTTTAAGGCAGCCTTTTTACAAGAATGATCTAGGTAATAACACCATGCTACTTGGCAACAAATCCTATCGTCCAGAACCAATGTAACCGTCTGAATGTCTACGGAACAATTCGAAGGTTTGGCTTGGCCGTTGGGTCAAGCGTCCCCGCCATCCACTCTCAACTTAGTCAACTGTCCATTCGCAATGGGGCTTGAACAAGATGGAACCACGCGACCTTTAACTAGTCTCTCACGCCCCGCAATCCCCGTGAAAGCTGGCCGAGGGGCCCAGCTTGGATCGAAACGCTTTTCGAACCTCATCGAATTTTGCTTTCCGTCTCAACCAGAACACGAGACGACGATGTCGAGTCTGGGGAGGGTCGTCCAGGCTTGCGCCAGATGTCGTCGCCAGAAGCTGAAATGTGACGCCACCAGACCTTGCACGTTGTGTCTGCGAGCCAATGTCGAATGCCAGCCACGCCAAGTGCTAGGGAAGCGAAAATCAGTCACGGGCGGACATGCCCACACCCGCGACAACACTCTTCCACATCCACTTCCTCGAGAACCCAGCATCGCAGCCTTTTCCACATCAGAGCCGTCTGAGAGAGACCATCAGCAGCGACACAGGTTCGATCGCGAAAGGAGGACGAGCGAGGATGTAGTTCACGCAACCAGTCCGACAGAAGGTCATCAGTATGGCGCCAACAGCTCAGTCATTAATTTTGCCAGACATGTCGCACGAGACCACGATCTCGAATCCCCCGAGATGGGCTCGACCATTCCAGGCGATGCGGGTGAGGTGCGTGAGACATCGTCCGCCTGGCGACTACAGAAGATTCGTCTGCCCTCTAAAGACATCATGATCCAGCTCGTCCAAGCCTACTTTGATCGTGTCCATTGGTTCATCTTCATTCTGCACCCCTCAACTTTCATGGCCAAGGCAGATACAGTTCTTTCCAAGTCTCGCTGGACTAGACGAGATCTGCCGGACGTCGTTGTCGTCCTCGCCGTTGCAGCGATGGGTCTGAAGTGTGTGTTGCACGATTCATCCTGGGCCGGTCATGCCCAATTACGCGACGAAGGCATCATCCCCGAAACCCTGCTAGCCGACCTCATCACCGAGACCAGGATCAATGTCCTGGATGTGGTGGATGCGGGCCAGATTGAATCAGTTCAGGTCTGTTTGATTCTTGGGACATACCTGATCTATTCTGGATCTGCTCATTCCGCCTGGAGCATTTTGTCCTTGGCCATCAGCAGTGTCTATGCACTTGCTCTACATTGTGAAGTCCCGTCCGATGACCTAGATGTGGCCGCCCAAATCCGTCGACGGACTTGGAATCACGCAGTCATCGCCGATACATTCTCGAGTATGATTTACGGAAGACCCACCAGTTTGGACTCGGCCTTTGCCCGAGCACAGCCACTTCACGAAATGGACGACACTGTCATAGATGGACCACTTGGTCTGTCTGGCGAGGCTGTTCTTTCCAGTGGACATCGATCAGCTCTGTCGTTTCATATCTTGAGATACAAACTATACTCTATCAACAAGCATGCACTCTCCACCTTCCGTCTGCTTCGACTCGGTGATGTACTCTCTGAAGACGAATTAGAATCATTGGTTGAATCGGTCAAAGAGATCGAGCACCTTCTAGCTGAATGGCGCAAGAAGCTACCGACATACCTGACTATGGAACACTACGATGATGGTCTGGAACATAATGATCCGCTCCAGCCACGAGGAAGTCCTGGAACCATCGACGAGGCAACACGGAAGCTAATGCTGCAAGCCATCGTCCTCCAAATCACCTACGACAGCACCGTCATCTTTGTCCGCAGACCATTGATCGAGCACAAAGTCGCAACCAAGCCTAGCGGATCGCTGACATCTGCGGCCTATAAGTACCGACAGAAGTCTCTCAGTGTCGCAGTGGATGCGGCTCTGAGGATCTCGCGACTTCCCCTCGCCGAGCTGGATAACAGCCTCGCATTATCTTTCCTCTTTATGCATTTCTTCACTGCAGGCGTCATTCTGTGCATCATCCCTCCAACGGAACCATTCAGCGCACGGTCTCAAGAATCCAAAGCCGGAGTCATGCGCATCATTAGAGCCAGCCGCGTATTGGGAAGTAACAGCAAGATCGGAAAACATCTCGATGAATTGCTAACGGCTCTACTGAGCGCTACCATCCAGCGAGAACTCAACACTGCCCTGGATCCACAAACCGTCATGTTAAACGCCGAGCATCTGGCACAGAGCAGTACTCTGCAGAATAGCGACCTCGTTCTGAGCCAGACAGAGAGTTCTCAACCACTGATTCCGGGTGAGCTGTCCCAAGATAGAATCGATGAAGGTCTTGCACCCAGCCCTCGTGACATGTCGGGCATTCAAGACTCGAGTGAGATTTCGTTTTCCGGCCAGCAGCCCCAACAGGACTACCATTCGGCAATGCTCTCGCAACTAGAGGATAGCAATTTTCAGTTTGATGCTCACTTGGACGAGACATTTGGTGCATTTGGTCAAGGTTAGTCCCAACTCAAGCGAAAGCAGATCCGGTAAGACCTGCACTAGCACAACGAGACTGACATATTGATAACATAGTCATGTTCAACCTCCTGCCTGATGACCCATATACACCATGGAATTGGGGAGGGTCTCTGCGATGACCTCGTGGTTCTTTGTCAATTGAGCAGTTGCAGAAGTATGGCCGTCATTTGAGATGAACATGGATATCCTGATGCCGTTTCCAATGGGAAAAGACATGATTTACGTTATCAAGCATATTGGAAATCAGAATCTCTTCAGATATCCATGTTGACAAACTCCAGGCAGATTACCATTAGGGCTAAATGCTCCGCTCAAAAGAGACACAGCGGATTTTTACCCTTCCAAACTCCTTCTCAGTCGTTGAATTGCTTTGTCTCCCGTCCGACCTGATCTGCTCAATGCTCTTCTCATCAGGTAAGTGGCAAAGAGAGGAATGAAGTCTACAGTCGAGCTCAAGTCGGCCGAACATGTATTCTCCTCCCGCAAAGAGTCAGTGAATGTCCGAACCTCTGCCACCACGTTCCTTACGTGCGATATCCAACAGTCGACAACACCAGTCGATTGTCCATGCCATGACGAGATCTGGATTCCCAGAGCCCAAGGTTTCAACGTTCTGGTGCATCTGGTCATCGACTGTCGATTTCACGTCTCTTTGTCAACTGCCTCGGCTGCCACTGAAGCAATTTCCCATTACGTTGAACGAGCTGAGGTAAGCGGGAACCGCCCACCATCATGTGCTACTTGACGCATTGTTCAAAACTCACTAGTCCAGCTTTGGTCGCAATTAGGGTATGAGGTGACCAGGACCGTTGCGACGGATGCTGGGTGGACTCGAAGCCGTGGAAGGGTACATTTGATTGAATATGAGATGCGAGTAAGAAGTCGCAATTATACTTGTATGGAATTCCTGAACTGACAACGACAGCAGTGTATCGGGTCCGCAGACGACGTGACTTTAGCATGCCCAGAGGATGTTCCAGTGTATACCTTACAGTCTGTCCGACTAGACATGGAAATCATCTGCTCGGACTCTCTCACCACAAACAAAGTAATGTGCGATTGTGGTGCCACTTTCCCGTACTAATATACAAGGCTTAGAGAGCGGCGGCTCATCCATCGCCAAAGGGCGCAGATCCTTCTACTCAGGGTTCGTCCAATAACATCCACGATGGAGGCGAGCCACCCGACAATACGGAAGAAAAGATTCGCACACATGAGTCAAGGTCGAACTATATGATTTTGGGAGAAGACACACTCGTAGGGCTGACTGATGCCTGCTTCCGAGGCTGCATCGCTACGAAACCGACACGACTCGGCCGTGGCATCCACATACAAGGTAATTGGTGCGGTCCTTCACTGTGTGACATTGCTCCAAATGTCTTCAACCCAGGGTACGCCCAAAAGTTTGAGGCCAGAGTCTACCTTATACCAGTCATCGCTCATTTTCTATCACGCTCTCATCTTCGAAGACGCTCAGCAACTGGGAATGGGGTTCTAGCCCCATCTTCGGTGAGCCCGCATCAGGTAATGACTTCAAGTTCGACAGGTCGAGGCAATATCAACTCGGTCTCCTATGACATGATTCGTCGTCATCTATGGGTTACATTGGCGAATGCACTTCGAGAATGTACTGCTGCACGGAAACTCTGCCCCCTTTGGAGCCTGCCTGCAAAAGATGACAACAGAAGCGAGTGGGAGTTCTGCGATCTTGCAAAAAGTGTTGATCGTGAATTCTATGACTTGGCACTCAATTATGGTATTTCCAGTCAGCAGACAGGGGTAGCCAATGGCGTCAATACTGGTCAAGACAGGGACATGGACATGTACATCTCGGCGATTGCGCCAGGAACAGAAGCACAAGGCTGTGCCAGATCGAGGCCAATGTCTGACTGTACCCCGAAACAATCTTCCAACAGTCTGGAGCTTATGGCAAGTGTCTTTCATGACAGTGATGACAATGGCATTGTCCAGGAGGGTGCTGGTGTGGCCTTTTCCACAACAGAAATTTCGCCATTGGGGCCAAGCGAAACCAGATCCCGGGGCGAGGCATATCCAAAAGACCGTGATGTGTCAAGGCTTATAATGCCCGACCATGACAGAAACGACGGTATAGGAAAGAGGAGTGCCAACACCATGTTGGACTTGATTGGTGGAACCACCTGGCTGACTCACGGCGCTACCCGTTTGCGTCCGCTGATGCATCTCAACCACGGCATCCAGGCGTGCCAGGAGACCGTGGCAGAGGATGGCTATGAGGGGTCTGCAGCGCCTATTAACATGCCACATGCCCTAAATGCGGCCGTCGGAGACCAGTATTATGTCGATGTCCCTAAGCATCTTGAGGCCGAGCCTCATTCTCAGCACAGTTGCAGCAGCTTTGATCGACTCACAGACCCAGACATCGATGTAGCTAGCGGCATCACAGACACTTCTGTGATATCGGCAATACAAGACACGATCTACGACGACGATTCTGCGGAGGAAGACTATACCTTGGACGAGTTACACACGATGGCGACCTCACAGCAAGAGCGAGACCGAGAATCCCGAGCGTCACTGGCTGATCTATTGGGCAATGAACATCTCCTATGGAAGATGTTTCAACGAAGAGGAAGTGTGGCGCCGCAGGGCGAAGAAGACATGGACGACATGAAAAGGTTATACGAATCAGACCCAGACATGAAGCTATTCGGACCTGGGTGGAATTTATCTCCAAGCGACGTCAGCTCGAGCAGCAATGAAGACCCGATGTTACAAGATATTGGCCCTCGACAGACCCCCAACGCACCATCCAAACCCCCCACACCTTCCACAGAGCGACGATCATATGTCGGCACCGTCCGACCTACATCGTCGTCGTCGATGGGCAAGCAAAGCACCGATCCCAAGTATCAGCGGCGAAGTAGTCTGATCAAGAGGTTTCAATGGGGTGGACGAAAGCCCACGACCGAACTAGGCGATGTGGAGGAGAACAAGACACCCCGAGAACCTGAAATCAAGCGGCGGAGGACGTTGGACGACTATGATACAATGAGTCTGGATGATACGAGTGACGAGTCAAATGAGATGCTCTTTCGTTAACAAGAACAAGAACCCGAGTTTTTCTCAATGCATGGATGGGTTTTCTACTTAGCAACACAACATCGGAGTTCTGGGATCAAGACGCAATTACTTAGTAGGCGACATCAGTCAAAGACCTACACATTGCATTGTCGCCACAAGAAGGTAGCATGGCTGATGGACTATCAATCACTTTCTACTTCGCTCGAGGAGGAGATTTCATTCAGTAGTGGGGAGGAAAAGTTGATATACTTCCAGCATTGCATCGAACGCTACTACTGAGATAATTTCACAAACATTCCCTTGATAACTTCAAGTCCAAAAGTGCGAGAGTGATACTAGGTACCAGTACCTAGTATTTTGCCTAATTTGCTCAGTGGAAGGATCACATGGAGGGGAAAGAATGAAGTGGCCTTGGCGTTTGAATTGCACAACTTGAGAATTGTTGGCGATCCAATGTTGAGGAGTCGCCTTGCATGGACAAGAATTGGTGAGAAGGTCCAGGTAGTATTAGTTGCTTGAACTAAGTAGAGCCTAACAGTCAGTAGCACCTTAGGTACTGTAGAGATAAAATGCTTGTCGGGAGATCCTCGCAGAATTCTTCGATGGTGGACAGAGGCACAAAATGCCTCGTATTGCTTCATCGGTTTGATAATGAATATCCACATGTGGCACCAGAATTTGTGTCGTGTGTGATGCTCTCATCATGATGAGGATGACAAGCAATCGCTATCCATTTAATCAGAACGACTACATATGCCTCGTGCCATGCCTGGGAGTAGACAATGCTCGAGGGGCAAATTGTACTCGCACACCATAAACGGACTGCATTCAATTATTCCTCACTCCAAGCAGCTCATTCCATTCACCTCTAGGCACGGACCATAGCGCCTAAGTTGAAGATGGACTTTTAATGTTCTAGTTAAGAATTCTTACTGGTGCCCGACTTTTGAGCGACCAACCGTCAGTCGCTTTAGCACCGTTATGCCACCGTTAGGCTGTGCCATGGCGCCCTTCACTCTTGGCCTTAGGGCTCGAAGATTTTATTAGCCACCTTAGCACCCTTGACAGTTTAACAATGCCATGCCCAAAGTGCCCGATCATACGCGGACCTCCATAATTATTGTTCAACGCCCGTCAAGCCACATCCAATCCACATCCACATCACCAGATGCAATCAGCACTCAACTCATCAGCTCGGAGCATCATTCGCATCTGGTTTGGCGACTTTCAAGTGGAGCTATCAAGGTCCACTGCATCTCTGATCTCCACGCTTGTGACTCTGTGAGGTCACCCTTGACGCATTCTACCACATGCCCATGACCTCACCCTCGTGTTTTTTGCCCATGCATCATCACTCACACATAACCTCATTTCCAGTCCCTCAGACAAACCCTACAGGCCACTGCTCCCAACAGCCGACGCATCGACCCTTACCACGTCCTTACTAACGATCGACTCGGACCACCACCCCCAGGCATAGCTTACAGCGCCTTTCTCAACTGAACTCGTGTCACGCCGTCGGGTCCATTGCCACCCTGACGCCCTGCCCCTCTTTTCCCAGATTCTTGTTCCCCAGGTGCCCAGTCAATGGGCCGGTTGGCGGTAGCTGCCCCTCCTCTACGAGTACCTTGATTTGGCCTTACGACTTTGTTCCTGACCAAAAAGGCCGTTCACCACCAACGCAACGCAATCCTGGCGTCCTCCAGTTCCTCCCACCAGCCCACCATACACCAGGCTGAGTCGCAAACTCCTACTACCTCTCCCTCTCTATCAGCCTCTCGAGCTTTTAAGACGACAGTCCAGCCTTCATCCAAGCCCCGAATCTCCGTGCTTTATATCGTTTCCGGCGCTGTCCTCTTGCTCGTTTTTGTAGCTCGCTTCTTCCTTTCTCGCGACCTCCAGCTCTCTCCTGCGCCGGCCCTCGACCCCTCCTCACTGGTCCCTCTAAGCCCTTTTGGCGACAGTGTATACAAACAAGAAGCATATTACGACCAGTTGGAACCTGGTACTCAGTGTAGACCTAGGTCTATCTTCTCCCAAGATCTACCTATCTCACACGCCCTGAAAAACATGGCTCTCGAACAAGAAGTCAAAAAGGTGGCTGCACAATTTGAGTATTCGGCAGAGGATGTCAACCGAGGGGTTAAGGAGTTTATCCGTGAGATGGACGAAGGCCTTGAGAACCAGGGTACCACACTGAGCCAGATTCCTACCTATGTCACAAGCGTGCCCAATGGCACCGAAAAGGTATACAACCTACCAGACCTGTCTACCATTCGAAGCTGACTATTTCCCAGGGAGTCTACCTCGCAGTTGACCTTGGAGGCACAAACTTCCGCGTCTGCTCAATCACTCTTCATGGAAACCAATCCTTCTCTCTCCAGCAGTCCAAGATTGCAGTTCCTCGAGCGCTCATGGAAGCCAAAACATCCCACGAGCTCTTCTCTTTTCTCGCCAAACAGATAGAAAAATTTCTTCAAGAGCATCACAGTGATCATTTTGAGAAGCACAAGCATCTCCCTGTGGAGGATGACTTTTTCGATCTGGGTTTCACCTTTAGCTTTCCCGTCAACCAAATCGGCATTAATAAAGGCAATCTAATGCGCTGGACCAAGGGCTATGACATCGATGATGCGATTGGACAAGATGTCTGTCACTTGCTACAGGTCGAGATTGATGCTCTAAAGCTCCCCGTCAAGGTCGCCGCGCTTGTCAACGACACTGTGGGGACCTTGATGGCGAGATCGTACACCTCCCCCGGCAAGACGAGCACCCTCATCGGAGCCATCTTTGGAACCGGCACAAACGGCGCTTATGTCGAGTCCCTGGAGAAGGTGAAGAAGATGAAGGCCATCGACGCTGCCGAAGGGGGCCAGGGCAATTATGACAAGTCCACAGGGCTCATGATCATCAACACCGAGTGGGGCAGCTTCGACAACCCACTCAAAGTTCTCCCAAACACCCAGTATGACATTGACCTGGACAGAGAATCAGTCAATCCGGGCATCCAGATGTTTGAGAAGCGGGTATCAGGGATGTTCCTGGGCGAGATCTTGCGGAGAGCCCTACTTTCACTCTACCAGCACCCGAACGCAGAAGTCGCGTTATTCAAGGACACATCGTCGCATGACAACGACACTCGCAGCACCACGACAGTCGATCCCAACAGTGCCCTGTTTAAGCAATGGGGCATTGACACATCTTTCCTGTCCATCGTCGAGGAGGATCATTCGGATAGTCTCCGGATCACCAAACAAACCCTCGAGAAGGAATTAGGAGTCGGAGCTGCATCAACCGAAGACTGCGTTGCCGTCAAGACTTTAGTCCACGCCATCGGTAAACGTGCCGCCAGACTTAGCGCCGTTGCCCTAGGTGCCGTGGTGATTGCAAGCAACAAACTGAAAGAAGACGAACTCGTCGACATTGGTGTCGACGGCAGCTTGGTCGAGTATTATCCCGGGTTTGAGGACTATATCAGGGAAGCATTCCGTGAGATTGAAGGCATCGGCGAAGATGAAAAGCGCATCAGAATCGGTCTGGCCAAAGATGGAAGTGGCCTGGGTGCCGCTTTGATTGCGTTGGTGGCCAATAAATCTGAAGTTTCACTCTGAATAGCTTCTTCGACGGCATGAGCCCGCAGACAGGGAACCGGGTGATCCTAAGGCCGTGGTAGGGGAGGCTAAGGTTATCATTATCATATGGTTCAACTCTGCATCTCAGGATGCTTAAAATGGGTTTTGGCTTCTGGTCTGGCATGCAATTCCGTAATGAATGAGCATGAAACTGCATCATTAGTGTCATCAAGGCATGAATGACTTTTAGGACAATGTGCCTAGGAATACAGGAAATAATTGTAACATCCTTAGCTTCGGGCTATGGAGAGAATGATTACCAGAATCGTGATGAGTGCCTGGTTAGAATTGGGGATTTTGGTGACGTTGTATTCGATTTTACCAATAACCAAAGCTCAAGCTTTCAGGAAAACCCATATGACGATGATTCAACTGCAGGTGGCTCGGATTATTTTTATTTCTGGCGAGAAAGACATCATCTTTCGACCGAACAACTTGATCTTGTCACAATTGCATTTATTAGGAATGTCAAATCTCATACACGCCTGAACAGATACATGGACATTCTTATCCATTCGCTGACAAATCCCATCACACTTTACTCCCTAGAAACAAAATAATTCTGGCAACCTTCCCACCACCACCCCCGCCATCATCAAGCCACCACCATAAACTGGTACAACAGATCAGGAACCAAGTATCATCCCACTTTCATCCTGGTCCCCCGCCACCATGTCAAGCTCCAGCGACCTCGAAAGCTGGTCCATTCCGCGACTCAAACGACTCCTCCCCCTCGACGACACATCACTCGGCGAAATCATCACGTATACAGCAACCCTCTCAAAACCCGCCGCGGCCGAACATCTCAAGAACCTGTTAGGTGATGACGGCCCTGCACTGGAATTCATCGCTAGTTTCAACTCACGGAGAAAGGCTGGAGATGGCGAACCTATCAGTAGAGGGGGTTCTTCTATGACGGGTTCGGGTTCAGGTGGGAATGATCGTCGTGGAGGTGCTAGTGGTAATGGTGGTAACAATGATGATGATGGACATGTTCCTGCTCGGAAACGTGGCAGTGGCGGCGCGAAGAAATCCAAATCCAATCTTCATTCTGCTGGGCCTGTCAGAGTTCCTGAAGGGTATGGGGATGTGACTGGTGGGTATACGAAACAGTATGACGGTGGTCGGGAGAAAGCACATGAGAAGTTCGCGATGGCTGATACTCTGCATCTTCCTACGGTTTCCAATGCTGGGGTGACTGGATCGGTGGGATCATCACGAGATGTTTCGCCTGCACCAGGAAAGAATGCTGGAGGAGCCGCAAAACTCCCACCTTCCGCGTCGGGCAATCTTATCAGTGATTTTGGATTTGCAAATGTGCGATCGAAGCAGGCGAAGAAACCACAAGGACATGCAAGTCATCAGCAATTCCATTCATCTGGCTCACAACCACATTCAGGCACATCGACGCCTCAATCAGGTGGCAAGGCTACGACGACAACCACAACAAGTAGTATTTCAGACCTAACGGCAGCGATCGCGGCACTCGAATTATCGACCAATCCATCCCTCTCAACCCATCGACGGAAATGCACCTGCAACGCCTCGATCCATCCCCTCTTCACCACCGCGCCGAATTGTCTCAACTGCGGAAAAATCATCTGTGCTCTAGAAGGACTACAGCCGTGTTCATTCTGCGACGCCCCCATCCTGACTAAAACCCAAGTCCAGGACATGATTCGAGCACTCAAAGACGAAAGAGGCATTGAGAAAATGGTGGCGCATAACGTTGGACAACAATCCCAACATTCCCATTCAGGCCGAGGTACACCTACAATGACACCGTTTGGTGGTTCAGGCACTCCAAACGACAGTGGTGATGAAGCTATTGCACGTGCGACAGCGCATCGTGATAAACTTCTCGCGTTTCAGCGGGAAAATGCACAGAGGACGAAGATTCACGACGAGGCAGCAGATTATGATACTACTTTGACCGCAGGTGCTACTCAGTGGATGACGCCGTTGCAGAGAGCTGCTGCGCTTAAGAAACAGCAGAAATATCTGAGGGAGATGGAGGAGGCGAATAAACCGGAATGGGAGAAGAAGAGGACGGTGTTGAGTGTGGGGATCAAGAATGGGAAATTGGTCAGAACGTATGAGAAGGCGCCGAGGGAGAGGGAGAAGGAGAACGAGGAGATGGGTGGTGAAGGTGAAGGTGATATTGATGATGACGCTGGTGGTGGCGTTAAACAAGAATTGAGTGTTGGAAGGACTGGCAAAGGGGCTTTCAGTGATAATCCATTGTTGGCCAGTGGAAAGCTGATCAGACCTCTATGGAAGGCTCCTGAAGGCGAATCAGGCGGGAAAGGAAAAGGAAAAGATCAAGACAGAGAGAGACCAAGTGTGTGGAGACGAGTGCAGGATGATAATGAAGATAACGAGCAGTGGATCCTGACTGGTGGCCTACATGGGTTTGGTGTTGAGGATAGAAAGATGGAGGATGGAAGTTAGCAGGAATGTGGATAGATTGGAGATAGATGTAGTACACATCTACATTAAATTGTGTCGAGATCGATGCTTTGGAGTGTTTCTTATTCTGTCCGTTTTCATGTTTTCATAATTTCTTTAGGCAGTGGAGAGTTGTGACACACGTGAAGATTATGACGATGACGGATGCTACAGAAATAAAAATACATGGATCGTTAATCAAGTCAGTCCAGGCGATCAGGGGCAACGCCACATCATGAACATCTGACACCGCGACCATGAAGAAGCGGGCCCCGGGCCCCTCAACCCCGAGGCCGGAGCACCGTTGGGCGCCTCGGGCCCCCTCTTGTCTTTAGACGTGTCTGGCGTCTGGAGTCTCACGCCCGGCTCCCCTGCCACGCCCACAAAGCAAAATGCAAGGCACAGGAACAGATCAACGTGGCATGGGCGCTAAATCATCCTCCACGCTTGAGCTAAACCTCTCTTAGGTTCACCGCGGCACCTGAGTTGGCCAATATCTTGCCTATTGGTCGCTGCTCCTTACTGTCCTTACCCGTTAAGCCCTCTCCGTCCTCAGGCGCACCAGGCTTTCTCACTAGCTAATAAACCTGGTTCCAGGTCTTAAGCAGGTACCATCAACCCAATGATGAACGCCGAACCTCCCGTGCTTCCCCCCAGCGCCCTAAGTAGTACCAGCACCAACAGCCAAAAGTCGGGCATCGTCAACGTGTCGTTGTCGTAAAAAACCCCCAGCAAATACTCGTACCCACCCACTCGCCTACCATCGCAGGAACCCAACCCTACCAGCCCGTCATCCGACACCTCGAAATATCCAGAATCACTTCATCCAACCCAACACCTCACCAGACACAATTGATCTCCTCTCCATCGACCCGACACCCATTCATCACTCTTCGCTGCGCCAATGCTATCTTGAACGTCACCTGTCTTTGTCGCCACTGATTTGACGTGTATTCCCCTCCCTCTCTGAGTAGCGGCCGCGACACCTCCCACCCCTCGAAACACCCTCGGATCTCGACACACCTACCACCACCATCTCCACATACCTCACTGTCTCCTTCTAGGCGATCTGGTCCGTGCAGAATCGGCACCAACTAACATCCTTTTGGCGCACGCGATAAGCCACCTACCTCGTCCTCCGCCGCCGCAGCTCACGCCCATTACCATGCGTTGATATCCCACACGAATCACATTGATCATTTCCTGCAACTGGTTGCATTGGCTGGACCTCTGGTTTGAGACTATGCTGGTAGTATGCTGGACACGCTACTTCTTACATGACTACTTCGATGCTGGCCGTCGAAACCATTGCCGCTGCAGGCTTTAGGGATACCGACCTGTCTAGAATCATGGAACCAGACCTCCCCCAACTGGCTCTTCCGACACCTCGTCCCCTCCTTCGCCCTGACGATGCCATGCGAATAGGCAGACCCTTTCGAAACGAAGATGCAGAGACTCCTCGTGCCGTGAGTGAAAATGGAAGGATGAACAATGCACCCCCCGACCCTGTCCAAACCATGGACGACTCTCCTCCCCCAAGACCCGATCAGAAAAACGCCGTCGCCACCCCTATAAGATCCGAATCCTCCTTACTCTCCCTCGACGACACCACCGAACTCTTCCGATCAAAAGTCGCTGATGCGAGGCAAGATACTGAGCATGCTCTGGCCGCCAGCGGAGAGGCTGTCGACGATGCGGTCAAGCCCAAGCTCACTCTCGACCTGGGTCATTCCAGTATCGCAAGGCTACCCGAAAGCGTGGTTGATTTAATCAAAGCAGAAGTGGAAAGGCTGTCTCTGTCTCACAATCAAATCTGGCATATCCCTCTCCGCTTCTCAGAATGCACTCATCTCAGATATCTCAATATTCGCGCCAACGTCTTTCGCGAAATCCCTCGCGGTGTCTACAAATTAAGTCAACTAGAGATCCTCGATATCAGTCGAAACAAGATCAGAAAGATAGCGAGTGACATCCGGAACCTCAGGTCACTTCGAGTCTTCTCCATCGTCCATAACCGAGTCGAAGATCTCCCTACGGAACTATGTGAAATGACAAAGTTGCAGATACTAAAGATTGCCGAAAACCCATTACGGTTCAAGTTGAAAAAGGTGGTCGAGGCTAAAGAATCAGAGGTGTCATTCTTCGAAATGACAGAACAGGAGCGCGAAACTGCCATCACCACCGAGATCAAAAGGTTTCTGAGGGATGCTCAGCCGATCCCTCCCGCCATCGATGTCGAAGCCTCTCTCGAGGTTGACGAAAGCCCCATGGAAACCCCCAAGCCCCTCAAGCGCGCCTTGAGCAGTCGATTCCCCGTCATTCCGAGCACCGGCAGCAACCTAGACTCGGGTTCAGAGGGAAACAAATCCTCTCCCATCCAACCTTACCCTCCCCCCCTCCCAACTCGATCACACTACCGCATGGCATCGGGTCAGTCCGGCCAACAGATCCTCGCAATGCGACGGCCTGGTATCGCCCCATTGATCAGTGCCAACAATGAAAGAAATCGAAGTAATAGCGAAAGTGTGTTACAAGCAACCACCAACACACGTGCGAAAAGAATGGGAATGCTTCGCCGAGAAAAGCCGGATCTTGACAGCATCGACGAACTAAAGGTTAATCGCAACAGTCATCTCAGAGGCTTCAGTCACGGATCGGTACTCAAGCGAAATGGTGCATTATCATCCCCTGGGGGCGCAAGCTCGTCCAGCCCTAGCAGTCCCAGAGACGCTAGAAGACAAAGGCTTGCCTTTGTGAAGAGACTATCCAGTCTTCCTGAACAAAAGTTTGACAGTGAATGGAACAACCCCATCATCGAGGGTGCCAGAGGAATTCTATACGCCTTGTACCAGATCCATCCTCACATCTCTGGCTTAATCGCAGCCATTCGTCCAAAAGACGTTCAAAGGCGGAGCACACTGGAATTCACCTTCTTCAACGCTTCCACCCATGTTGATCGACTCAACGAAGCTCTGGAGCAAGCAGATTTGATTGATATTGAGGATGAGGACGCGGTTGAAAAGATTGAGTCCACCGTCCGGAGAGATTGTGCTACCTGCATCATGGCTTATGCTCATGTGACAAGTCAGCTTCAAGACAATGTCAAGAAGATTGTGGCTGGCACTGACGCTCGATATGTTCGAACTCTGATGCTTCTGCTTTACGGTAGCATTATTGAAGTGCGAAACGCCATTCAAAGCTTCGGTGCTGAGACCAAGGTTGTGCAAGGGTTTGGTCACAAGAAGCAACAATCGAGTGGCAGTGCGAAACTCATCCATACCATCCCTGAAGAATTCTCGACTCCACTACAGCCTGTTCGTGCGGCAACACCGACTCGAGAGAGACATCCGATTGTGAGAGCAGGCCCAAGATTGAGAAGCGATACCACAATTCAACATCCTGCACAAGAAAATCCTCCAGCGTTACAGCCAGCCTTCGTTCCACCCATCAACACAAATCCTCTCCCCACTCCGATTCACCTGACTGGTACCACGTTGAGCGGAGGGTCCAGCACGTCTACTTCTGCTGCATTCTACTCCAATGGTAACACTTTGTCATCGAATTCGAGTCTTGGATATCGGTCAAGATCAAGTTCCCGTACGGCCATGATGAATGGAAGTCTGAATCCTTCGTTGGCCAGCACCCCACGGTCAGGAGAAGGCTTTAATCTTCCTCCACCAAATGGATATGCCAATCGACACAATCCAGGTCATGTCTTCATCGATACACACGAAGAAGCCGTCTTTGAACAGATTTTCCTTGCTCTGACACGAGCATATGACGCGGCGCTGCATACAATCCCCATCGCCAAAGGACAATTTATACGCTGTCTTGAAATTGCAGAGGAGAATCGCCAACCGAAGCAGGTTCAGGACCTTTGGTCAACACTGGTTTATCGGAGTAAATTATGCATCGATGTCAGCGAAGCTCTTCAAATCCGACTCGCCAACATGCGAGTCAGAGATCCCAACACCAATACTATCATCATGGGAAGTGGTAGGAACGATCCCTCACTGTGGTTACTCTGCAAGAATTTCTTGATGAGCTTCATCGACCTTTTGACCGAGATGCGCGAGGCAAAATCACTTCGGCTATTGTCTCAAGAGCTCATCACCATGTTGAGACCGGTGCAAAAGGCCAGTCGAGAGGCTGGTCGTTTAATTGAAGCCAGTCCATGGCGATATCTGACGGATAATGCGACTGGCGGCATGCCACCTCCAAATTCATTCGGCCCCGGCGGCAATCAGCCCAACACAAACGGCGTCAACGGCAACTTCTATGTCAACGGCAATGGTGCAGCTTATCAAAATGCGGGCGACAACTCCAACAATTCATTCCCACCGCCCTTGGTACCTCCTCCTCCAAACACCGGCTCTTTTTCATCCCTCACTCCCAACACAGCCCACAAATACGGCATGAACGGCAATGGAGCCTATCAAAACGGTAACGGCCCATCCATGAACGGGAATTCAACGTATGGCACAAGTCCAGTCTCGGTACCATTGCCTGCCACACCTCTTTCTGCTGCTTTGGGTCCTGCTGCACAGGCAACCGTGCCCATGTCGACGCCGGTACCCAGTACACCTGCAAGTGCATATGGCGACCAATTCTTCAAGGGAGATGTCTTTCAACGAGCCGATAGTTTGTTGAATATGCAGCATGCGGCAAATGGGATGAATTTCTTTAGTCGAAGATGAGGATGATCAGTGTTGAGGAAGATGAAGTTATGGAGTGGAAGCTGGCCAACCGCTCACCAGGACTCGCCATGCCATTCTGTCCACACTGGTCGACAACAACGACACTGGAAATGAAAGACGACTCGCCACACCATATCACGTCACAACAGAAAGAAAGAGGAAGATGATTATATTATACTGGATTTGGACTGGACTGGATCAGACCAGAGAGAACAGAGAGACCAAGCTGCAAACACACCAGACAAGTTCAACCGCATTGGACTGTGCTGAACTGAATATCAGAAATGACCCCGGGGGCTATTCGTTGGATTTGGAAGTCCCCCTGGGAGTCGTTTCATTCACCCAGAGGTAATGAACAAAGAAACAAACCAAAACACTAGTAACTAAGGTACTAGTACTAGTAGTATTATATGTATGATGGTGCTATGATGGTATGTGTATGTGTATGTGTATGCTGAGGAAGCGATGGTGATGTCGAATTCGATTCGATTCGAAAGCCGAGGTCGCAGTATGTTTAGTTTAGATACAGTCAGACAAGTCAAAGAGTCAATGATACCTACCTAGTATGTACTAAAGTTTAGAATAATCGAGGAATCTAAGTAGACAGCCTGGCTGGGAAGAAGAGAATCTTGGGAAAAGGGGGTATCTTACGTATATGTATACATACATATTAGCCTTTATCATCCTGCTTCTTCTTCATCCATCATGTTTTATAGCTTCAATCATCCATAGATGCCAGACATATATAGACCTCATGTCACATGTATAGTCTCAATATTCATTCATGATTCACGACTAAAAGCCTTCTCAGCCCATGCAACGGCATTTAAAAGCTGAGATGTCCCATACGGACGTATAGACCCGGTAGCTGGATCATCAAGAACATCATCATCAACAGCATGAATCTCTGATTCCAACGCCCCTTTATCCCCTGCGGGGGTCGTGGTTTTGACCCTGCCATTAGCTTCAATGACCTGTACGCGATCCTGGGCAAACCCGGATTCCCGTCCATAGAAACAAGCTCGCCGCAGTAAATCAGCGAGTTCGATACTCTGAGCGCGAAGAAGACTTGTCATGCCTTGTTGCAGTAATGGATCTGATGGAGATATGGTGGGTGAGAGAAATATTCGTACTTCTGGTAGAAGGACTTCCTCCGGTCGGCCGACCGATGGCCAGCGACGGAGGACTTTGCGGCGCCGAGGGGGTGTATGACTGGTAGTTCGTGTTGTGATGGTTTTAGCTGAGTCGATACCTTCTAAAGGTTGAATGAGGGGATAGTCGGATTGAAGGATGGATTCGGGCTGAGAAGAATTATCTGGTGATGAATTGCTGGTTTGGTCCCAGTCGTCGTCGTATGGTCCAAAGGAATCGGAGTCGGATTCGGAATCTGGTTCATCAATCGTCATGTCCTGTAGTAGTCGGTCGCCGACAGTGGTTGCATATGGTGTATCTCTCCCAGGGGCTCGGAGAAATAATATCGGACTGGCAAATGGATCAAAGTATGCTGATGGTGTCTTGAATAATTTCGAACGGAGACGGATTAGTGATTCGCTTGCTTCTAATAGACCGGCTTCGGATACACCGCCAAATCGTGAAAGGTATCTCGATCTTTGTCTCTTTCTCAAAGAGTCATGTCCTGTGGTGTGTGTTTCTGGTTCGTGTGATTCTTCCACACCACGTAAGTGTTCGACAATCTCGTCGAGGACGACCCAATCGACCAGTGGATCGGTGATGGCGAGACCATGGATGTCGTTTGGTTGTGTCAAGGCGAGAGTGGTGGCCAATGCTCCTCCGATGTGGTTGCCAACGAGGCAGATTTTGGGGGGTGTATCCTGATCATAGTTGAATGATGAGGTGGATGATGTTAGGTAGTCGAGTGCGGCGGTAACGTCGTGAATGGGGGTAGGGAAGTGGTCCCTAGCACTATCATGGTCTGGGCCTGGTGGCGAGGTGTCGAGTCGGTAGTTGATCGAGACAAGCGTGGTCGTTTCTGAGATAGCGGATTGGATATTGGCCAGCTGGTGATCGGAAGAATTGTGCAGTCCGGTTGCTAACGAAGGCCCAGAGGGAAGATGGACGAGGAGGTTACGTATGGAGGTTGGCTGAAGAGGGGAGATGAGACTTTGATGGTCAGTGGATTTGTTCCGCGTATGTCGAACGCTGATACATACTCAATCCTTAATTCACCGTGGAGGCCGATGGGAAGGTGTATGATCTCATGCTTGCGGTTTGGCAGAGAGATGAATGATGAGGAAAGGCGGCGAGACGGAGGGGAGAGAAGATATCGAAGAGTTGAATTTATCAGGCCACGAGGGCCAACATGCAAAGGCATCACATGGTGAAAGACGGGCATTGAAGAACCGGAGATGGTGTTGTAGTGGTAGCGAAGTGAAGCTGATGTTGAAAGTTGAATGGGATTTGAATGTCACATGACGAGGCTTAGGCTTAGGGCTGAATGGATGAGGTCAGAGTGCGTAAGGCTGAGACGCGTCTAAAAGTACGCGACGTGTTGACGTGTTGACGTTGATGCCCAGCCAGAAACGCGTGATACTGTCGATCGGCCATTTGCGTCATCTCATCATCTCATCATCTCATCATCTATCACCTCACCATGATTTGCTATTCACATATCACACAATCTGACCTTCCTGAACGAAAGAGTACATATTTACAGTCAAAGCCTATGAAATTCTGCGATTGATTCTGTCTAGACTGGATCAAGTCTGCTGCCCTTTATTTACATGCTGTAAACAACCAGTCGCTTACTGCTTGCGGCAAGTACAAGCTGGAGATCTCCGTCACGAATTCACGAATCCAAGGACATGTTGTTTTTCATTTCCTGGATAATATTGAAGGATTCGAGGATGAATTGGCTATGTGGAGCCATGGTGTTTCAATATCCTGGCATATGCACATACCCCGTCCGCCAGGCTTCACCTTTCCTCTTTCGCTCTTGTTTTCTCGATCTCTCATCACGGGGTCAAGCCACCAGAGCAAAAAATATGCATGTCCAGCCTTGACATAAGCGCTAAGTCAAGCTTCACAAGAAGTCAGCATCCTGAAGTGGCCCCTTTTTTATACTTCTGAACGACCTGGCCCTGGGAGATTATACCATTTCAAATGTCAATAATCACACCAATCACCGCTCAGCCTTCATCCAATTCTCTCGATTTATTCGTGGATTCAAATGTCAACTAGTCCAATTCCTACAACCTTGCTACAACTTCTCCTCAAACGAGCAACGCCATCATGTATCTCTCCGGGCACACCACAGCTTCATACCCGATGATCCTTATCCTAACACAAAATCTCATGATTATTCGCTCGGGGACAAGCCACAGTTGTGTCGCGCTATAAGCTGATTCCACAACGAAGATGCTGGCGTGCTGAAGAACTATTCCCCCATTCAGCTAGCTTCCTCGACATCAGTCGTACTTGCAAATTTCTTACTAACTCGTCGACAGTTTGAATCATGTTGACTCGATGTCGCTCAGACTGAGGGTCTTGACCTCTCCACACCACAACCGGAATGAGAACCGCTTGCTATCCACATTCTCGTGTTCACCTGTATCGAAGGGTTCTACTGGTCCCGGTGGCTGGATTTCTGGTTTGCTCCCAGGATACCCCAGCTCCACGCTATAAATGCGTACCTGGACAGCCATGCGGCTTAAACCTTCTGAGTCGAACAATTTGCATACAGTCATGGCCCGTTCTTGGGCCGCATGAGCCGGCTAACCGGTAAGTACTACTAACGGACTTCTGAAGCCTCAACCCATTGGCATTATTGGGGGGGCCAAAGGTAGGACATCATAGATGCTGTTCCAGACTCGTCCAACCTCCCAGCCGCCACTTGCTCTCTTGTCCTTTTGATCCTTGACCTCTTCTCTTCTCCATTGCAGTCGCCTCGTATACCGAGTCACTCTTTGATCCAACTTTTTACTATCGTTAAGTACGACGCTGGTCGTTGTTTGATTTCGAACAACCTCCAAGATGTCTCTTTGCCAGAATGGGGCACCTCCCGTGAGTACTATACCCTGGTCTGCTGGAAGGATACAGTGGAAGGATTCATCTTCTAACACCTGGTAGATGCACCTTCCATGGTCTAATATAACCGTCACAACCGACCAGAAAGCCATCACGAGAGGGATTCAACTAACTCTGGGCACACCTCCTCAAATCGTCGCCTTACGACCCAGCACTTCTGATTACAATTTATATGTCGCCAATCGAGTCAGCTGCGAACCCGAGTTTAATGCGACATGTATCGCAGGCTATGGAGGTGTCTTTGATTACACAGAGTCGTCCACGTTCACACAAGTCACAGAAGCCCAATGGAACGGCACAAAGTACCCAGACGACGTGACTCTTTCATATGTTCATTTCAATGACGTACTGTCGTTTGGAAACGGCACAATATATGGCTACCCAGCCTTCTTCGACGAACCTGGCTATGGAGGGCAAGGAGCTCTGCCACTAGGATGGGGATCCGATTTTCTTGAACTCGCCGTCGAGCAGGGTTTGATTCCTTCAACAGTCTTTGGCCTTTGGACAGGAAGTCGATCGACCAGTCATCCTGTCGACGGATCAATTGTGCTAGGCGGCTACGACACCACCCGAATCAAGGGAGAGCTCACCACCTTCGACGCACTGGAAGACTGCGAGACATGTACCACGATTACCGATTTGGTTTACTCAACCGAAGACGGCGAATTCTCTCTCTTCAGCAACGATTCTGAAGCCCTTCAGATCCATCTCCAACCGGCCGATCGAGTGCTCGAAGTCCCCCAGAATGTATGGGAACTGTTCCAGGAACATTCCGGAGGAATCTACGACGATGGCTATCTGACCTACGCCGAGGCCAACCCCCCAAAAGGTAATCTCAGCGTGACGCTACAAAACGGTTACAAGACTGTAATTCCAACCGAGGAGCTCTTCTACTATCCTCGTGGATACAACGATGAGGGACGATACGATGTCATCAACAATACATACCAAATCGGCCTCTTGGCCAATCGAACCAACAACGGCTACGTCTTCAGCTGGGGAATCCCTTACCTGACGATGAACTACCTGATTGCCGACTACAAGCGAGGCGAGTTCAAAATGGCACCGGCAATCCGAACTGATTTCTCCAACCAGGGTGGTGGATACGCTCTGAAAGCATCTTGCGACCCAACGACCAGCACCGCTGTTTCCACCGCTGTACCCTCTTCCTCATCCACAGGGACCTCGTCAAGTGAGTCCAATGGACCGAGCACTGGAACCATCGTCGGAGCCGCCGTGGGCGGTATTCTAGGTCTGGTTGCCATTGCCGGTGGAATTGGATTTTTCCTATGGCGTCGACGACGCCAACAAAACACCGCTCGCAACAACGCCCCGTACGGTACCATGTATGATCCTCTCGCGAACGGTGGAGGCGGAGCAGCTACACCGGCCATGTCGCATCAAAATACCGTTTCTGGCCGCTACTCACAATGGACCGGCACCTCAGAACTGGGAGATACCAGTGCCAAAGGCGCCGGCGGCGGCGGGCCAAATGTGTCGGTCAATCAATGGCTTTCAAGTCAAGATGGAGATGTAAGCTACATAGCACCTCAATCCACTCCACGCCACGCCCACGTCTTCCTAACCCCCTCCCTCCTCATCCTCATCTAGAACTCCTTATGAAATCGAATCCAAACTAACAAACTAACTTCATCCTCAAAATAGTCACAAACCGCCATCTCAGACCCATATAATTCACCTAACCCTGACCCTCGCAACGCGCAACAATTCAGCCCATTCAATTCTCCGATGCCTTCACATCACCAGAGTCTAGTTCCACCACAGTATGCCAAAACCGATCGACCGTTTGAAATGCCGGCACAACCGTGGGATACGAAATGAGGAAGAAGGACTAGAAGGACTACTTAGAATTGGGGAGAGTATCAACAAACACCAATTAGCGCACAGAGAGACCCATTCGAATACTTGAGGTTTTAGACTGGGCTGTCGTTTTATGTGTCGTTGTGTACTTACTGTTATTGTGTATATTTTGGGGAAAGGACTAGCCTGTCTGTGTTTATATATATATATGTATATGTATTGCAATCAGAGCCGTTGACTTTTTGATCAAAGGACTCAATTGGGATACATCATCATCATCCTTCATATCTTCTTCTTTCTCTTGTCAGCTCTCTTCTATTGTATATTGTCCTACAAGCCGAAAAAATTCCCTAATTCCTGGCCTCCCACTCCCATCCATCTATTTTCCCATTCATTTATTGCTTCCTCAATCTAACCCGCCCAGGCATACCTGCCGCCGGATTAGCAGCACCCGCCAAAACCTGATACGCTCTGTGTCCTTCAATAGTCATTTTCTCATACCCAGGTCTCTGATCCTTATATTCATCCCTCGTCTCGATCGGCGTCCAAGTTTCAATTGGTTTTCCATCATATTCAGCCGTGAAATCAATATCCTTGACCACCGTAGCCAGTAGAACCTTGGATTCAATCATCGCAAGTTCCTGACCCACGCAATTCCGAGGTCCTTTTTCAAAAGGACGCCATGCGTCTTTGCCTCTAGCAGTGTGAAGCAATGCGTCGGGGTACGGTGTTTCATTGGGGAGAAATCGCTCTGGTACGAATTTTATCGGGTCCGGGAAGTAGTCTTCGTGTCGGTGGGCGGCGTGAGAGAGACACCAGATTTGGAATCCTTCCAGGGGATAGGAGTTTCCGGTTCTGGGATCTGTGAAGAATAGATCTTTGGGTTCGCGTTGGCCCTTTTTAGATGTGGTGCGGAGGGATGATGCGGGTGGGAAGAGTCGGAGGACTTCTTTGATGATGGCGGTTAGGTATTCGAGTCGGTGGATTGTGTGTGGGGATAGGCGAATTTGTTCGGCGATGTCGTCGCCATTGCATCCCGTGCCATAGATGCTGTCGATCTCTTCGACCAGACGCTTGTAGATCTTGGGATGTAGATGTAGCATGTAGAGAGTGTAGCCGATGGTTGTGGCGGTGGTGTCATGACCGGCGAAGATGAAGGTCTTGAGGCTGTCGATGGCGGTTTTTCGAAACCAAGGTGTCATGGTAGATGACGAGTTTCCAGATGTTGATAGGGGGTTTTCCTTCTCGTATGCATCGAGGGCGAGGTCGACGACACTGCGTTTCCGATCTTTGGACAAGGTGGTCTTTTCATCGGAATGGCCATTGCCGTTCTGATATGTGGCGCGTGTAGCGATCTTGCGGTCGAGCTCAGCACCGATAAGGCGATCGAGTTTGCGCATATTGAGCCAGAGCCGGACCGGGCGGACTAGATTAATGTCGTCCAATGGACCAATACTTGAAGCCGAGGGCATGAGATCAACTTGTCGTCGGAAAGTATCGACAATCGCATTCGGTCGTCTTTGAGAGTCAAAATCCGTGTCTAGCGTGATTTTGCCAATGATGTCGATGGCATAACGAACCAAAATGGTATCAAGGCTGAAGAGCTCGTTTGTTTGGGCCTTTTGAAGCAAGATCCCGCGGAGAATGAGGCTAGAGTCAACAATGTATGGGACGAGAGAGATGAGGTGAGAGGCGGCAAAGCCAGGATTGAAAACGGATCTCATCATCTTCCACTCGTGGCCCTCGAGTCCAATGATGTTGTTCTTGCCCAGAAGCCTGTCGACAAAGTCGGTGGTCAGGTTAGATTTGGGCAACGATTGGGTAGTGGTGATGTATTTGGACATGATCTCGGGTTGACAGATGATGAGCCATTTGGGACCGACCGGCCACCAGTCCAAGTAGAAGAAGTCTATATGATCGACCCATCAGAAAGCGTCATGCGATCGACATAGATAGTACTTCTCGAGGGTATATGCGCATATACTCACCGCCTTGGTTATATGTCTTCCTGACGTAGTGCATCCAATTCTGGACGTGAGTGTTTGGAGGGAAAATATTCTTGCAGTCGCCAGCAATTTTCAAATGGCCCCAGATACGACTGGACGGTGGTTGAGGCTATGGTTGTTGGTCAGCCAGAGAGAAAGTGAACGCGGTGACAGACCCACCAGGCCATCGAACTGTTGTCTGTTTGTTCTGACAACGTAGACCAAGTACAGAATCACAGCGAATAGGGAAGCAAATGCAGTCAAGATGAAGCTAGACATTTTTCAAACCTGAAGCGGACAAGGACAGAACGAGCGACCGTGAGCTCGAGGAAAGCGCTCGAAACATGGACAGCAATGTTGAAATAAAGATGTTCAAGGATAGAATCCTATATCTATGCCATCATTTTCCCATATAAGGGAGGCCTAAACAGCCAGGTGGGTTCAAATTGAAGAAACAGGGTTCACTGGTGGTGATATCTGGACGCGGGACGGTGGATCATGGCCGCAACTCAACCCGAAACCGAAGTGAAATCTTGAATGACGGCCAATAAGAGGTCGAGAAGTCAGCAGACAATTAGTGCTGAATTGTGTAGCAGGTCTACGATTATTCGATTACTCGTATACAGATATTTTTATGCGCGGAGCCTTGAAATCCGAGAAGGATCACTGGTGGAGAGGGTGTAGACCAATCCAATGAATCTGGATGGGCTGATCTGGCACAGAAGATACAGTACTCGTACTGTAGGTAGGAACTTAGGTATACTTAACCCTGAGTCGCCTGGAGAGCGCTAACACCTTGGGCATTCTTAGGTGCCTCTATCCCAATCCCTCCCAAGGCCTCTTCTCCAGGGCGCCCTCGACATGGCACTTCGTCTCTAGGACACACTCTCTGTGGTGCTCTCCCGAGAGTAATTCAGCAGCCCTCTCACATCAAAGCATAGGTTCCGGTCTGAGGAGAGCTGGGTGATAGCTTGCCAGGAATAGTAGTGTGCCGCGATGAGTTGAGGACCAATGGACGATGGGTACCTAGGGACAGGCTGGGCACCTACTACAGGAGGTTAGGGGCGAGATTATTGGCTGAGGGGCTATTTGGCCTGCTCTATGATCAGAGGGGATTAGGCGTCCTGATATTGGGACGCGGGCAGGAGGCCTAAGGGGCCTTGGGCCTTGGGCCTTAGAGGCGTTTAACCCCTAAGTGCAGTAGGTATTATGGACCGCGCCAGGCTGGACAGCGGTATGGCCCAGTTCTCACCTCAAACTCCAAAGGCATTTCTAAGTAGAAGCATGCTTCGGGCATTTACGCGTCTGATATACCTACTGTAGGGCACAGTCTCCATTCCATACATGGCGATCGTTAGGTTAGGTAATTTCCTACTAGACATCATGAATCAACTGCACTTGCCAATAAAGTAAAGCATACTGGATTGTTCAAGAAATACGGTAGGCAAGAATATCTGACCTATGGATTGACCACCAAGTCAAACCGCTCATACCTCAAGAATCAATAAACAGTGCTTTGTCTCCAACCTAACTTCATCCCCGGGACATGCAAATACAGGCTCCATGTGAGTATTCTCACCCATCCTGCGCATGCATGTCAAAAAAAAATAATCAATCGTGGCCAGGTCGTAGCATACACATCTAGACTGGCTCACCACCGTACCCTGCCACGAACACAAACACTCAATTCATCACCTCTCACCACCACAAACCAGTCGTGCTACCCCCCCAAAATCAACTCAACGCCAAACTCCATACCACGATGCGTGTGCTGTGCGTGTGCGCTATTTGCGTCGAAGGTCCATTATGACTCGTCTATGACTCGTCGTTCGCATTCAGGTCTTCATCGTCAAGACCGGTAGCGATCGCGCCATCGTCGTAGTCATCAAATGGAAGTCCCGCGTCGCGAGCACGCTGTTGCCACTTCGCACTCTCAGCCCAGGCGTTTCGAGCTCGCTCCTTCATACGGTCCAAGCGATTGGTCAACTCCTTGAGTGCGATCTCAAAGGTTGCACGCTCATTGTCGAATCCGCTGACTTTGCCCTGGAGCTCGCCAATGTACTGATGAGTTCGCTGAAGGATGGCTCCCTTGTTCTTCTCCGTGCCGGGGACGATCTTGGCGATGTTTTCGATACCCTCGTTGATGACCTCGCGACGACGACGTTCAACTGCCAGTAGGTTAGATATGTGCTTGGTACAGGAGGATGGCTCGATTTCTGACCTTCCTTGTGATTGTCCTTTCGCTGTTGGTGCCATTCGGCAGTACCAACGTTGGCCTTACCACCAGCTGCACCACCTGCGACATTGCCTTGGGCGGAAGTGCGAGCATCACTGAGTGCTTGGGTTGAAGCCTGGAAGTCCTGGGTGGCGCCAGTTTCGTCAAAGCCAGCTGTCAATCCAGTAGCATCCTCGAATCCAGGTTCTGGGTAGGCCGATTGATTCAATGCGGCTTGTGCGGTGCGGGTGCTGTCGTCTGCTTCAGGAATACCACTAGCTTCAATGCCTTGCAAAAGCGCAGCATAGCTGGCTTCGGTTGCTCCTCCATTGGTATTGGGTGCTTTTGCCTCACGGCCTGCACCTTGGTCCGCAGCTCCTCTCTTGCGCTTGTTGCCAGGGCCAGCATTCTGCGAAGGCAATTGTTGAGACACTTGTGTGGCCATTTTGAGAACGCGTCGATGGACGATGATCTTTGAGCAAGGTCACGCGTTGAGACAAGCCCGAGGTCTGGTCAGGGTTTTCTGGGTGCTTGGACACTGTCGCAACATAGTTAGTCATAATATACCTAGCAGACTCACAGCAAAAGATAGATGTGTGGGAGTCAAATGTCACATGAGCATTGCATGGCTCATACATGAGCGCGATTGTGATGGTAAGTGCCAGAAAGTCAGCCGCAACCTAGGCGACAAAGATCATTCTGGGGAATAATGTCGTGGTGCTCACACAGAGCACGACTGGCAAGCTCGCGCAGAACAAGCCATGACATTACCGGTAAGGAGCAACGGTGAGGTTGAGTCCCACCGCCCGTCTGGCTGGCGATCACTCGCCATGGGGAGAAACAACAGTAGTTGAGGAGCGCAGGCTGCCCGTGACTTTGAGATCAGGTGGCATCAGGTGACTTACAGAAACGTGATCTGGTGTTGTGCCCTCAGCACACACGTCGATTTCCGCGCGTAAAAGCGAGCGGTAGGCGAATAACTTGACCGTAGGAGTTAGGAAGCTGAAGAGCTACCAATAATCTGAGAATTGAAAGAGATTTTGATGTTTGGATGCGCGTTGAGTCGACGCTGGATTCGAGAATGCAAGGAAACAAGAGGGAAACTCGAGAGAGATGTCACGGGATGGGGGGTGGACAGGATGGAGAAAGAGAACCAGGGAACTTGGGAAGAGATCATGTGAGGTGAGGTGGGAACCCTGGCCTCAACCCTTCCCTTCTGATCGTGACTGCCATGACTGCCCGCCACCACCGCCTGCCACCCACTAGCACGGCACTAGTCCTCATGCAGTCAAGTCTGCAACCCCAGTGACTCGCGACACCTTCCCCCATCGTTACTACCACTAGCATGTGATGACCACAGTCATCCACCCAGCCAGTAAAATCGTGTCTGTCTGACAAACAACGCTTTTCGTGACTGGGCAGTTCACGTGAAGTACCAGCGCAGCACACGCGGCAACCAGACAGGCAGAATCCCCAGCCACTCACGGTCTTTCTTTTTGTCAGACCTTCACATACACGGAGTCACAGGCTGTTCGTGCACACCATCTGCTTCCTGCTGTCAGATTTTCCCTGTAAACACGCATGCACCTGATGTCTCGTGATATCCTTTGGGTTCTGTATCATTATTGCTCCAATGTCACTTGACTTTGATTTCTGTTGACCATGGCCAACCCGTCCCTGGGACCTCGGAATCCTCTGAGGATAAGGCCGTCCAAGGCAAGGCCCGAGGCGGACTGATCAAGGTTCAGCTGGATGGGATTGATCCCTTTCCCATTACTTCTCATTTCCTTCTGCATCCTCTTGGCCTTGAGCAGTTGGATCCTCTATGCTCGATTTGAGCTCCACTGAATAAAACGGTGGATCGTTGGTGTCAACCAGCAAAATCCCCTCTTGGGCTCTTCCTAGCATATCCCAAATCCTCACCCGTCCTCCTTTGGTCATTCCCATAACACAACTGCTTCCCGCATAGCGAACATCCCCCAGCCGTGGATCTGTTCCTTCCTCTCCTGTTCGGTTGGCACAGACGACAATAGCTTCTTCCTCGCCAGCTTGAGCACCAAACAGGGGGCTAAGTCGGTCAATCCAGTAGTTCACAGTGGCCTGATCTGGTTGGATCACCTGACCGGACACTTCCTCCGCACTCAGCCTCGTCAACCATGCCATGCTGAGGACTATAAGCTTTGCGCGGGCTTCGAGCGCGTGATTCCCAAATTCGTAGGCTGTCCATGGCGACTCGAATTTATAAGGGTTAATGTCCATGCAAATCCCCGTGGCAGCCTTGACCTGCTGACCACTGGCGCCAATCGGAAGTACTCCAGCCCAGAACCCAGACCCTTCTTGCGCCCATGTCTCATCTGTGTAGTACAGGAACGATTTGCGATAGTGAGCCACGACATCCCCAGTGGAAGAGACAAAGACCAACGAGTTGTACGCGATGGCGCCATCTTCGGCCGAGATATGTCTGTCAAAGATGGTGTTGTAGTTGCCCCCTTCAGCGGCTTCCGGATATCCCACGGCCACAGTGCATTTCAACCGTTTCGCTGTCCGTGCTGCCCATTTGGTTGAAGGGCCCGCTGCCGTTGGCTCGAGGAATGGGGCAATGGCTTGTAATGAAGGGTGGTTGTAACCTAGACAAAATGTCAATTCAACGCTATCTTAGGTACACCATCTGATCAGACAGTGGCTGCATCTCTCCATCTTTCAAAAGCCTTCCATTTCGCCTACTGGACAAGGGGGATTGATTACCTGTAAATGCTAGTTCTGGTAGCACAAGGAGGTCCACGTTCTTGAGTAGACCCTCCCGCTCATCTCGCATCAGCAGACTCTCCGCCCGACTGAAGTTGGCAGCAACCTCTCCTAGTCTCGGCGAGAATTGCAAGATTGCAATCTTCATCTTTGGCCTTGCGGAGGAGGCGAGATCTTGGCGTATGCGATCTTGTGATCAGATCTAATTGAGTCGTCAACACGCGACTTTCATCATTTTCTGGGTCATCGAGTGTTTATGTCGTGAAACAAGATTTAGCTTTGACTTGAGTCGTATATAACATAACCAACGATTTGTTTCTTGAAATACAATTAATTTGAATCGGACGGTGAGATGGTGACTGATTGGATGAGTGGGTGAGAGATAAAGTCCCGAGACCAAAAGTTCCCAAGACGGTCTCAGTGCTCTGCCCCAGAATTGCCCCGTTTTCTCGAAATCGATACTGTCACTTTGGCCAACACACCTCCTGCTTGAGAAAGAGGCTCTACAAATACTAGATCACGACCAATGGTGATTCATTGATTGGATTCATCATATACATAATAATTACATGTGGTCTATCATATCTTGGTGGGCGCGCGCCACAACCCCTCGGTGGGGCTTCAGACCTGGGTATAAACTTGTGGAGTGGTCGATGTTCATTCCTCGACTCCTTCTTCTCCTGCTTCGATTGCTTTTTCCTTTTTGATGCGTTCTCGCTCCCTCTTCCTGTCTAATAAGCGATTCAGCTTTTTCGCCACGTTAAACACCCCACTGGTTCCCGCCCCGCAGGCGGCACAAGATGGGTCTTTTCGATATCGCTTCAAGGCGCACGCTTCGCAGAAGTAGTGCCCGCATTTGGTCACAATCGGACTGGTGTAAGATTTCTTGCAGATTACACATGCAAAAGGGATGCTTTCCAGAAGAGCCTCATCGTTCTCGTCATCTGCACCACCTTCCGCGTTGCGATTCGCAGAGGCCACCGTTGTTCCTGTGAGCTTTTTCCCTTTTGTGTTGATCTCCCAATCGCGATCCAGTTGCCACCCGTGCTTGTAGTCCTCTCGTGCGTGCAAATACTTGCAATTGTCTCCAAATCCGCAAAAGCCAGTTGTTTTGTAATCCTTGCACACATCAGGTGCAAAATCAGTGACTGTGATTGTCCGTACATTGCCTGACGCTTTCACTGGTCCCACTTGTTTCCCGCTTCGATCGGGGTTCTTCTGGATGAAGGACTGATAGTTTGCCACTCCCTTGTAGGTGCCATCTGAGTTCCCAGCACCAGACGACGGTGCGGGTTGGGCTTCCTTGGCTTGGGGTTTGTTTTCATCATACCAATCTGATGCTTTGGTAGCGTCGGCCTTGTTTGAAAGCGCAGCGACTGCTGTCGCAGGGGCTTGGTCGGTTGGGGCAGGACGATGTTTTGGAAGCTGTGTCGAGGATGCTGTAGTCAAGCCTGCGTTTTTCCGCCTCCTCTTAATATGTCTTCCCTCTTCGTCTTCAGAAGAGGTGAATCCTGAGTCGGAATCGCTTGCCGGAGGAGTCGCCTCTCGCTTGCGGATAGTCGATTTGGCTTTTACATTTCGTTTTTTGAAAGTGAACTGGGGAATATCCGCGGTGGCATCAACATCTGCCATCTTTGGATGTATATGAAGGACTGCTTAGTCGAATTTTATGGGTGTAGCGCCATATACAGGAGTATTGAAGACTGTGTCTTAGTTGTCGATGTACAAGTAGACTGCGCTTCTTGGAGAATTGTCGAAACCCAAAACGTCAATTCTGGGATGTTCTGCTTTGCTTGCATAAGCGGAGAATTGCCAAGCCACGTGCCTGCCTCTGTACGGAGGATCTTTGGATCGGGAGATCGTCATACGCTAAGCCTAATATGAATCTGATATCTTCTCGGCTTACCTTCTTCATCTAGATCCTCTCTTTCGCTTGAAGCGGACAATGCAACAAATCGCACCTCCGAATGCTCCATCCACAGCTTACGTTCGGCCTCTTCACACTCTGTATACTATTTCCCCGCAAAGAGAGTCCTTCTGATGCGGTTAAGGAGTTGTCTCGTCCCCTTAACTCCTTCCCATCTCTTTTCTTCTCTGCCCTGTTCCTGGTGAGGCCATGGTCAACCACCAGGATGGGCCAGCGCCATCTTCTTCAGCACGGCAACAACCTCAGGCAGTCTCAGAGTCCGCGGCGGTGAGGGACGAGCATAATCGCCAAACCGTGGTCTCTTTCAAAGTCACTCACATTCTTATTGCCATATTTCTCCTCTGGCTCACGTGAGTGTATAAGATTAGCTCATATACCTACCAAATATCTGACAGCGGTAGTGTAATACAAATTCTAGGTGCTGTCCTTTTCGCGAAAGGGTTTCTCCTCACACGACTCGTCCTGAACAACAAGTCTGAATGTACAGTCTTACCAAATGGCCAATTGGCCGAAAAGTCTACTGGGTGCTGGCACCCCAAGACTTTCGATCGCGCAGTTGTCTTGATCATCGATGCCTTACGATATGATTTCACTGTCCCTTCACAGCGCTCCCTCAGAGAACCCACGCAGAAACACTATCTCGACAATCTACCTGTACTGCACGACATGGCTGTCAACCACCCTTCCAATGCCTTTCTCCTCCCGTTCATTGCTGACCCTCCAACTGCAACACTTCAACGTCTAAAGGGCTTAACAACTGGAACATTACCAACTTTTATAGACCTTGGCTCAAACTTTGCTGGAACAGCCATAGAGGAGGATAACATAATCGCACATCTAAGAGACGCCGGGAAAACGATAGTACATCTAGGAGATGATACCTGGCACGCTTTATTCCCTGGTTACTTCGACCCAAATATGACCCGGCCATATGATTCATTCAACGTATGGGACCTGCATACAGTCGACAATGGTGTTATTGAACATTTGTTTCCCCTACTATCGCAGCAACAGCCTGCATGGGACGTCATCATCGGTCACTTTCTTGGTGTGGACCATGCAGGTCATCGATATGGACCAGATCACCCAGCGATGGCGGAGAAGCTTGTGCAAATGAACGGCGTTCTGCAGAAAATCATCCAGAACATCGATGATGATACACTTCTGATTGTTTTTGGCGATCATGGAATGGATTCCAAGGGTGATCATGGTGGTGAGTCGGACGATGAAATTGAGGCAGCTCTTTGGATGTATTCGAAGAAGCCACGTTTTGGGCGTCTCGACGAAAAAGACCTGTTACCTCCAGCCACTGCGAAAGAACGACCTGTCGGTCAGATTGATTTTGTGTCAACACTGTCCCTGCTCCTGGGACTGCCGATACCCTTCAATAATCTTGGTTATCCCATAGCCGAGGCGTTTGTTGGTCCGGGAAAGGTTGATTGGAAAAACCTAGCCAGGGTCTCTGAACTAGCACAAGCTCAGATTGCAAGGTATCAAGACAACTATTCCAAATCCCGTGAATCTGGGATCCATGATGGCATGGATAAATCCCAAGCAGAACTCCTCAGCCAAGCGCTTGAAGCCAGAACGAATCGCCAACACAAAGATTCTTACCATCACTTATCGCGGTGGCAACGCGAAGCAGTGAGTATGTACAGAAAGCTTTGGGCCAACTTCAACCTCGGCGACATGGTTCTTGGTGTCGGGGTCTCTGCAGCGGCCTTGATCCTTTTGGCATCAACCTCTGGACTGTCATCCGACGATACAATCACATTCACGACGAAAACACTAAGGTTTGCTGCACTGGGCTCATTCATTGGTTGTGGAGCTGGTGTTGCTCTTGCAAAGCTCTCCCCTCGAACCTTCACACTTCTAACTGGCATCATATTCGGCGTCAGCGCAGGCGGAGTTATCTCAGCGGCTCTTCCCACATTTATGCATCACTTCAAAACAAGCTTCACCTTTCCCTCTGTATGGGGAGGAATGGCACTTGTTTTTGTCATCTCCCAATCTGCCGGATTCGCGTCAAACTCATACACCATTCATGAAGATACGATATTGCTTTTCTTTCTGACCTCATTTGGCCTCGTGTCGCTCATGTCTTCCCTGCGACAAGCATCCAAGGTTGATCGCATCTTGGGTACATATCAGTCCGTTTTGTTCATACTAATTACTCGCGCGGCGTCCTATTCTAAGCTTTGTCGAGAGGAGCAAATGCCTGGCTGTCGTTCAACATTTTACTCGACGCAGACTTCCTCAAATTCGACACCTTGGCAATTGGTCGTTCCCTACGTCATCTCTTTTCTTCTACCACAAATTATCAAAGGGTTTTATCACGGTACAGCGTCCTACCATGCATCTGCTGTTCTCTCGATCGGGCTTGCCTTCCGTATCGGGCTGGTATTGGTTGCTGCATTCTGGTCTATCGAAGCAGCCGAAGCAACCGGCTGGCTTGGTAGTACTTTCTCCCCTTCTACTCTCAAAACCATTGGAGTGTGGCTTGCTCGCTGTGTATTTCTGATGGCTTTTGGGGTTGGAGTCGGGATTTCTGTGGCTGCGGAGCCATGTATCAGCGTTGAAATCACGGAAGCAACCACTCATCCAGTCCCGGATGATTCAAAATCGGCAGCACTTGTGCCTGGAAAGCCTCAAATCCGTGTCTTTGGCTATGCCAATACATTTGGAAGCCATTACTTCCTATTCCTACCTATCTTAATACTGTCGACCATTGTCCTACTGCCGCCAATGGGACAGTACAGTCTGGCTTTGATGACGTGGCAAATTCTGTGTCTGCTGGAGATGCTTGATACGAACGGCCTTATCATTTCATCTCGCTACAAGTCATCAATTGGACCAATTGTGCTTGGACTCCTGGGCTCGTTTTACTTTTTCAAGACTGGCCACCAAGCCACCTTTGCTTCCATTCAATGGAATGCGGCATTTGTTCCTCTACGCACAATCAAATACCCTTGGTCCCCGCTTTTGATCATTCTCAACACCTTTGGGCCTCAGATCATCTGTGCTGCTGCGGTGCCACTGACCGTGCTGTGGAAACGACCGACGAGCCGCTCCGCAACTCATGGTCTGTGGGGAGATGTCCTGAATGCTTGCCTCAAACATATGCTATACTATGCAACCATTCAATTAGCAACAACCGTGTGGGCTGGACATCTACGAAGACATCTCATGTTGTATCGGGTTTTCATGCCTCGATACCTGATGTCGACCGTCATCCTCTTTGTTGTGGATGTGGTTCTGGTGGCTGTAGCGCTGACGGGAACAAGACTCACTGGCCTCAGTGTGGGAAAGGTGTTTGGCTATTGAGAATGTGCTTAGCTTCATCACATTATTTTTGTGGATGACCGTCGTCATTGCGACAGCTAAGTACTTCATGTGCTCAAATCTGTCCATACGCCGCCGCTATCAAGACTATAAAATTATGGATCGCTCCACATACTGTACGATTGTCAGACGAATTCAAGGCGTTGTATTCTCAAGAATTAGTTGGCCTTCTTACCCTCCACGATCATCAATTGATGGTACATTTATGATCAGACCTCCTTCTAGACTTATCCTTACTCCGCCTAGAAGAGCCACCCGCACTATCTCTTTGTGCCTGCTCCTGTTCCATCGCCTCCCTCCTCTCCTTCTTCTCCCGTTCTTTGAGATACTTATTCCACCTATCACGATACGACTGTTCAATCCTCTCCTCCGTTCTCCTCTCCTCAATCTCCTCCCTCTTCCAACCCACCAATCTCTCCACATCCGCCCCTTTATGCGCTTCACCTCTTGAATACCTCCCCAACATCTGCCCACCAATATTCCCCGCCGAAGGACCCGGTACCGGCGCGGCACGCGGATCCTGATGTTCCCTCCCTGGTGTCGGTTTGGGCAATCGTATATACGGATTATGTATATCATGCACCGGTCGCACCATGTCGCTGAAACTTCCTATTGTGGTGGGATTGCTCGGAATATTGGGAGTTGAAGGTCGTCGAGCGTGGGAGTTTGGTTGTGAGCCAGAAGAATGGCTACTTCCGATTCTCATGACCGAAGTTCCTCCTGGGCTCAGAGGTGGTGATTTGGGGTTTTCAGGGAGATAGGTCGTGGCGCCGTATCCGGCGCTGGAGCGGAAGCGAGGAGGGGATGAGGGTGGGGAGTTGGACATGGACATGGGATTGACTGGGAGGGTTTCTTTCGAGGATGAGAAGCTGTTTCTGTCCGGATCGAGATTGTCAAGGCACGTTGTTATTGTCGTCTCTGTTGAGTGGTTGCAACAACACTGATGCTGAGAATGGTGATGATGGTGTTTTCGTTGTTGAGATGGAATGTTTCTTCGAGGAAGAGCTGAACAATACAAGGGCCAGGAAAGGAGAGATCTCGCGGATTTAAGAACCATTTTCGGGTGATAGCGATGAGTGGGTTTGAAAGACATTTGTTTGTCTGGAGGAGTTGACGGCTGTGAGCGTGGTGATGGAGGTGTCGAGGAGGAAGATTTGACATCGTTCGATGCTAGTGTCATGAACGACACTCGAGCCATATTGAGAGAGTGAGTGAGTTGATTGACGTATGGATGATGCTGTACGGTTGGCTCTCGATACAATCAGGAGTTTGAATCAAGAGGGATTCGCAATCAGTCAATGAAGGAGGTATCTAGTATATACCGATACTGATACTGATGAAACCAAGGTATTCAGCACACCTCAGACACATACATCCAACATTCTTATCGAATGTCGAGATTACGAGATTATCTTTCCTCCAGTTCTGTTTGACCGGTAAGTAAGGGGGAGCAAACGGAGAGGAACGAAACGATTGTGATTGCGATTACGATCCCCGGTCCTGGAGAAAAACGAGGAGAGGGGGGGGGATGAGAGGAGGTCCGGGGGAGGAAGGACATCTACAGACGTTCGAGCTCCTGGTGTGACACAGAGACAGGACACAGTGGGCACAGCGGGCACAGAGACAATGATAGAACGGAACCGATGCATCAATTTTTGATATCTGTTCTGTAGTACAGAGATGGATGTTCCTACTGAGTAGGTACGTACCAGGTAGTACCACTGGAAGATGTCCACGTTTCTGAGCACTTCTTGTCGAGAACATGGACTGGACTGGACTGGACTGAATCAGAATGATATAGACGGGTTTTCTCATATCATATCATACAATTACCATTGTCATCGCAAACAACCAACCGGACTCTTTTTCTTCATCCAGTTCCATGTCGAAGGATGGAGGAATTGGTCAGAGCAAGTACAGGTACCTTAGTACTTTAGGCACGTACTTGCTGTGCCTCGAACCATTGAAGTCCATGTTTCATGCCGTTGGGACTCTCATCTTGTTAAAGTTTTGGCGGTCAAAGTCCATCACCATCACCCTTGGTCGAGATTCAAACACATCCGAACACCCTTAGATCCTCGTCACCCTCGCGCACACACACACGGCGCTGTAGATGGACGGGGACGGTGACGGTCGCACTTTTCCCACAAGCCCCCGCCCAATTCTCGAGTGTACTAAGTACCACATACTCTCTCGAAGTCTAGGTCATTTTTGATATAGATAGGTATTAATAGTACCTATGTACCACGAGAGCAGTGTGGTGGAACCAAGTCAAGACCTAATACTACAGAATTTGTCGATTTGTGGTTAAATTTACATTATTAGAGTATCAAGTATAGCGCAATGTAGTCACCCGGGACAATGATCCGTCGGGTCATTTGCATCTGTATCTGTTCCCCAGTAAGATCTAGTGTGTTTGGTATTTCACCGGTCACGTGCGATAAGAAGTGCAATAAGAATGTCACTGAGTCGTTTTTCCAAGGACTGGTTTGTCGTGAAAATAAAGTCTTTTTTGGTCATGTATGGACGTATCAATGTAAATTAATGTTCGTGACAAGGAGGAATGCCTCGACGCCACGCAGGGTGAAGCATCGACAATGTCAAAGACAAGATGCAGGACGGGTCGTAACAGCACCTTTGCGCCGGGCAATGTGTAGATGACCAAAACGTACACTACCTGCGTCCAGTAGACATAGATGTGCAGGCACATAAACTCTTACATCGACCAATTCCAACTCTTATCGTGCCCCCTTTCAAAACAACGTACATCTATCGGGCGGTGTAACCACCGTCAATAACGATGTCGGTACCGGTGGTGTAGGAACTGGCGTCAGATGCAAGGTAGACATAAGCACCCTTGAGCTCAGTGGCCTTTCCGTCACGGCCAAGAGGAATCATGCTATGCCACAATTCCTGAATGTCCTTGGCAACAAAGTCGGACAGACCAGTGTCGATATAGCCGGGGGAGACGGAATTGACACGGGCAAAGTCACGCCATTCGTTGGCGAGAGATCGGGCGAGATGGATACAGCCGGCTTTGGCGACGTTGTAGCTGGTCTGTGGAGGAAAAACAGTTAGCGCTGGATTCTGAAGCTGCTTTGGTGTCTTTGGAATGATCAAATCCTCTTACCTGTTCTTGAGGGAAGTTGGCAATGTGACCGGACATGGAAGCAGTGATGATGAAGCTTCCAGTCTTTCGTTCTCTGAAGTGCAGACCAGCAGCACGGGCGCAGTGGTAGACACCGGTCAAATCAGTCTGGATGACCTCCTCCCACTTCTCGACCGAGGCATCAAGGATACCAGAGTCGGCAGTACGTCCAGCGTTGGCGATGAAGACATCAACCTTGCCGAAATCCTTGATGACGTCGGCAACCAACTTCTCGACATCGGCGTATTTGCCGACGTCGCACTTGTATGCCTTGGACTTGACTCCATACTTGTCCTGGAGCTCCTGTGCGTTCTTCTCTCCACCCTGTGGTCTGGATGCGTATGTGATGGCCACGTCAGCACCCATCTCGGCACATCCACGAGCAGCCTCAGTGCCGATACCAGTTGGGCCTGAGGCACCGGTGACAATGACGACCTTTCCCTTGAGGGAGAGGAGGTCCTTGAGGGAGGTGGATTGGGGGACGGAGACAGGCATGTTGTCTAGAGAGGTGATGGAATCGATGGCAAGGGCTAGATGATTGTGAATAAAGGAAGATGGAAGAGGAGACAGAGCAAAAAGTAAATCTCTGAGCTGAGCAGGAAGGACAGAGTTCTATTATACCTTTTTTCTGGTCCTACCATTGACCCCAAGTCGAGCAATTGCTAGGCATGGGCATGGACCCAGCCTGCGACTGTGTTGCTGTTTGTGATTTGATGGAGGGGTCAATGTTTCCGTGACTGCCCGCCAGAAGAGGGAACCGGTTGATGACGTCAAATTGGTTGTTTAGGTAAAGGCGCAGAAGCGACCGGGTCAGGCATGTCTGCAGGGAGGAGGGGCCGAGGGGCAACGCCTGCATCGCTCCTTCTTCACTCGTTGTCGGGGTCTTGACTCCAGACCTCTCGTGACTTCTAATTGGTCGCCTGGCAAATGCTTCTGGATCCAAAGCTGGATCCCAAACACTCTATCGTCGCACTGGCCTCGTTACTGTGGTGCTATCGACGTTGGCACCAAATCATTATTGCCCTAGAAAGGTCACTACTTACCGACATGTCTTTATTGGGGAAGCTGTTGTACAGATACGAATGGCTTGCGCTGCGGCACGGTAGTCTTTGTGACTCAGCTCTGTCGACGGATCTGGTGTGACTCAGCATTTCGTCTTGTGTCATGAACCTTGAGACTCCTCACAAACGCTGTTCTTTCCTCCACACGAATCGTGTGGAGCTAAAGAATGAGGACCCTAAGGCTGGCCTCCTCTTGGCGCAGAGGTCACGTATGATAGTCACGTGGATTGTTTTCTTAGGCATTAGAGTACAATGTCACGTGCTAGAATTCACGTGACAGTCCATGGCCACGCCTAGCGAAAGATAATAATAAGGTGATTATGTAATCATACTAGTCTAATGATCCGGCTTCAAAATAGTCCGATGGGTTCTGGGACTTCCAGCATCCTTTGCCCGTCGCCCTGTCGTACTTCTTTGCACATGCGAAGAGTCGTCAATGTTTATTTCTCCTTGATGGACACTCAGCATGGTCAGGATCATAGAAAAATATAAGTGAAGCGAACGAATGTGATAATCCAAAGGATTTCTTCGAGTCCTCAACATTGAACCGCAATCGAAATAGCACCGCTTCCTCTCCGTGTCCGACCGGAAAATGCACCGCTCGAGTATTCATGTTCCTGCTCCGATCTGCTAGGTAGGTAAATAGTCACAAGCCAGGTCTGGGCCAGGACCTCGGCTTTAGTGGGCCAAAATGAACATGGCGACTTGTTTTGAACGCCTAAATACCAACTGCAACCACTTAGTCATGTTGGGTCTCATGATCAGGCCCGAAAATTCCCATTAGAAAGGATCCATGACTGCGTTGGGTTTCCGGCTGTTGTCGTGACCGTTGTGCCACAGCAACGTGGCCTGGCCAGCGTCGTTGACATGTCGTCGAAGCGTCAGCAGTGCTGATACTCGTCTCAAAGGTGAGTTATGTTGCTTTCCTTGCTTGATCATTGCAAAAGCTAATATATCTTCTCACAGCTTACGATGGTGGTGCCGTGTACGATGCAGTGTACGATATTGTGGTTGTTAGCTCTGGCTGTTCAGGATTAGCCACCGCTGTGACAGCTGCGAAACACGGGCTCAAGGTTTTGGTGCTGGAAAAGACTCGCTATTTTGGAGGCACGACAGCCTACTCTGGAGGGGGAGCATGGATCCCGAATAACCACCATCAACCGTCTATCGGCATCAAAGATTCATCTCCCCAGGCCGACACCTATCTCCAACAGGTATTGGGCGATCTCTACGACAAGGAGAAGATTCAAACGTATATCAACTCGGCGCCACAGATGGCAAAGTGGATGGAGGCAAATTCCCATGTTCGTTTCAAGCCGGTGCCGCTGCCAGATTATCATGTCTCAAAGAAAGGCGCCTCGGTTGGACGCACTCTGCTCACCAAGGAGTTCGACGGCCGCAAGCTACGTCGCCTGGTCAAGGACGTACGATATCCTATCCAAGGGTCTTCGGCATTTGGCACAATGCAAGCCGACCCGGCTGATGTGTCGATCCTCACCAATCCCTTCAAGAGCTTCGCCAACCTATCCTTTGCCACAAGGAAGGTACTACGGTATCTCTCTGACCTGGCCATATACGGCAAAGGGACGGCAATGGCAAATGGCAACGCTCTGGTGGGCCAACTTCTGTACTCGGCGCAATTGCAAGGTGTGCAGATGTGGAATCATGCAAGTGCGGTCAAGACGGTGCAAGATCAAGGCAAGGTTATTGGGCTGGATCTTGTCAAGGAGGGCAAGAACATTACCGTCCAAGCTCGCAAGGGCCTATGATCGAGGTGATCATGAGACGAAATTTGCACTTCAAATGCCGGATCGCTGGAGGTTGTGATCCACCTCCCAAGCTCTTTGCCCAACCCCAAATCGTCTCCTGGCAAGATGATAGTATCGACTTTGTCCGAACTCTGTTGCATCCACGACTTACCAGCCGAGGACGAACCCACCTTGATTGAGGGAGGAAGAGGAACTCGGTAAAGTCTGTTGCAGCACATGGAGCGCAACGTGCGGTGGCTTATTACCGGTCCCAACAGGCAACCCAGACGGAGGACGACGTGGGCGACTAAGTAAGCATATGACGCGTTCGAGGCTCCCTGACTACACACAAGCAAGCCTACCATACAGCCGAGCTGGCAATACATGCCCCAGGACTTCCTTGGAAGTGAACGGTCCGCGCAGCAAGAAATGCTGATAGACGATCGTGGTACTGCAAGATAACTGTGCTCTTCATCGTACCATTCGTTGATTCCGGCTCAATTTCGCCCCTCATCTCGGAAGCTAGCTGCCAAGAGTTGGGAAAGCTGCTTGCTGCTCAAACCGCTTTGGGATGAGGCTGTGGCCGCCCTGTGGTTGGGTGGGGGAAAGCGTGGAGGGTTTATCTCGTCAACGTCTTGCTGCTCTAGCAGCATTCTGCCATGATATACGGAAGACTCCTAACGGTGTATGTTGTCAACCAATCCTGGTCGCGCTATATGGTGTTTGGCCTTCATTCCTATGCTTCCCTGACGCCGTTAACTTCTTAAAAGAGATTTCGCATCGAGTGGGTGGACGTAAGTGCTAGTTAATGTATTGCTACCTGAAAATTCCGAAAATGGGACAATGTCAATAAGTGGTTGTTCGGCCCCTGCCTCACGATGATGAACCTTGCCCAGAGCCAGGATGTATATAGCCTAGGTAACCTTATAACTCACACAATCTAATACCTATTGCCCACAAAGGTCTCACTAGTGATCAGATGATACATGTGTATTAGCCTACTCAATCATCGAACATTCGCAAATGTTTCTTTTGCATGGTAACGGTTGTAACTTGAACATTTGGTCCTGCTTAAAGTCGTTGATTGATGCGTGGATGTTAAGACAGGAATTACTACTTATAGATGTAAGGGAAGAATTTTTCATTTGAGATTCCTTGATTATTGATTAATGAACACGGGCGTCAGTCCATCTAGGGTTATGAGCGCATATACAACTAAATGCTGCCTTGGTTGTGTCGCTACGTCGACTCAAGAGTCGTTGCTGCCCATAGACCAAAGTATTGATTGACCGACCCCATATGACATGCAACATAGCCCCGTACTCCTCCAGTGACGACAGCTCTGCAAATCCTGCAACCCCATACGTCCCTCCATTAAATAGGATACGTCCCTCTTATTCAACCTGTTCTCCGCTCCACCAATGCTGCAGTGTATTCTGAGTTGATTCTTGGCTTCTTCTAGATTTTGGCGGGCTGGGGAGTATTGGCCTCATCGTACACCAGATATCCATCTTCACTCGTGTCAAAGATTTCGAAGAGCTTTGTCAAGTTACCCACGATCTCGGCAAGGCTGAGACCAGACTCAGATAGTCCAGGTCTGACAACATCCGGGTTCGCAAGGATGTTAGCCAAAGTGACCTTTCCGTCATGGTCGGTGTCCAATTCAGCGATCTTGTCGAGCACGCACTGGTTGTCGTCGCGTGTCAGTCCACAGTCCGAGCTTGCGTCAGAGAGGCCAGGAAGGTGGCCGGGACCGTGATTGGCCCAATCTTCCCAAGATCGCTTGGCCGGGCCTGTTATACAGCCACCGTCACAGTTGCAACAGAAGATATTGCAAGAACCGTACGCGCAGCAATCCCATATGGAGCTCTCCCTTCCGTCGAGGCAGTAAGCGGGGCTCGAGCAGCACTCGGCAGACACCATTGCTGCTCCTCCCAAGAGGGAGATGAGGAAGACTGAGAATGATCGCATGGCTGTGGCTTGATTTGCGTGGTGTGTGTTGAAGTCGATGGAAGAGTCTGGTTTGGAGTCAATGGAGTGGATGATTGTTTGTGTGCTTGGAATCCCCACTGCTGAACATTGAAGTGTCTGCTGCTGAGCGACCAGTCTTATATGTCTCTTCTGTCCTAACCTACATGGTGGCAGTGCAAGACATCAGTAGTGGTTCCCGTATCAAGGATTTGAGGCTGAACATAGTTCCTGTCAATAATTCATACGACTCGGCTTGTTCACTGCTAAGACAGTACATCGTTAGTGTCGTACAAGGACTGGTTGACCATTGAAATGCAGAGAAAGTGAGAAGTTTGCCCTGTGCCACTTTAGTCTTTTGATGGGCACGTTCAAACCAAGCAACAACGTCGACGTCTTGGGTGGCACGGGTGGATACCCTGGTCCCATGCCGTGGATGACAGACAGGATAATGCCAAGGCTGTAAAGGGCGAAACTATGTAAAACTTCGTATGTCGTCCAAGATACGACCTACCTAGGCAACTCGTAAGTAGCCAACTCAAACTAGTCAACGTAGTGTAAAAGTTCACAGGGTGGCCATTATAGAGGGCTATGACCGCCAAGGGAAGAGTAGTTCGACATGGCTTGTGCACTGACACTTGCTTCGCTAAGCTTCGCCAAACTAGTCAAGCCTTCGTTGGCCATAACACTAGCCTATATGGCTATAAACCTTCGTTTACGAGGGAAGGTACTTTTATTCATGGTCGAGCTCCTAACTAACATCAGACGCCTCAAACTTTTCATCGACTATTCTTCCAAAATTTGCAGCTATTGAACCTAATAGTGAAATAATGATACTTGCGTAGTATTTTGGTTAGTCTTCTCGTCTCGTGCTGAGGACGGCGACCGGGAGTAGTTTTAGAAGCTTGAGAAGCCTTGCAATCAACGATTATACTGTCGATCACAAGACCTGTAACTCCTCCCGAAAGAAGCTATAGCAGCCGTGTTCCGAAGTACAAGACATAGATCCAAGATAAACAGGTTGCTTCATGTACCCAATTGCACCATGATACTGCCCACGTGAGAGAAGGAGCCACTGCTTCGCTTCCATGCGGTGCATCGCCTAGTCAGCCTAGTCAACCGCCCATGCTCGTAGACTCGAGCGATCGTTGGACTTGCCACTCGACTACTCCAGAAATGCTCGGTGGTACTGGCTTTCGCCTTGAGCAGGTCACATCAGCACTTTCACGGGTGAAAAAGTTATTGATCTCTAATCAGAGAATATCTGGTGGTAGGCTATACTTCCTGGCGCCTGTCCCGGAATTGGCGTACATCATAGATGAACTTAACATGCCGCGTCGCGTCGTAGGTAGAGGCACGTGGCGGATAGGGACAAACCAGGGCGCCACTGACAACTATGAAAATGTTCATCCTTCACTCAAGTGACTATTAGGCTCATCGCCAGCTTTGGTACGTATCGTCACAGAACAGGTAGTCCCAAGCGGAGTGCTTGACCCTGAGAACAAGGTCACCCTTAGCCATAGGAATGACTTACCTCGGGACGTTATTGAGCGCGTGTGGCAGTGCCTTTGTCTTAGAGACGTCCTTCTCACTACCGCAAGACTTCCCAGCTTCTGTGTGTAGACCCTTCTCCTTTCAATTAGGCTTAGACCGAGTCCATCGATCGGCCGCAGTCACGGCAAGCCCAGTCATAATAACGGTAGAAACATAGACCGAGGGTCAGGATTCCAAGCGTAGTCGAAGGAGAGGAGCAAGAATAACAGCAAGAGTCGGCCGGGAGTGAGACCTTAGTTTAGTTGGCAAACTTATCGGGACTGAAGATAACGATACTAATTCAGACACAAAATCCTCCAGAGTTAATTAAGCATTCAAGTCTGTAATCAAACCCGGTGAAGACTTGCAGCCAAATTATGGATCGACAGTACAAAAGCGTGGTTATCGCATCTTGACATGATCAAACATGTCATTGCTTCTGGCTCTTCTATTGCACTCATACTTGAAGACGATGTGGATTGGGATATCGACATCAAAGAATAGATAGCCCTCATCTCTAACAAGATCGAAACTCAATGTCCACTGCTAAAACAGACCCGTCCTCTTTTGGGTACGAATAGGCCGTCCTATGGCTAAGTCATTGTGACGAGAGGGTCGATGAATAGGATCACATGTATGTCGAGTACCACGGTGGTTCAGCAATCGACGCTTCACGATATCGTTGCTGGCCAAAGTCATTAGATAGACAAGATACCCCAGCGACATCGACGCATACGGCCAGCTATGGTTCCTGTTTGCAGCAACTGCGATAGGAGCCCCGAAGGTGTCACTTGCTTTGAGAAAAGGTGTGGGACGAAGCCTTTGATGTAGCGCTACAACGCCAGTGTCGACAAGGTATTTTAAGGTGCCTTACAGTCAGCCCCGAAATAATGCATCATTACGAACCTCCTCGCGAGGAAGGTTATATCGGTCTTGTCCGAGAAGGCGATTGACACCGTCTTTCAACACCAGATACTCGATTTAAGCATTTACGAGGTACGACGGCAAACGTCGTAGAAAGCGCGAGATGTCGCGCACTTTTCAACAAGTCGTGTCTACTTTTGGTCTCTCGACACCGTCGCCTAATTTCTGGATAGTGCCTTAAAATAGACTTAGAGAGGTCTGAAATGACACCTTGTTATAGTACACGGAAGTGGAGATAATAGAAAGCAAGTTGGACTGAGTAGGTCCCCAGGTACTTTGGCCACTTCTTCTGCTTTGCCCATCCGACCCATCAAAGTTCCACTGCTTACAATATCTGCATTGAACAACCCTTTTGCTTCTCCGTCGCGAAAGATCTTAGTGTCAATCAGGCCGCTGGATCAGTTGGTCAATACCTCTAAGTGGAGTTGTAATGTGGCTCAAGGACGGTGAAAAACTCACGGTAAAACTGCGTTCACCCTGACCCCCTTCTTCCCATACTCAGCTGCCGTTGACTCTGTGAGACCAATGACGCCAAACTTGCTCGAGGCGTATGCAGCGTTGTTCGCCAGGCCTCGAAGGCCTGACGTGCTAGAGACGTTGACTATTGAGCCACCAGGTTTGTTGATTCTCTGGAGCTCGGCTCTCATACAGTTCATGACTCCTGTTAGATTGACTGCAATCATCTTCTCCCACGCCGCTTGGTCCTGATGACAATCAGATGGGATTCAATGTAGGGGAAAGTTTCGTACGATGGCCTCAGTTATCTGACCATCCCCACCAGCGATTCCAGCAACATTTGCAGCACCATCAAGCTTGCCAAAGTGGGTAATGACTCTATCCAGCCAGGAATCCACTTGCTTTGTATCGCTAACATCAACCGTTGTAATCGTAACATCCGTGTTATATCGCGAGCCTGAAAGTGGTTAACAGCGATATCTCTTCACGGTTAAAAACTCTTACATTCCGCCTTTGTCTCTTCTAGGGCACTTTCAAAAAGGTCACTAAGAGCAACACCTCGAGCCCCCAGTTCTGCCAATCGTATGGCAGTGGCTCGACCGATGCCTGATCCGGCACCCGTGACGGCGAATACCTTACCCTCCATTAAGTGGCCCTTATCTTCCAACGAGGGTGTTGTTCACAGTCAATCGAGCTTATATCAAACTCACTCGCTAGTCTTGATTATGCAAGCGGCCATGGCTGGAAGGTGTGGATCATCGGATATCTCATTCCAGAATCATTGTCACCAACAGGGCGGAAGAAAGGCGCCCGGTTGACCCGCGGGCCTGCAGAGGCCGACCGGAAAACAAGCACAAGCAAGCAGGAAATAGCTTCAAACCGCTGGCTGGATTTCGCTCATACCCCCATTCAAGATCGGAGTGCATATGTTGTGGAGGTTGTCCGAATTCCTCCCGCATCTGCATCTGGGGAGCCCTGGCGTGTGCGAGAGGCACCAACCACGAGGCGGCCTAATTTCCGGAACAATTACCTACTCACCAACAAACAAATCTCTGGTGCAACCATTGGCTCCTCATTTTCAGCGCTGGGTTGCCTTGGTTTTCTGGGAATGGACCTTCCGGTGCCAATGTTCAGCGAGCACCTACTTCGTGGACCACAGTACGCTTGGTACCTTAGAGATGCACTCGTGCGGAACATTTGTGGACGCCGGGGCAAACCATTTGTATACAAGGCCAGTATCATAATACATATACTACCAATCAATGCGGCGCTTGTATGCACAAATCGCTTCAAGATGCATAATTATTGAATACAGTCATCAGACTTCATAGACATATCATTAGTCAAACATGTCAGTTCGTGGCAAGGTCGCCGTTGTCACTGGGGCCGGGACTGGTCTCGGAAGACAGTACGCTCTTGCACTGGCAGCAAAAGGAGCCAGAGTGCTCGTCAACGACTACGGCGGTACGCTCGAAGGACAAGCGGGATCTGTCTCACGAGCACAGTCCGTCGTCGACGAGATCAAGGCTGCCGGAGGGACAGCGATTACGCACGGTGGTGATGTTTCTAGGGACGGCAAGGCGATCATCCAGGCCGCAGTCGAGGCGTTCGGCACCGTCCACATTTTGATCAACAATGCCGGGATCTCTGGAAAGCCCTCCTCTCATGATGATGTGGATGGACCTGCGTTCATGCGTGTGCTCGAGATTGGTGTACTTGGTACGACAATGGTGACCAGCGCGGCTTATCCGATCATGGCCAGACAGAAATATGGGAGAATCGTCAATGTTTCATCCAATGCCATATATGGATTTGGAGCTGGAGGAGATTGTGCATATGGGGCATCGAAAGGCGCTATTTTTGCAATTACACGAGAGCTGGGCAGATGGTCACCGCAGGATGGTATCAAAATCGATTGCATTATGCCTTCAGCTGCTTCCAGGATGGGAGATTTGTCTGAAGGAACGAAAATGGTCACCCGAACGTACTTCCCTCCCGAGGTAAATTCATTCCCTTCTCTTAAATGCCAGTAAAGCCGAAAGTCCCATACATATCAATTTCGGCGACTTTACTGACCAACGATTCAATAGGGGGTCGTGCCATTTGCACTGGCACTTTGCAGCGAAGAGTGTCCGACCTCAGGCGAAGTGTTTTCCGCAAGTGCTGATCGAGCAGCGAGAGAAACACTGGCCACATTTCCGGGTCTGAAATCGGAATCTACAGAAGGCTTTCTTGAGGATTGGGACACGGTTATGGGGACAAATGATAGTCCATTCCTCGCAGAGAGCACTCTTGACCACGTCAAGTATGTCATTCGTCAAGCCCACGGGGTTGAAATGGAGGATATCCCAGCTTTCGGTATAGCAGGTAGCTAATTTCGAAGAAGAGGAAGTAAGAGTCTCACTAAAGCAAATATGCCTATCATGCTATGTTTTCGCTGTCACAATTTAGGTAAACTAGAAGTGTCACTCTAACAGGCTTTGTAAGACTGTGTACCTAACCAATTGCTGACGAAATCAGGTGATTCCTTGCACATGATACAAGCACCTGAAAACTAGCGGTGGGTCCCTTTGGGAGTATCTTCGAATTCCTACAGTTATCAAAGGCAAAAGTGCTCGATCGAATTATCTGGTGGCTTGCAGCCTTCGATGTCCGCCCTCCTTTATGTGTCTTTGCTGTGACCCGCCTATTTGTGCTACGAAAACATGGGCGTTAACAGTCTATAGGTAAGTAATGGTGACATCTTCCCTACGATGGCTGTAGATTGTGAATCAGTAAGAGCATGTAGCCGAGCTTAGGCCAGAGTGCCGTACGATTACGCGAGAATTATGTGGGTGGGTGGATGAATGAGTGAACTGTCAGCTCAAATAAACAACTTGTCAGAGACTCAATCAATAGTGGTAAGGGTGAGGCAGCCTTGCACAGCATGGAAATCCGCTTCCGCTAGAAGTAAAGAAATTTTGCCAGGAGGCCATTCATATAGATCGAAGATTGCCCCTGCCATTATCTCAGCGTATGGACTGGACGCCAACATCAAAGTTAACTCGCGAGAGACAACCAAGCCGTGCCTGGATTTTGCCGCAGATGTGTCTTTTGCGCTGCCCACCAGGTACGTGATGCGAGCGTGTGCCGCCTCGTCAGTGGCCTACAACGAAGCATATCTGTGCCATTTCAACAGCCCCAACCCGTGGGATGGAGCTTGGAAGGGGCATGCGACGCACGCACTGGGCAAAATTTCCACGAGCAACTGAGTGAGTTCCGGTCAGCGGCTCTGTGCCGAACGGTATGCCAAAGACCTCATTGCCTTCATCAACGGTGCAGAACCGTGGCCCGCCAATGGCAACGACAAGCTGCCGGACGCTATGATTTACGATGCACCACTTGAGGGTGGAAGGGATGAGTCTGTGTTTGTGCCCAAATGGACCCCCGAGACCACCGCGAGGACGAACTTCTTGGTGGATCTGGTGGGAGAGGATTCACTTGACAAGCTGTTGCAGGCGAACCAGATGTTCCTCGTTAGTGCACTTCAGAAGTAGAAACAGAGGAGGATCGATAAACCACAACAGAGATACATCACACATAAAGGGTGAATGTTTGGGCTACATGCTTACCCAAATTTACCATGATTTTTGAGCCATGGTCAGAATAAGCATCACGGACAGATTAGAGCCTCTGCCATAGTTAAAGCCTGCCTGACAGGTGTATACCTTGGTCAGCAGCAGTCACGGCCGAGGTGCAATTCAGGTCGTTGTGGACGTCATTGTGGACGCGGTTGGCATTTCGGACTTAGGGACTCCCAGTCAGTCTATACTTAGTAATGAGTGCAGTACGAAGTTTTCATGATGTCAATAATCACAAATGTCAGAGACTTGCGCTCGTCTCCACGAAGACGGCAACGGGGCTAGTATCCACGATTTGCAAGGGCAATGGATCCGCTATGCTAAATCATGCTTTCTAGCCACTTTAATGCGTAATGTCCAGGGTCTCTCGGCTCCGATGAACGCAGAGCTCCTCGGATGGATAGCTATCTAGCCTTGCTCGGAATCGATATAACCTTGCAATTTCCTAAAGCGGCCACGCCACCTTTTCCGCTCTGGGTAATTGGCCGGAGGGCAAGCAGCCAATCAAAAGAAGCCGATCATTGTTGCAGACATCGTATTCTGTACCTCAGGACTCCTTAGACAGGTAGGAAGATAGGAAGGTAGCCGTGTATGTCCACCCGTCGTCGCATCTGCCTGGTGGTTCCCGACGTGGGCCATCACCGCGCGTGTAACTTGATTAACAATATGTGGGTAACGGAGTTTACAAGAACGGATCTAGTGCAACGGGGATTAGAGAGGAGCTTCGGAGGCAGGAGGTAGACTACCTCCCTTTGCTAGCTGTATAAATTCACAAGCAATCCTCTCCTAGGTAGACTCGAGGACTAGCTTGCAAGACCCCTTTTTTCTCGTGACATTGTGCATCCAAGTCGAATTCGTTACCTTACTTCCTTCAATCCGATTCTCAAAACTAGTGCGCCAACGATGGGTATCGACTTCACAGTCTTCAAGGGCTCCAAGTCCGGAGAGATCGTCGAGGCCAAAGGCCACCGGGATGTCGGACCGAGACAGGCCTTGGTCCAAATTACGCATAGTGGCGTGTGCGGCACAGACGAACATTTTCGACATCAAGACCAAGGCCTGGGCCACGAAGGCGTCGGCATCATTAAGGAGATTGGTTCCATGGTCCCGGACATCTCAGATCTGAAAGTCGGTGACCGCGTAGGGATGGGCTGGATCCAGAAGGTTTGTCTACACTGTAAGCCATGTTTGACTGGTCAACACTCTAAATGTCTCAACTCGGAGCAATTTGGGACGGCGAACTTGGACCAGGGCACCTTCAGCACCGGACTTGCCTGGGACGTCTCCGCTCTGTTCAAGATTCCCGACGCGATTGATTCGGCGTCAGCTGGACCACTGATGTGTGGAGGAGCCACGGTCTGGGGACCTTTGTACGAACATGGCGCCAAATCGGGAGACCGTGTCGGCATCTTGGGCATCGGAGGACTGGGTCATCTAGCCATTCAATTCGTTAACAAGATGGGGATGGAAGCCGTTGTGTTCTCAGGCACAGAGTCGAAGAAGGACGAGGCTTTCAAGCTTGGAGCATCGGAGTTCCATGCCACTAAGGGCGTGACTAAGTTCGAAGGCATCGAGCCTATTGATTTCTTGCTTATCACGACGAACGTCCTTCCAGATTTGTCCTTGTGAGTGGATAACCTCCCCTCCCCCGATTTCAATCTACCTTCCGAGGAGTCCTCTTGACTAATGCTGTTGCAACAGATACGTTCCCGTGCTAGCACCGTTTGCAAAGGTGTTTCCACTTACCACGAGCTTCGATGCCTGGCCTGTGCCTATCTTTCCCTTATTGGTATATGGGTACAGCATTATTGGGTCGGGCGGGGCGCATCCTCAATCAATGAGGGCGATGTTGACTTTCGCTGCCAAACATAACATCAGGCCAATATTGGAGAAGTTTCCCCTGACAATAGAGGGCATTACGGCTGCCATGAAGAAGTTGGATGAGGGGAACATGAGGTATCGGGCTATCGTCGAGGTGTGATAGGACAATATCCCAATCCATAAGATCACACGAATGGGCATATGAAGTTGAATGAAACATACCTAGGGTTTTCCGATGCGTTCTGACAGTAATTGTATTTCTCTTGCATTGTGGTCAGCCATGCTCATGGACGAGGCTTCGAAATGGTGTGCGTGTGACCTGGAGGCTCAAGCGAGAACAAGAGGCGGCGTTGATTAGTCTGCTATGAGAGGAAGGTTCGCTGTAGCGATATTACTCTCCAACTAGGAATCTCAATTGATAGAAATAACTACGTTTATCTAAGGTACGAGGCCGACTACAGAGACCCCCGCGAGCACTGGCACTGTAAGAAGGAGGCTAGTCCCGGTCGGACTGCCGAGACATGTGTGCGCAACGGTAGCTCACAATGTAGGGACATACATAGGACCTTACCTACTTAGTGTCAAACTCAAGACCTGCGACGGATTCGACCGTGGTCCATGGAGACTGAAATTGGTCTGAAAGCCCATGGTGAGCAAGCGCCCTAACGATTGTTCGGCAATAATTCGGAAGCGACACAATCAACATTTCGGAAGCGGGCAGGGTCAGGCGTTCTCGTGGGCAAGCAAGCGTCTCATTCTAACGAGAAACATAGAGCAGTGATGGATCCGTAACTTTCGGCCAGGGAGTGCTTGACACCTGTTATTTGACAATTTTGAGGGGAGGTTGTGCCGGGTAGTCAGGACGCTGGGAAATACTAGTTTGAGCGAGGCTAGGAGGAGCTCTTGAGTATGACGTACTCAAGCTAGCGAGGTCCGAGGGATAGTCTTTCGGGCCAGTGACACAGTGCTTGTGGGGCGATTTATAATATGCCATCCTCACTGCGGGTATAATACTATACTCGCGAATCTAACCCATGTTTGGAGGTTGAGCCGTATCCCTGCCGATATATAAAAAGGGCGTGCCGCAGATTTAGAGCTGGGAGTCACGTTATAGATATACTATAACACAAAGGACTGCTTCCGTATTGTTTAAGAGCGACGAACAACACAACACGATGACCTCCAGAAACAACTACACCTTCGCCAACCAGGATTCTATTCCATCTCCACTCGACAAACAACTTCCTGCCTTCTTTCGCTCCTGGGACGATCCCAATTCCAATCATGAGTATCTCAATCTCTTCGCACCGGAAGGCCAATTAGTCTACGGCACAACGACCACAGGCCGTGAAGCAATCCGCGCATTTCGCGACACCATGATCCATCCCATCAACGGGCCCATCGTGGACCTTGAGCACACCTTGAAAAAGTTTTATGTTCTGGCGGGCGGATCTGAGAAGGGAAAGCAGGAGGTTTTAGTTAAGGGGTCACTGTGGTATAAGCTGCGAAATGGCCGGAAGATTGATTTCGATTTTGCTTCTGCCATCAGGTTCGCGGATGCGGGAGATGGAAAAGATCAGCAGGCAGAGTTTTATGAGGTCTTCGTGGACTCTCATGAGTTGAAACAAGCGATCAAGGAGATGAACGAGGCGGAGAAGAAGTAGCTTGAGAGAGGAAGACTGGATGAGTTGTGTTTGGGGGGGCATATGTCAACACCCTAGCTGCTCTACTAGTTGCAGATCTCTGAACGATTGGGCAGATCCATCGGTTGGTTGATCTCATGGCGGCTCTGCTCGTGAGCTTCCACACAACAGTACCGGTTGTAACAAGGTCATCTCTTGATTTGGACCGGGTCCCGGACTTGTCTGTGGTCTTAGTAAGATGAATTCCTCAGCTATGCCATAGAGATACTTATGCCTCGGTATAGGGGGCATCGTCACTGTCGTTCGTTATTTTCCCTTTTATCCCCCTTTTCGTCGGGTTCCTTATGAACTTTTCATTTGGGCACATCTAGCTTCACCAGTGCTGGCCTCGGGGTATATCTGACGGCACCTATTCCCCGACACGCCCTTTCCCCGTTGTCATTATAGGTGTTAGCCGGGTTGTTTGTGTTTTGGTGCCTGGTCCATGGCGAAATCATCCCAACGACGAGGTCTGGGGTGATCCGCGGAGCGTGATACCAGGCCACCAATGCAGTCAAGTGCAAATCTCGATTATCAGCCTGTATGAAGAAAGTCAATAAAGAATGCTGGAATAGTTGAGAAAGTTTCGGTTCAACGTTCGTTCAATATAGATTAGAATGAAACAAGGTGCTGGGAACCTAAGCTTCCGGGACGTCGCCATCCGGGTACAAATGACTCTGTAGGGCGGGAATGGGGGAACCAAGCGGAGCAAACACGTCACTGAAGGGTTTCCGAGACCAGAACATGGTCAACTTGGGAGGAATTCCTCCTTACGCTTGAGGGCGCAGTTTCGCCGTGGGATGATCGGCGGACGTACAGATTAAAAAAGGGTTGCCGAAAAATGTATTGGTTATTTCTGGACGATAAATCGAGATTCCAGCAAGCCAGCCACGCCTCATGCACGCGTGTCCAATGCATACGATGCATCAAACAGCAAACCGAGCACGGCGCTTGGCTGGCTTGAACTGATGCCTGTGCTTACAGTAGATTGCTCCAGAAACTGTGGTACCAGAGGCATCGACTTAGACCCAAGCTCACGAATTGAGCATACCGCCATCACAGACGAGAATAGAACCCGTGATGTTGGAAGCCGTGTCGCCCAACAGGAACAAGGCACTATCTGCAAGCTCTTCTGCCTTGCCCATTCTTCCTAAGGGAATGGCGGCGATCATAGATTCGGCGACTTGTGGAAAGTCTTTTATAACGGCGTCAGTCATGGGAGATTCGGTAAATCCTGGGGATCTCGGGTGTTAATTGTGAACAATATGTGAGATACCGGCCGGTGATGGAACGGCTGTTCAACACGCAAGTTTGAATCTCTCACCTGGAGCAATTGCATTCACACGAATGCCCTCGGGGGCCCAATCCAAAGACCAACATCTCGTGAAACCCACCACGGCATGTTTGGCAGTTGAGTAAACAGCCATATTTCGGTAGCCCTTTAAGCCCGCAGCACTGGCCGTGTTGACCAGGACACCGCCGCCTTTCTGTCGCTGGAATTGGCGATATGCCTCGGTCCCCGTGTTCCATACCCCAGTTATGCAGACTTCGATGATCCGGCGGTAGACATCGTCGCTAGCAACACCATTTTCCACTGGACAGATGCCGGCGTTGGCACACATGCCGTCCAGACGCCCGAATTTCTCAACGATTTCCTCGACCCAGCTGCGGACTTCCTCTCGTGAAGTCACGTTCACCTTCGTGTAGATAACGTTAGGATTGTTGGACAGTTCTTCCGGTTGGGGAGACAGATCGGCAACGGCAACCTTGGCTTCCACCGCCAGGAGTTTCCGCACAATCGCCAGACCAATACCCGAGGCACCGCCAGTCACCCCAATAATCTTGCTCTTAAGTGACTTACACTCCATGGTGAAACTTTCAATCGATTGATGACCAAGTCTGTCGCTGAGCTCTCGAAGTTGGGGAAAGTTTCGCGATCACGTTAGGTGGATGGGTTTGAGGTGGTGAAATCCTGGAGAGACGTCACTCATAACAACTTTAGCAGTGTCCCGTCCCAAAATCAAAGAAGGCGTGGTGCTTTCTGGAAAAGATTCAGATCAAATTTGCGGCTTTCACCACAGTCATATACCAGGATACGATGCCGGTGACAAAGACTACGGCGCAGCCAGCCTAGTTGAATAGAAGCCCCGACCGCGGGGTGAGTGACCATAAGTGGGTCAGAAGCATTTTGGACAATCTACAGACCTGTTCAGAGTGCCGAGTATTGGGGTTCTGGTCTAGACGGTGATGCAATCGGTTCCGAGATTCAACTGACCTTTCCCACCCCTTTTCCAGAGACCCACCCGCACCTCCCACCTTTTGGGAAGTAATATCATATCGCCGCGGGTTCATGATGTCCTAAGACCCTTCACGATTCACCCGATGCAATGTCACTTCTACCAGCCGAGGTGAGACGTAGTCGGCCATTCTCATCAAACCCGCAACCCTCCCCGCCCCCCTTCCCTTCCCAAAACGGCCCAACCAGGAAAGATTCGTTGGTCAGTCCGTCGAATCACCTCACTCAATGTCTCTTTTCAGGGTGTATAGTCTCAAGGTGATATAGTCTCAAGCTTGATGAGAACGAAAAGAAACGTACCAGTATGCTATCAACTGCATTACCAGGAGAGACGAAGAGAAGGGGCTGGACACTGAGAATCAGAAATACAATCTGGGAAAATTTTGAATTGCTATAGAGATCATTGGTGAAAGTATTTGTATAAGGCATCCGATATGAGATACAACACGGTCATATGTATGCATTCTGCCAGGTGGTTCTGCTCCCCTCCAAGATGGGATGACTGAAGCGGTAGAGACTCAAGATTCACTCAGCATCATGCCAATCTAGAACGAGTCCATGGCAGCGCATCAACCCTAAAATCCAAACCACGTTCTGCATTGTGTTTAATGAAGCCCCCAGTCATCGCCATAAGATGACACAGAATTTGGAAAGTTGTGACCGCCCTCGGACCATGCTCCACTGTGCACAGGAGGCAGGCAGGCAGCCCTCCTCACGCCGACTTTGTCTACATCGACGCTTAGGCTACAATGCCTACCTTGGTGTTGGAAATGCCGTTGACCTCGGCATCCTCGACGTGCGTCTTGGTTGCCTTGATATCGGCTCCGTGCCCTGTAGTTGATGTGTCCTGCGAAAAGGGCTGAAAGCCTGGGAAACCTTCACTAATGACTCGATGTACGGTATTGTAAAAGTGGCCCATGCCTCCAAAGTGAAAACGAATGGCTCGCTTCTTGCCCTCTACGTTGTTCCCGAAGAGCCACGAATTGGCCTCCTTGAGCAGGCTGCTGTCGACGACGTTCTCAGCATCGGTAGTCCATCCATCCTCGGCTTGCTTCGTGGCTTCGATGATGGTGCCTTCGCTTCCAGGTCTCGAGCCCGGTAACCGGCGAGCCCTCTCTGCTTCCGCCAGTAAACCAGAGATCAGCTCAGTATAAGTCTCGACCACCGGGGGAAAATTGGCAAAGGGACCCAGCGGCCCGCCGATCATCAAGAGGTTGGGGAACTCAGGCACAGATGCTCCGAGGTAAGCAGATGGGCCCCGTTCGCGGGCATCCCAATATTCCTTCAAGCTCTTGCCTCCTCGGCCACGGATGCGAATGCGGTTGTAGTTCCCATCAACAGCATCGAACCCTGTCGCAAAGATAATGACATCGAGCTCGTGGAAGCCGGCGGTGGTTTCAATACCATTCTTTCGAATTGCGACAATGGGCGTCTCTCCAATATGCACAATGTCCACGCCGGGCTTGTTAAATGCATAGTAATAACCATTGTCGCAGATAGGTCGACGTGCATGCAGCTCGTTCGGTTTGAGCTTGCGCGCCTTTTCTGGATCCTGCACGATCGAGTCGATCTTACTCCGGATGAAGTTGCACGCGTGCTCGTTGGCCACCTTATTGAAACCAATATCGTTAAATCCACAGTAGTAGAAATTGAAGCCATTGCCTCGTTGCCACAAGTGCTCGAATATCATCTCCGCTTCTTCGGGCGGGACCGAGTCATATGGCCTGCTCGACTCAAACAGCTCCATCCCTACATAGGACTGCTTGGCTCGGGAAAAGATTGTGTCGTAGTTGTCATTAGCCCACTGCCGATATCCGGAGGAAACTGGCCCGTCTCCACTTGGTACACTATATTGGGGATGGCGCTGAAAGGAGACCAGGGACTTGGTGTGGCCTGCAAGAGCGGTGATGACCTGAACACCGGTCGAACCGTTGCCAATGACACCCACACGCTTTTGAGAGAGGTCTAAGTCGGCTGGCCAACGAGAAGTGTGGACTTTCTGGCCTTTGAAAGTCTCTAAGCCTGGTATCTTAGGATAATTCGGGACAGAGAGAATTCCCAATGCTGTGACGACGTATCGAGCAACGATGGTCTCTCCGGTACTCAGACTAACATTCCATTGTCCAGTTTCTCCGTCATAATCAGCCGAAGTGAGTTCGGTCTGGAATTGAATGTCCTTATATAGGTCGTGTTTAGTCGCGACATGCTGGAAGTATTGGAGGATCTCCTTTTGCTTGAGGTAATGTTCGGACCAGGGGTAGTTCTGGAGATCGTCTTTGTCCCAAGAAAACCGATATATGACGGATTTCGAGTCACTCATAGCGCCGGGGTAGCGATTCCAGTACCACGTTCCACCCACATCACTAGCAGTATCAATGATTTTGATTGTGTAGCCTTCGTCTCTTAGGTGCTTCAGAGCACAAAGGCCGCCAAAGCCGGCCCCAATCACTAGGACATCAAGCTGTGAGGGCAAGGCCATTGAGACTTGTTTCTCAGAGTCGCTTCTTGAATGAACCAAAGGAAGTGATGAGGTGAGATTGTAAAGCAGCGACTTTTGCAGGGACTAAAATTCCACTCAGAAGAGTGCCATTTCGTAGGTTTATAAACTGTTGATCCGATGGATAGTCCCATATGGGAGACACGTACCAAGACTTGGTTCAAGAAACAACAACCACATTTCATCCCCCTCGAGCGGCGCCCAGGCTCGCTACCTACACTGATGTTCCCGATCGGCCTCAATGGTTGCATTGACCAAACATAATATCAGCTGATAGCCGATTCAGATATCCCCATCCCTCGGACCCCAGTGAGGCCGGGGATGGCGGGCCCGGAAAGCCGGCGGCTATTGGCTCCTCGCTTCCGCTCAGCCATTGATTCGACATTGCAAATAAGGTGGCGGTTGTGGATCCCTCGGGCCAGCCGTCTGGAGCTAGACAGTATCGAGGTGGACCCTGAACTTGCTGTTGGTCTTTGACAAGTC